ATACACAAAGGCAGTAGCTCCAGGTGGCAATGCTCAAGATACAGATCAAGTGATTGCTCTGGTGTTGGTTGATTCAATGACCAACTACACAGGTTGTGTGCCCATTTCCAAGAAGAACGACTTCGACCTGATGGTGCGTGAGATCTTGCAGTTCACCCAGGTTTTGGGGCACAGTGAATGCACATACCTGTGTGACAATGAGCCTTCAATCTTGCAAGTACAGAAGAGAGCAGTTCAAGCAAGACAGATGATGGGACTGGTGACTCATAGCAAAACACCAGCAGCCTATGACCATGGAAACAGCTTGTGCGAGAACACTGTCAATCGTGTGCGTGGATTGGCAGGAACCTTGATGCACTCAGTTCAGGAGCGGCTTTCAATCAAGTTGAACACTGACCATGGACTATGGAGCTGGGCGCTGAGACATTCCAGCTGGCTGCTAAACCGGTTTGCAGTGGTTCATGGTGCTACGCCGTATGAGCTGGTGTATCACAAGGTTTACAAGGGCAAAATGACAGAGTTTGCAGAACCAGCATTTGCATACACTCACACGGTGCTGAAGGGGAACCCACGTTGGCAAAGGGTCATTGTCTTGGGCAAAACAGAAGCTCAAGATACCTATGTGATTTTCACTGGACAGTCAGTGATGTTGACCCGCTCAATCAGAAGGATCTCAACTGACTGGAAATGCCATTTGGGTTTCTACTTGCACTTCAATGCCCCCACGTGGCGATTCAAAGCTGGATTTGGAGGACGTGTGGTGCCCACCAAACGAGCGGTACCAGCCAAGTCTGCAAGTTTCAGTTTGCCTCAAGGACCTGTTTTGCCCTCACCTTTGCATGACAAGGATGCTGAAGATGTAAAACAGAAAAAGGTTGAAGAACAGGCCGAAGAGCGTGAAGCCTTTTCCATGGGTCAACATCACCAACGAGCAGAGCCCAAGCAATATGATGTTGAACAGCTAGAGGGAATGCATGATGACTCAGTGACTATGCAGCATGGTACTGGAGTGGATGTGGATGCACCTTCTTTTGCAGCCAGACCCAAACGTCCTGGCGAAGTGGAGGTGACCAGTGTTTTTGATGATGTTGTGGCTGATTCCTCTCTTCTTTCATCCATGGAAGCGCAAGTTGATTCTCCAAGTGACCCTGGTCTTGCGGCACCAGTGACTCCACCTGTGATTGCACTTCAGCTGCCCCCAACTCCAAGGCAGCAGCATGCTACAAGAACTCATGGTGATGATGTTGAAGAAAACCATGAAGCAAAACGTGCGAAGTTGGAGTCTTTGAAGAAACAGAAAATCAATCAACTGCGTGAGTCTCATGAAGCAATGATCAGAACAGTCAAGGTTGGTTCTGATGAGTATGCAACAATGGATGACTATGAGAATGAGGTTGACATGGATGATGGCCCTGACACAGAGTACTGGGAAGACGAGGATCATCTCACCTTCAGCGATGTTCCAGATGCGTTATGGTGTGCAGGAAGTTTGGAAAAGCAACCACAAGCACCTGAAAGCTGGGTTGACCAACTGGCGGACCAAGTCGAGATCAGTCGTTTGCTGAGCATGGGTGTTCTCCAAAGAAAGGAGGAGTGCTTGGATGAAATTTCAGGATCCTTGACTACCAGGTTTGTCTATGACTGGAGGATCAAGGACCATCCCAATGGGACCAAGCAATGGATGAGGAGGAGCCGGTTTGTGGCTCGTGAGTTTGCCACAGACAAGCGCTCTGACACCTACAGTCCAGCGAGTGGGTGCCATTCAGTGAACCTCATTCCAATTTGCTACCTGAAGATGCTTGCCGAAAGTTTGGACAGTGCAGAAAGGTTTGATGAGGACAGCAGCTGTCCCTATCGTGTTGTTTTGGCGGCATTGGACATCAAGGATGCCTTTCTTCAGGTTCCCCAAGAAAACTTGGTGATGGTTTCTTTGTACAACCAGCAATATGTCATCAGACGCAATCTTCCTGGTCAGAGGCTTGGTGCGAAAGCTTGGTATTGGCACTTTCGCCGATACATCAGTGATGCTTTAAACTGTTGTTGGTGTTTGGAACAGCCTTGCCTTGCGAAGTGCGTGGATGATGGGACCAACAACTGCTTTCTGATCCATGTGGATGATTTGCTGTTTGCTGGAAGCTACAGTTTTTGGACCACCAAATTCTTGCCAGCGGTGACTTCCAAGTTCAATGTGAACTACACAGAGTTGAAGGAAAATGGAAGCTTCATTTCTTTTCTGAAGCGAAAGCTGGTGAAGATCAAAGATGGTCTATTGCTTGTTCCAGGCACTACGGCGAACAAAGTGGTGTCTTACTTTGAAAAATTTTTCGGAGTGGCAAAGCAGCAGAAAATTCCATGTGATGGATCAATCCAGAACGATGACAAGTCCCAGAAGTTGAGTGATGGTGACAGCAAAGCTTACAGAAGTGTGATAGGGTTACTTCTCTACGTTGCGCGTGATCGGGTTGATGTGATGTTTGCAGTGAAGGAGCTATCAGCACACATGTCAGCTCCTACAGTTTGTGCCTTACAGAAGCTTCGAAAACTCATTGGTTACCTCAAAGCCAATGGTGACATGGGCATTAAACTGTGCATTCCAGAATTTGGAGCTGGAAAATGGAAAAGAGGTGGTGAGAAGTTTTGGAATGTTGAAACATTCACAGATGCAGACTGGTCGGCGCACAAAACCCACAGAAGGTCCACAAGCTGCGCTGTGCACTTCATCAACAACAACCTGGCCTATGCCTCAAGTCGAACTCAAAGAGTTGTTTCGTTGAGTTCAGCTGAATCTGAGCTACACAGCATGGTGTCAGGATGCTCAGATGCCATCTTTCTACGTCGCTGCATGGAGTTCTTGACAGGTGATGAAATCGAGCAGTGGCAGTGGGTGGACAATTCAGCTGCGAGGCAATTGATCGAGCGCCAAGGTTTTGGACGTGTGCGACATCTCAGTGGCAAGATTTTATGGATGCAGTCATTGGTGTTGGAAAAGCAAATCAAGTTGGGACAGGTGCCAACGCAGTGGAATGTCAGTGATGTTGGTACAAAACCCTTAGCCAAACAACGTTTGTTGGTTCTTTTGCATCAAATCGGCTGCTGCAATCCAGATACCCATGAAATGGTTGGACAGGAGGAGTATGAAGCGTTTGAAGAAAGAACTGTGGGAAAACAAATGGTCAAGCGCATGGCCAAGACTATCATGCGTATGGCAGTGCTATGGGGTCTTGAGCCCAACCTTCAAGGAGCAGAGGCAGCAACTGTTGACGAGGAGGTTTGCCAACAGGTTCAGGCTTCTGGAAATAATGGAGGAAATACATGGCTTTGGTTTTCAGTTTTTCTTCTCTTCATGCTTTGGGTTGGACTTGCGGTGGCAGGATATGTTGCATGGAAGAAGTTTGCCAAGACGACAAAAGACTTGGAATCATGTTGGAATCAAGTTGCAGATGAGGATTCTTACATAGCAAAGCAGGAGGCGAGAATTGACCAAGTGATTCAACGCCTTGAGCAAATCAGAGAGCACAATGAGCAGGACCATGCGATCATTTCAGATCGAGTTACAGAATGCAGCAATGAGTTAAGCATGGTGCACGACTATGCATCGGGACTTCACTACAGCATTGTCGAACATGGAGGTTTCTTGCGAAATGGATGTGGTCTCAGTCCAGAGCAATGGCGCCACCTAGCAACGCTCGAAAGGGCAAATCTGGTTAGCTCAAGAGCTTTGGGTGCAGTTGAGTACATGCGGCTGGTGCGCCAAAGATTCCAGCCACAAGGAACAGCAGATGCAACTGACAGCCCAAATGCTGAAGCTGATGATCCAATGGATGAGTCAGAACCAGAGGTGCCATCAGGACCCATCAGCGATGAAACCTTGACAGACATGCTTGAATTCCTCAAAGGTGAACATGGACTTTGCTTGGAAAGAAGTGAATATTGGGATGCCAATGAGGTACAACATGTGATCCTTCACTTCCTCTCCGAGATCCACCACAGTTCAGCAGAAAGCTTGGTAGCCTCGTGCCGAGTACGCATAGCTGGATTGTTTGGAGAGCTGAAGGACAAAGCAATTGAACAACATCGATGGGACAGTGCTGACAGATATCAAGCAATCGAGCGCAGGTACATGCCAAACCCACCTGCGTGACTCAAAGAATCACAATCCCAAAATGGGACAATGGTGCCATTACAGATACAAGTGCTGGAATGGACGCAAAGCAATGAGTGGAATGCAGCATAGAGTCTAAGACTACAATGCTACAAGGAGGAGTGGAAAACATTTCTGTTTGCACCATTCCCTTTGTGACCACTTGCAGTGATGTCAAACCAATGGACTTCAGTTGGACCTCAGATGGACTGCGCAAGGATGACACTGCACAAATCGAGAGGAGACGTGTAGGTAGATTCAATAGCGTTCACATGAATACCATGTGTATGTACCAGACCCTGTGGTTCAAAGAAAAGTGACGCTGCCTGCTTCGCAGATTGTTAATAAAAACATGTCTTTAAATTAACCTGGTTTCACACGAGCAGTATTTATAATTGCAAATTCTTTAGCACGATTTTTTCGCGTTGTGTATATGCACACGTTTTCGATTTTTTCAACCGATTTCTTTTGGGTTTCAAGAAAATATACTTGTGGTTGACAATTCCACGCGTACCAGGCCCACGACATGCGCATTTCAAAACCACACGGGGAAGTCGACGATGTTTTATAACAACACAAATGCGACATGGACTCAAACAAATGCTGCTTGGCTCATCAAATTTGTAAAGTAAAAAAAATGCATGGTGACGATATATGGGAACCAATGCTTCGATATGCTCGATATCTTTTTTCAGTTTTCCATGGACCGCACAATGCTTTAAAAAAAACAAATTCGGGCACTTCCATTTCCATGTAATGCAAGTGACATGGAGCAGAGTCAGTAGAGGACAATGACAAATCAGTGCTACATTACTGTTATATCAACAAAAATGTTGCAGCAACACAGTTATCCCCAAAACGTACTGTTTGTGCATCGTTGCTTCATGGCTTCCAAAGCCGGAGGAGGTGGAAACCGTTGTGATCCACACTTGCAATGTATACCGTGTTCGCAAGCAACATGTTTTGTTGTTATCATTTGGAACGGGATCATGAACATATTTTTTCGACTTTGATGATTGCCACCTTTTTTGTTTGTTTGTGCAAATTTGAATGTGACATTTGTTTAATCAAATTTTGCAATGCAACGTGTTCGTTGGTTTTTTCAATGGGAAGCAGTCGTTGAATGGCAGGAAATCGATGCAGATGGGTTTTATGTTTGTCCATTGCAGCCCAGCTCTCAGTCGGAAATGCTCAGCAAAACGTTTGAAAAACAATGTCAAGATCAAAAACGGTGCAAACACGCGACAAATTCAAAGCATCTAAGAACCAACATGTTTGCGGGTTAGCTGTGGGGTTATCCACGGCAAACTGAGGTAAACAACCTAAACCATGCTTCAAAATTGTTTTGATGCGGTTGGGTCAAAGGCTTGGATCAGTTGGACATCTTTCAGCGGCAAAACCCAGGTGCGGGTCCAAATTCTGCAGTTGAGTTGGTCATGAAACTGGATTACCATTAGATGTTTTGGACGAACCACATTTTCTCAACATTTTAAATTTTAATTTGAAATTTCCTCTACAACAAACAGTTAAGTTAATATAACGCAAAATGTCCACCTTGGTCAGCATCTTGCGTTACCCGTGCAACCAGTATCCATCAACAGCATCACCAAAATGTACCAATGAAACATGGATTTGGATACTATCATGATTGAAAAGTGAATGTGTTTGAATTTCAACATTTGTTTTGGCGCAGGCTCCTTTGATACCCGGTCATTATTAACTAATTGTTGGAATTGTAAACAACAAATGAACAAGTTGTCGTTTGTACCAAGCATATCGGGGGAAACAACATCACAGATATATTCATGCATAGGACAGACAAATTGGAGAATAGAACGGTTTCGATTGATGTTGAATAATGATATCTCTTATCAGGTGCTGACTGGGCAAATCCGCTCACCCCTCGTTGCCAGCAGTTTCTTGGATTTATGTCGAGTAGTACGTGTCGCCTTCACAAAGTTACTGATGTGATAATTTGTTGTATTTGCCCATCAATTTGGGAATGCTGTGCTACCTGTCGCTTTCACACAGAACTGTTGATGTGAAACTTGGTTCGCGCCAAAGTCGAGAACTGCTGAGGATTGAGGGCTCCCAAAATTGCTGCACAGGCAAGACAAAATTTGTTGTCGTCGTGACAGTTTCGGTCCCCAATTCTTGAGTCCTGGTTTTATTTCCACTCAGGCAAAAAAGAAGAAAACTTTGGAGCCCGGGATAAAGATCACTCCTCGATCTGAGGATTGGGTGCATCAATGTGCATCAGCGATGACATTTCTTTTGAATCATATCCAAGGAAATGGATAGAACTTGTCATGTGTTTTTTTTTGTCGTGTTTTGGAATCAACCAATAATGTTTTGCAAAGCAGAGGCTGTTGCTTCCCCTAGGACTGGTCCGCTTGGTACCTTGATGTTATTGAAGCTGCAGACTTGATTGATGAGTCGCCGGTGTTTGTGCCTCAGAATTTGAGGATCTGGAAACTTTGATTTGTAAACAAACGTGTTCTGGACGTTTCTTTTTAAACAAAAGGATAAACTCGGATGAACCTTTCAAATGATGAATCAATAAACCAATCATTCTCAACCAACTGCCAATGAGTTTGAGTCAGCCATTTTCAACCAAACAGTTTGGTTTCCGTAAACTTGGCAGTGACCCAAGGCGAGGCTGCAAGATTTTCAAGCCGAATGGCTTTGCAGTGCAGGAAACTGAGCCAAAATTCGTGTTCGAAATCTTGGACCATTTCACTATTGAGGTGGGAAGGTATTCAGCGCCTGATGGATCCAAAGATCAAGGCCTGATGAAAATTGCTATTTCCATCTATTTCCGAGATGACTCACAGCACTTAAGTGTCCGACTCACAGGTGGTTAGTGTACTGCTTCTTGGGGCAAAGTAAAAAGCTTACAACCTGGGTCATTGCAGACTCTATCTTCAAGAGTGAATAACAGTGTGGAATTCAAAGAAATCTTGGCAAGATGATGATCCATCGGTTTGCGTATTGGTGTCTAGTCAGCAAATCTAGGGAATTGAAACCAACCTTGGCCACCGGCCAGACAAGTCTACTAGTCTTTGTCGCTGCCGAACATGTCGAAATTCATTCACTGAACACTTCATCCACATCTTGCATTAGAAGATTTAGAACTTGAAAACGTTCGACGTGCAACAAAATCGCCTCTATCTTTTGCTAAACTTTTAGCCTTTCAACCTTGCTCGTGACTCAAACTCAACTAAGACAGGCGCTCCCTGCCCCTTTGATACTTTGATAGGAAATGGGTGTGCAAAATGCATACTTTCCCTTGCTGATTCCGGTCCTGCTCTCAGTTTTGTCTCCGAAGAAGCTACAGCTGCCAGTTTACGCTGTCAATCCTCATCATCCTCAATGTCGAGCAAGAACATGTAAGCGCGGAGGAGCATTTGGCATGGCTAGCACGGTGCAATGTAACAGGTTTTCTACCTGTCACTGTCTTCAGTTCTTTTTGCTTTGTATCAGAAGCTACGGCTGAAAGGTCAGCTTTTTGAGCAAGGAGGCAAGTCACGTGGATGGCTTTGCAAAGGACCGACTTCCCTTTTCAAAGCAGATTGCTGCTCAAGAGAGAGAAACATCAGATCAGGCACGTTGTTGGCCACAGGAATGCGCCGTTGTCACACATTATAGACTGCGCAGTGTAGCTGAGGCGAGACGGCCGAATAAAAAAACTGTTGTGAAGTATTGGCAGGCATCCTAGGGCCACAATCCGAAAGTGGTCATCCAAATTTTGGCTAGTTTTGTTTGGGTGTCCTTCACCATTCCTTCTATTGTCCAGTAGTCAGTAGGCATCCTTTTGTGATTACTTTCAATATATTGACTCATATTGCAAGTCGCTTCGCGACAAGCACGGCCCGCATATGAAAGGCTCCAGGCTGGAAGCGGGCAGCCAACTTGTACGGGTGATAACTTTTTGAAGTTGAGGAGTATGTTGGCTGGGGAGGCGGGTTAAAAACGGGCCGACTTGCGCCCAAGCTAAGAACTGCTTGGGCCAGACTTGGCCGTACTAAGTTGAGCCGAATAGCGGTCGACTGGGGCCCAACTTGGGCCTAACTTGGGCCCAACTTGGCTCCAACTTGACCTAACTAACTTGGATCCAACATGGCGCAACCTGGGCTCATTTGAACATGGTGCAGCTTGGGTCTGCGTGGGGGCAACTGTGGCCCAAGCTGAGCCCAACACAGGCCCACTGGGGAATGTGAACAAGTCATTGCGAGCGGCGCGTCTGGACAGACTGTTCACGGCAATCGGCGTGTAAGTTGTTGAAATAATGAAGCGTTAAGAAACAAGCAAGAGGAGTCAAAAGGCTTGATGCCAGATATGACGTGGACGTATCTATCCGTAACAGGTCAGACGCAAATTTTTAGCTAAGTAACTAAGTTATGATAAGTTCACCATGTATATATATATACAATATTATATACTTATATTATATATATATGATATTTCATTTTCCTTTTTCTAACAACGCAATGAAGGACCTAACCATATAATGTTTCCGATCCTAACTAGATAGAAAAACAATAGATGAATATACAGTGAGGGTATAATACACGTTCATAGCTGAAATTAACTATACATACCAGTAGAGCCCGGGGCAAGCGGGGTGACGGAAGTTTCGAAAGGGGGGAAGGGTATAAAGAAAAGGGAGAGCCTATGGGAAAGAAGCCTGACCGCCTAGTTGTCACGGCCGTTGGCTGTGTCATCTCTTCATTGTCTTCCCGAAACAACGCTGTTTCAACGCTTTCAGAGGTTGAACTATTTGGCAAGGCAATTGCAGTTACATGACATGATGTGATCATTTCTTGTGCAATGGGGCTCTAAAACTTTACACCTGCACTCGGCATGTTACACAGTGATGTTTCCAGGTGGAACCTGGTGGACCTTTGGTGGAGGCGGTGGTAACATGTTTCGAACCGGAATTGGGCTGTTCACATTCACATCGTATGAAAAGTACTTTCAGCAAATAACATTTTTTTTGTAGTTACACAATGCTACCAGTTTGATGGGCTCCTGCATTCCTAAAATTCCGCTCCACCATCTTGCAACCATTGCCCACAACAATTCTTCCTTCATAGGTTTGCCCATGCTCTTCCCACGAAGTTCATACAATTCAACACATATGGATTGAGGGCCTGGAACTATTAGGTCGGGAAAGTGGCTCAACACAGGGGCCAGACCGGCAACGGGAAGCCAGTTCCTACTTTTGCAAACCCAGTCACCATGGTCTGCACAGAATCCTTTTCGTGTGAAATGATGTCAATTTTCTTAGCGGCATTGTACATCATTTTCTGATGCATTCATGGTACAGCTTTCTGTTAAAAACGTGCACCTTTACCATGTGACGAATGTTGCGCCAAAAACTGTCCAACAATGTGGGGATCCAAGCTGGTTGCCAGGTTGATCCTGAGAGCCAATTGACAGATCCATATGTTGCCAGCAACCGAGAGACTGAACTGGATAGGAACATATCACGAAAGGTAACTCCGGTGATGCTACCTTGAGTTTTGCTTACGAAGTAAAGAGAGGGTGACCAGCCCTGTTACCTGATTATTCAGGAGGTTGCTGTTCATTTTAGATACTCCCCCCCAACCGTCACAAACCCTAAAAGCAGACCCCAAACAGTGTAATTTACATGGTTTTGTGACTTTTGCATAGAAAAATCACTTCTTGCAACATGCTGAATACTGCGTAAATAGTTTTGTTTTTGCTCGGTGCTATCCAAAAACCACAGTAAATACCAGGGTTTTTGCTACCAGAAGCAAACAACATCGTAAGTACCGTGTTTTTTGGCCTGTGAGGCGCCAAAAACATCGGCATTTACGGTGTTGTCTGCTGCGCGATTTTCAAAAAAATGCGAAAATACCAGGTATTTGACGATTTTCGGCCACTACGAGATTGAGGAAAAAAACCGCAGGGCTAACAACAACAACAGCAGCAGCAACAACAACAACAACAACACCAACACCAACACCAACACCAACACCAACACCGTGGTTTTTGGCCTGTGAGGCGCCCAAAACATCGAAATTTGCGGTGTTTTTTGCCCCGAAGGCTTCTAAAGATTGGCTTAACGCAGCCAAAATGACGCCTTGTGGGCCCTGCGCGTATCACCGCCATCATCAACAACGTAACGACGGTAAACATTTGAGTTTGGATTCTTTTGTTTCATTGTTTTTTGCGATTTTGCTGTGGTGACGCATTTTGCACCGATACGCTTCTGCAAACATACGGCGTTAAACAAAGAAACTTTTACACAAAGCAACTTTTATGCGCAGATACTCTTACACAGAGAGGTTTGTGCACAGAGAATTTTTTGCACGCAGACGCCTTTACACACAGAGGCTTTTATGCAAAGAAGTTTTTACACAGAAGTTTTTACGCACCGATGCTTTGCACAAAGATGCTTTTGCACGCACAAAAAAAACACACACACAGGCGCTTTTACACACAGAACTTTTACATAGAGAAGCCTTTGCGCAGAACAACTTTTGGACAAAAACTTTGACGCAGAAAATTGTCCACACAGACTGCACAAAGAAATTTCTGCACACCGAAACTTTTACACGCAGAAACTTTACCCAGAACAGCTTTTACACACAGAACTTTTCGGCACAGAAACCTTTACGCACAGAAGTCTTTATGCACAACAGTTTTTACACAGACGCCTTTGCACACAGATGCCTTTACACAGAAAAACTTTTCCACAGCTTTGCTTCCCCTTCTTGATCACCTACCTTTCGTGTTTCCCCCTCTGAAGTCTGTGTCTGGTCCCTCCAGCAAACAGACTGTGCCAGGGCACTTCACTACATGCTGCTGTAAAGGTTCCAATACTTTGTTTTGTTTCGTGGGTCTTCTCTCCAGAACTCCGCAATGGTCATAATCGTGCCAGTTTTTTTTGGTTTGCTTCCTAGATTGGTGCGTGCTCAATTTGTATGTGCCTGCTTTTGTGCTGGTAGTTCGGTCCAAATTGCAACCAACGGATGCGGGTCACGGAATTTATGGGCAAGTTGCGGATCTTGTATTGTGAAGACAACTTTCTTTCACTTCCCCAGATCTGGTTTGGTTATATTTGGTTGATCTGTCACTATCCATCCTTTAGCTTCTAGGATCAATGATTGCACGACTCACTGACCCATGCAAACGAGTAATGGAAGCACCTTGAACTCGTGAACCGATAGAATTTAGGACACTGGGTTTGTTTACCAAGGTGCGCCCCACGTCAGAGACTGTGGCTTGGAGCTCAGTTGCTTGTCTCGTGCATGGAGTTTCCCCTGGGTTTTTGTTTCTTGTTTTGCCTCACAGAACGCACTGTTTCTTTTGGAACGGTTTTTTGGGTTCTGGATGGAAGCTGCAGGTGTGGCATATGTACAGCAAGTGGATCAGTAGCTACAGAGACCTGTTCTGCTCCTAGAGACTTACTTTTCCAGGAAAGCAGGAAACTAAAGGAGAAACCAAAGACAGCAGATGAGAGTGCGATAAGAAACGACATGTGAAATGATGCTTTCCCGCTCACAAGGAATCCTTGCTGAACTTGAGAATATTCTCAGCTAATCCAGGCCTTTGAAGCTGAACCAGTGGGCCAATGTGATGCGCTGGGAAATGAGGCCCTCAACATGCAACAGACATGGACCATAGCGCCGTGAGAGCTTTCACCCGTTGCGCTGTGCAGGACACGGCCGTTTCTGCGCACTTCCGAATTCCTGATGCGCCGACCTGTTTTGAGTGTGCGGCATGACCCATGTGGCTATGTAAGGGGTTAGTGTGAGAAGATTGGGATTAGACCAATTAGACCACCTTTTCAGATGCATGACGCTGGCAAGTGATCCTCTCCATCAGTGGACGTTACTAATCAATGACAGGTGGCAAGAAGGCCATACTGCACACGCATCTTCAGAAGAGGCGCTTGCACAAGGGGCGAATAGCGTTAAATCCCATGTCTCAGAGTGCATTTGTTTTAGTGAGGCAGATGCCCAAGCAAGGGAAGTCCTTGATGTCTACTTGGAGCTGGCACAGGCAGTACTTTAGAATCAATGCCATTTCTTCGGTCAGAATTAGCAACGAGCCAGATCCAGGATGAGCTTTGCCTACCAATTGTCCCTGGTCGCAAATCGGCCAACGAGAGATTTGCTGGGGCGGTGGAGACTTACACGATTGAGGCCAGCAAATTCGGCCAAGGACTAAAATGGGTCTGTCAAGAAAAGGGACGATATCTTAAACTGACCAGGTCCGTTTTCCCATGCAATTGGACCATCATAAGATATAATGAGGGTATTGATGGGCTCTCCATTTGTTTGGAACGAAACTCGCTGAGAATTTGTCATAAATTCATAAACATGTTTCTTCCTGATTCAACTGAAGTCTTCAGTGCTGGTGAGCTCTTTGGCAGGCCCTGACTCCGAACGGCATGGCCATACAGGAGCGCCTGGGATAGCGCTGAATAGGGCTGCAGCGGCTCAGCCCAATTCGTGAAAACTTGGCAACCGCAGGCGGGCACCTCTCACTTCTTGGGACAGAACTTTGCCAAGGCGGAACTGGTTCTGTGAGATTTGTTTTCTTGATGGAACTACTCCAAAACAAAAGCAACATCTACAAGTTGTATATATTGTAATCGTTGCAGCTGAAGGCTTTCGATGTGAAGTACTTGTCCGAAGAGCAAAAATCCGAGTATGTTTGGGCGTCCTCTTGGGGTGTACCTGACTCAGCTTACCTCAGCTTATCTCAGTTGACGCAAAGTTCCTAAAGCCTTAGGTCTCGACTCGTCTCATTGGTGCTGTCATCATGGTCCCAGCGCTTAGCCGCCCTAGCCGCTCCGGTGATTTACTTGAGAGAATGATTGGCAGGAGAACACGCTGTGTGATTTGTATGTTCTCCAAAGCACAAAATGATATGAATGCCAAATGGTTGCTGACCAATCTTGAATTGTCGGCGTGATATATTTGAGGCCCATTCTGACGATGATGGTCTTGTGATGCCTCCTGCTTTGGCTGCAGTCCAGGTAGTTGTGGTGCGCCTTATCTGCACCTAAAACAAAAGTGGTCTCAGCTTTGTCTTTTCTTATTCCTGGGCACGCGACACGACCCTGAAAAAAGTTGGCTAATGTCGGCCAGATAGATTTACCCAACGACTCAAGGCCATTATATGCGAAGGATCCAGACCAGCAGGCCACAGCGGGTTCCACTGTGACTTGAGCCATGAACAAAAAAGCTTTGTGGCCTTTGCGGGTTGAGTGCTATATATAATAGATTGTACCAACCTGGTTTCATCGTGTTATAAGTTGTAAGCCATGATAGGAATACCTCTGAACCAAGCAGTATAGTTGGATGAAACACGTGCTTTATGTATTTGGCTCACTTGTCCGTGAGACATATCTTGCAAGGCGGCAGTGCTAGATGCGGCGGCTGCTTTGCGGAAGGATTTGGTCGCAATAGGAATTAGAGCCATCCTCTGAGTTGCGAATATGCAGGAAGCATAGAAGCCAGACACATAGACACTAGAAATGTTGTCAGCTGACCAAGGTGCATGTCGACGATCGATTAAGTGCCCCAAAAAATTGCAGTTGGTGTTGAATGTACACGCCTTGTACCGGACCTGCAACAGGTATGAAGCCTGGAGCAAAGTACTTCGAATGGGTATGAGTCTCAGAGCAAAATGTTGTGTTTCTTTTCCCGTGCATGTAGCATTTTACTGCTCTCGTTTTGCCCCCAATAAACATCAGCGCTCTTAGAATCGCCTAAGAAACGAGCGCTTCCAAGGAACGTCGTGGAGTTCCCCTTAGGCTTGAACTTGGTGCACGAGATCTTGAAAAAGGAGGGCTGGGACGTTGGGATGTGCGTGGGCAGTTTGTTTCCATAGATGTTTTTCCCCACCTGCCAAGTGAGGGTCTCTAGATATTATCAGAGCTGGTGCGCCCACCTCCGCTGCCTCCGCCTCTGCTTCAACTGCGAGCTCCAGATCTCAGTGAGCGCTGATGGACCTCAACGGCACTAACGGACCTCAACCGCGAGCTCCAGATCTCAGTGTGCACTGTCGGACCTCAACCGCGAGCGCCAGATGGCAGTGGGCACTGCCGGACCTTAGCGGATTTGTATGATAATTGACACTCGAAGTAAAGTTATTTTTTCCTTCTGACATGGCTTTATCATCAAATGATTGATCTCTTTAGCAGAGCGGAATCTTAAAAGCATTGATGGTTCTCACTCTGAATTTTGATAGTTCCGCTGCACTTATATCAAGTTCAAATTTAAGACTCCAGCAGAGTGCGAGCTCAGACTCGTTCTGCGCTTTGAAGGTGTGGCGCTGGGGAAGCTTCGCACTGGTGGTGAAAAAATTCAAGTCCCACTTGACGAAGCGGCAACCGAGGTGGCTTGGACAAAAGCTGGTGGCACACGTGAAACATAGTGAAACATAGTGAAACATAGTGAACCATAGTGAAACTGGCTTTGGACCGATCCTATATCCAAACAGATGTCGCTTGGCTCCTGTTTGAATACCACGATTTGACACGTGGCTTTGCAGGTGCCCAAAGCTTTGTCTCAGATGAAACTGGAGCTTCAGAGTCGTTCAGAGCAGCTGAAGTCCAATGCTTACGATGGCTTCTATTGCAATCTTCTCCAGAGTGACAAAGGTTTGCAGAATATATAATATGGTATAGTCTGATATAGTTTATAGTTACATATTTACAGGATCATCACGAAACCTTCCACTGAGTGGCATCCAAAAATGCACACCAGGTATCAAGACATCGGCCTTGCATGGGCAGATTGAGTCTTTCGATGATGGCCTGTGCAGAGCTTCTCCCTTTCCCTCCAAGGCAGCGATTGATTTTCCGTATCGAGTCCAGAGCTGACTTCGATGAACGGCTCAAGGCGTCGCTTGTTTGTCTATTGACTCTGCATCCTATTCTCTCCCTTGCTACTTCCACTGGGGAGAGGCAGAGGTTCTTGAGATCTGAATCTGCCTTGACGAGGAGCGCGAACCTGGGATGATGCTCATCCCATGGGGTGGGGATGATGACGATGAGGACAGTTACGGACAGTTGCAACTTGCCTGGACTGCCCTGTCAAAGCGAGCAAAGGGCTTTGGATGGGTTTCAAGATGTTTCAAGTCTATTACATAATTCTTAATAATTCTTATTAGTCATTCTTCGTCATGATTTGCTTGGTCTGCCAGTGACCAGGACAACCTCAAAGATGAAACTGGGGTTACGCTGAGGCACCGACATTGAAAACTCTCGACATTTTATGACATTTGAGCATGTTGCACAGTCCAATGCATTTTGCCCAGGTGTTACCCGATGGAGCAAGATGAGCTGCCTGACAACCAGGCTGGCTTTCTGGTTGGTGGGTTGTGTTTGCCTCTGGGCCTAAATATTCTTTGTCAAACACTAAGGTCCAGGCGGTAGGCGGTAGATACAACATGATCAACATTTTTTAACTTGTCGCTTCCGCTGAAGGAGCCAGCAAATGTATTATTCAAGACGATCTTAAGGGGACCAGGATGTATTGACAGAGCTATACATACCGACACATCGTATAGAAATGTCATCTCCACACATGGACGAGATCCGGACAAAGAAGCCAAAGCAACAATGACCACGGGTTCAGTTCAAAGCATCGCACATCCAATCTTGACACTTTACACGTTAGCAGAGGGGTGTTAGCAGAAGGCTGTATGACATGAGCTCTGGTGAAGCTTGGCTTCGTGCAGTGTGTCTCTGCGCTCCGTACCTTTGCCTCATGTGTCAAGAAGAACTTATGAGATGCTGTCTCTGAATTGAATTGCAACACGAAGATCGTTTGCCACTTTGGCATACTCGGTGAGTAATTTTTTTCTGTGCAAAGGTAAATCATAGGACACCGTGACGACTCATTTTTTGGTCTCCTCTCAACTCTCTTACTCTCCAAATGTCCTCCGAGCCCACATAGTCGGCGTTTTTGCTACATCTTTGAAACAATGAGGGACGTGCTCTGCTCCACAGTCGAGTACCGGCTGAGGGATCGAAAGATTTGGTCATTCTTCTGGGGCTTTTGGGGTGTCCAAATCACCTGCATTAGGAGCAACAAAGCCAAAATGCACATTCGAAGAAAACCAAGTAAGACTTTCAGATCTTATGTGTCCTTGACTTGCCCTGCTCTTTGAACACAAGAAGTTAAATGATGCCATGCGGCTGTGGGTATTCAGATCAGATCTACTTGTACTCTCGAAGATACTTGCTCTCAGATGCCTCCTGGGTTTGGCATTTTGGCTTGTTCAGTTGACAGGACGAAATCTCTGATGCAGCACTGACAGTTCACATATTTATGTGTTAGTTATTTGTGTGATCGGAAACACTCAATCCAGCTTTACTTTCCAGAACATTGTGCCATAATTGGCTCCTCACTCTCATCTGATGCAATATATATATATATATTATATATATTATATATATTATATATTATATATAATATATATATATAAATATAAATAATTTGCCCCGGTGCCAAACAAAGTGCATGCATTGCACCCTGCAAATTGGACACTAATATGTATACGGTATACCGGTATACAATGTATTTACTGGGTTCTGATCAGAAGTTTTTTCAGGACGCAAATCACTTGTTTTGTTCTCGCTGGTTGCTACTGCAGTCGGAGGTCTGTCCCTTGACCGGGAAGCCGGCTCGACAATGGGCAATTTTCGCGAAAGCATACTGAGGGACTCATAGCCCTCACTGCGATTTCAGTAGCATGGCTGCTCTCCACAAAAAATGCATCATTTGTGGTTTCAACTGCTGCCGTAATGAAATAAGCCTAATCTCATGTTTTCTTGCCATTCTTTGTCACTGCAATGACTGTGAAATGTGCGGTGAATCCTGCCTGGTTTCCAGCTTCAATGGTGTGAGACAATGGGACAAGACGACATGCAGCAGTCCCTTGCTGAATCACTGCTTGGAAGCAGACACGATTGCATGCAGAACATGCAGAATATCAGGACATCCTTCTGTTTATATGAGCAAATCACCTCCGTAACTTACAACCTCAGACAGTCCATATACGAGACCACGACAACATCTTGAATTGTGCCGCGAGAACTTTGACGTGTAGCTGAGTCAAAGGCCATTTAGTGGAAACAATGTGGAGACTGTAGATCTTTTGCTCATTTGCGTCACGTTTACATCAGGTTGTGTGTTCTCACTGCCCAAACTGGATCCCTTTTATGATCGTGTTCCATCGTCCCAGCGATCCAGGATCGGCACGATGAAATTGCAGGTGAGACCGCTGTGCTTCCGACTTGCTTAAGTGAGAGATGGGGATGGAAGAAAACGACAGAGTGGTTGGGTTGGTTAATATGAGCGGGATGTGCCTTTGTCCAGCTTGCTTCTAACAGGTTTCAACCCGAGTACTGAGAACCATTTGCTGCTAACTTCGGGATCATCTCAGTAGCTCTCTCTTATCTGAGAGCTTGCGCGTGGTTTAAATGACAGGAAAGGGGAAACTTTCGACTTGGAGGTCGAAGCAGATTGGACGGTTGAGGCATGGGTTCACATTTGCAGTGTCTACAACAGAAAGGAGCCTGTCCATTCCGCTCAATCAATCTTGAGGAACAGTCTTGTAATATGCACTTCAAAGTTGGAACGGAGAACAGAACTTTTTTGGGACCCATACAGTAGGACCGGTAGGATGTTTTGTGATGAAGCTTCGACGGAAGCGAAGCTCAGCTTCTTTTCCATTTCTTGAAGAGTGGTTCCTTTCTTGCCTGCTGCTGGATACACGGTGTGCAAATTCAGAACCAGGGCACAAGCCTTTGGAGGGACCGACCTGCGGCACTGTAATTTTTACACACACTTGCTCGCATGACCGTTTCGCATCCATGTTGATTCTATGATCTGGTTGCTCATAGTGTTAGAAGTGAATCGATATTATATACTTTGACAATCTTTGACATACCATACTGGAAGAAGTTGAGGGACTCGATACTCCACATTTCTCCAGTTTGTGTCAGCACTTGTTTTTTTGTGAGGCTGTGAAAGCAGCAATTGCTGGAATGAAGCCTGAAGCCGCCTTGGGATGCCTTGGACATATCACTTCTGATGTCTTGGCAGATGGAAAGGGAATGACAAACAGTCCCTTGATGGCATCCAGCCTAAGGACCTGCCTGCTGAGCTGCAGAAAGTCATGCACAAGGGAAAGGCCACTGACTTTCTGTTCGCTCATTTGTAAACATGAATTTTGCCAAGTTCGCATGTGGCAGCAAGTTGTTCTGTTTCTCAATATGAGGTTTTGCAAGACTCTGACACGCTGCAGGCCCGAATTGTAAGCATTTGGGCAGACAATTGCATATCAGTTCTAGCATGCGCGCAGTTTACTAGTGTCAATCCCAAGGGTCACTGGGGAAGAACAGGAACAGAGTTCAAGCAACATACTACACAGATGCATCCGAAAACCAAAAATGCGACATGAATCAAGAAACTGCGACTTCTTGCAGGCGGTTCAAATCGGCGATGGCGACTTTGTCGTCATAATGATGGCAAAGGCCAAGCAGGAGATCAGATCGCCCTGCTGTTCACACCAAACTAGCTGGTAGGCTAATATACATACGAGGCAAGGTTGGGAATTCAATCAAATGAGTGTGGATAGTTAGTAGTTGCGGTTTTTCATTCCCCTATACATATATGGGAATATGATTGCTTTCGACCTATCCGCATATTCACATTTTGTATGATTACATAAGTCTATGAATCCTTATCTTGGATGGTGAACTCCCGATTTTCTACCAGACTTTTTGATGGCTGAACCACAATATTAGATCATCAAATCCACAAAGCAGGTGAAACATGGTGAAACCCTCATTTTGAAAATGTTTCGGCAGGGTTTCCATAGTTTCCATCCATTTTTTACCAGCACCAGGAGGCTCCAGCGGCGCCTGCCCCCCCTGCTGCGCCTGCTGCCCCTGCGCCCGCCGGTCCCGTTGCGCCCGTGGCGCCGGCGCCGCCGGCGCCGCCAGCGGGACCACAGGCACCAGTGGAAAACGAGTTGGGGCCTAAGGCCTCAGGTCTCAGAATTGGGGCTTCAGTGTAAAATTATTTCTGTGAGTTTTCTTGTTAAAACTGATGTTGAGCCTTTTCACGATGACATCACTGAGTATAGGTTTGCCTGCCCTCTTGAGTCCAAGGATAGCGATACAGAGTCTGTGTGACATGGGTTTCCCACCTGAATTGGTCAGGCCTGGAGTCCTGGTGCACCTGTGATCAGCATCCACTTGTAAAATGTGGGTTCACGTCTGTGTATCAGTTGCATGGTTTCGCCCTTTCCAGAACTAATACATTCACTTGTAGTTGTCCTTGGCCCAGGCAATGCTTACGGGCTGCCTTCAATAATCCTGACAGAGTGCCATCTTCAGCTTCTTGTGGTTCGATGAATTGATTTCAGACTAAGTGCTCGCAAGGGGGCAGCAGGGGACCCAAATCTTTTCCATTGCTCACATTACTCTCAGGCTGTTGAGTACTTGACCAGTGGCATTCCAGCGCATTTGCAGCATTTGGCTGACCCTTCACGAGTTGCGAATCGCGAATCGCGAAGTGTTTATATATACGTGGCCATGGATCAAGATTACATGTCAGCAATATCCTCAAATAGACCGTTAATCTCATTTCATGAGATGTTTACCAGGGCACACTGTACCTGACCCATACCATCCTGTTACCAAGATGTATAATCACATACATATATATATAATATAAAATATATAATATTATATATATAATATATTATATACTGTATATATATATACACACATTATATATATATATATATTAATATTTATAAAGTAGGGCTACCGCCCTGGTGCCGCCAACCCCCCTTTATGGGGGGCATAGAACAAGGTTCAAAGGCCAGCCAAAGGGCTCAAAAAGGTCCGTTTTGCCACGCCGAATCGGCATGGCAATGCGGGGCAGATCGCGCCTTCGAAAAAGCACCCTTCGCCTCGCCTTAACAGCATGGCAGTGAAGGATGGAAGGCTGCTCGAAAGGCTGCCAGGTCGTGGCCCATTTGCTGGCTTTGAGGCGCCAATAGAACAGGTTTCAAAGGCCAGCCAAAGGGCTCAAAAACGTGCGTTTTGCCATGCCGAAACGGCATGGCACTGCGAGGCAGACCGCGCCTTCGAAAAAGCACCTTTCGCCACGCCTTAAAAGGAAGGCTGCTCGAAGGGCCGCCAGGTCGTGGCCCATTTGCTGGCTTTGAAACGCCAATAGAACAGGTTCAAAGGGCAGCCAAAGCGTCCAAAAACGTCCGTTTTGCCACGCCGCAACAGCATGGCACTGCGGGGCAGATCGCGCCTTCGAAAAAGCACCCTTTGCCCCGCCTTAACATCATGGCAGTGAAGGACGGAAGGCTGCTCGAAGGGCCGCCCCCTTTGAAACGGTTTAAAGCCCAGCCAAAGGGCTCAAAAACGTGCGTTTTGCCACGCCGAAACGGCATGGCACTGCGAGGCAGACCGCGCCTTCGAAAAAGCACCCTTTGCCACGCCTTAACAGCATGGCAGTGAAGGACGGAAGGCTGCTCGAAGGGCCGCCAGGTCGTGGCCGATTTACCGCGTTTGAAACGCCCATAGACAAGGTTCAAAGGCCAGCCAAAGGGCTCAAAAAGGTCCGTTTTGCCACGCCGAATCGGCATGGCAATGCGGGGCAGATCGCGCCTTCGAAAAAGCACCCTTCGCCTCGCCTTAACAGCATGGCAGTGAAGGATGGAAGGCTGCTCGAAAGGCTGCCAGGTCGTGGCCCATTTGCTGGCTTTGAGGCGCCAATAGAACAGGTTTCAAAGGCCAGCCAAAGGGCTCAAAAACGTGCGTTTTGCCATGCCGAAACGGCATGGCACTGCGAGGCAGACCGCGCCTTCGAAAAAGCACCTTTCGCCACGCCTTAACAGCATGGCAGTGAAGGACGGAAGGCTGCTCGAAGGGCCGCCAGGTCGTGGCCGATTTACCGCGTTTGAAACGCTTAAAGACAAGGTTCAAAGGCCAGCCAAAGGGGTCAAAAACGCGCGTTTTGCCACACCGAAACAGCATGGTATTGCGGGACAGATCGTGCCTTCGAACGGCAGCTGGTCGTGGTGCCGTCAGCTCCTGAACTGCCTGCCAATGAAGAAGAACAGGCCGGTGCTGATGCTTCGCTGTCTCGGGCGCCTCCCCCTGCAATGGCAACGGCAGGGGTCGGCGGATATACACAGTTATATCAAAGTGTATATATATATGTATATGTATATATATATATGTATGTATGTATATATATATATATATATTTATGTACGAAGGTATATGATTCTATCAATGATGATATCAATGATCCTATCAATGGATATTATGAAATACACATGTCTGAATATACATATAATACATATATCTTGCATAATATAACGGAATATAACGAGATGCACATGTTTTCAAAGGGTGTAGCTGTGCCAGGCTTCAGGCGAGCCACCACCTGCGCCAACTCCAGCTCCAGCAGCCGCTTTGCCAAGGATGGCAGGTTTTGAGGAAATATATATATATATATATATGTATGTATACACAATATATATTTATATACACAGTATATATATACACACACATACATACATACAGACAGACAGACCGACCGACCGACCGACAGACAGACAGACAGACAGACAGACATACACACACACACATATATATATTGGAGTAAGCCTGGGAGTAAAAACGCTTCCCAGAAACAAGATGAAAATCGTGGTTTCGGCCCTGGCCAAGCAGCCGGCCAAACCCCCGGCAAACTAGGCTCCTGAGAGGGGTTGCATTTTGGAGCATCAGATCTTCAGGTTCGCTAAGACGATTTTGCATGACAGGTGCAGCACTTCGTATGACCTGACCTCACTTTTTCGTGGCAGGCGCAGCACTTTACACAGATGGAGTGGAAAAATCCGCAAAAACACATTGGTACGAGGCCGTCAGATCTGCACTCAACTTTCCATTTTTCAAGGACGTCTCGCAGAATTGCTTCGCTTTTGATGTTGCCAACTTTGAAAATTGAGGAACTCTCGCAGAATTGCTGTGTTTCTGACGTTGTCAAGTTCAAGAATTGGGGAAGTCTCGCAGAATTGCTCCGTTTTTCATGTTGTCACCTTCGCGCCACAACGGCATGCACTTTTTCGACGTGTCAACTTCCAAAAGTGGTCTGATACCGAGGTGTTTTGTACATTTTGAAACTGAAATGTGCTTCGCGCCACACCGGCGTGCACTTTTTCGACATCTCAACTTCTAAAAGTGTTCCGAACTTCGAACATGAGGTGTTTTGTACCTTTTGACTTCAAAGTGTGGTTCGCGCCAGAACGGCGTGCACTTTTTCGACATGTCAACTTCCACAAGTGGTCCGACACTGAGGTGTTTTCTACCTTTTGACTTTGAAATGTGCTTCTTGCCACAACGGCGTGCAAAAACAAAGTGACTCGCGACTTTTCTACCTTTTCGCGCGCCTGCATCTTCTTTCTTCTAACTCTTTCTTCTAACTCTTTCTTCTAACTCTTCCTCTTCTCTGATCTTCTCTGATCTTCTCTGATCTTCTCTGATCTTCTCTGATCTGCTCTGATCTGCTCTGATCTTCTCTGATCTTCTCTGATCTTCTCTGATCTTCTCTGATCTTCTCTTCTCTTCTCTTCTCTTGTCTTCTCTTCTCTTCTCTGACGCTTTCCCACCTTTGCTTTTCCCACCTCTGCTTTTCCATCTGTCCATATTGTCGGAAGTTTGACTTCTAAACTACCTTCGCTTAACCACTATCACCAGCTTTTAGATAGCCGATAGCCCCTATTGATCATCAGCAACCATCATCAGACTACCATTATTTAACGGGGACCCCCACAACTCATTGTTTCCCCATCATCCCGCCTTTGCCCTCGAGGCCCCCGCGGCACCGCCAATGCCAGCGAGTCAGCCTACAAGGTGCCGTTTAGCCACTGGATGATCATCATTGTTTTGCATCGAAGGAGGTTTCCTGAGTCATGGGGTACCCCCAAATCATCATCAATCATCAATTCATTTTAGTATTGCAACCTATGGTGACTTGGGGGTTTACCATTTTAAGAAACCCCCATTTCTGGGATATTATCCATTTTTGGGTGACATATGCCCAACTGATTCCATTTATATAAATCTTGGCAATTGTGGAAAACAAATTGGGTATGTGCCTCATTTATGTCAAGCCACAGCTATGTGCAACGCATCAGCTGATGGAGGCCCTTTGTTCCTCCAGCTCCAGAAACAGGATGCAGCCAGAAAAGTGCCACATTGTTGGTTGGTTTTTGCAGTTTGACTCTGCAAGACTCTGCGAGTATGGTTGGCAGGACCCTTGGCGACGCTGGCAAACCATCCACGCTTCAACCAACTTCGAGTAGCGGTGCAACAGCATCCGAGTACGTTGAACCAAGTGCTGACTTTGATTGCCAAGGCTGGCTGCCACTTGACTTGGCCTTGAAAGACAAAGGTCTCTGAGTCTTTATGTTGCTTCAGAAAGTGTTCGTATCGTTTGATCCAGGGTGATCCCAACATGATCACGCTCATTGCAGAGAACCAGGAAGAGTGTTTGCGGCATGACTTGTAGAATGCAACAGTGCACACAGTCCACACTGGCGCAATGTCGTCACACCACGGTGATCCGCCAGCATTGGTAGTGCCAGGTTTGTGCGGCTGTTGTCCCAGCCCCCGGCAGCAAACGATCCTATAGCAGCAGGAAACCTAGACATAGACTGTTCAGAAGTTGCGATGAAACTGTTGAATCTTTTTGTTGACACTTGATCGAATCTTTGGGTTCCCTTTTCCGCCACACATTTTGGTCTTTTGTCTCAGGCAATGCTTCAAGCTGCGCAGGCGACAGCATTCTTCAAACCTGGGCATCCCTGGGCATCCCTTGATGTCCCTTTGACCTGGGAAACGAGGCAGGTGGCGTTGCACCTGGCGCCCCTGGCCAGCCTGGCCAGCCTGTCCCGGCGCCGGCGCAGCTGCTGACTCAATTCACCTTTGAAGAAACAGTTGTGGGGATTATTGGAGTAACCATTGTCAGTTATCACTGTCACTTAATCAAATTTGCATGATAGCATTATATAGCAATCATTTTGGTACTAATTTTAGTAGTCATTGTAGGAACCAGTGTAGTAACCAACTTAAACCAGATATTGTTGAATCTTAATCATGTGCCAAGCAAAACGGAGGCCCCAGCTTGGTCCTACAGGCGAAGAGGCCCGGGCAAACTAAGACAGGTTGGTCAAAAGATTACTACCAATTCTATCATTTTTTTGATTTCGCAAATTTGGCGGGGTGGATTCAGCAACGATCAAGTTTGGAAATTTGCTTTGCAGGCCGTCCAGCGCTTGCAAGGGCTTGGGTTTCCTCGAAACTTGTGCGTGGAGGCATACTTGGCTTGCGACAGAAACGAGGCCGGAATGCTGAGGTGCACAGGTAGCATTGCACACAGCTGTGGCTGCCAGGAGATGGCGGCAAACTTTCTCTTCGATCGAATGGAGGAGTCCTAAATTCGGGAGAGCCAAAAAAAGGAGGGACCTGCTTTTCTGCGAAACTTTGCCAGATTAAAACTTCCTGTGACATTGTGACTGACGTGAGGGAAGAGGCTCATGGACCACATGTACCTTTGCCAGCGGCATGAAAACAAGCTTTGCTTTGAGCAAGAAGTGATTTTATCAAGAGCATTTGTTCACTTTTGTTTTGAATGCTAATGATTTATTTAGTATCAATGCGCACATGAATTGATGGATATGAACAAGGCATTTTTTTTTGAATTATACAAAAGCTGCGTATAAACAACATTTTCACAGTATGCGCAGAAGGCACCAAACACAACAAAGACATAGCTCGAATCTGTCTCCAGAGCTATTTCAATGGCAGGCTCCTGGCAGGCTCAATAAAAAGCAAGTACACGACAGAGCTCCATGTGGCAATAGCACTAGCTGCCTGGGTATGGGTGGATGGCGGACGTGTTCAGGGGAATTGGCGCAGTCTCCCTGACGTGTTTTTTTAACTTACGGAAACTACATGTACTGGGCCCTCTTGACCCTCTTTACCCCCTTGCCGCCCCTTGCCCTAGTTTTCCATTGCCAGGTAGTGTCAACGCAAGTGTTATCAAGGGCTTTGACGCTGGAACCTCTGTGATCGATGTCGACCGGATCAAGAGGCACACGATGGCACACATTCAAGTGTCTTGAGATGTCCTGAGATTTCCTGAGATGTCCTGAGATGTCCTAAGGTTTATTCTGAATGTCTTAGTGGCACGCCTTGCATCACCCTCTGCCTATGGGGTAGGCTACGTGTCTCTGCAGTCTGGGGCTTGGAGATCTTGGATTTCTTGGCGATCGCTTTTTTCCAATGCTGCCAAGGCTTTTGAGCAACCTGGTGCTCTTCTTTGCCAAGGAGGGCTTCCGCAAAGTCGCGCCGGATGCTTGACACAGTCACGAGACTACGATTGAGTCAGTGTAGTGAAGCTGAAACACAAGTTACTCAGGCTACGATCATCTGCTGAAGATGATCTGGACCCTTTTCTGCGAGAGTATGCAAATCAATAGTTTGCAGTTGCCCTTCTCTGTTAAGCTTTTTGTTCAACTCCGCTTTTTGGCGATGCGCAGGGCCTGCAATCTTCCGCCAATCTGGGCTGGATGGGCACTGCCAGCGCAGCTGTGTTCCTCTCAGCTATTCACTGGGTGATGTTTACTCTTGAAAGGGAACGTCACAGCTAAAGGTAGAGATGTATCCCCAATTTGTCACTAAGCAGCCGTGGCTATCCTGCAGCAAACCACGCTTGCACTGGCCAAGCAAGAACATCGTTTTTGTGTAAACCTTGGCGTTTGTGTAAAACACGGTTTTGTGTAATACAGCGTTTTATGTACAAAGCAGGTTTTGGTGTAAACCACGGTTTAAGACTGTCTAACTTTAAACCAAAGCCTGTGTGTAAACCAGGGTTTTGGAAAAGGCCATATACAGAGTGGAGAGGTTGTGCGGTGTGTAAAAGGTGTTCCGCACAAAAGCCAGTCGATGGACAGGCCACATATATCATAGATCTCAAGTATTGGATATAGGAACGACGGAGTAGACCCATGGAAAACACAGCAAAAAAGGCGGAAAGAAAAACATGGAATTAGCAGCAAACATGTTAAAACCAACCGCGTGTTTGGCGAGATGTGGGCAGAGTTGAGCCCAGCACAATGAAAGAAGAAGTGTTGGCATTCACTTTCAATGCCTCGCATGCAAAGGTGCTGGCCCTTCCGCTTGCTACACATTGGCTTCGGTCCGATCCATCCTCTGACTCTTTGCAGCATTGCTACGCTTTCGACATCTGCCTTCCGCATTTGGAGCTGTAGACATTTGTAGATCTCTGTAGATTTCGTGAAACAAAGGCGTTGGGCTATCAAGGAGCAGTCCTTCTGGTAGCTTTTGCATCAGTCCTTGAAGCCTGGAGCTCGGAGCTGTACAGCTGTGCAGCTGCTGTTGAAATCTGAAATCGCGCTGCAGGGCTTGGCAGAGCCATTCGTTGTGCTGACCTTGGTTTTGATCTTAGCACAAAGACACCAAGAAACCAAGAGACCTCAGACTTTGCACCTGAAACTCACAAGATCAGGACGACCAACTCTTCTTTTTGCAGGAAGTAGTGTTGGTCTTTCGTTATCATATTATAATTATAATTATATATATATATATATTCATATTCTGCATTAAAGTGTGGTTCTGAACTTTGGACAACAATTTGATACACCCACCACAGTTGTTGTCGTGTAGAAAGTGATGTCTTCTCAGCTGCTTGGCTCTTTGGCAAGTGCGCTCCTTTGCGCATCATTTGTCAAGAGCTCTTTGATTTTCCACTGCCATGGTGGTGATGCAGATGGCGAGGCACAGCCCCATTGGCCCATCACCTCTGCAAGTGTTGGATCATTCAGTATTCAGCGAGCTTTTAACCCTTTTTTACACGTGTGAATTTAATACGTCACCCGCTGTCCATTGGAGGATTCTTGAGTCTATGGTGATTGTTCTGATCAATCCATTCAATCTTGCTCAATACATACTTCATTGACTGATTGATTGTGGCTGGATGAGTCTACTTAAATGGCAGGCCAACACCCTCCTTTCAGCCGATTCCTTTCTCTTCATTCCAATGTGGGGCGTGGCTTGCCAAAAAACTTGGACTTCAGATGATTTCGGGATGCACTACTTGAGTGTAATCAATGTAAGAAGGCGGGATTGCCTCCTCTCCTCGTCCTTTGTGTCCTTCTTTTCCTAGTACTATGATGTAATGTGTAGATTGTCTGAAGCATCCCCTCGCTCCTGCTGCGCAATTGACAGTGTCTCTGGTTGTGTCATGGCCAGATTTGCCGCAGCTTCTGCCCGTCTCAACACCTTAGGTATTCTTCCCAGGCAGCCGGTGCGGGCTACTACAAGATCTCAGGAGGGTCTATGAAGAGCAGTGGCCTTAGTTGAGTGGCATTGCCGTGGGATATTGAAAGCAGCCGGAAAAGGATGTAAAAATGTCCAGAGTTCTAAGTGTTGCAAGCGGCAGGTGGGAACTGCAGAATTTTCTAGTGGACTGGAGAACTACCTTGGAAGAATGTAGCCACCTCTTTCCCTGAACCTGACTGTGCGAGTTGCGGGAGGAAAGCATGTTTCAATCAGTAGATATGTTTTTCGCCAGGTTTAGGTGTAGGTCGTAGGTGTAATTTCAGTAGAAGTGCTGTCCTGAAGGGTGAAGGAAGGCAGCACGTATCAACACTGATGTTTCATAGCCTGATTCATTCTTGGAGGCGCTTCCAATCACTTTAACTTTTGCAGGCACAAGTTGTCCATGTGTATCTCATGCATATGGCATCGCCGCATACAGTACATTTCAGTACAGCTTCCAGGCTCAGATGCTGCACGGATTCAACCACAAATAGCTCCGGCAATTCGCCAAAAGGTTTAGATGAAAGATTGATCTTGTATTTTTCCTGGTCTCTTTTTATGCGTTCAGATCTTTGATTCATTGTTTGCATTGTTGCATTTTATTCTATATGCATTTCCAGCACCTTTCCAATTCCCATTCATCTTCATTCTTGCCTCCCACCTTCCAAAAACAAAAAGATAAGTTGGCGTCAAGCTGTTCATGCAAGCGGACCAAATCCTTTCACAAAGGGCCATGAAATGAGTGACTGAGGCGTTTCGAGAACCTCTCCACAGACCGCACCATCTGCTACGGCGCAAGCTGTGCCACAAACCGTGTCCACTGCGCCGACCACACGAACTGTGCCCCAGCAATCCTCGCGATCAGGGCCTAGTTGGCAGCCGCCTGCACAAAGTGTGCCACAGGCAAATGCACGACCAGTGGCAAGTTGGCAACCTTCTGCAAAAACAGTGTCGCAGCCGGCAGTGAAAAGTGTCAGGCAGGCAGCTCGACAGAGCATAGCTGCAGCACAAGCAGTGCCAGAGCCAGCTGCACAAACAGTGCCACAGCTGGCTGCACAAAAAGCGCCGCAGCCGGCTGCACACAAAGTGCTCCAGCCAGCTGCCCAAACATTTTCTCAGCCTGCTGCACAAACATTACCACAGCCAGCTGGACAAAGTATGCCGCGGCGCCCACGAGCAGCTTCCACTAGTTCCGAGGCAACCGTTTTGCCAGAGGCAGGGTTTGATTTCACTAGAGGCTTATGCTGGCTTCATACTATTCCGACTATTCCACTTTGACTGGCAGGATGCTCAGGGTGGTGTTGAAGCTGAAGTACGACGCATAGTGAAGCACGTTTGCCCCACGTGCTCGCAGTCTTTTGCCAGCCACGAGGACCGGCAATGTGATCGATGAACCAGTTGGAATTGCATGGTGGCTGCCAACAGGACGTACGAACGCACTGGCTGGAAAAGCACACGGCCAAAGACAAGGGAACCCAAGAAGCTGCCAGCGAAGAAGCCAAGGTGGAAACGCAAGGCACAGCAAAGGAAATCTGTAGCTTTCATCAGGTCATGTCTCCTCTGTGGGGTGTGTGCAGCCGTACAGTTGATTTTGCTTGGAGGCAGTGGCAAGCAAGACCCGTTTTCGCCGCCATCTGACGCAGCAAATCCATTTGAGTCCGGTGTTGGGGAATCTGAGCCTTCCGTTCCTTCCTCAATGCCAGAAAAAGAACGACACATGAAACTTGTAGTGCTGAGTGTTTTCGTGCAAGCAGCGCACCAAGGCAAAGTACATGCGTGCAAAGGTTGTTGAGGCAGGGCACGTAATGAATTTAACCCTATGCAACTATAGGATTTTATATGCGGATGTTCTTTCTCCATGGCCATGGCATGGCAAACTCAGAAGCAGTGCATGTTTTCCTGCTGTAGGCTGTAGTGCTGGAAGAAGTGCCATGCTTCTGCAAAACATGCTACATACCATTTGGTGTCGATTTTTTAAAACTCTTTAATTGAGCCTGTAAGGTAGGGCTGTTCCTATCCTTTGGTGCGAGTTGCCTTCCAACAGTGGGAGCTCCCAAATTTCAACCACCTGCTGATATATAACTATATCATATCATATATTCTTATGTGTATATTTAATATGTTACGTAATTATGTGTATATATATATATGCATGCATGTATACACTTCCTTTTTTTCCGAGCTTCAGTTGCTTGTCGCTCATGCAGTCCCTGTCCGATGCCTTTTGCTTTGTTCTGTCTCTGATGTCTGCTTCCACAAGCGGTGACTCAAATGCACACTTGACATGTGATAGGACGGCTAGGTAGGAACAGCAAGTGAAACCAAACACACTACTGTATATGAACTAAATTTAGTAAAAAGGCTTGGGTGAGAAGGCTGGGACAGCATGGAGCACCCGAGTCACTGAAAATAATGATTCAAACACGAAAAGTGAAATACACTCTCGTGCGTAGCTTGCAGCTTGCACAACTAGAAATGAAAAAGGGTGTAAAGTAATGCAAAATGTCAATGTCAATAGATCTCATGTTGACATTTGACCTTGAGAGACACAGACCTGCTGCAAACATCATGCTCAGGGTGGTGTTGAAGCTGAAGTACGACGCATAGTGAAGCACGTTTGCCCCACGTGCTCGCAGTCTTTTGCAAGCTACGAGGACTGGCAATGTGATCGATGAACCAGTTGGAATTGCATGGTGGCTGCCACCAGGACGTACGAACGCACTGGCTGGAAAAGCACACGGCCAAAGACAAGGGAACCCAAGAAGCTGCCAGCGAAGAAGCCAAGGTGGAAACGCAAGGCACAGCAAAGGAAATCTGTAGCTTTCATCAGGTCATGTCTCCTCTGTGGGGTGTGCAGCCGTACAGTTGATTTTGCTTGGAGGCAGTGGCAAGCAGGACCCGTTGTCCCCGCCATCTGACGCAGCAAATCCATTTGAGTCCGGTGTTGGGGAATCTGAGCCTTCCGTTCCTTCCTCAATGCCAGAAAAAGAACGACACATGAAACTTGTAGTGCTGAGTGTTTTCGTGCAAGCAGCGCACCAAGGCTAAGCAGACTGATGACACCATGCGAGCCAAGATTGTTGAGGCAATGCAGATTGGGGAAAGAACCAGGGGCATTGCAATTATAAGCCTGGCAGACTGCCAAAGCAGAGACTTGAGTAAGGTGCCCAATCAGACAAGCAACGACAGGTCGATGAGGAGGGCAAGCCAGTGATTGTGCGGCAGCAGGATGAAAGTGCACCTGGAGGTGTACGCACAATCATCACTCAGGAGGACAGGGAGGGGTGATAGCAAAACAAAGGGTGCAGCGGTGTTCCCGTGTCATTTTTTTGATAGCTTGAACTTGAAGTGTGCTTAGTTGAACAGGAATTGAGGATAAGTACATATAAGTACTAATTCCATCCCCTACCAGTAACAGGAAACATCTCCATAAACTCTGGTCTAGAAGGGGATTGTCATATTTGGGACCATTTAGGGAGTTTTATATTCGGGGATGGGATTATTCCGGGAAAAGATTGATGAGGTATTACATTCTGACTTCAGACATGAGATCAGATATTCAATCCTGGAGATCTCACAAAAGTGGAACATATTCCTTGCCAGAGCTGTTGGAGACGGTCAAACGCCGCGATTGTTCCTGCCCCTTTGGCCGAAGGATGGCTCATGCAGCGCATTTGGAGAGGTTGGCTGCCTTGATAATTCTTGATATTTGGACACGCTCTTCTGGACGCGTGTACTTGTAGTGGACAGTGCAATTCAAAGAACACAAGGAGGGAACGTTAAATCCTCTCTCTCCCTCTCTCTCTCTCTCCCTCCAGAATATATATATATATCTCTCTCTCTCTCATATCTCTGTTTCTTTTCTGTATGCTGCTCATTTATGTGAATCCATGATTCTCCTTTATCGCTAATCAGTTCCATTGTTAGCTTCCTGCTAGCTTGGAAGCAGGAAATCATTCGGTTACTAATGTGAGGCGATCGTCTCGTCTTTGCTAGCACAGGGACAGACCAAGGCCCGGCCGAGGCTGTAGCACTGTAGGATCCAGGAGATGTGTTGAGTCATTGAGAAAAAGGGACACGAGATGAAAACCAGATTTTTCAACCAGCTGGGTTGCCAGTTGGGTTCAAAGACACCTGGAACGGTCTTGGCTCGAAAGGTGATGGCTTGGATTTCGAGCATGGACGCCCGGAACCTGCGTGGCCTGGTCAATGAACTTAGTGAGAGGCCTGCTGAGTCAATACCTGCAATACTCAAAGCAAAGTGACGCAGCTTTTCGCATCGCTTTCGCGAGCACCTTAGCCCAATGCAAATCTGCACTGTGAAGAGCTGTAAGGGGCGCGTTTGTGCCAGGTTCTTCGACATACAAAGACACCTTTGCGATTGTAAAGCTGAGTTGGAGGCTTGTTGGTGCAATGTTACAACTGTCCCTTTGTCAAAACATACATGGGTCAAAATTGCACCCAGGTTGGATAAATCACTAGCTCCTGAGAATCTAGTCTGCCATAAGGTATAAAGGCCCACATCAGCTTTTCGACACTTCCAGCCACGCTGATTTGGACTCTGTCCAGGAGAAGAGACGTTTGCGCGGCCTTTCCATGTTCAGTTTGGATGGCGACTGCACCGAGAAGGACTCTTGCCTTTTTGCATGCGATGTTTTGTGAATGGCAGTCTTTCACGATCCACAGCTTGCGAGGATCTGGATGTTGCTTACCGAAGATTGGCCCGTACTATGCACCCTGACAAGAACGGTGGCACAGAGGTGCTTGGGATTTGCCACTGAAAGCGTGGCGGCTGACGCTTTTCACAGCGTTTTGGTCTGGCTTCTGGCTTCGACAGGAAGCCAAAGAGCAGTTTCAGACCATGAGGGCCAGCTACGAGGTTCAAAGAATAGTTCTCGCTGCAGATCCAGATCTCTGATACTGTATAGATACAGTACTACAGTACTATCTCCGACTATCTCCTGAATATGTTTGCGACAGGAGCTGAAGGAGCAATTTGAACAGGGAAAAATTGGAAAGGCTCAAAGTTCTGAAAAGGCAGGGCGCCTCAGTTGCCTCTGCGGCATTTTCCAGACTGCATCTAGCTTGACTCCTGTCGCAGGATGCTCCTCCTTCGCCGGAGTCGACGCCGGAGGATGAAAATGATACGCAGAATGAGACACCGAAGGAAGACCCAGAAGTGCCAGCGCCCGACGCGGAGAATACCGAGGTTCGGAACGACTTCAAAAACGACAAAACAACAAGAGCTCAGAAAGCTAGACAAAACAAAACGACTCCACGAAACAACGGACTCGCAGGATCAGAAGCATCAAGCGGATTCAAGCGGTAGATTGGACGTTCGTACTTTCATATGCTTGGCTCATCGCAAGCAGGACGGTAGTGACACCAGTCCCAACGCCAACAATGCTGGAGGTGCGTATCTGCTGAGTTTTTACAACCCCATTTGTGCCCTTCTTTTGAGCGAGTAAGTGAGAGGTACAAGCAACAAGTCGAGCGGCCAGGACCAGTTCACCATAATTGCTTGCACAGTTGCATCCATTGAATGCCTCAAATTGGGTCGTGGCTGCCTTTTTTTGCTCGAGGAGACCATCTTCTATTGCCGCTCTGAAGACTTGAGTGCTCTGCAAGGGGCTGTTTGCAAGATCCTTGAGAAGGCGGGCTCCGCTAAACCGGTCACCTGGGAGCATCAATTCCTGGCCCGAACTCTGAAGCTTTAACCAGACACACTAAGTCACTAGAATTGTGCTGCTCCTAGTCCGAATCTGGCTGATGGTTTGGGTTGCATCCTCAACATCGAAACTTGGTACCCACCTAGTGCCTGCCCCAAAATGGAGCAAACGCTACTTTTGAGTTTTTAACAATCAAGCAGCACAAAACGAGACACAAAGAAGTGGCTAAAGGAGCCACTGCCAAGCTGAGTGGAATGCGTCAGGATCATCACAAAAGGAAAAAGGGTCAAAAGGGTTCCTCTTGAGGAAAATCCACAAGCACTGCGGCACACTTTGGCACAGAGAGAGCCAGCATTGCAAATCACATTAGTTTTCATCGATTGCTGGATGCTGATCCTGGCAGATGAAAATCCTCCAGCAGAACGTCGCAATGGTCGAGCGAGACCTTGCTGGTGTGCCTGCCATGGAGTAAAAACAGGAGATGCATGGCTCAGAATGAGACCTCTGCAACTGGATAAGTAGAAGATATGTTTTCTTTGGCATATGGATCAGTAGAACCACCAGATGGCTTCAAACGGTTCAACCGCGGATCAACTTTTGAGCTGTATCCATGATCTTTCACCTTTGTACCTCAGCGTATTGCCAGGCGTTTGAGCTGCAAGCAATTCATGAAGACTGATGTCCTGGAATCTCGATAGTGTCAAGTCACGTAGTTCGACTAGGAATCGATCCTATCGGGTCGATGGAATTCTGATGAATTGTGTACAGCCTTAATTCGGTCACACGTTTTGCAAGTAGCCAGAATGGCTTCCAGAGGAATGTGCTTCATGTTGGCATCCATTGCAGTGTGCGCTTCGAACGTGGCCGGAAGTGCCATCCATTGAGCTTGGCACGGGTGTGATCCCTTGACAAAGGGCCAATCGTGGGATTTGTCGGGGCCGTCACACAGTCAGCTTGGATACCTCGAATCACAATCCCTTAGCGATCACAATGCCTGGCTCAGCATGACTGAGGCGGCTCAAAGGTTCGAACGAAGGGCACTTGGTGAGGCGTTTGTGAGATGGAGTTGCCCAGGCATAATGAATACCCCAATGCCCCAATGATTGGATCTCATTCAATTTAAACATATTTTGGACACATAATTACTCAGATTGTGATCTTTCCTGTTCAACCACAGGCTGGAGCAATCTTGGCGCGTACTATTGGTATGTGATAGCCCCAGGGATTTGCGGGTAGAATTCGCTGGCAAACGTTGTAAAAGCACGAGACTAGAGAGGGGTATGATATCACACAGACACATACACACACATAATCACACAATATATATATATAATATAATATAATATAATACAAATTAGAAGATCTCACAGACTGTCGGGAATGTTGGTGGAAAAACATAAAGTTTGAAAAGTCAAATTTCACCCCAAATTTTTATAGCATGAAGGACGTCCATGGAAATCGTGTCCCGAATTCTCAAAAAGCGAGTGCGCTTGCCGATTACCTTCACTACAAACATTGGGGGCCAAACGAAGTTTCAACGCCCATTGATAATACTAAGCTCATGGTCCTCCAAAACATTCAGGCCGAAATCGGAATTTTCCAAAGCTCTGAAGTCACAGAAGCAATCCACAAGCTGAAAACAAATAAAGCGCCTGGGCCAGACGGTTCAATTGTGGAACTTTTCAAATATTTGGACTCTAGCAACGTGGACTCACTTACAAATTGCTTAAATGCATTATGGCGTGCAAAATTGGTCCCAGATGATTTTACCCAAGCTCACATAGCAAGCTTGTACAAAGAGGGCGATCATGAAAATCCTGAAAACTACCGACCAATTTCTTTGCTTAATGTTTCATACAAAATTTACGCCTATATCTTGAAATCAAGACTAGCTATGGCGCTTGAAGAACACCTCAGTCCGACGCAGTTTGGTTTCAGAGCATCCAGATCCACTATTGACCCACTATTTTGCCTAAGAAGACTCACGGACGTCGTAGAACAAGGTCACGATAAATTAATTCTGATCTTCCTAGACTGGGAAAAAGCTTTTGATAAAATTAGTCATGAAAAAATGTTCCAATCCCTCCATAGAATGAGTATTCCAGTTGAAATCCTTGATGCCATAAAAGCTATTTACCAGAAACCGATGTTTCAAGTGATGCACCGAGATAAATTTTCGTCATGGTTGAGCCAACGTACTGGAATCAGGCAAGGCTGTCCCCTCAGCCCATACCTATTCATTGTGACAATGCACGTGCTATTTGTTCACCGCAGGTTCAACGACCCACGCTACGCAAAAACTTTCCAAGGAATTAATTTCCACGAATTGCTGTACGCAGATGACACATTAATTCTGACCAAAAGCTTTGCCAGTGCTAACCAATACTTGCACCTTATCGAAGAAGAATCTCAATATCTGGACCTCAATCTAAACAAGTCCAAATGTTGCTACATTGCTTTCAACTGTCGCGGTTCTATCACTTTCCAAAATGGGGATCCTATGAAGTCGACCGATGAATCTACTTACTTAGGGGCTTCTATCACTCGCACGATCAATCCCAAACATGAAATAAGACGACGAATCTCAGCTACGATGGCCATTTTGAAAAAATTGGACATTTTCTAGGGAAAAGCGCAATGCAACAGATCTTGGAAACTGCGCGTTTTCAATGCTGTAATTACTAGCAAAGTTTTGTACGGCCTAGAAACCTTGGAACCAACTGAGTCAGCTGGACGTCTTCTCAATACGTTCCAGCTCAAAGGCTTACGAAAGATTCTGAAATTACACACAACATACATACAACTCCACAACACCAATGAATACGTATACCGAAGGGCAAATGAAACCCTTAACGCGCCGACTACAGGTTTCGATCGAAAATCAAACCTCTGACCGAAATTTTGGAGGAAAGAAAACTCAAATTACTCGGACACATCCTCAGGAGAGACAGAAACCACCCTCTCCACCAAGCAACTTTTTCAACAACATCCGCTCTCCCGAGAGAAACTGAAATGCGAAGAGTCGGAAGACCCAGACAGTTTTGGACCAGTAACAATATGCAAAAAGCATGGGAAGTGATAAGAAACACTGACCCATCGGCACCCCAAATCCCATTCGACAGATATAACAGAGAGATACGGGAACGAATCATCGAACAAGCCCATCTTTACCAGCCCCCTTTTCACAAAGGAAACGGTTGAAGACTACACAGCTCAAACTCAGTGTGAATGACTCTCAGTGTGAACAATTCTCAATGTGAAGCTCTCCAGTGTGAGACACTTTCAGTGTGAACTACTCTCAATGTGAAATATCATCAATGTGAAGGCTCTTAGCAATAATTGGAAACTTGTTCTCTATACTTTCACAAGTGAGCGTGGCCTTAGGAGTGTATATCTTTTAATTCAAAGCTAGTTAGTGCCTACGACCTTTAGCGATGACCAGGCTGGAGGTTTGGCAAAAAAACTAATGTAATATAATATAATAATAATAACAATAATAATAATAATATATATACGTATACAGTATACACATATAAGTATGACCATAATCATGGATATGAATCAATATAGTATCAATACAAACATAAATATAATATAAATATAGATAATATAACATAAATATAGATCATACAATATAATATGATATACTATAATATGATATAATATGATATAATATAACATAATTATAAATGTAAATATATCCATATTTATACATGTACATATAGATATCATGATAAATGCAAACATATCCAAATGGCCTCTGAAGATCCTGCTGAGGCTATTGTTTACCTTAGCGCTTGATGATGTACCGTTGGCCTTTGCATCTTCGCAGATGATCTATGCCTTGGTGTGGCTTGGGTGGATTGCTTGGCCCTTCCTGTGGCAGAAGGACCAACACCTGTCCCATATGGCTGTGTCTGCAAACTGGCAACACTCCCAAACATTGTAATGTTCATATATTTTCATGGGGAAAATGATTCGCCAGCAGATTTGTTTTTTTTTTCCCCACCTGCAGAGAAACCCAGCAGGATTCCAGTTGGAGACCAGCTGTCACAAAAGAAGGTTTTGTGCCACGGCCTCAGCTCCCACCCCATGGCGGTTTCCAAAAAAATCCACTGGCTTTGCCCAGAAAACGTGGTATATTTACCATTATTTACCTTATGCACCCCCAATACATGGAACTTTTTATGGTGAAAACATGTGAAAACAATGATCAAACATTGGATGAAATGAGGTTGTTCCCACTTTGAAAAGCCATGGTTTTCAGACAAAGTCTCAAAGCCTTTGGCCACCGAAGGTCCAAGCATCATCAGACCCTCTTCTGGGAATTTGCTGGGATGGTGATGCTGAAGTTAGGTCTGACAGAGGTGCCAGAATGTGTTTTGGATCTTGATGGATGGGGAGTAGGGGCCAACATTTAACTACAAACAAAAAATAACAGAACTTCTGGATACATCTGGATACTTGATATCATTTATATCTTTTGGATTCTTTGGTCATTTGTTAAAGTTGGTATACATGCCGAACATTGATACACCACAATACCAGGGCGAGAAGATTCTATTGATGGTTCTCTTCAACGCGCAGCAGTGGGGCGTGTTTGGTTGCTGCCTTAAATGGCTGTTGTTACATGTTGTGTCGCTGCCTGTGTATCTGATATCGCACATCTCACTCTTCAGTGTCTGAGGATTGGTCTCGAACCTGGGATCCATAGTCCTACGACTGCTTTTTGCGCCCATTGAGGCCGCTTTCAACATCTTGAAAATATGAGAGCAAAACTGCAAACTCTGCCTCGTTGGCAAAACACGTCCTCCCAAAAATGAGGTCCCAAAGCTCCTGACAGGCTTGTATTTGGTAGACAAACCAATGGGATGCGTTTGCATACCCTGCTACTGTATTCTCCTTTATGATGTCTTTCCTCCCAGCTTTCGTTTTGAATGGCAGAGTTTTTGGAGGAAATTGCCTACAGCGTCTTCTCGGCAGCTTCCCTTGACCCTGAGAAGCCTGATAGCCGGTGGCCCTCTTAGAAAGGAGGGCTAATTATTTTAGGATTTTTTTTTTGATCAGGTTTAGGAATTATTTTTGGATTCCTGCTTCTCTGCTTTTCCTGCTTTTCCTGCTTCTTTGCTTTCCTGCTTTTCCTGCTTTTCCTGCTTTTCCTGCTTTTCCTGCTTCTCTGCTTTTCTGCTTTTCTGCTTCTCCTGCTTCTCGCCTTTTCTGTTTTTTTGCTTTTCTGCTTCTCCTGCTTCTCTGCTTTTCTGCTTTTTTGCTTTTCTGTTTTTCCTGTTTCTTTGCTTCTCTGCTTTTCCTGCTTTTCCTGCTTCTCTGCTTTTCTGCTTTTCCTGCTTCTTTGCCTTTCTGCTGTTTTGCTTTTGTGCGTTTCCTGTTTCTTTGCTTCTCTGCTTTTTTGCTTCTCTGCTTTTTTTTTGCTTTGCCTGCTTTAAATACTTGATTTTCATGTAAGATGCATTTTGCACAGTATTTACATCCCTGAGTATCACATGACCAACCTTCTCTTGAAAACTAGCAACGTAACATGTGAGAAGAGGTGCTTGCATTCTGCTTTGGGGGGAGGCGCTGCGCCCTCCCCCCAATCCCCCCCTCCCGCTTTTTTTAATTTAAACTTAAACCCAAGTTACATTAGTTGGTTTTTGCGAACTAACCTTCTCTGGAAAGCTGACAGGATTACATGTGATAGATAGATAGATAGATAGATAGATAGATAGATAGATAGATAGATAGATAGATAGATAGCTTGGTAGATAGATAGCTAGATAGATAGATAGCCAGCTAGATAGATAGATAGCTAGAGAGATAGATAGCTAGATACCTCGATAGATAGATGGCTAGATAGATAGCTAGATAGATAGATGGCTAGATAGATAGCTAGATAGATAGATAGCTAGCTAGATAGATAAAGAGGTAGCTAGATAGATAGCTAGATAGATAGATCGATAGATAGAAAGCTAGATAGCTAGATAGCTAGATAGATAGTTAGCTAGATAGCTAGATAGGTAGATAGATAGCTAGCAAGATAGCTAGCTAGATAGGTAGATAGCTAGATAGATAGATAGATAGATAGCTTGCTAGATAGATAGCTAGCTTGCTAGATAGATAGCTAGCTCGATAGCTAGATAGCTGGATAGACAGCTGGATGGCTAGATAGATAGATAGCTAGATAGATAGAAAACTAGATAGCTAGATAGCTAGATAGATAGTTAGCTAGATAGCTAGATAGGTAGATAGATAGCTAGCAAGATAGCTAGCTAGATAGGATAGATAGATAGCTAGATAGATAGATAGCTTGCTAGATAGATAGCTTGCTAGATAGATAGCTAGCTAGATAGCTAGATAGCTAGCTAGCTGGATAGATAGCTAGCGCCCTCCCTCAATCCCCCCCACCCGCTTTTTATCTAATCCCAAGCTTCCGCATCTGTAAATATTTGGGTGAACATGCTCACATGTAGAACATCCCATGCAAAATGGAAGGTGAACATGCCAAAATGTGGCAAATACCATACAAAATGGAAGGTGAACATGCCCACATGTAGGAAATCCCATGCAAAATGGAAGGTGAACATGCCAAAATGTGGCAAATACCATACAAAATGGAAGGTGAACATGCCCACATGTAGTAAATCCCATGCAAAATGGAAGGTGAACATGCCCAAATGTGGCAAATACCATGCAAAATGACAAATTCAAGTTCCAAACCGTTGCAAACACTAGGCAAATGGTACCAGCCAAGAAATCCAAAAAAAATTCCCAAACCTGTTCAAAAAAAAATTCCTAAAACTATTTCACACCCTCTTAGAAATGGCAACTGGTGGCAACCGGTGGCCAATGGGTTGCCATGGCTGGGTGATAGTGCTGCGGTCACTCTGCACCTGAGGAAAGCGCAAGTGTCCCTGCTCAGAGCGCTTCTGCTGCTTCAAGGAGCTCTGCAATGCACCAACAAATGGTCACAAGATGCTGCCGCCAAGTTTCATCATTTCGCAATGGTCAGCTGGACCACAGGAGGAGTTGGTTGGCTCGGCCTTTGCTTCGGGTCCACGACTCAGCGCAGGAGGTGGCCCCCATCTTTGCCCATTGCCGTTATGATAGGCCCAGCTTTGCGGAGACCGCAGTTCGTCAGAGACTCGACCGCGGTGGATGTCGTGGGCAGTGATCAAAGAGCGGTCCAAGAACAGAAATATCGTGGTGCTATTGCAGGCCACTGATCTTGCCATATAGAGACGTTGAATCTCACCATGTGGCAGGCATTTTGTATGGTCAAGAGTGGGCCGCCTCCGAGGCGAGTTGCACTGATGCATTTGATATTCACGTCGCTTCGCGACGGCAACCGCCCGCACCGCATCGTTGGGAACGGTCCACACTGTTAATGATGTCAGCCATTGTTCTCTTCTACTGCCATTGTTCTCTTCTATTGCCGTCGCTCCGCGACAAGAACCCCTGTGCGGCCGCCACGGTTTGAACGATGTTGTTCTCACACCTTCGCGACCGCTCGTAACTGCCAATGATGTCGGCCATTGAGACCAAAAACATCCGAAAGTACTGATTGTCGGAAAAAAAACGCGAAGAATTTGATAGCCATGTATAGCGGACCAACGCAGTTCAAAAAATAACGAAAAACATGAAAAAACGGCGAAATTGCTGTTATTTACAGTGTTTTTGCGCGGTGAGAAGCAGAAACCACTGCAAATACCATGGTTTTTGAGGGTCAGGTGGCCAAAAACACTGTAATTTACAGTGTTTTTTTAACCAACGTCAAAAAACACTGGTATTTACGATGTTTTCATTCACACCGTAACATAAAACAGCGTAATTTACGAGGTTTTTGGAAGTTTTGAAGCTAGCCGTCAAGCATGCAGAAAACAGAAAAACACTGTAAAAACCAGTGTTTCTGCTATCACAAAACGACGAAAATCAGTCCGAAAACGGGTCCAAAAACTCAAAAATCCGCCTCCGGGCCAGGCCACCTGCGGAACCGCAAAAAAAGATGTTGCAAACCAAAAAATTGAGGTCAAAAAGTTGAAAAACACGGTTTTTTTTTCACTTTTCGCTTGCCGATTTTGGACGGGCGCGTTCACGAACAGGTGTCTTCCGTACTGTTTTTTACAGTGTTTTTTGAAGGCGAGCGTCACGACCTATCAAAAACAGGAGGTTTTGGCCGAAAAATGCCCCCCCCCCCCAGGTAAACCTGTAACCTTTTACGAGTGCCATCCGGACGATCACGCCCCAGCACCTTCGGTGCGGGCGGATTTCCTTGATGTAGCAAGGACAAAGTGTGCCAGGCACCGGCAGTGTTAGCTGCGTACTGCGCCAAGTGCTGAGCTACCTAGTGGTGACCATAAAACTGTTGCAAACTGAAGCATAAATCCTATATTTATTGCCGAAGGGGGATTTGTTGCAAATGGATGGTGGAGTTTTCTTCAGCGACAGAACAAGGCATTTCTCTTCTTTGCCGCCCTCAACGGCATCTTTGAAGCTTTCATGTACTCACAGTGCTCTCCTGCATGGGTGAGACAATGCAACTTTTGGCAGGCGCATTGTGTGACACTGGCAGTGTGAATGGACTGTTGGTTTCACTCCAAGTTGGACCAAAGTCCGGCCTCAGGTGGGCATCTCCTTGGTTCTCCTGCTGGTCTCCTGGGCCCTAAGCTTAAGATGGATCATGCGCTGATCCAGCACGATCCATGGTCTGATGATGTCTGATGGGTGGCCCAAACTGGAGGATACTCAGAAACACTGGGCAAACTTTCTTGGTTCTTGAGATTCTTGAGATGTTCGGATGATGTTTTGATGGTCAGATGAGTCAGATGGTCCATTTTCGGAAGGACATCAATTGACGGAAGTTCCCCGTTGTCCGCTGAGGTCGGCCAAAGTGCTGGCCCCATAGCCTTGGTGCTGGCGAACAGTTTGGCGATGCTGCTGCGTGCAGCCCTAGGCAGGATGCACCGCGGAAAAACAAGGGGAAAACAAGTTGAAAAAGGAGGTTCCTTCCGGTTCCTTCCAAGACTTTGAACTGAATTGGTGCCGTGACAACAGGATGCATCTTCGCCTACCGTCATTTGCAGCCTTCGTGGACGGAGTCATCCTGACATATCCAGTGCATCTTTACATGACATACATTGCGAGACAAGCAGAGCAATCCAGCTGGAACAGTTTTGCATTTTCTGCATAAAGGATGTCCCATATTGCTAGTGCCAGTGATACGAACATTTTGAACATGATGGAGAGCAAGTTATTCACCGATATGATATTCCGTGGCAGGCTTCGTTTGGGGCCCGTGGGTCAGCTGTTCTGTCTTCTGGCCCTGGGGAGCCGGGTGACGGCCATGTTTGGCTCCCAGAGATTTGTCTGAGACACTGTCAGCCAGCGGCCTTTAGCTTGGAAACATACCCACTATTCACAGAGCCACGCAATTGTCATAACTTCGTGTTGGGCATTCCAGTCGCAAAGTCGCTATTGAACGTGTTTGGATGTAGCCCAATCATGGCAATGGAAATTCTCCATTTCGTTGGGGAATTCGCCAGCCTGCCATGGGTAAGGCTGGTTTCTCCCGTCATGAGTCCTCGGCAGATAGTTCTGGCAGTCTCTTCAGCTGTCATAGCTATTGCAACAGCTGGGCTGTTGTGCAAAGGCGTACTCGCCTCAGAACAGACTCATTCTGTCAGCTGTTTGAGGGTGCAGACTGGTTTCTATTTCTATTCTTCTTGTAATTATAATGATATATTATATATTATATACTATATATTGATTTGTTTTTCTGTCTTGTTGGATTTCAAATTGGGTACCAGGAGCTGGCTGCAACTCTTCGAGCAGTAAGAAGAGGCAAACAGACATGAGAATGTGCTGAAAAAGGAGCGTCTGACGTTGTGCTTGGTGTGAGAAGTTCTGCATTCTCCCATGCGATGCAAGATGTGATGATTGAGTTGTGTTGCTGTCAGCCACCAAGTTTGAGATGATAGTGGCAAACGGTTCAGAGTGATCAGTGTTAGAAACAGAACAAACATCTAGGTCCAATTCAGCCGCCAATGAAATGACAGTAGGTCAGTAACTTTGTGTTTCATGACGAAAGGGTTGCCATGGCCATGGTCTCGTTGGATCGATGCCACAGGAGGGGTGAAGCCATGTACATGGCCTGTGTTTTTTCCCGAGCAGTGATCGTCAGGATCGGCTTTCGGATATTTTTTTTTGTCGCATTTTCCCAGTGCAGGCCATCGATGAGCTTGATGCAGCTGTGGGGCCGACGGACAGGTTGGTGCTATTTCCTGCACCAGGTTGAGGTTGGGTTCATGGTTTAAAAGCCCAGGCCAGGCGATTCCAGTACAGAGCCCTTGTCTCAGAATCGAAATTTTAATGTTTTTTCAAAAACAATTTGGACCGGAAAAATTGGTGTTTTTTTGGTCAATTTCGAGTCAATTTCTAGGGCTGTTTGAACAGTTTGGAGACATTGAGGCCTTGTGCAGTGTGCGGCGGACCCACTGTCTTATGTTGTTCTGGCTGCGAGGCGACCCGATCAATGTTGAATTGGTTGTTGGATCTGAAGAGAGTGTATTTGACATATTTGGATATTCAATCTCTGGATTTTTCCTGTCACAGGACATCTTCTACTGTTCGGTAAATTGCCAGCAGAAGGCAGGGCCAGTCCCATTGGTTTGGAGATGTTTGGACGAAGACGTGCAGCTGAGGACTGGGCAAGGCATCGCCTCACATGCAACAAGAAGTCCACCCAGGTGGCTCAGCAAGTGGAGCACCCAGAGATCCAACTTGAAGTGTTTGGGTTCCAAGCGATGGATCCCGGGATCCCCAAACCATTGGGTTTCCACATGTTTCCACCTAAACCCTGGGTTTCCCCTCATAGAAATGATGGGTTGTGGATGGGTCCTTGGGGGTCCCAAGGTCTCAAAGGCGCTAGCTCCGGTGATCCCTGCCGAACCGCAGGCACTGATGAACTGTGATGAAGCATCAAAATATTGGGGTACCCTACTTTCAGAGAAACCCAGATGTCAGGAATTACCGCTATACAAGCAAGAGATTGCTCTGGCAGGCAGGATGTTTGCAATTAATTCGCTTTTCTTCCCTTGTCTTCGTCAAGCTGTGAGGTAAAGAGCATGCTGTAAGAGGTGCAGAGTTTTTCTGGCATGTTTGATTTCTGGATATATGAAGCTCGCTCAAGAAGCATCTCAGGCAAAAAATTGCGCAGCAGCGCGTACCTTTAGCAGCACAAGCATTTTTCCAACCATCTTATATACTAAAGAAACGTTTACAGTAGATGATGTAGGTGAAAGTAGGTGAAAGAGGGTGAAAGGACCATCCGAAGATATCCCAAGACTTCTCCAGTTGATTCAGTCGTCTCGCCAGGGAGAAGCGGGAACGGCTGCGAGGAGCAGCAGTGGCTGCCTCCAGGGATAGACGCTACATGGTCTGGGCCCTAGGCCAAGCTGTTGAACAATATTGCCACTGACAACAATGGGAATAACTGGGTGATAATTGTAGGGCTTCGCACACCGGCGATGCCCCAAGGGTTGTTGGTGTTGCCCAGAATGTCGCTCGCTTGCTCTTCTGTTGTTGTTGTTGTTGCTGTGGTGGTGGTGGTTGTTGTGGTTGTTGTCGTTGGCGTCGATCAACAACACTACACTAAACGTCACCACGCAGCTCGCACGCCTACCCACACCACCTGTGCCTGCCTGCAAGTGACCATGTGGAACCTGCCAGATGTGGAATTTGTTTGTTGTGTGGGTACAGAAGCCCCAAGGGTTGTATCCACACTTAAATGAAATGAAAGTGTGAAAGTGGTGCGGATGAGCAAGTTCTGTGGCAATATAGAATTAGCGAGAAGGAGCTGTGACACAGCAGTCAACCTTACGGACTTCGATTGTGATCAGTGATGACAGGACGGAGCTTGAGCTGGCAGGGCAGTTGCCGGGTGTTTGCGCACATTTTCAGGACCTGGCCGGAGCCAAGCCGAATTTGTCTTGTCACCTGAAGGGTGTTATGGCTGAGTGCGAGCCAATCACTTTTTCTTCCTCCGGTTGGGCCATTCCGGCGCCACAAGGGCCTACGTTAGGTTCGTATTGGGCCAAATGTTTCGCCCCGAAACCTCTTTGAATTTTCGGGGCGAAATTTTGGGCGATGTGGGGGCGATGTCGGGTCGATCTTGGGTCATTTGGAGGTTATGTTGGGCTTGTGTTGGGCCATTTGGAGGGTATGATGGGGTTATGTTGGGCCGCTTGGGCGCCGCAAGGGGCCATGTTAGGTTCGTATTGGGCCAAAGGTTTCGCACGTTCCACCCGCGCTGGCTTTCGTTCCCTCCCTCTCAGGAGGTTGTTGTTGTTGTTGTTGTTGTTGTGGTTGTTGTTGTTGTTGTTGTGGTTGTTGTGGTTGTTGTGGTTGTTGTGGTTGTTGTGGTTGTTGTGGTTGTTGTGGCTGTTGTTGTTGTTGTTGTTGTTGTTGTTGTTGTTGGTGTTGTTGTTGTTGTTGTTGTTCTCGTTGTTGTTTTTGTTTTTGTTGCCATTGGCACACACACACAGAAACGTGTAGCTTTTGACGCGCTCCCCCTTCGTATATAATCATCACTGGTTGATAATGGTTTTTGTTATTGGCACGCTCATTATTGTCATTGCTGGGTAACGGTAAGGCACCCTGTTGTGGTGAACCCAATAATGGCAGTAATGAACCATACCTCCTTTACCTCAATGTTGACAATTTGGAAGTATTCAAAACTCTCCATCCGTAAGGGATTGACTCCCTAGTGGGTTTACTACATTTGATACCCTCTGATGATGTTAAGGACAGATGTTGACTGGTGAGATATGATTCCACAAAGTCACTTCAGCGATGTTGTGTTGCCGCGATGAAACTTCAGGATGTGCTTGACTCGGCCATGCAAGCTTACCAGGTGACAAGAGAGTTGGCAGTTCACATGTCGACTTTGGGGCTGAACCATTTGTTTATGGATGTTATATAATGTTCCTTTTTCCCCTCCGTTTTTCAGTGTGCAAAATCTCCTGCAGCTTGCAGATGGGCTCCGCCGAAACTCGTCGACGCACTGCTGGAGAGCCAGATGTCGATCTGAATCAGCTGATTGAGGTGAATCGATCGGTGAATCTCAGTGGGTACCCATGGGGATAGCAGGCTATCCCTGTTTGTGTGTGGCCATTTTGATGTGGACAATGATGCTGAAAAAACATTGGATTTGGGGTATACGGCATACGGCTACCCCACTATAGCATATTGGACAAACCTAGCGATAAGGAAGGATGAATACATTGGTAAGTCAAGGATGGTGATGAAATGCGATGAATATCCATAAGCCACCAGCTGTTTGAATTCCAGGGTTTTGATCCATACAGCATGGATGATCTTGGCACCTCGCAGTTGCTACTGCTGGCACGTGCTACCCATGTTGCTGGTGAGCATGCATCAGGCGAGGTCCTGAGGCATATTTGCTGTGTGCTTCGTGATTTGTGTATTATTGACTGGATGGATATACCAAAATTTAGTAATCAAATCATATGGATATTTGATGATATTTCAATAGGCAAGAAACTATACAACCTGAGAATGGAACATATATCCTTGGTGGCTGCTATAAGCAAGATGAAGGTTTGAAGTACTTGGACCATTTGGCGAAGATGGTGGACGGTTTGACTGGTGCTGATGGCCAGAGTCTCAGGTGGCGCAATTGGTGATGGTGGAATCTGACAGTTCAGAGAAGTGTTTCATCTATTTCGGGATAGCGAAGTAACCAACCAAAAAAGAGGAAAACCCACACTTTGTAGAATTGCTGTGTGAAGACTGGTGAAACCCTGGTTGCATCTTGAATGACAAGAAGATCCTGAAATAAGTTCAGTTGTGCCCCAAGGTAACCTGCCAGTTTTCCATCCTTGTTCCGCTGCGACGTTGCTGCTTTGCACAGCAGAGCTGTGCACACTCTTTGGTCAGCAGGACACCTTTCAGAGTTTAAAGTGCCGTGGGATCAGAGACACACTTGGACAATGAGCGCCCCAGCTGGTACGTGGTTAAAAACCCAGTTCTAAGGGGGATCACCCCCAATTATTTGTGGCTTATAAATATTTAACATTAACCACTTACTATCCTGGATGCACATCCAATGGCACCCCAAAACAAGGAGCGTGCCACTGATTACAGCAGAGCCTACATGGCCATGGCAAGACTTGCGCATGGGGAGGCCGGGCTTCACATCGTTTTCTCCCGAATCTTGGTGTTGCCTTTGGAAAAACTTGGCAATCAAGGCGAGCTAGGTAGGACTACCTGCTTTCTATCGTTCTATCTGTTTGTTGTTTGGACAAATTTCGGATCTTCAGCTTCGCAGCAACTGCAGGGATCTCCTGCGGTGGGTGATGCCTACGGATTTCATGCGGCCCTGCTGGTACGTTGGATTCTCAGGCAACCGGCCTGTTGGATTCGTGATGCTCCGCTTGTGCCAGGCCGGGGATGCTTGGAGGAGGCCACGCGGATTTTACGGTGGTGAGTGTGGCACCATTGGACCATTATGGACCATTATGGACCATTGGACCTTTGAGAAATGTTTACAGATGCTCTGTGTATCCCTTTGGTCTTTGAAAGCCTTTGGAGTGTTTACAGATGCTCCAGGCATTGCATCACGCAATGATGATGCCCAAGCCTGGGTTTTTGCAGCATTTTCTGCCCTTCAAAAAAGGGTTGCCCTTGTCTGCTTCAAGTCTCATTGGGGGTGGTGGCCATCCCCCCCGTTTTCAACGACAAGTCAAACCTTTACTGAATGCAGTCTTGATGCTGTCTTCTGCTCCTTGGTCTCAGACTACTTTGATCCTTCTCAGCCACGATATCTGAGGCTTCAGGTGAGGCAAAGATGTGGTGATGACAAGTCCATCGCAGATGCTCATTGGAACATTGGCGACCGGCACTCAGTTGAGGGGTCTCTTGAAATGCCAACAGATGCAAGTCTGTTGCATGTTTGAATTTGTTTGAAGAAATGAAGATGGCATTGAAGATGAATTCTGGACCGGCAGATTAATGAGCATGGCAATCTGTTCAAGAACTTTGGTGGAATTCCGAAGTTCCCATGCATTGCCCACGAAAGTTAACACAAGTTCGCAATTGTGGTCAGAAAGCTTTGGAGACCGGCCTAGACAATACACCAGGAAATTCCAGGATGATGATGTTGACGATGATGATGTTGATGTTGTTGTTGTTGTTGATGATGATGATGATGATGATGATGATGATAATGATGTTGATGTTGTTGTTGTTGATGATGATGATGATGTTGATGATGATGATGATGATGTTGTTGTTGTTGTTGTTGATGATGATGATGATGATGATGATGATGTATTTATTTACTGTATTCTTCAAATGGTTAATTTTTTTTAGAAATGCCTGGCCGCTGTCCACCAGATGATGTCACCTCAAAACGAGGCCGTGCTTCGAGAACTTCACCAGTACAAAGCTGCCATTGAAAGTTTGGAGGCCGCCAAATCGCTTGTGGCTTTATCCCCGAAATGGAAGGCTTGTTTTAATACGTATGTGATATGATATATATATATATAATAATTATATATATACACATACATATACATATCCTCAATATATGGCATTTGTAGAATGGGAAACATGATGACAATCTGTTGGAATTCGGGGGTCTCGCATTTTCAGAGAAATTCAGCATGGCTGATGGCTCTTCAGTATTCACCGGAAGGCTGCCAGAGAGATCTACTCAAGGTGTTCTGGAGAGGACAGACATCGCAAGAAATTCAATCAGTTGCCATCGCATCCATTGATGGCAAAGTGCCAACCAATCAGAATCTCACCAATCACAGTAATCCAAGTGATCAATCCTGTGAGACAGGGCCTGGACAGCTCCCAGGCTGACATTGCGACGGCATCGGTGACCCAAATGTCGAAAATATGGGCCACCTATATCCACTGGTGAATCATTTTGCCATTATAAATAGCAATTTTTCGGAGGTATACGGTATAGTTCTCAATCGGGCCATATACTCCAATGTATGGCCATTTCAACGAAGCAAATTATGATAGACGCCTGGATTTTTGAGTGGAGGATACATCCATTTGGTGCCACAGTTGGAGATTTATAATCAACCAGACCCATATATTCCAGTTTATGGCCATTTCAATGAAGCAAATTATGATAGACGCCTGGACTTTCGAGTGTAGAGATTCTTTGCAGTGAAGGTACTTCAATTGCTCGGTGAACACCAACGAGCTGTCTGAGTCTTGGGTCAGGCCGAGGTTTAAGGAAATTAAGAGATTCTTAGGAGCATTAAGAGATATTAGAGATTATTCAGAGACTATCATGAAATCTGCACGTGCAGCTTCCAATTGAATTCGATGGTGACGTTTCATTTGGGCCAACAAACCTGGGGTGCAAAGCTGGAGGTTGAAATTCTTCGGCAAGCAGTGCGAGCCAGACAACGCACCTTTGGCTTTGCCAATCTCGAGGTCTGAGACGACCGCTAACAACTTGAGCATCTCTACACCCAAATTCCAGGGAATCCACTGAATTCCGGAGCCCTAGTTGGTGCGTCCAAAAAAAAGGTGACCATTTTGGTGGAGCATGGTAGATCATGGATGTAAACCTTGGTACATCGGGTGGGGATGCCCTGCCCAGACGAAGCGGGCAGCTGAACTGCTTGCAGATGCAGAGGCCAAGTTGCATCATGAGGCGGAAGCTGGACCTTGGCGGATGCCAATTTTGACTTCAACAGAACTTACCGGACCCTTCTGAAAATTGGCATGGAAACACCAAGAAAAGTTGTTTCGAAGATTATTTTCTTATCAAAAAATGTAATACCCCGGCTTCCACAGTAGTTTTCCGGGGTGTAGGTCTGGATGGTGATTGCTGCTTTTGTCTAAACCCTGGGGTTTCATGACCGTCAACTCAGTCTCAAGTGCGAAAGCACCAAGTCAAGTATTGAAATTCAAGAATATATTTTGCAAGTATGTTAACACAATGTTATGGTAGAGAATACAAATGAAAACAATCAGAACTCCAAGACGGTCAAGCGGCGTTGACAGCAAAAGCCAGCATTTGCCACAGAATTGAAGGACCTTTCACTCATTTGCATTGCATTCTGATAATCCCACTCTTGGAACTAGTTGTTTCACCGTGTGTATTTATTCCCATCCAAGCCTTGACATTTTTCGACGCACTTCACATAATCCTTTCTTTATTTGCGTTTTCGTCACCACATATCCCATCCACAATGGAGAGCGATGCCATCGAGTGGTTTGATCATCAGCGCAGAGCCCCTTGGCCTCAAAGAAAGGTCCCAGGGAAGAATCCCAGCATGTGAGCAAAGATATGGATGTGGGTCAAAATGGAAGACCTAGGGGACCACAGATGTGAATGTCTAGTTTAGTATTCACCATCCAATTATTGGGGTACCTAATTTTGACCCATACCCATATGTTTGAGTCTATCTAAGATTGTTTGAGCTTCTCATTTCCCATGTGAAGGGGACCATGGTCAGTCAAGGAGCACGGGACAGTGGTCGTAGACTCTAGACTCTAGACATTTGGAAAGCATGTCTTGGTGGGATTTAATCACGAACCCTGGTGGACTTCAACCGGTCTGATTTGACTGGGGGCCAGCTATTTGTTTGAGCCAAAATCGGAAAAATCAGTTGCTCGCAGGCCAAGCGAAGAGCTGGTGCGTCTTTCCGTCAAAGGCCGCTCGCCCCTGTTTGTACAGCCGGATACATGGCACCCTGTACCGGACTGTAGAATTTGATCGTTGGCGCAAGTTGCAACTTGCATGTGCGTCATATGGGTCAGACAAGAAAGTCCTGTGATCTGAATCATCCTCAAGTATCGACAGCAGGAGTACCCTCTGGTGAACTAACATAGCAATTGAAAATCACCATTTTTAATGGGAAAATCCACTATAAATGGCCATTTTCAATAGCTATGTTAGTTCACCCACGATCCCGCAGTCCCAGGCGGACGTCGAGACCGCCCAGGCTCTTTTCTCGGGCTGGGCACGGCACAAGCTCCATTTTGAAGACAAGGTAAACTTCTCGCAGCCCTTCTGGGACCCATAGATGCCATATGCCATAGATTTTATTTGAAGAATTTCAGTAACTTTCAGCTATTGACTATTGATCGCCATTAGCAGGCAGCTGACCTGTTTTGTCAGGTGCTGTGCCAGACTGGCTCTACAAGGCGGATGATATGATGAACTTGTGCAATCTCAACAGCAAAGATGCGTGGCTTTGAATTCACTGGGAAACAAAAAAAACATCGTTGTTTACAGTACGTAAGTCATTCCATTTTGGGGGTGCCAATGTTGACCAATGTCCGCGTCATTGCAGAAACCAATGCAAAACCGTTGTCTCATTGTTCTTCGCAGGCTCTGGGCTTTGGGAGCTTCGTTTGTGCGTGGCGCCCTTGGTGGTTGACAGCTCCGCAGGGTAGCACTTTACTGGGACCATCGGACAATGCATAAAAGTCCAAACCTTCCAAAACGGTCCATACAAAATGCATCTGAGGACCCGAACTCCAGATGGAGTCATCTCAGTCTTCATCGGTGAATCTTTCTTGAACAAGGTGGGCTGGGGACAAAGCCAGATCTACCACCATTCCTCTTTGCAGCAGGTGGAGCTTCCGGCAACTGTGGAGATGGAGCGGCAATGGTCGTCGTTGCGAATCAGCAAGGCTTGGGTCGACGGTCATTGTCTGCAAGAGCAACCAAGCAATACCAAGTGCCTGGAATCGCCTGGAAGGCTGACACCTTGCATGCTGGCTTCAAGACAGTGTGGGAAGCGTTGGAGGCCATTTCTTGGATCGTTTTGGACTATGGTGATTATGGCATGCGCTCATGAAGCAGAATCACCTTTCACACGACAAAAACATAGCATACCAAAACGGATGCGAGAGAAGACATTGGATCTTCATGGAACTGAACACATCCAAAAGAGATCTTCATGGTCGCTGTCCAGGCAGCCAAGATTGATGTGCAGCTGGTCATCTCCCAAAGTTGGAGTGTCCCATGTGGCAGGGTTTGTCCAGCAACGGGGATATGCCCACAAATCAAAGTGGTCACTTGGAGCCAGGGGAAATGATGATCAGATGATCAACCTTTAAATTACTGGGTACCCATTTCTGGACAAACCCCTGTGTTTTTTTCCCCACGAAAGTGGTAAGCTGCTAAGACTTGCTGAGGTATCTTCACCCAGCTGCGAATGGTTCCTGCTGCCCTCCAAGCCCCAGCCCAAGTTCACTGAGGAGCAGCAACTCGTGGAGAAACGCTGCAGCTGGCAGCCATGAGGGTTGGTTCACACACGGGGGATTTGTAACATGTTATGGCAACTTGTCTGGGGAAATTCGGAAATGATGATAAACCCGTGGATTTCGGATATCTTCCATCTTCAGAGAAACCCATACATCCCAGCAATATTGAGTTGTTTGATGCACTGCATGAGGCAGCTAGCAATGGCAGTGTCTGGGTTGCTAGCTGCAGGGCATGCCATTTGCGAAGTCCTTAGCAGACTATTTTTATGTGAACTTTGTATTGTAGTGCGCAGAGGATGCCTTTCATTTATGCTCTCTTCTGATTGCACATGGCAATGCGTAATCTAAGTTACATAGTTTTGGTTCCCAGCGAACAGTTCGCACAACGAAGTGTACCATCAGGCTCTGCAGGTGCACGGCACCTCTCCTTTTACGCTTGGACGGACATGACATGACCATCCATGATTGCGTAGATTTCATCCTCAGCAGGGACGTGAGCTGATAAGGTCCTGCCGCGAGACTTTGTGGACCTTTGCCAGCCAAATTGGGAAGGCATGAGAAGTGCCGGAGGCCACCTGAGCAGACTGTTGCAGATGAGACAGAAGGGTCCAGATGTTCTAGAGATTTCTAGAGTTTCAGGTTTGCAGGTGCCTGGAAGCTGACTGCCGGGGAGGCTTGGCGAAGTTGAAAGATTTGAAAGCCCTTTGGCCCTTTGCAATCTTTTTGAGACTTCCAAGACTGTCCAAAAGCGAAGGAGCACATGGACTGATTTCAGAATTTGCACCGAAGGAATCAGAGGTGTGCGAAAGCTCGTGCTGAGTTCTCAGTGCCTTGATTTCTTTTGCCATGCCCCCAAGTCCTTGTGGATTTTAGAATATTTTAGATGCGGTGTTGAATGGCCCATTGCGGATGAGGCTTTCGATTGCAAGGTGCTTGTGGAGTCTATGTCGACCTTCGGCCGGCGAGTGGCTTGAAGGAGGCGAAGTGCCACTCCATTCCTGTGGTGTTTGGGTCTGAAAAGAGGGTAATGCGACAAAACATGACAAAACTCAAGTATACCTCCTAATAGTAAACCCTCGCCAATTTTACCATCAATGGGTGGTATAAACAATCAAACTATGGCTAATTTATTATTGCTTTACCAGCATTAATGATGATTCATTGGAATTGGGGGTCACCCTATTTTCGCACGAACCAAATCCGCTTTGATCATCTCTGCAGGAGGCAAGTTGCGCAGGCTTTCTGCACCTCGATGAAAGCAGCAGGTGGACCGACTGCAGCTCTCTCGGTGTGACTTCTGTGACTGAAGTTTCCCTCAACTCACCATTTTGCCACTTATACCGGACTATACCTTATTACTGCTCATAAATTATAACCTATCCAACCTATCCGTAGAAGTCGTAGATTATTTTGGAAACGGCTGTCTCCAGAACGCATCCCTGGATCGTTGTGCTTAAGTTGATTTCAGTGGACTTCGTGAATTTCAACAAGTTCTGAAGTAGATCATGATAGAACATGTAACGATAAATTCAATAATTCCATGCCTCTTTTGAAACTACTTCAGTTTCAGTTCTGAATTTCACAGTCGCTTGGAGGCACCGCTTGGTGGGCTTTCAACCACCCACCGGTGAGGCGGCCGCCCTGTTGAAAAGGAAGAACTTAGTCAGTTGAGTGCGTAGACAATTCCACTCATGCACTTTAATTATCTTTAATTTAAGTATTTTATAAGATTTCTGTCTTGCCAATGTTCAACAAATTTAGTTTAAGACGTTAGGGTAACTGAGGTTTACAAAGCCACTTTTTACTGGAGACATGACCCGCACATGGTCACTTGTGGTCACTGCGAGGCCTCAACAGTTCAGCTCTCATACGAAGGAGATGACCTCCACGAGGTGCCAGCTTCCGCTGCGTTGCTTTTTGGGGCGCTCGTTTTTTCGTTTTTTCCTCCCATCCTCCTAGGACGTGCCGCGGTTCGGGCGACGGACTTGGTGTGCCCCCCATGGTTGTGGTTGGCTTGGTGGAAGCCATGGAAGCCATGGAAGCCATGGAAGCCATGGAAGCCATGGAAGCCATGCACTTGCAGTTGGCCAGGAGACGGTTGCCCGACTCGGGGACACGGGTTTACACCTCATGGGATGTTGTGCAAAGGCTCTTGCTCTACCAAGTGCACCAAAACAGGACAAAACATGCGCTATGACAGCTATGAGCTAGATATAGCATGATATAGCTAGATATAGCTAGATATAGCTAGATAAGATACTTGCGGGCTCTTTTGGGACCTTTTCCGACCCTGTGGCCGAGGCGGTGGTCTTGGAACTCATTGGTGAACCAAATCGAAGTCTTTGCCGACAAGGGTGGGAGCTTCAATGTGATAGCAGAAGCTTTGCAAACTACACCATGCCTTTCATCCATTTTCATCCTATAGGTATTGGCTCATTGCTGGGGACCGCTTCGCTCGAATCATTGGTCTCAGCAATGCAGGCCGAGCAATTCATGTTTTTTTTCTTCCCCTGGAACATATGACTGCCGCCAAGTGAACTGCAGGCATCATCGACAGATATTGTTGTTCCTCCTTGGGCGGCTCGTCGAAAGCATGAAAGCTGATTTTACTTCTCTGTTGGTATGGTACGAAAATGTACGAAATCATTCATCCACAGAGCAAAGTACCCATCACGTTGAGCTCACTGCATGTTCCTGAGGCCAACTGGAGAAGATGTTTGGATCAGAGTGTATTGCACCGGAACTCGATAGCCACTACGAGGCTTGCTGTACAGTTGTTGTCGCTGTGATGGTCGCAAGGCTATAAGTCAAACATGGGGATGGGGCAATACCTACCATATTTTTGGGATGAACATCCACATCCAGAGGTCCACAACTACTGTACCTGTTATTTTGATTTGAGCGTGGCACCAGGATTTTGATAAGCATCCCAGACACTGGGCTTGGTCAGGTCGTCAGTGGAATTCTGGTAACGCCTGGCCATTTCCTAGTTGAACATGAGGCCTGGTTGGATCTGCTTGTAGCTGCTGTAGTATCACTGAAGTCTTCTCAGCGAATGCTCTGAAGGTGCCGCGTGGGCAAGCAGAAGCTGGTAGGACTTTCCTGGATGTGGAAAGTGGCATTGGAGGTGGGAATTGGCTTCAATTCGGGACTGCACTGCAGGGTTTTGCAGGTTGGCATCAAATTCAACCTATGAGATTCTATGAGACAGTTGAGTTTATCGTTTCAATGCGAACTCTGTTGGTTCTTCAAATCTGTTTGAGCAAGATTTGGTAGCTGGATGATCTAGATGGTCGCCCACACAAACACCTTCTTTGGTAGTTCTTTGATTGCTGAGATGACATTATTGTGCTATGCAGTTATGCATGGTGATTATCAAAAAGTATTGCGTGGCATGCGTGGACCTGTTCTTGACGGAGTAAATTCCGGGTCAGAATCTATCGAGTCGAATCACTGTCACAGAGCAGCGTCCGGAATCAACATCCAAAGGTTAAAATGTGTCGAAGACCATCCTCGATCAAGATCGTGGATAAATGGTCAGGATGGTCGGGATGGTCGGGATGGGTCTCTTTTACCGTCTCTTTCGGGTTTCTTTAGGGACGGTCGGGATGGTGATGGATGTGATGGTCGGGACGGTCCGCAAGGTTGCCATCTATACCGTCCCGATCATCCGATCCATGCAGATTCCAGCCGATCCAAACCGACCCATCTTCCGATATCTTCCGATCCAACCCGCACCCTTCTTGACAGCGAGAATGCTCAGCGAAACCATGGCAGCACTGTGCGAAAAATGTGCGAGACGACACTTTTATATTCGTATGGCATTTCACTCATTCATGTTTCCACAAGGGCATAGTGGCATAGTGAGGTGTTGATATGCGAAGATTGCAAAGTGCTGCACCTTCTGTTGAGGCAAAATCGAGCTTCCTTCAAAGATTGGTGGAGAGGCCATGGAAACCAGTTGTCACCGGTGATGCGGGCTTGTCCAAAAGAGGGCCCCCACAAACCCAGTTGTTTATCATCATTTTGCCATTACCATTGCCATGTACTGGGGGGATTTCTTCTATTTCTGGATAATCCATGATAATCCCATATACCGGCTATACCCGACGATATCTAACAATCCATATATGTCCTATGTCCATATTGTGTCCCCCTTGGATGTCCATAGAATGGTTGCTCACCCCGAAGGTGCTCCACCATGGTCCGAAGGGCATCCAGCGATGGCGGGTACTGGAGTTCGGCACTCATGGGATGGACATTCCAGGTATCCGTGGATGGTTTGGTGCAGTTGAAACTATTGGAATCATCCTGTTTCGATGTCTTAGAAGATTTAGAACCCCCCCTTTGTTTTCTCAAAACCCAAAGGATATCCAGAAATTTCCCATGGAAAGTCCCAAGGGGATCGAATGATTCTTGGAACCGGATCTTGGCCTGGGATGATGGCGACAGGTGGGGCTTTGATCCCTTTACCCCAGGATCAGCAGCGATTTCTGAGGCACGGTCGTGGGAGATTGGTCCAAAAAAATGGTGCCCCATGGAATTTCTCATGGTTTATCAGAATATATCAGAATCATCAAAATCGAAATGACCATAAATTCAGTATACCATGGTATAACATGGCATAACATGGTATAACCGTATAACCAATTTCTGGATAAATCCATATTGGGTCAGCGACAGTGCAGCAGGTGTGATGATTTTGATGTTTGGACCTGCGTGAGATAATATCACCGGGATATCCAGGAGCAATTGCCTCCGGAACAACCTCTTCAGAAGGTGCTCCATTTTGATCACTGAGCTCTTGTGAATCAGAACTCATCATTTTACCTACAACCTAGTCGACCTAGTCAATTTCACTTGAATTTCACTTGAATTTCGCTTCGTTTCCATGTCCTTCTGCAAACCTTGGCAGTTGCACCACAGAGACATCTTGACATTTGGGGACGCGCGACACCCTCATGACAGGTGGCTGAAAGCAAAAAGAACTCTGCTCTCGACCCAGTCACGAAATGGGGTTTCAGGTGAGGAGGCTATGGCCAGGAGTTGTTCATTCCAGCTGAGGAGCCTACAAAGCTTGCAGAGAAGACCGTCCGAAAGAAGAGGAAAAAGGAGGTTGGAGATTTCAATGCTGCCAGGGTGATCAGTGTGGCCTCTGGTAATTTAACATAACTATGGAAAATCACCATTTTTAATGGGAAAATCCACTATAAATGGTCATGTTCAATAGCTATGTTAAATTACCAGAGGGTAGCCTCAACTGGAAGTGTTGCTTTCTGCAGTCGATCTCCTTGACTTGGCTGGGACTTTGCCAGGCAGAAGCTGCGGCAACTGTGAGGTGTGGACCGGGTGAAGCCTGGCTCTGATGGTGCATTGTTGTGGCACTGCCTAGGTCCCTGCCAAGCAAGAGGACTGCAAAAATTATGGTTTAATTGAAATGACTTGAAGAATTGTGGTGAAGGAATGGAAACTCTATTTCCGTTTGCAACCAAAAGCATAGTGATAGTGCGAAGCTCGACTGTGAGGAGGAACGGAGAGAAGCTGGTGCAAGAACAGTTACCTCAGGAGATACAAGTCAGTTGGTACTGCAGTCGATGTAGACCCGTTCCGCGTGTAAGTTCCAGTTGACATCAACACATACGCCATATGCAACAAAAACTTGCATTTGTGTCAACGCTATCACTGATAAGCTGTGTTGATTGAATCATCGTGAACACGTTTGTGCGGCAGTCGCGTGAACACGCGGGTTACAGGACGAAACAGACGATGCCCCTGCTGCAGGTGGAACAGAATTAGTTTCATTCTCTTCTTGTCAATTTCTTGGCCATTGGAACTGAACTGACTTTTGTTCATTCCCAATTGTCTTGAAAAGAGGAATGAAAGTAACTTGGGAAAGGTATATTCACTAGCGTGCGAGTATGCTGCAGCAAGGACGACGAAATGAGAAGCAGCTACAGATGTAAAATGATGTAAAATGATGTAAAATTATGTAAAATTATGTAAAATGATGTAAGATGATGTAAATGCAAACGTGCTCTTTTCTTGTACGGCAGCAGGATACGTTGGAAACCTCCAAAGACCTAACCCTTGAGGGACTTTCCGTTGCAGGTCGCATCAGTATCAGCATAAAGGCCACTGCTTGAGCCTGAGAAATGGATAGCAATTGACTGCCCGAATCTTCATTTTTTCAAGGCTACAGAAGCTGCTCCTGTAGCCGGTGCACAGGTGCGCAAAGGGTTTCCCCTGGACAACAGAGCACCTACAGCCAGTGGAGATGTGTTTTGTTCACTTCTTAGAAATGGTTGTAGCGACGAAGTGGTGAAGGTTGCTGAAGCGCCAGGAACAACGGAGGCTCGGCATGGAGGGTTGAGCGGTTCCGGTGACCGGCTGACACTGTGGTTTTCTGAACTGCACCAAGACACTTCAAACAGAGGCAACCATGGGAAGTAATGAAGGGGTTCCAGCGGTCTACAATTTGGATGGACGGCAATAAAGACATGTAAAAGAAAGCAAAAGATGTATAGCTTGAGTTGGACACTGTGGAGTTGTTGACTTTGGAAGGCCCCTGATGACAATGTTCCGGACGACAAAGCCGAAGAGGAGCTTCAGGAGCGAGATCCTCTACCTGCAAACTTCAAGTTCCCCCAGGCTGGTTTCGAAACTTGTTGGATCCTGATGAATCCTGGTGAACACCGAACTGATGGCTCATTTCGGGTAGATTTCATCGATTTTCCCAATAGGTACTGGCCCATTCCATTCGAACTTGTGCAAAGAGGTGAAAGAACTTGAGTCCTTGAAAGCTCAAAGTAAGTCATCTACAGTCATCTCCTTGGTGTTGATCTCTTCGATGTTTCCAAAATCAAGAGAAGCTGGAGAAATCTGCCAGGGATATCCTCCTCCACCAACTTCAACACCTGGGTCGCAGTTTCCTGGAAATTTCAAATTCCCAGCAGGTGGGGTGTTGGGTTCAACCGGACTCGCGTTGCTCAAGCAGGTTGAAACCTCCAATCAGCACGGGTTTGCTGCTTTCATATCCATGAGATTCCATGAGTCAACCAACTCTGTTTGCTGCAGGTTATCCTCCGCCTGACCAGGTGGGGGAGATTGAACCATGGCAATATGAAATGGGAATGAGATGTATAGATTTGTCATTTCCAGGTTGGATTACAGTACAAAAGGTTAAAATTCTAGAGTTCAATACATCCCAGGAAGTACAGTACCATGGTTAGTCTTAAAAAAAAAAAACTACCCCAAAATCTGGTGGTTGAACCCCTTTCCTCGTTAAAATGGCAATGTATTGGGGGTGAATCACCCATTTCCAGAGGCATCCAATGATATTGATATAGCTTTGCTATCCCTATTTCTGTTGGTGAAATCTTATCAAAAGACCTAGTGTATTTGGGTCTGTCTGAAAATGGTGTGTACTCCCAAAATTGCTATTTTACTTTCTCGGGAATATGATAATCAACCACTACCACTGGATTTGGGGGTAACCTATTTTCAGACAAACCCATTTGGGGTTGTCTGAAAAAATCGTCCAAATCCATTGGCTAATCATCATTTTCGAAAAGAAAAGTACAGAATTTGGGGGTTATACATGGTTATACAATGTTATACACCATTAGCCAATAGAAAGCCATTTTGATGGTTGATTTCCCATGATTCATGATTTTCCATTGAAAATCCACAGTCCCCGGTGCCAGGCATCCGTTGCCACCGAGGAGGAGAAGGCTGCAGTGCTGGCTGCAGTGGCGTCAGCTGCGGCTGCTGGGGCATTGCCATCTGGCACGAAGCAGGCGGAGCCGTGGCACCGATGTTGGATTTTACCATGAAAAATGCCATTGAACCAAGCAAGATTGCTGAGACTCACCAAAGAATTGTGATTCAGAAAATTTGATTGGTAGATACCATCATTCATAGATTGTTGGAAGACGGACTGCTCAGGTAGATTCAGGAGTCTTCTGAATGTAGTAGTACTCATGACTTCGGGCCAGGGAATCACATGATTCAAATGATTCAAGGCTTGCAACCCACTCAAGCATTGCTTACCTCCTGAAGTCGAAAATGATCTTCAAGCCGCGTCGCTGTAGGCATTGCAAGACATTGCAAGACTGCAACTTCCGTGTCAGGCGGTTGTGATTCCATCAGCTGTTGGAGGAGCCCCAATCGTACTGTGCCATGCTGAGTTGGAAGTTGGCAACAGCAAAATTTTTCAGTCAGATTTCTTTTCACCGAGGTCGACCTACAGAACTGCTTTGGAAGGGATGTCCGCCAGCCAAATTGCAGAGGCTCTGTCGGAGCAGGCGCGGATTCCCAACGATGGTGGTTTGTGAGCTCCAGCAGTTGTGTTTTTTGATCCTCGGCTGTGCTGTTGTTGACTGAGACCTTGGGTGAGATGAAACTGGAAGTGTCCGGCTGTAAAGCGCAGGTCTTGCCAGCAAGAAGTAGCTTGCCGCCTGCTTCTGCTCTAATAGCTGCGGCAGGTGCGCTGAAGCGTAGCTGCTACCTGCTGTAAACGGGAATTTCCCAAGGACGGTTGCGTCTTCATGTGCCAATGCGAAGAGATCGTTTAAAAGTTTAAAAATATGGCCTAACTCCATGAGTGTCTCATGACTCATGAGTCTCCTTTGCCAAACGAAATCACTCCGATGGACGGACACAGCCCCACTGCAGGTGCTGCAGCCGCTTGGAGCCATGGAGAATCATGGAGAATTCTAGCCTTTGATGTCCAGATACTGCGCACTGTGCAGTCAAGCTTTGAGGGTTTCACGATGTTTCACGGATTTTCCAAAGTGAATTTCTGAATTGGCTGGAAAGGGGGAAAGGGCGTAAAGTTTTAACTCTTCCAGTCACGCTCTGCGCCGCTGCGCCTGCCTTGAGGCCCGGCTACCAGTGCAGCAACCTCTGTTGATGCCAGGCTGGGTCCTGAAGGCATTCCATTTCGAAGTCGTATTTGAAAGGCTTTCAAAAGTAAAAGAGGAGCAGCACAGCTGGATCTTTGAAGAGGATTTTCCTGTGTTTGAAAATGAATCCCTAAATTTTGATAGTTTAATCAGTTTAAAATAGTTTCCCATAAACTTCCCGGGCAATTTAAAGGTTGGACCAAGGGAGAAACTCTGTGAGCCAGGAGCCTTTCTGCCAGTGGCACCGTTGTCGTTGCCTCCATTTTTGCATCTGCCACCACCGATGCAGGCTGGGACACACAGCTGATATCTCTAATATGTGTAATACAGTATGTGTGTGTGTTAAGTATGTGTATATATACATATATACGTATATATATATAAATAATAGTAATAATAATAATAAATTAATAATAACAATAATAATAACAATAATAATAACAACAATAATAACAACAATAATAATAATACAAATAATAATAATAGTAATAATAATAATTGGTATATATATATATGCATATGTATATATATATATATATAATATGTATATATATATATATATTATAGGTAAAACCGTAAACCTCCGTATTGTCAAACATGTGCGTGTCCGCACATGTTTGTCAGCACATGTTTCACACATCCAATTCTTCGAGCCATTTGTCATTCGAATGCGATTTATGGAAAAGTGTTGTTTTCCTCCAACGCGATTTTGTAAGATGATGCAATTCAGAATCCCTTTCGTGAAGCTGATAGCGTAGCATCGAGTGCAAGTGCCAGTGAAGCTGATTGCGTAGCATCGATTACGTGTGCGTGAGCAAGTGAAAGTGAAGAGGCAATAGTGTAGTATTAAGTACGTGTGCAAGCGCAGGTGAACTTTACTGCTCCCGACCCCACCCCTCCAAAGGAGAACGCTGGTCTAGTTCTCGAGCACTAGCCAAAAACATGTAAATGTTTATGCTGTGTGATACTATACATACATACGCAACACATGCCCTACACAAAAAGGCCACTAATTTTGTAAAAGCCTCGGCCCTGCAGGCTACTGTGCTAGCTAGCCATGGGCCAAGAAGGGAATTTCAACGGAACTGGAAATGAGTCTTTGCCGCCCTGCTGCTTTCGCCCAGGTTCATTACCTCTGCCACCACCACCACCTTTGCAGCCCTCGCAAGCTGGCGCGATGAAATTTGATGTTGATATTTTGACGATGAAATCTGAGGAAACCTTTAGGCTACAACAGAGCTGTGCAGTCCAGAGGAGTCGGTCAGAGCACTTTCTTCCCAAAATCATGCACTGTCCAAGGTGATCCATCCATTGCTATCATTGCTTGCCATTGCGCACAAGGCAAGAGTTGCGATTTTGTGTGACTACTTGTTGGGCAATCGCTCGTTTCCAGGATGATCTCCATTCGTCACCACCGTCCTCCAGATGTGCAGGAATGACGCTTAAACGCACCGCAGCCAAGCAGCAAGATGTGGTAGCGCATCCTCTATCCTTGGAAATGCACATGGGGGTTAAGAGAGTTGAGATGCTGCCAGATGCAAGATGTGTCAAATTGACTGTCAAACCAGGAACATTTTGCATTTTTTTTCTGGTTGCAGGTATTCAACCTGAAGTGGGCCGCAAGATAGGTGTTGAAGGTCATCAACTTGTGAGGGAGCTTGAAAGGAGCCTTGAAAGGAGCTTTCCCGCAGCGGAAGTTTCAAGGAAGAACCTGTCTCGAGATGTCTCGAGGGACACTACCAATTTCCAGGAGAGCGCATCAGTTTCTATCCCTTCGTGGGGTTGATAAGAGAACGGCTTCGGAAAAGGTCAACTGCGACTGCGCCTTGCCGAGACTTTGCTTTGTCCATGCGTTTTGTTTTCAGGTCCCAGGGAGCGAATCTTGAATAGATGCTTGGGTGACGTTTGACGTGGGACATTATTGCAAATAGATACTGTAAATATACAGTTTATGTATATATATATTGTATTCATATAATGCATGTTAGTTTAGCAGTCACGGGGTTTGCGGGGGGGGGGGGGGGGGGAGCTTTTTCTATTTTTCTTTTTTACTGCCATAACCTATAGCATGGACATTGCCACAGGTCGTAGGCGCTAACCCGCTTCCTACCTACTATCAAGAACCTAGGACCTAGGGCCTCGCTCACTGATTGGTGCTGTATTAATGAAACGAAATCTGCCCATGTAGCAAAAGCTTCACACTGAGCAAAAAAAATGTCCTTCATTAGATGCTGCTATGACTCAGCATGGTGCTCTATGATATAATATGATGATATGATATGATGATATGATATGATGATATGATATGATGATATGATATGATGATATGATATGATGATATGATATGATGATATGATATGATGATATGATATGATACGATATGATACGATATGATACGATATGATACGATATGATACGATATGATGTGAAAAACAAAATAATGCAATGCCATGATATCATAGACATAGTGAACCTTTCATATCACCATGTGATAGCACCATTTTTGACAATTGACCTGGGTGAGTTTTTCTTAAACTTAAAACAGGTAAATTTTTTAAATCTATAGTGCAATAATTGTGGATGTGGTTTAGCCGTTTAGGCCACCTACCATCAAGACACCACAGGAGGTTTCAAGCCGCAGGTACCGAAAGACTTCAAATTCCTCATTGGTTAGATAATGAGCTGTCTTGCGCCCCACCCATGAAGGCCGAAAAGGCTGAGAAAAGTGCCGACCGTGCCGAGACCAGTGAGGGTGGCCTGCGCTCACCAGAGCCAAGGCCGAAAACTTGTAATGGTCCGATGCGCCGATGGTGTGAAAATGTGTTGAATACATAATGTATCCCCAATATACTTGTACCTTCAATATCCTTCACATACCTCAAAAAATGGTGGTTAAATAGTGTTAAATATAGAATGACCAATTCTTGAGGGTCCATTGGTACCCCAATTCTGAGATACAAAGTGAACATGGCATTTGCTGCAACCACGTTGAAGGACCAGAGGGTCACCCGCGGCTCCAGTGCCCATGGCAAGAAGGAGCAGTTCAGGCATGTCTCGTGGTAGAAATTTGCAGTTCAAGTCCAAGAGGTGGAGACACTGCATTCGATTTTCGAATTGCTGAACCGGCTGTATGATTCTTGAAAGGCAAGAAACCTGCCCGCAGCTAGACCACGAGCAGGACATGACAGGATTGCTTGTTTGGAGTTTGCCAACCAGCAATGAACAATTCGATACATTTGTTAAAGCACATTTCCCCCACAAAGGACATCCACCCAGAATGATGAAGTTCCCGGGCGCTGCGTTGGGGCCTGAGTTCCCATCAACCCTCAAAAACTTCGAGGATTTTGAGTTTCGGCACATCAACCGCCGAGGACAGCACCCTTAGCGACGTCATTGAGGCATAATTTTGCACATGTTTTCTGGTAGCATGACATCGCCACTCTCCGTTTCCAATCTCCACTGTTTTCGCCGACGAGGGAAACACAATTAACGTCAACCTAATTTTGCTGTAATTGATGGACATTTAAAAAAAAACACTTTGTCCATCAATTACATGTCCTACTGACATCCACCTGTGCCAGGAACCACGCGACCAGCATCTCACACGGGAACCTCCGTATGTGATGGGGAGGACTGGTAGCCTTTGGCGAAACTTGCTTGGGCGTCAGATGAAAAGGGTCGATCCAAGGAATGAGAACCCAAAGAAGTGGAACTGCGAAAGGTAACCAACCTATGGACCGTGAAAGGTCCGTGGTGTATGACAGCATTTGGTTCAATTTCATGCTCTGGGTAAATCAAAAGGCAGTGATGAACTCACATCCCTCATCATGGCAAGAAACCCAGCCCCATTTGCCAGAAAGCACCGACACAACATACCCATGCGCAAACAAAAATTGAAGCCAGCCTGGCACAACAAGACGATTGGTGATTCCTTTCGCAGAGCTGCACATTGAATGAAAAAGCTTCGGATATTCTTCGACATCGGTGACAGTTCAATGCCTGTCCAAGCAGGAATTCTCGACCCAGATATATATATATATAAAGAAATATATAAAGAAATATATATATATACACTAGCTGTAGTTTGCACTGCAAGTTCAATCCATTTTCAGCGTCACATGGGCCATAGACTTCGCCCACGGTCTTTGACACCTGTTGATGCTGGACATCATCGGAGGTGTAGCTTTGGCAGATGCCTCAGATGATTCGTAGTGCTCTTGGGTCAGCATTTCCTTGTTTTGCCTGGTTCTGGTACTGCCTGATTTTCTGAAAAGCGGTCTGTCTTAAAGCATAGGTTGCAATCTCATGGAGATGGCTCCGAAAAAATGGCTGCTCATGCCTGAGCCAGGCAGGAAGGTGAAGTGTTGGGCACGTGTGGAACTGCTTAGGGTTTATCTGCCATGCTGCACAATTCCGTTTAGAGCTCCAGCCTCTGTGAGGAAGATGACATTGGTGGACCACCAGTCCGCTTTGCAGAGGGCAGTCAAGGACTGGCAGGCTGCACAGCCGTGATCATGTGGCCTAGCAAATTGTCAGGCTTACAGTCGGCTTACAGTCGGCTTACAGTCTTGTTAGCATGATTAAGATGCTTGAGAGCTGCTGCCTGGAACTCCAGCCCCAAGTCGTGTTTCTGGCCAGTGTCCCAACAAGCTCCATTGAATTGCTTGTGCCAAAATACGTCGTAAAAGATAAACGTAGCAGATGCTTTTGTAGTAGAAGGGCAGAGATGGCTGACTTTGACAGATTTTTTCCCAAAGTTTTTCCCTCTTCTGTGGCTTTCGAATCTCCAGGTGCGGGCTTCAGCGGCTCTTCTGGTACGCCTGCAATGCGCGGCCTGAAGCAGGCAGTATCAGCCCATCCGCACGGCACCTGGAGAATTCCATCCGTGTCGATCCGAGGCCAGTACACCCAGCCGCCTCAACTTGAAGGATTTGGCGAAGGAGGCAGAAACGCCTCGAGGCCAGGCCTTACCTTGACACGGACATGCCTTGACTGCGAAAAAACATGCCCCAAGTATTGGTCGCAGGCTTGTGAAAATCCAGTGTTGGTGAGCTTTGCAACTTTTGAGTGACTTGTGAGGTGACAAGAGAGCTCGGCTTGCGCTGCAAAGAAAGAAACTTGTTGGCACACTAGGGACGTCTTTCTAATGGACCGCGCTGGACGAGAAGACTTGGTCAGTTCGTCCTTCCATGACTTCATAACTACTAGTAGGAGTAAGGTCTAAAACAGTCTTACTAGGTATGTCGCATAAACTTACTACTGCACATTCCCTTGCGACTTCGTCTAAGATACTAAAGGGCTCAGCATCTTCGGCATCTTGGAGGGTGCGTTGGTGATTGCATTCACGGCCCGGCTTCGCTTCCACATCTAAGGGTCAAATCTGCTCAAAATCTGAGCGGATCCGACAGTGTCCATAGTGGTCGTGAGCTCCTCAGGGGAGACTCAAGGGGACCTAAGGGGACCCAACGGGACCTAAGGGTACCATCCCAAACCTCTAAGGCATGGGGCGATAGCTGAGTAGGAACAGTGCTGGCCTGCTGAAAGCAGCTGCCATCCCAGGGCCAGGTGCCATAGCGACAGTGTCACAGTGGAGGCAGTCCGCTTCTGTCAGCTGCTGGAGATTTACTACCTAAACATGGTGATGCCGTGATGGGTCGCTGCATCACTCCTTATGATAGAGGCTGCGAAGCCACAAACAGCATCCTTTTTGACAGAAGCTTAGCGCAGACACTCTCTAGTATCCGAATGGGGTCACCTGCACTCAAGATGACTCCATATGCCAGCAAACAAGGGGATGTCCTCAATGCTGACATTTTTATACGCTTCTTTGGATGCTACCTTCATGATATTGTCGAAACTTCTGTTGCAGCTGCCATGGCTACAGGATCTGCCAATGGTTGCAGTGGCTTTCAAGTTCTTGGAAGCAGACGGGCTGCAACATAAACTAAGCTGCAAGGATTCCTATCAGATTCAAAAAAGGCTAGAGACTTCATCTCGTCCCAACACACAGATCAATGGTTCGAAGCCCGCTTCGATGCTATGGCTGAAATGAAGAGAGCTGCAACGTGCCAGGCTGCAACGGAAAATACGGAAAGATGTTGTTTCGGGCACGGGGTGCCATTTGAAAAACCTTGATTTGGCAGAGAGAGAGAGAGAGAGCTTCCTTCATTCCTTCCTTCCTTCCTTCCTTCCTTCCGTCCTTCCTTTTTCTTTCTTTCCTGTCTCTCTTTCTGGGGCATTGAAGTCAAAGTGACACACTATAAAGTCCCCTTGACTTCACGGCATAGGCCAGGCATAGGCCAGGCATAGGCTGCCAGTTTTCCACGTGGCAAGGCTTCCAAGAGTCAGACTGAGTCTTTCCGCATGGTAATTGGATGTAAATACAGTACTTTGATGTCAATTCATGGATCCTTTCCCAGAAACCAAGACAAGGTAACTTACCAGTCACTATTTGTGTCAGGATGCAGCTACCTTCGATCCGGGAAGCTGGCGACACTGGTAGGCAAACACCTAGCCCCGGACCGAGCCGGTTGTAATCATTTCAAGACCTGGATGTTGGAAAAAATGGCACACCATGTTGAACCCCACATTGTTTCTCCCAAGCAAGTAGGCTCTCATCCTCTGTGGTCATTCAGTCATGTGGAGTCTGCCAAGTCTAGCCATCTCCTTGTTCTTCCCTCACTGATGAGAGATCCATCAGGCTCTACGCAGCTGACCAAAGGTTCCAGGTTTGAAAAAGGGAGCATAGCCTACAGCCTGCAGCCATGATCATTCTTGAGGTGAAAGTAGTGGATCCCATTCCAGCAACTGGCAGAATGTTCAGCGCTCAGCAATGTCTGCAAGCAAGATAGGAGATATCAAGTTCCACGTGAATGTGCATCAAAGTAAGATCCCAGTTTAAACTGCTGATTGGAACGTAGACCAGAGAGCCTCAAACATAAAGAGGAAAAAGAGGTAGTGAACAGATGTGAACAGTACATTTTCTTTCTACCACCAGAGTCTATTTGTTTTCAAGCTGTGGATGCTGCCTGTTTCTTCCTGTGCAAGGACAAGGACGGCAGCAGCAGAACTGGCATGTGTTTCGTGTGGCCAAATGGCCCAGAAGTTCACTGAAAACCGTGCCGTAAATGGGGTTAGCCCCAAATCATCCACTTTAATAGGATGTTCCATTATAAACCATCCAGCTATTGGGGTCCCCCCTATGACTATGGAAAGCGTCAGATGTTCAGGAATCTTTGTTTAGCAGGGTCACCTTCAATGCATCAGCAGTCAACTGAAGTTGCAGCAGAAGATTCACATGACAAAGGTTTGGGACTATTTATATAAAGCATCCGACAGAATTATGGAAACACAAAAGGTTACAATTGACAGGCACCGCCTGTCTATCACCGGGAAAATTCTAGACTTTTTTTTTTGCTATAATTATTTGTTTCCATATTGTTTTTCCATAATTCTGTCGGCTGGAACACGTCACGTCCATCGATTCGCAGTTTGAATGCATTTTAAGGAGGACTATTGAAGTATGGAAATTATGAATGTGTCAAAAAGTCAAGTATACGGCATACCCCCAGAAATTTTCCGGCCTATTTCAGCCTTTTGCCATTGGTTTTAAGCTATTGTCCAACCTATTTCATCATTTCTCGATTGGTTTTCCGCAGTTGTTCAACATTTGTCAGCATGGTTTTTCATCAGTTTTTCCAAATCTATTTCATTATTGTAAACATTGACTTTCGACAGTTCTTCCTCCTGTTTCTTCAGAACAATTTCAAAAGGCGTTCTATTCAATAATGCACTTCTGGGGCTGATTTTGTGACAATTATTTTCTTACGGTTCTAGTTTTTTCTATCATCAACTTTCCCCAGAAATGATCGTCCAGGATGACCAATCTACAACGAAAAGTACACACATTTGTTGATCGGGTGCACCAACCAAAAAACATTGTTGTACATACATATGCGGGATGTTGCCAGTTGAAAAGCCACCAATTTGGTTGACGTACTTGCATTTGCATATTTTGAAGACCACAAAAAAACTGGGTTTGATCCATGACATGGCCAACAGGTGGACCCCCAAAGATTAATTATGGAACAAACATAATTGTGGAAAAACCGGCTTAATTTGCTCCAACCCCCTGACTACGCAGGAAAAATCAATTATGGACAATCCTGGGCTCCTTCAAGAATTATGGAAAGAAGGTTCAAATCACATCCGGGAAATTTTGAGCCCTTATGAGAAAAACCGAATTATGGAAAAAAAGGAGGCAGGAAACGCATGTCTAACTTAGATCCGTTTTTTATCCATAATTCTGTCGGGAACCATAGACATCTACGTCCTTGCTTCATGGAATTCGACTGGGGTGGCACGGGAGATTGATTGCAGCACAGTTCTCCCACCATTTTCTTCGGTTTCATGGTTTGGTTCCATGGCATGACAGGTTCCAATGGCGAGTCTGAAAGTGGGAGTGCCGTGGCAGTGAATCCTGCAGAGATGTTTGTTTTGCTGAAATGAGGCCAGCATGCAATCAATTATATTATGATATATTATGTATATATATATACACATACATATAACTGATGACCAAGTGGTGGGTTTTTGTGGGACCAATTTGCGGACTTTCTTGGCAATTTTAGATAAATCACTTGGATACTTTCAAATACAATAATATTCTTTATTCGACTCTATCACTTGTAATGCATAAGGCGGGCTCCATTCTGGAATTTATGATGTTTTTCGACTATGAAGGGAATTTTCATCTTTGGGGGGCCCTTCGGCCCCCCTTTGTACAAACCTGCACTGCTCCATGCTACCACACAATACAATTTGCATCGTTTTCATGGTAATCATATTGCTTCACAAACACCTTCACCCAATATTTACACCTTTAGCATTACTGCCACTCTTCATTTAAACTGCACAACCCATTGACTCACTTAATACAAGCTTTCTCCAGCCCTTTACTTGTCTCACAGCCATCTCGAATTCATGAAATCTGTAGTGTTCAAACCACCTCAAACGACGAACCATCCGATTCCAATCAAATTGCAATGTTTGGATAGTACTCCCAGCAGACCAATATGGTTGGAAAAGATAGAAGCTATAATGTCATCATATGTCACACGCACACATATAATATATATCATTTGTATACACATACTGCGCATGGTTAAGTAATGAAATATGTGAATGTATATGTATATGTAGAATGTAGATGTAGATGTATAGGTGATATGTATGTGTACATATATATATAATATATATATAATATATATATATATACACAGATACACATTTGTATCTGTCTCTATATATCCGCATAAATGTATCCGGATTTTTTGGAGCCATTGGTTTCGATGATCTCCTGCCATTGGACCAAGGCGAAGGCCGAGGCCACGAAGAAATCCAGAGCGATCAAAGCAGCGACAGCAGCGAGTACACCAGCAGCCACCTCAGTCAGATCGAGCACTTCTTTGTCGGTTGATTTAAGTCTTTTTGTTGCAGGAAACCCATGGGTTTTAAGATGTTTCAAGATAGTTTTACGGCTTAGAAAAGTGAAACCAAACAAGACAATCCGTCAAAAGGCAATTCTGGGGACTGCACAATTTCAGTACTGATCGTTTTTTTTTCCCTTCCTGAGGGTGCTTTAAGAGATGGGATTGTCCTTTTTCATGGACATGGATCCAAGGTCAAGGGTTATCCAGGCGATGTACATGACCTGCAGAGGAAGATGAACCCAAGATGCGCAATCCCATGACTGTGACCGAGGCATTGTATCAAGTTCCCTCACTTCTGGCCAAAGGTCCAGGAACAGTGTCTTGACCAAAACGTCAGAGAAACAATGGAGATCCTATGCCGGAATGAAGAGCATAGGGGAAGAGCGTAGTGTCTGCTTCCCCCTGTGCGGGATTGTTATGATGATCTGGCTTCCTTTGGACTAACGTCGAAGTTTCAATGTTGAAACAACCTGTACGTTGGCACAGTAATTGTAATCTTACAATACGGGCACCAGTGGGTCTCAGAAAGCTTCGTTGGTCTCATATCCATGCGGCTGAAGGTGGTCGAACCAAGCTTGGTGGTGCGAGCTTCGGCGGTGCTGCTGGCGCCTCAGTGTGTTTCCAGATTTGTTGGGCTTACATCCAGGATATCAGGATATTACATGATATTACCGTATCCAATAATATAATGTCCATAGGTCCATAGTTTTTCCCCAGAATTTCCGTTGGCTTCGAAGGTGAGCGGTCTTGTGGATGTGCTACAGTACTCGCTTCATGCTGTACAGCCACCAGGCGCTTCTGTTTGATGCGTTTGTCTGTACCTCTTCAGCACTGCTATGTCGCTTTCACATGGATAGCTGAGTGGCGCAAGGGCCACAGGTGACTTGTGAGCCTGCTAAACATACAGTTGTTTGCATTGAAAGATATGAAAGCATATGAAAACAACAAACCAACTTCAACGGTTGCTGGAATCCAGCTGTAATTTGCTGTTGACTTGAACTTACTCTGTGGTGGTCACAATGACACATCCAAGGATTGATCCAGTGTTGTGCAATGCTAACGTACAACAGACCAAGCCTTCTCACAACCTTCCAAACATCCCTGCAAAACGCGTAAACAAGGCACAGGAACTGGAATAACTGGAACTGATGTGTAGCTTCTGCTTTGGGCTACTTGTCACAGGCCCACGCGCAGCCCTTGCCACAAATGCACACTCCTCAGGTTCTGGTTACACAGTTGGCCATTTAGCAATAGTTTGATTTTAGGCCTCCTTCCAAGTGGAAGCAGCTAAAGCAACATTCAACATGAGTGCGACAGCTCAGGTAACTGCCCCTGCATCTCCCGACAAATCAGATCAGGACAAACTGGATGGGCATGCTTGACAACTGCTGGTGGTCGGGGTCAGGCAATTGGGAAAATCATGCCGTGCAGGTTGAGACAGGCCAACCCATCAGGGAGTTTATGGGATTTGCATGGATTTGCTAGTATTGACTCATATTTAAGATGTTGAATGATGCTTGCCTTGCAAAGAGACTTTCGAGTGTTCTATGGGACTTGTACACCTTTCTGCCTTTCCAAGCCCTTCTGCGCTCATGACGCTTGCACCGTCCAGTCTGACAAGAACGAAGATCAGGTTACCAGGTTTGCTGGAAGTTCCAGTTCTCTTCCCTATGTGCCACGGCCGAGACATGATTTATTTTCCCACAAAAGGGGATGGTCATCGCACCATTAATTTGGCTTAGTATACCCACAGCTGTTTGGGAATCCCCGACGGTGGGATGCCCCATTCTACCTGGGTCAAGATCTAAAGCCCAAAATCTGGCGACTGCGCGGTTTCATTGGATCCACAATTGGACCTACAGCCAAATAGGGAAGCAATCAAACATAACCGATAGGACGTATAGGATATTTTGGTGGGATTATGTGGGATTCACATCCGTTGAAACGCCTTTTATTTGGAGAAAATTGGGCACCAGGGATCATCAGGGATCCATAGCCACATATGAAGAGTCCGCCTTGCAGTGAAGGAGCCTGAGCTCTCGCGAGTGCCATCACTGCGAACGCTGCTGAAGTGCCCAAGATTGAATTTTTAGACGGGCTTTGGGTTTAGGTCCAAAAAATGGGGTCCACTTTGGAACCACAAAAGGTTGGTCATTTTTAGATATTTTTAGCATCTATATCACCATGTTGAACTGCATTTGAGCATGATTCAACCGTCCATTTGAAGGGTGATGGATCATTTTGAGTCATTCCATGATGTTTTCTGCTGCATGTTGTCCATGACTTCTGTTGACCCGAGGTTCCCTGAAGGAGACGGTCACGAAGCAGGCTACCTGAAGCAACGGTGCTATGATCACAATGTGTTTAGATTTTTAGATTTAACAGATTTGAATACTGACTTGTACAAATCACAACATAAAGTCGGGTATCACAATTGAAGACCTAAATGTAGAGAAAATAAAGGACACATTCTCTAAGAGAATCGCTAGGGTTGCGTATCAAGGCAGTTTTGATACAGATCCTTTGCAAATCATTGTTGTCCTCAGCATGTGCAGGAGAGGAAAGTGTTGCCAAGCGTACCCAGACTTGATCTCAGAAGATGGACGAGCATATGAAGATCTTAAGCAAATTAAGTTAATTAAGAGCATATGAAGATGGAACACGAGCATCCAGACTGTTTGATACAAGGATGAATTTAGCACGCCTTCTTAGCAAGCCCATGCCTATTTCAATTGCCAACTTCACGTGAGTTGAACCAAGGCGCTCGAACTTTAAGGATAGCCATGGCAGAGCAAAGCTCAACTCCAACATTGCTGGGAGATCCCAGATTCGCTGCTCGTGTGCATTCCAGGAATCTGTTGACCGAGAGTGCTCAATTGAAATATGATAAATATGGCCCTATGATATTCCTGTGATGCCCTGTGTGGGTCTCACATGCCCTGCTTGAGAAGTGCTGTTTGAAGACTTTGGCAGGACCAACGAGAGAAGAATAGCGAAATAGCCGGGTGATCGTTTGTGTTGTGGCTACAACTCAATACAAAAGAGGAACCAGCTCTGAACTGGCAGCATGTCGCAAATTCTGCCGAAGTGAATCCATGGGAAATCTTAAGCGTAGTCAGCCTTGCGAGGCCGGCTTCGAAACCCTTGCATTGGGTCTTGGGCCTCACTGGCAAGTTTGCCACAAAGTGGCACTTGGACTCCATGAGGGGATGAGTGCAGAAGACTTAATCAACGAGGATTGCTGGGACAAATGACAGAAATGAATAGAAATGAAGTCAAGACCAAACAGTCCTGACCAAGCCACCAACTCAGAGATTGGTGCCTGGCTGATCGGCCAGTCGAGATAAGTCCAAGAAGGAAAGTGATCTTCAGGCCACAGCCATGGTCAGATTTCTACCGTCGCCTAAGAGCCAACCACATCCAACCACATTCCTTTGCAATACCTGTAGCTCGGCTTTGAACAGTCGCAGTTTGTTAAAGAACTCTTGCTTGCCTGGCTTCCATGTAACCTTTCACTATATAGCGTCTCTGTCCACAGGATCTGCGTAGGATCTGCGACTTTCGACATGAATGGCTGACACTTGTCACACGTCTCCCTGTTTCAGAAGTCCTGGGGCGAGATCGCCGGCAAGCTCGCCTTCGTCTTAACCAAAGTCGACCAGGCAGGGGGGTCACAGCACTCGGTGGAGCCAGCCACAGAGCCACAGCCATGGCAGGTTGTACCAATGTCCAAAGCAAGACTCCTTAACGAGGCGACGGGCTAGACAGGCTAGACGGGAGGCCCTCAGATATGTACCATACTTGTACTGGTACTTGTCTCAACAACGGGTAAACACGGAAAAGGCTGCTGCTAGGGATGTACCAATTATCAAACACTTGGAACTACACAAGCGCCTACGAAACTGAAGGAGCCAAAGAATCTCCAAAACTCTGGTTTAGAAACAGGCATACTCACTCGCCAAATCGCATGGCTGCAATTCGATCTTCCTGTAGGCCCTTGGAGGCGACGAAGAGAGGAGATTATCTGAGGAATCTCGGTGGACTCCTCAGCGACATTTCGCAGCCTCAGCCGTTGATTGAGCGGCTGAATGCGGCTGAGGCATCTCTTGCAGATGATCATGCAATCCAAAAAGTTCCTGGGAAGTAGTCCTGGCATGGGCTGCTGACGAACCGATCCATAGTCGCCATAGTCATAGTTTTAACTATTATTTCATTCTATGTCCTAATCTTTTGATATATTGTCTGCAAATATTCATTATCTCTGTAGCCAGGCACCTTCCACTCACTACTGGAGAGTGATCCAGTGAGAGTGCTGAAGGACTGACACAAAACCAGAAGCCGACAAGCCGACACGCTGACACGTCAAACGGCTGCGTGGTTGGATCAATTCGGAATGGTTCCACCTGGGTGCATTGCCAAAAGTTGTGAGGATTCCTTAGAGGCACGCCTGAATTCAGGACCCGGTGTTGCAGCCTTAGTTGTGCACGAACCTGGCGCTTTGTGCCGAAACCAAGATCTTTTGTTTGAGCGATGGTTTCAGCTTTTTTCTATTTCGATCCTTACCTAGCATGATTTGCCCCACTAACTAAAATCGTTGCAATGGGTTCAAATCAATGTCCAGCGTGCTATGTTGATTTTTCTACATCCTTCTCGGGCCAGTGGCTGCTTTGGCAACTTCCCTTCCATTGCCTTTGTGGCTCAGGGCGGCCTTTTTGCTCAGCAAGAGGAGCTGAGTGCTTACGAAAAGGAGATCAGTGCTTGGTCCTGAGACAAGAGGATAGGATGTCGGGTTTTCCAGCGCAGAAACCAGAAAGGTGCACATCTTTGACGGCCCTGCCCACATTCCCTGTCTTCCCTTGGTGTTCCATCCAGAGTCTATGGATCTTTGACGAACACCGATGCAGAGATGCGCATGGCATGTGTGCCGTAAGCAATGGCGCAGGTGCGAGAAAATCAGATGGACAATCCGGAGTTTGTTGACATGATGCTTCAGCGCTGGTTCATTCAGAAAGGTGCAGCCAAGGGGGCGGCAGGGTGCTGGTGTGGAGAGTGCTTGCAGCGGCCCTGCCAGGATTCTGTATCAACAATATGGCTGAGAGGCGCCAACTTGCTGAGGAATTCTGGAAGCTGCAACGTAGACAACTCAGAAATTCTGGTTCCGTCACAGATCATACAGGGACATGCAGGTGGCATCGGTGTGGCATCTGTATCTGTTGACACCCTGAATCACATTGGATAGGAGTTGCCAGTTTGTGCATGCTCTATGTGCATCTTCTCTGAGGTGCCAATGCGCTAAAAAAAACCAAGCGCTCGGGCACGCAGCTTCTAAGCTTGGAGAGATTTCTAAACCTCAACCTTGCCGACATGTCAATGTGAGTTGTGGCAGTTCACCCCTCCCTGCCTCGAACAACACCTGCCGTGGTCCTCCTCACCAAATCTGACATCCCCGTCCCAAGTCGCCTCCCAAAAGCTGCCCATCCACATTCTAGATTCTAGATTTAAAGGCTTACGCCTGACAGCCGGGTGCCGGCCAAGAAATCTTGGTACCATGTTGGCCCTATGTTGGGCCTATGTTGGCCTATGTTGGGCCTATGTTGGCCCATGTTGAGCCATCTTGGGCTACTGCACTACGCCCCCTGCCGCTGACCCCAGAGGCTGGCATTGGTTTTGCTGGTGGATATGATCATATATGGATCGAGTTTTTTCCTTACTTGTTTTGAAGTGTGTCTCCGTGAATTGATTTATGGATATTTATGGGCTAGTCCAGCATGTTTGCGCAGCTGTCTTCACACCAAGCGTTTGTGTTTAACTCCTGTCACAGCTCCATGGTCCCATGGTTCTCGCATCATTTTCCTGATGCATCAAGTTGCCACTGTCAAACATGACTTTCTGAAGTGACTAGAAACTAGCTCCAAACCTTGCCTTTACCTGCTGTTCTGCCCTGCCAGCTTCCAACTTGCTACGTCTTGCAGCTGGCTTTCGTCTGGCACAGCTCGGGTCCAAGGACCAGAGAAGGCAGACATACCATCACAGGCACACATGTGGGGAGACAATGGGAGACAAAAAGGGGAGACAAGACGTCGGGAAGGCGGACGCACCATCCAACATCGGCACACGTGTGGGGAGACAAGACCTTCTCGCAGAGATGTTTTTCAGTGACTCTGCCGAGCAAAGGCTTGGGACGTCAGTACAACCTAGCCAAGATGGAGAAGTCGGCCAAGGTGCTTGGAGTTCAGTTTGGGGTTGTGAAGAGCGACGCTGAGAGGGCTATGGTGATACTTCGGGATGCAGTGCAGGGGAAGTTTCAGAACCTCAGCTCGGGAAGGCAAACACACCATCCAAAAGATGCAGGCACACATGTGAGGCGAGAATGGGAGACAAAAAGGGGAGACAAGACGTCGGGAAGGCGGACACACCATCCAACACAGGCACACGTATGGGGAGACAATGGGAGACAATGGGAGACAATGGGAGACAATGGGAGACAATGGGAGACAATGGGACAAGGGGAGACAAGACCTCGGGAAGGTGGACACACCGTCCAACACAGGCAGACAAGACAAGACCCCCATCCAACACAGGCACACATGTGGGGAGACAATGGGAGACAAAAAGGGCAGACAAGACGTCGAAAAGGCGGACGCGCCATCCAACACAGGCACATGTGTGGGGAGGCAATGGGAGACAATGGGCTCAATGGAAAAGAAGGGGAGACAAGACCTCGGGAAGGTGGACACACCATCCAACACAAGCACACATGTGGGGACAGAATGAGAGACAATGGAGGGCAATGGGAGACAAGACGTCAGGAAGGCGGATGCGCCACCCAACACAGACACACATGTGGGGAGACAACGGGAGACAAGTGGAGACAAGGTGCCGGGAAGGCGGACACACCAACCAACAAAAAGGAAACAAGAAGGGAGACACTGGGAGACGAAGGGAGACAAGACCAAGGCGGACACCTTAAGAATGCGTTAAGAACCCTTAGAGCAGTACACTGTTTGGGGAACAAGACTGGAGATAATGTGGAGAGAGAAGATGAGAGAAGGGGAGACAAGATGTTCAGAAAGACGGACACACCATCCAACAAAGGGAAACAGGAAGGAGTACTATGGGAGACAGAGGGAGACAAGACCCTCGGCAAAAGGAAACAAGAAGGCGTACAATTGGAGACAAGGGGAGACAAGACCCTCGGGAAGGCGGACGCACCATCCAACAAAGGCAAACAAGAAGGGGTACAGTCAGAGACAAAGGGAGACAAGACCGTCAGAAAAGCGGACACACCATCCAACAAAGGGAAACAATAAGGGGTACAATGGGAGACAAGGGGAGACAAGACCCTCGGGAAGGTGGACACACCATCCAACAAAGGGAAACAAGAAGGGGTACAATGGGAGAAAGGGGGAGACAAGACGGTCGGAAAGGCGGACACACCATCCAACAAAGGGAAACAAGAAGGAGTACAATGGGAGACAAGGGGAGACAAGACCTCGGGAAGGCGGACACGCTATCCAACAAAGGGAAACAAGAAGGGGTACAATGGGAGACAAGGGGAGACACACCATCCAACAAAGGGAAACAAGAAGGGGTACAATGGGAGACAATGGGAGACCAGACCCTCGGGAAGGCGGGACACACCATCCAACAAAGGGAATCAAGAAGGGGTACCATTGGAGACAAGCGGAGAAAAGACCCTGGAGACGGCGGGCACACCACCCAACAAAGGGAAACAATAAGGGGTACACTGGGAGACAAGGGCACACAAGACCCTCGGAAGGAAAGTCGGACTCAGCATCCAACAAAGAGAAACAAGAAGGGGTACGGGAGACAAAGGGAGACAAAGGGAGACAAGATCCTTGGAAAGGTGGACACACCATCCAGAAAAGGGAAGCAAGAAGGTGTGCAATCGCAGACAAGGGGAGACAAGACCCTCGGAAAGTCATACACACCATCCAACAAAGGGAAACAATAAGGGGTACCATGGGAGACAAGGGAAGACAAGACCCGCGGGAAGGCGGACAAATCATCCAACAAGGGGAAATAATGGGAGACAAAGGGAGACCAGACCCTCGGGAAGGCGGACACACCATGCAACAAAGGGAAACAAGAAGTGGGAGGCAAGGGCAAACAAGATCCGCCGGAAGGCGGACACATTATCCAACAAAGGGAAACAAGAAGGGGTACAGTGGGAGACAAAGGGGGACAAGACCCTCGGGAAGGCGGACACACCATCCAACACCAAGGCGGACACCTTAAGAAAGCACTAAGAACCCCTAACAGTACACTGCTTGTGGAACAAGAAGGGAGGCAAGGGGAGACAAGGGGAGACAAAGGGAGACAAGGGGAGACAAGAGGAGACAAGACCCTCGGGAAGGCGGACACACCATCCAACAAAGAGAAACAAGAAGGGAAACAAGAAGGGAGACAAGGGGAGACAAGGGGAGACACGGGGAGACAAGGGGAGACAAGGGGAGACAAGGGGAGAGAAGGGGAGACAAGGGAAAACAAGACCCTCGGGAAGGCGGACAAATCATCCGACAAAGGGAAACAAAAAGGGAGACAAGGGGAGACAAGGGGAGACAAGGGGAGACAAGGGGAGACAAGGGGAGACAAGGGGAGACAAGACCCTCGGGAAGGTGGACACACCATCCAACAAAGGGAAACAAGAAGGGATACAAGGGGAGACAAGGGGACACAAGGGGAGACAAGGGGACACAAGGGGAGACAAGGGGAGACAAAGGAAGACAAGAAGAGAAAAGACCCTTGGGAAGGCGGACACACCATCCGACAAAGGGAAGCAAGAAGGGAGACAAGGGGAGACAAGGGGAGTCAAGGGGAGACAAGACCCTCGGGAAGGCGGACACACCATCCAACAAAGGGAAACAAGAAGGGAGACAAGGAGAGACAAGGCCCTCGGCAAGGCGGACACACCATCCAACAAAGGGAAACAAGAAGAGACAAGGGGAGAGAAGGGAAGACAAGAAGGCGGACAAATCATCCGACAAAGGGAAACAAGAAGGGAGACAAGGGGAGACAAGGGGAGACAAGGGGAGACAAGGGGAGACAAGGGGAGACAAGGGGAGACAAGGGGAGACAAGGGCGACAAGGGGAGACAAGGGGAGACAAGGGAAACAAGAAGGGAGACAAGGGGAGACAAGGGGAGACAAGGAAAGACAACGGGAGACAAGGTGAGACAAGGGCCTCGGGCACCATCCAACAAAGGGAAACAAGAAGGGAGACAAGGGGAAACAAGGGGAGACAAGGGGACACAAGGGGAGACAAGGGGAGACAAGGGGAGACAAGACCCCCGGGAAGGCGGACACACCATCCAACAAAGGGAAACGAGAAGGGAGACAAGGGGAGACAAGGGGAGACAAGGGGAGACAAGGGGAGACAAGGGGAGACAAGGGGAGACAAGGGGAGACAAGGGGAAACAAGGGCCTCGGGAAGGCGGACACACCATCCAACACCAAGGAGGACACCTTAAGAAAGCATTAAGAACCCCTAACAGTACACCGTTTGGGGAAAAAGTAGTTTAGGGGGGTTGGGTAGACGACAAGCACATCCTTTTTGGAAAATTCATTTTATACATCTTGCTAAGTTAGTCGTTGGTACCCCCTGCAAACCATACATCCGTATATTTGAAAAAATGTAGGGTCCACCTCCGGGCGACAGCCTGTAGTGCCTAACGTTGGTTTCTGCAGCTACAAGGCACTAGCTGTCTTTTTGCCTCCGGCGCACTTTCGTCTTGCTGCGCTCTTGTCTCCGTGCTCTTGCAACTTGCTGCTGTCCGTCGCCTTGCTTTCGTCTTCCTTATCTCTTTTGCTGTCTGCTTCTCTCTCTCTCTCTCTCTCTGGCTCTTACAGTTTGTTGGCTGCTTGTAATGTCTTCTCTGACGCGCTCCCCTGCTGCAAGCGGGGTCGGCGGATATATATAGATATTTATTTATTTTTATTAAATATAAACATATGTAAATATGTATGTATATATATATATATGTATGTATATAGTAAATACATATGTATATATATATATTATGATATATAAATATACAATAACACACACATATGTATAAATATGTATGCGTGTAACGTAATGTCATGTCATGTAATGTAATGTAATGTGATGTAATGTAATGTAATGTAATGTTTGGGATTTACTGTAATTAAGGTGTGTATGTATGTATGTATGTCTGCCTGTCTGTCTGTACGTATGTATGTATGCATGCATGCATGTATGTATGTATGTTTGTGTATGTATGTATGTATGTATGTATGTGTGTATGTGTGTATGTGTGTATGTGTGTATGTATGTATGTATGTATGCATGCATAAATGCATGTATGCATGTATGTATGTATGTGTGTGTTTCTTTATGTATGTATGTATGTATGTTTGTACGTATGTATGCATGTAAGTACTGTTTGTGTGTGTATGTATGTACGTATGTATGCATGTATGTATGTATCTTTTTATCTATGCATCTATCTATGTATATAAATAAATGTATGTATGTATGTAATGTTATGTTATGTTATGCTATGTTATGGTTTGTTGTGTCATGTCATGTTTTGTTATGTTAAGTCATGGCATGTTATGTTATGTGTTGTTCTGTTATGTTATGTTAAGTTTGGTAGTGGATGGTAATGTAATGAAATGTAGTGTAGTGTAATTTAATTTATGGAATGTAACGTGATGTAATGCAAAGTAATGTAAATGCAAGGTAATGTACTGTAATGTAATGCAATGTATGGTAATGTACTGCAATGTAAAGTAGTGTAAATGTAATGTAATGTAATTTAATGCATGGTAACCTAATGTAATGTACATGTAATGTAATGTACTGTGAAGTAATGTAATGTAATGTAACGTAATGTAATGTAATGTAATGTATGTAATGTGAATGTAATGAAATGTAATGTGTTGCAATGAAATGTAATGTAATGTAATGTAATCTAATGTTTGGTAATGCAATGTAATGTAATTAATGTAATGTAATGTATGGTAATGTAATGTAATGTAATGCAAAGTCCTGTAATGTAATGTAATGTGAATGGGAATGTGAATGTAATGTAATGTAATGTGTTGTAATGTAACGTAGTGTAACCTAATGTTTGGTAATGTAATGTAATGTAATGTAATGTTTGGTAATGTAATGTAATGTAATGTATGGTACTGTAATTTAATGTAATGTGATGTGATGTGATGTAAGGTAATGTAATGTAATGTAATGTATGGTCATGTAATGTACTGTAATGTAAAGTAATGTGGTGTAATGCAATGTAATGTAATGTAATGTATGGTAATGTAATGTAATGTAAATGTAATTTCAATCTAATCTAATGTAATGTAATGTAGTGTATGGTAATGTAATGTAATGCAGTGTAATGTACTGTAATGTATGGTAATGTAATGTAATGTATTGTAATTGTAGTTTGAATCTAATGTAATGTAAATGTACTGTGAATCTAATGTAATGCAATGTAATGTAATGCAAATGTAATGTAATGTAATGTAATGCAATGTAATGTAATGTAATGTAATGTATGGTAATGTAATGTAATGTAATGCAATGTACTGTAATGTACTGTATAATGTATGGCAATGTAATGTAATGTAATGCAATGTAATGCAATGTAATGCAATGTACTGTAATGTATGGTAATGCAAATGACTGTAACGTATGGTAATGTAATGTAATGTGTTGTAATGTAATGTAATGCAATGTACTGTAATGTAAGGTAATGTAATGTAATGTATGGTAAGGTAATGTAATGTAATGTATGGTAAGGTAATGTAATGTAATGTAATTTAATGTAATGTAATGTATGGTAAGGTAATGTAATGCAATGCAATGTAATGCAATGTACTGTAATGTATGGTAATGCAAATTACTGTAATGTAAGGTAATGTAATGTAATGCAATGTGCTGTAATGTATGGTAATGTAATGTAATGCAATGTAATGCAATGTAATGTAATTTATGGTAATGTAATGTAATGCAATGTAATGTAATGCAATGTAATGTAATGTATGGTAATGTAATGTAATGTAATGCAATGTAATGTAATGCAATGTAATGTAATGTAATGTATGGTAATGTAATGTAATGTAATGCAATGCAATGTAATGTAATGTATGGTAATGTAATGTAATGTAATGCAATGCAATGTAATGTAATGTAATGTAATGCAATGTAATGCAATGTAATGTAATGCATGGTAATGTAATGTAACGCAATGCAATGTAATGTAATGTATGGTAATGTAATGTAATGTAATGCAATGCAATGTAATGTAATGCAATGTAATGCAATGTAATGTAATGCATGGTAATGTAATGTAACGTAATGCAATGTAATGTAATGTATGGTAATGTAATGTAATGCAATGTAATGTAATGTAATGCAATGTAATATAATGGATGGTAATGTAATGTAATTTAATGCAATGCAATGTAATGTAATGTAATGCAATGTAATGCAATGTAATGCAATGCATGGTAATGTAATGTAACGTAATGCAATGTAATGTAATGTATGGTAATGTAATGTAATGCAATGTAATGTAATGTAATGTAATGTATGTACTATGGGATTATATCCCCATTCCATAGGGATGATCGTTTTCCATAAATTTTCCCATCTCTGATCTCCCAGATTTCGATGGCAAGGCCTGCAGAGCATGTCCACCAGGAAGTCGGTGCGGTCTTCGATGTCTCTGGAGGCGCCGATGTGAAGCGTGGGAACGTGTTGGTGCAACGAAATATGCAAGAAGGGTTCAAGAAGGGGGCAAGAGATAGAGAGGGAGAGATACAGAACAGAATGACAGAATAGAATTAGAATAGACTAGAGAACAGAGTAAAATACAGTAGACTAAAATTTGAACAGAATACATAGATTAGATAGATTTGAGTATGAGCACCCTAGATTAGATCCGATATATTTCAAGATATATGTTTTAGATAATTTTCAGCTCTTATCTTGACGAAAAACACAATTCGATTGTGGGGGAAGGAAGATGCATCAGTTGGTGTGCGGCAACCACACATTTCAAGCAAAGCAAACTCATTTGGATTTGCAGCAAGATTTTGTGGATCAGGGTACATTCTTTGAGCTCGTCGTACATATTTTTTGGATGCAGTGCGTGCGTGTTTGTGCTCTGTGTGTTTGTGCAGGCCTTCCAATCTGTCATATCGATGCGAAGCGAGCAGGCCTTTGGGGAAGATGATGGACACAATTTTTCAGCTTTATGAATCAGTTTGCTCTGTTTTTGTCATCGCTTCATGAGCAGTTTGAACATGTTCGGATGTGTTTGTTCCTTCATTTTCACAGCCTTTGAACAGGAGCAGGGCCAGGGCCTAAGTATCAAGAAACACATGGAACAGATCAGTAGTGCTTACGGCCTTCGTAAAACACTGAACTGTTGCATGACACCAAATCGGGCGGGAACAGTTTGGCTGCACAGCTGGATATATAAAAAGATAACAGCAACCAGTAACGAGACCACACAAGTCCATGGGTGATTTCCTGATGGGCTTGTGGTCGCTTGGCAAGTGCATGCGTTTCCATACACAACATGTGATGACAAACAAATGAACATTGCTTTAATTATAATTGCTTGTGTTTCTGTAGATTTGTCCGGTGGCTAGTTCTCATATCATAGGGTCATAGGGTTGTTTGTTTTAGAGAGGAAACCAATGGTTAGGATGTCTCCCATTGCGTGTAGGTCATCAACCCCACCCAAAAACTCTGCATCCGAGACCTATCCAGCGAGAGGGGCATTTTACTGGAGATCAGACGTGCAATGACCAAGTTGAAACGGAAATGCAGAGTAATCCTGTCACGTTTATGATAAGTGATCACGAGTGTTCAGCCTTTGAAGCTTAAGTCTGACACTTATTTTTTTAAAATGTACATCGTCATGTTTTATGTGATATATATATATACACATACATATATACACGTATATACATATATATGATATGTATAATAATCATCATTGGTTGACCATTATTTCATAACCGCCAGGTGCTGGAGGGCCAATGGGTTGAGCAACCCAGAATGATGCTTCCGCGCCTCGAGAAACAGTGCAGATTCCTCAGTTCTTGGTGTCTACTGGGGACCACAAGGCTGTCAGATGGAAGAAATGCGGCTGATTTTTGATGGAGTAAAATCAGCATTTGGGATGATGGCATGGGAATGTACAGTTTCAATTTTCAACTGGGTCAAACTGAATGATTTTCCCAATCAACTGTCCGCTATAGTCCATCACTTGCTCCAGCGAGGCCGGACTCTCCGAACCAAAGTGGAGGCCACGAGGGCTATATTTAGGTGAGCCTCAGCATGTCAACAAGTCCCATTCGTTTGTAATATTTTGTATTGTCGTTTCTTTGTTTGAAGGACAAATTTCACGAAACTGAAACGACCAGACAGAAGTTGTTGGCTCCTCAGCTCTGACAGCTTCTGAAATGGCTCAAAAAATGTTAATGAATCGAAGAAGAGAAATGCGATAAAGATTGATACTGTACTGGATACTGCAATAGAATGCAATAAACGTCTCGCAGACTTTCGCAAAGCAGACAAGGGCATGGTGTTGAGGTGTGAAGCTGACGCGCGGTGGCAGCGAAGCCGGGATGGTTATGAGCCAACTCTCGTGGACCTCGAATTGCAGGTGCCTTTCGACCATCCTTTTTCGCTTTCAGCTTTGATATAGAGATTGTATGATATTGTAGCAAGTTTTGACCAGCATACGTAGCAACATGGGGAAGATACTCCGAAGCCATAGGTTTCCCGTGCCAAATTCCACTTTATAATATCTATCATATATATGAGAAAGTTTGAGCATTGCATCAGAACCCTTGGCATGTCATTTCACCTGCTTGCATGTACAGGACACTTTCAATGTGTGACCGCAGGCCTAAGCCATTCTGGTTCCGACGTCAAAGGCAAAAGGGCGCCTTGCATCTGCAACAGGTTGCACCTGTGCATTTTCAGTGGCACCGGAGCCTTTACCGATCCTTGCACCTTGCCATAGCCGCTGCGCCGCTCCACTTGCTTGCTCGGGTCATCAACCACCTCACCTTCGACATCTTTGACTTTGCCCTCGGTGGATTGCTTCACCTTGGATCCAAAGGTCTCTGTGTTGGACGGTGAGCTCCAGGTCTTTTACTTCAACGTTACTGCCTAAGGCATCGCTGTTGGATTTGACCTGACAATCGGGCTTTTGCACTTTGCATTGCAACGCTGTTCATCCTACCTCCTGGCCTTTGACTCCTGCGGATTCTGGTTTTGGAATTTGGATTGGACTTAGCATTGCTTGGTGTCCGAGCCCTACCTTTTCACCTTGCTGGCACCAGCTAGGGTGCCGAGTGGTAACTAGGCCACTCCTTTTTGCAAGAGCTTTTACAATTTTGGTTTTACCTGGCCATTTTGGCCCTGCCTCTTCGTCGTCATCATGGCGGAGGAGGACAAAGGTACCTCTTCGTGGTACAAAGTGCCTACGTGGTCTGGCGACCCATCGGAATGGCGAAGCTTCAAACGTGAAATGGAATGGTGGTTAGCTTCCTTAGACCCTGAGAGTTGCAAGAAATACAACGTTGCAGCCCGTTGGGCACTGAGGCAGAGCGGAGTTGTTCGAGCTCGCTGTGAAGAGTTCGACCCTGCAGATTTGAAAGGAACTACAGAGGTGCGACGTGCCGATCCTGATACAGGAGCTGAGGTTGTTGCAGAAGAAGCTGATCCCTTTTCTGGCATCCGAAAGCTTCTGTCAGCACTGGAAGCTAGCATGGGTCGCACTGAGATGGATCGCAAAGCTGAGTTGCGAAAGCAGTTCTACCAGACGATCCGTCGCTCTGCAGGTGAAAGAATCTCCACTTTCTGCACCAGATACCGAACGCTGATCGGTGAAATGCGCAGGGAAGGCATAACACTTCCTGCAGGTGAACTTGGTTGGTTTCTCAAGGACCGTTTGGGTTTGGACGCACTTCGAATTCAACTCCTTGACACAGCGCTTCAAGGAAAAGAGGATTACGAAGAAGTGGAACGAGAAGTTTTGAGGTTGTTTAGAGATTTGCATGTTTCTGACCCCCTCTACAAGTCCAAGCCGGTTGGTGGGAATGACAACAAATCCTACCCACTTCAGCGTTTCCTTCAAAGTAGCAATCAACATGGCCTGCGAAGTGGCGCCCCTTCCAGCGCTGGATCTTCAGTCAAGTCCTTCAAGACTTCCAGCTCCTACCGTTTTGGAAGGCCCAGTTCCTCTGCCAGCAGCGGCCGTCAGGCCTATGTGGTTGAGGATGCAACTGAAGTTGAGCCTGAGGGCGATGAGGAGCTGATTCCTGATGACGGAGTTGGAAATGCAAATGGTCCGAACCTGGAAGAAGTTTTGCAATGCGAGGCTGAGGTTTTGGCTGCAGAGATACAAGAGTTGGAAGAAAGCGGTGAATTTGACACCGCAGTCTTAGAAGAACTTGAAGCTGGAGTTGAACAAGCAGCTGAATCCCTTGTCACTATGCGGGAAGCTCGGTCCCGCATCAACAAGATCAAGCGGGACCGCGGTTTTGGTCGCGCTCCTGCTGGGTCCAAACCAAAGCTGAATGGGAATCAGGTTGAAAAGAAGAAAACCAAGACGCAATGTTGGGATTGCGGTGAATTTGGGCACTGGGGAGGAGACCCACAATGCCCTAAGCCTGGGGCGGGACTTCACAAACCCAAGCAGGCTGGCAAACGCCCCGCTGTTCAGAAGCATGTGAAAGTTGTTGAAAGCTTGAATACAGAACATGTGCTGGATGAGCCGCCCGTCTCCAACGAGATCAACATGGTTCATCACGATAGCATGCGATTTGAGGAAGCCTTGGAATCCTCAAAGCAGGAAGACAAGCCCGTGCCTGGCCTGTCGAGAGACAAAGTTTTGATGGGCGCTTTGGACTCTGCATGCAATCGCACATGTGCTGGTGAAGTTTGGATTCAGCACTTTCTGCTGACCTTGCAACATGCACCCCCGGAAGTTCAAGCAATTGTGGCAACTGCTGAGGAGAATGAGCTCTTCAGATTTGGCAACGGGGGCACTCAGAGAAGCAGCGTGAGGTATAGATTGCCAGTGATGGTTGGAAACAACTTGTTAGCAGTTTGGGTTAGCGTGGTGAAAGTTCCTAGCCTCGGTTTGCTGTTGGGACGTGACTTCTTGGACGGAATTGGAGCCATGATTTCGTTTACCAAGCAGAAGCTGCGCCCTGACTTTTTGGATGGCAAGCTCATCAGTTTGTCCCAGGTCGCAGCTGGGCATTTTGCTTTGAGCCTGGTGCCTTCGACCTGGCCGAGGCTCGGTGGTTTGAGATGGCGTCGTTGGGGGCCTGATGGAATTTTAGAGCAACAGATCACCTCACAAGCATGGTTGTCACGCAAGTTGAACATGTCAAAGCAGTTTGAAAAGCATGGTGGCAGTCATGAACATTTGGTGACTGAGCAGGGTTTCAATGCAGCACACCTGGCAGTGCTGACCTTTCCCTTGCCTGGCCCTTCGGTTCAAGCTATGTCTCTCAAGACGCAGCCATCACGACCGACGACATCTCCTACGAGTTCCGAAGTTGGTGTGCCGACTTCGACATCGCCTGTGACGAGCCCTACGACCAGTCATGGACCAAGCACCAAAGGCCAAAGCAAGCTCCGAAAGCCGATGGTGTCGAATGGCACTCCGGCTGGCCATTCGCGCTCAATGGCACGCATCTGGGCTGCTCTTATGGCTTGTGCAGCGGCCTGCAATCAGATACTTGCCGTTCCCCTTGCCGGCAACAACCAATCCGGAGCAGTGGGCGCAACAAATCAAGGACATGGTGCTGGACAAGTCCTTGGTGAAGAAACATGGAGAAAAGGCCCTGACCATGGGCTTGTGTACGGCCAAGAATCTCCAAGAATGCAGCGGTTTCCGCAACCGAGTTGGCTGGAAGTTGGCGTTCTTAGAAAGCCCCCTGTTGGATGGCATGCTCGCAGCCCGCTACATGAAGGGCCAAGCTGCAAAGCTTCGCAAGGAGATGTTGCGAGAGGCCAAGGAAGAGGCCGCCAAGTTGGAAGCAGCTGGAACGAAAGAGCAAGCCATGCGACAGCTGATCGGGCCGAAGGGCGGTCTGCCCACCCTCAAAGGAGACTTGCTCAAGCTGGGCGCTCTCCTCAACTTGGAATTGAACGACCAGATGAAGGTCGAGCAGATCAAAGAGGCCATCAAGCCAATGTTGGCAACTTTGAAAGGCGTCGCAACCTCCAGCAGCTCATCAGACGCTGTGGACGCAAAAGCGAAAGTGGCTGCGAAGAGAGGAGCCAAACCAAAGACGCAAAGTGCGCCACCTCCACGTCCTCTTGCGGATCATCCTGCAGAACCTTCTCTCTCCTCCGCAAACACGACAGCAGAAATCCAAGCAATGTTGGCACAGCAAGAGCTGCGATTCCAGTCCATGATGAATCAGATGATGCAACACATGGTGTCCTTGCAGCAAGTGCCAGCAGCTGCGGTCCCGAGGGATTTCACAGACGAGGAGATGCGCGAGATCAATGCCGCCTATGCGGACCAGCTGGAGGAGGAGCAACTTTGGGCAGTGCATGGCGAAGAGATGGAATGGATGACACCGGCCGAGAGAGCCGATGCGGTGGATCATCTTTCTTGAGCCCTCCGAATGGACTTCAAGGTGCTGGTGACGATGGACTTCGAGACACTGCTCCTGCAGTGGCAAGGCCCCTTCGACTTGGACTTTCTGGGGCCGGGGTCGATGGATTTCGAATACCCAAGGAATCAAAGCCTCTTGGACTTTCTGAGGCTCGGGCCGATGGACTTCGAATGCCCGATGAACCCAGCACCTCGGAGTGGCGACTTGAAGCTGACCGCATCAAAACCGGTCAAGCACAGCAGATTGCCCAAGCCTGGCAAAAGCACAAACGTGACCAGGAGCTGATTTCCAAGGGTGATGTTCATGCGGTGATGCAAGCTGAATGGATGGGTGAGATGGAATCATGCCTCAATGAATGTTTTGTCTCCTCACTTGTCCTGGCCCCTGGACTTCGGCCACCCCCTGAGCCTGACGGCGTCTTTGTCTCTGAGGTTTTCACGACAGTTCAGAGAATCATCAAGGAAGCCGCCAACAAAGGCCATTCAGTTGGCTCTGCCATGTCACTTGAGACTGGTTGGAATTTTCTGAAAGCAGCTGACCGCAAAGCTGCGAAGGAGGTGGTCATGAAGGAAAAGCCTTATTTGCTGGCTTTAGCATTTCCCTGTGGACCTTGGTCTGCTTTGATGAGATTGAATCCGTCCAAAGACCTTGCCCTACGGCGTGCTGAAGGACGTGTTCTCATCAAGTTTGCAATCGAGTTAGCCGAGCTGCAGCTTCGACATGGCAGGCATTTTCTTTTGGAAAACCCATTGACAGCGGAGTCATGGAGCCTGGCAGAGCTGAAGCGTTTTCTTCGGCGACTTGAATGCCACCAAGCAGTTTTCGATCAGTGCCGTTTCAAACTGCGTGGGCCATCTGGACTTTTGCACAAGAAGCCCACGAAGGTTGTCACCAGCTCAGAGAAGATAGCTGATCGCTTGGATGGCAAACGATGCAACAAAGACCATGAGCATGAACATGTGATGGGAGGATCACGTGTCACAGCTGCTGCTGGACTTTACACCAAAGAGCTGGCACGTGAGATCATCAAGGGCTTGGAGGAAGAGTTTGAAAAGACCTATGGATGTGGCTTCATCCATGAGACATTGGCAGTTGATGGAGCTGAGACTGATGGCGACCTTGAAGAAGCCTTGGATCGCGAAGTCGATCCCCCAATGGAATTTAGAGACATCGATGAAAGCGACGATGAAGCTCAAGTTCTACCAGCAAACATGAAGGTTTCAGCGGCAGTCAAGGAGGCCGTGAAGAAGCTTCACTGCAACACTGGCCATCGCTCCAATAGGCGATTGGCTCGTTCACTCGCCATTGCGGGTGCGCCACCTGAGGCGATAGCAGCCGCCAAAACGCTTCAATGCTCCATATGCCAAGAGAGACGTCCTCCACGTGCCCGACGTCCTGCCACCTTGCCTACTCCAAAAGATGCTGGAGACCAAGTTCACATAGATCTCTTCGAGTTGCATGATTTGGCTGAGAACCGTTTTTATGTCGCTCATGCGATCGACAGTGTCAGCAAATTTCAAATGGCTGAAGTGCTCAAGGACAAATCTGCTGACGCTGTGGTGAACTTCATGGTTCGCCGATGGATGCCAATCTTCGGCCCTCCGAGAGTTTTGGTGGCGGATCAGGGACGTGAGTTCATTTCTTGGAAGTTTGAAGAAATGGCTGCACAGCACTCAATTTTGCTGTGGCACACGGCAGTGCAAGCCCCGTGGCAGAATGGTGTCTGTGAGAAAGGTGGTGGAATTTTGAAAGCCATCGCAACAGCAGTCATCAAAAGCCAATCCTTGCTTGGAGCTGACGATGTCGACCTAGCCGTTCAAGAAGCAGTCATGGCCTACAACAGCGACATCAATGAAGCTGGTGTCACACCGGCGCAGGCTGCATTGGGCCGTCAGCCCAGGATGATTGGTGATGTTTTGGGTGATTTTGGACAGCGGTTGTCCGAGCATGGTTTGGTCGAATGCCGGCCCTCATTTGCCAGACAAGTTGCAATGCGTGAAGTTGCAAAGCTTGCCATGCTGAGGTTGCATTTTTCAAGAGGTTTGAGAAGAGCTGAAATGGCCAGGTCACGCACTCCAACTGTGACCGATGCCCAAGCCTTGCAGCCTGGTATGATAGTTTACTACTACCGCATGAGCAAATACAACAGCAAGACAGGTCCTTCGAAGCGCAAGCTCAGCCTGAAGCGTTGGCATGGTCCTGGACTTTTAGTGGCCATGGAAGGACACAGCAACTGTTTCATTTCCCACAAGGGTCAACTTGTCAAAGCTGCAATTGAGCATGTTCGCAAAGCCTCCACTATGGAGCAAATCACCATGGAAGAGTGGGAGTCTGCGATACAAGATGTTGTGGAAGCTGCAATGAATGACCGAGACGGTGGAGTTCAAGGCCCTCTAGTGGTTGAGCCTCCTGTTGAAGGTGGAGAAGCCTATGCTGACCAAGGTGCTGCCAATCAACCTGCCGAAGAACACGCACCTGCTTCTGTTGCTCTCCAACCTCAAGAACTTGTTGCTGCAGTTGCACCGGCCTTGTCTCAACCTGTTGCCAGCGCGCCCCCCTCGAGACGTAGCAGTTTGTTGAGCAGCATTCCTGGACTTCCAGTGCAACCTTCCGTTGGACTTTCCAGGCCTCAAGTTGCACGCAGTGGTTCCAGAACGCCGAGAACGCCGAGATCTCAGTTGCCCCGCAGCAGACCTGAAGCTGCTGCAAGCCAAGCTCCTAGTGAAGCTGAAGTTGTGGATGAGAGTCGCAAGCGCGCCTCTGATGTTCCAGTCGAACGTCTTCAAGATGCTGAAGGCAACCCGCCTCCTGAAGCACCTGGAGAATCCCATGAAACCTTGAAGGTTTCCACAGTTTCAGAAAGCCTGAATGACTATGAGCACCCGCTCAAGCAGATCGTGCGATTGGCCGAGCAAGACAAGAAGCAGCCGTTGGATCATGCCCCCGATGATCATGGTTCTTGGGATGGTCGTTGGCCGCTGCCAAGCAGATCTGAATGGATGGCTCATGAGCACTATGGTATTCCCTGGCCTTCTGGAAGTGCTGAAGTGAATGCGGTGCAGACCGCGAGAAAAGAATACAAATGGCCTGAGATGAATGAGAGCTACAAGGAAAGTTTTCGCCTTGCAGCTGCTGATGGCTGGCGAGTTTGGGTTGACAATTCAGCTGTCGAAGTTCTTTCGCCAAAAGAAGCCCGAGAAATTCGCCAGCGACTGAAACTCCGTGGCGAAGGCCACAAGATACTGACACCGAGGTTCGTCTTCACAGACAAGCACGACGGACTTCGCACCTCAACCAATAACCTTGGATTGAAAGCCTCTGCAAGATTAGTGGTTCCCGGATACCGTGACCTGACAGCTCATGTTTTGCGAAAAGACGCCCCGACGTGTTCAAGGGTGAGTTTCCACTTGCTGTTAGTTTTCACAAGTTCCCGGAGATGGATTTTGCTGAGCGCTGACGTGAAGTCAGCTTTCTTGAAAGGAGAAGAGTTTGCCCCAGGTGAGAGAGAACTTTACCTGGGCCAGATCAAAGTCAAAGATGGCGATGAGCCGCTTCTACCTCTTGGTGAAGGCCAACTTGCAAGACTGAGAAAAGGGATTTTTGGGTTGAGCGATAGCCCAAGGCGATGGTACCTTCGTCTTCACAAATCCTTGACGAAGTTGGGTTGGCAGAGATCTTCACTGGATGCTGCGATGTGGTTTCTTTGGAGTGATGATGGTAAGACTATGGAAGGCATCGTGGTGAGCCATGTGGATGATTTGCTGATGGGTGGAAGCCCGGTGGCGATTGCTTCCCTGGAAGCACTTGGCAGAGAATTGGGATTTGGTTCGTTGGAACGTGGATCCTTTGTGTACTGCGGCAAGCGCATCACACAACATGCTGACCACTCCATCTCCATTGACATGAAGGAGTACCATGAGAACCTGGCGCCTGCAGTTGTTCCTATGCACCGGCGCCGCACTCCTGATGCTCCGCTGACTCCAGATGAGCAGAAGAAACTCAGAGCTTTGTTAGGAAGTTTGCAATGGTTGGTTTCCCAACTTAGGGCTGATTTAGGTTTTCAGTTGTCCACCTTACAAGGGGATAAGCAAGTTGTGGGGACGTTACTCAAAGCAAACTCGCTTGTTCGCCAAGCAAAACTGCAATCTGATTTCGCGCTCCGCTACGTTCCCCAAGACCTTGCACGATGTGGGCTGATGGTTGTGACCGACGCCTCTCTGGGGAATGTGACGAAGGCTGGAAGCAGTGAAGGAGAGTTGGTGGAAAGAGTTTTCAGCCAGGCGACCTACGTCATTTTGCTGGCTGATGAACAGTTGATGGAAGGAAAGCCTGGTCGATTCAACCTGATCGACGCCAGAAGCCATAGACTTGGAAGAGTCTGCAGATCAACCTTCGGCGCAGAACTTCTTGCGTCTGAGGAAGGTTTGGATGCTGGACATTTCTGCAGAGGAGCCTTTGCTGAGATGTTGGGCTACCCCATGGAAAAGCCGTTTGCTGAGCAGAGCATGGACTTGATCCCTTTGCAGATGGTGACCGATGCAAAAGACAACTATGACAAGTGCAACAGTGACACTCCGACGTATGGAAGTCAGAAAAGCCTTGCATTCACCATAGCTTGGATCCGCAGCATGCTACGCCGAGACTCCACCATGATGAAGTGGACCGCCACCGACAACATGTTCGTGGATGGAGGCACGAAGCTGATGAAACTGGATCACATGGCCCGGATTTTGCAATCCAATGAGTGGTGTGTAACATTTTCCCCTGGCTTTGTAAAGCAAACAGTCAAGAAACCGACTAAGACAGCCAGTAGCTTAGATAGCTTAGTCTTAGGCCGAGCCGTAGATGCAAGCGACCCAATTTTTGGCCATTTGCTGGGCCTTAGCGAATTGGCAGGTTGGCACAACAAAGGTGCCTACAAAGTGCACGTGGCAAAGAATGCACGTTCGTATAGAACTCCAGAGCCGAGATTTGAAGCCTCAAAGTACCCGCACAGAAGTACTTTTGGCAAATTCGTTGACCCCAACGGCCACGCAGAATGGCGACAGTTGGAAGATCGAAAGGCCTATGTTGGTTTGCCCAATCGACATGAGGCATTAGGAAGCGTTGCCAACACACTGATTACAGTGTTCATGCCCTGGGTTCTTCAGCAACAAGAAAATATACCAGCTGAGAAAGTTTGAGCATTGCATCAGAACCCTTGGCATGTCATTTCACCTGCTTGCATGTACAGGACACTTTGAATGTGTGACCGCAGGCCTAAGCCATTCTGGTTCCGACGTCAAAGGCAAAAGGGCGCCTTGCATCTGCAACAGGTTGCACCTGTGCATTTTCAATATATATATATACACACACACATACAATATTATCAGAATGATATCTGAGAGATTATGAGAGTATATAACTATTTTGGCAGTTGTCCTTGGGTGTCCAGCTTTGGAGCCGCGATCGGAGGCTTGGGATACACGCGTGGAGTTGGCCAAGAGCGTGATCCGATGGGTGCGGCGAGATCGCAAGGAACAGCAGGTGGAATGGAACGCACGGATGGCGAAATACCATGCGGACAAGGCGACGTCTTGGACGGACGCACTGCTTTGACTACCCAGATTCAAGATGATTCAAGCATGGATCACTTCTCCTGAAATTCCTCAGTATGATGAAACCCCAATTGACTGCATCATTCCAAAAGTTTGGAATGGGTTGAAATCACCAAGTTCATCTCTTGATGAAAATCACTTGCATCATTTCCTTTGACTCGATGCAGACCCGCATGCGCGGGAACTTTGACTACACTTTGCGTCGGTGGCGGGAAGACGGCTGTTGGCGCCGAAGCTGCAAAATTTAGGGGTATTGATTGTGATTGGATGGAGTGAGATGGAGTTGATACATTCAAACTTGGAACATTAAGAGTTGAGTGGTCATTATTTTTGTATATGGTTATGTCTGAAAATGGGGTATACCACCAATTATAGCCATTTAGTAGGGATAATGATCAGCAAAACCATTGGGTGTAGGGGTACACTATTTTCAGACAAACCCATATCTTTGGCAGAACAACAAGATACTTCTCTGCTTGGTCACACTTCCAGAGCTGAGGACATCTCCAGGACTGCAGGGAGTTGCAGACCGCACTGCAAAACGTTTCCGTCCGTCTCAAAATGGAAGACCCAATGGCCCCAAAACGATGAAATCGTGTGAATTAATAGATATAAACATGTATAAACCACGGCATTTTGGTGATTTTGTACAGATTTTTCTGGAAAGGATTCAATCCCTGGAAAGCCAGCCTCGCCTTCACGCCAGACTCGCTACATCAGGTCAGGGGCTGTTTCTGAACTCGATTGGAAGTGGATGTTTTCCACTTGTAGTGAAAGATTGCTGTTTGTCTCACCATGGCTCCTTTTGCCAGGCTGGCAGGTTTTGGTTATGGTTGTGGTTGTGGTTGTCGTCGTTGTCGTTGTCTTTATCGTCGTGGAGCAGGTGTGAACAACAGCTCCACATATTGTGGTGACACCAACAGCTCCAGGCTGATGAAGATCGAACTCAAGCTGGGAGCGTGTCTCAATATTTTCATCAGATCCAGTGGTGCCATGATGTACCATGAGCAGATTGGAGTGAATGCCTAAACGCCACATCTTGGGACATACCATGTAGCCAAGGTCAATGTTTTGAGTTCCAAAAAGGTGGAAGTTGCTGGCAAGAAACATGTTATCAGGGGTCTCTGGGTTGATTGCTGAGGAAAGTCCAAGTTGACCAGGGCCTTACAATCTCCGGTGCGCTTTATACTTCCATGTTTCGGCTGGCATATTTGTCTTCAAATGTGTCTTGGACGATGCTGACATATGCTGACATTTGCCGAAGCAGCTGCGTAGGCTTGACGCGTGCCTACCTCATCAACCAGGCCAGGTTTCTGCACTTGTGTGAAGTCAGTACAATCCATAGTTGGAATATGTTGGAATATGTTGGAATATGTTGGAATAGTTGGAACTCACTTTCCCCATCCTTTTAATTAATAGCCCTCAGCTGACCAACATTAGAACATCTATATACATCCATGTCATCAAAGATTAGAACATAAACGTACACACACACAAAACATCACAAAACCATATTCATAACAACCTAGCACACCATTCAACAACATCAGTTGTATTATGCAATTTCACCACAACAAACCATCGGCATAAATTTCATCAAAGGCTGGGAATAGATCATAAAATGATTTCTGGGGAAAGAAACATGGGAAAACTCAACGGATACAAGAAGGAATTTGACATAATTTTGCACTATGATAATTATTGGGTAAGATAGGGTACAGTAAATTTATTCTTCATAGGGCCTATAGGGTACTGTATGAGGAATTGAATTAATCACTATCAGGGATGAGGTCATTTTTAGAGATCAGATTGGCAGTTTCTCCAGAATTTTCATGGTTTTCCATTGTTATGTCAGGAAAAGTTGCTGGACAATGTCAAGCGGCCCTTGGGAAACCGCTGGGAGCTTTTGAGGACCAGAAGCGGCATAATTTTTTGACATGGACGGTTCTTCGAAGAATGGCTTGCATAAATTGTGCATGTGTATAATGTTGGTAAAGCAAAAATAAGCCACCCCCTAAATCAGAATAAATGGGTGGTATAAACCATCAAAATATGGGTGGTTTATTTTTGCTTTACCAACATTAGAGTCTCAAAAATTGACCATCTCTCCGAGAAGCCCCAGCTGTTGCCTCATGTTGTCACTTTGCATGGTGACCGTGGATTGCTTTGGCCACGCAGGAGACAGTATGTGCGAAACTCAAGCCACAGGGTCAGTCTCGAGTCTGTACTCTCCTAGGTATGGTTCTTGTCAGTAATGACAGGTTTGGAAATCATGGGCCTGTTGCTATTTGCAGAATGTTCCAAGATGTGGTCTCCAAACCTTGCTTGGAACTCCCCAGGCCAACTATTGCAGCATCCTGGAGGGACAGATTGAGCATTGGTTTCGTTCTTGGCATCAGAATATGTTGCGAAGTTTTAGTGTAGAGATGTGTAGAGTAATTTGAGTATGATGCATATTTCGAACATTTTCGAATCAGCTGGGAGTGGAGGCTGCGTGGGGACTTTCTCGGACCAGTCTTGAGACAAGTGCGAGATTTGACAGGTCTGGCCCCTATGTCTCTTCCTCCTCCGGGCATTTCCTCACTTCCAAATCACAGTCTCTGCTGAACGCTGCTTCTCTGTCCCCTTTGCTCATCGCAATTTCGCCCACCCGCTTCCAGGTCATTTGAATACCTTCGTCCAAGAGGTCTTGCTGAGTCCGCTGTGATGTTGATTGAGGTTGAATTAGTTTTGAAACTTCTTTCGCACGCGCTAATTGCGCTACAGCTTTCAGGTGCTGGAGCAGTTGGAGGATCTCCGCGAAGGGGCTGTCACGGACCTTCACATGCCCAGTCTCCAGGCAGGACGTAGAAATATTACCCAGTTAAGCAGAGAGGCTTTCAAAATCTTTCAAAGTTCTCCGAGTCTTTGGACACAAAGTTTCACAGGATTTGGCTGGTCCATTTTTCCTTTCCAAAGCAGAGGACAGCATTGTTCTCCTTTGGCAAATAATTCAAGTGTCAAGGATGTCTGACTGTGTCCAATGCAGGGCGAACACAGCCCCGACCAAGAAGGACCTTCAGGGGAATGGTGCATCACACGAGAGAATTTTGTATAATTTTCTCGTGCGCCGAAGAAACAGGAGGAGCTGCGAGAAGATCAGTGAAGGTAAGAGAGAGCAGCAACTTGGTGGCAGACGGGAGTACCTGTATGTAGATGGTCACAGTTATAGATGTACCAGTAGTACTGCACAAGGCGGTTGCGGAAGTTTCAAAAATAGGACACCTATAGGAGAGGTTGGTTGTTGTGAATCACGGATGGCAGAGAGAATCCACTGATGGACTGAAAGGTGGTTGGAGTTGTGTTTTTTTCTGAGTGGTTACAATGGTTGCGGTCGTCACCTGGTGGGTCACCTCACCCACGACTCCTGTATGTAGTGTGGTGTAGTGCAGCTGTAGTTGTAGTTGTAGTGTAGTGGAGTTGTAGTTGTGGTGTAGTGTAATTAGTGTAGTGTAGTGTAGTTGCAGTTGCATATGTGGTGGTGTAATGAGTGTAGTGTAATGTAATGTAGGGTAGCGTAGTGTAGTGTAGTCTAGTGTAGTGTAGTCTAGTGTAGTGTAGTGTAAAGTAGCGTAGTTGTAGCTGTAGCTGTAGTTGTAGTTAGTGTAGTGTAGTGTTGTGTAGTGTAGTGTGGTGCGGTGTGGTGTGGTGTAGTGTAGTGTAGTGTAGTGTAATGTAGTGTAGTGTAATGTAATGTAATGTAATGTAATGAATGTAATGTAGTTTAATGTAGTGTAGTTGTAGCTGTAGTTGTAGTTGTAGCTGTAGTTGTAGTTGTAGCTGTAGTTAGTGTAGTGTGGTGTAATGTAGTGTAGTGTAATGTAATTAGCGTAGTGTGATGTAATGAGTGTAGTGTAGTATAGTGTAATGTAGTGTACTTGTAGTTGTACTTGTAGTTGTAGTGTAGTGTAGTTGTAGTTGTCATTCTAGTTGTGGTTGTAGTTACGTAGTGTAGTGTAGTGTAGTATAGTGCAATGTAATTGAGTGTAGTGTAGTGTGGTGTGGTGTGGTGTAGTGTAGTGTAGTCTAGTGGAGTGTAGTGTAGTGTAATGTAGTGTAGCTGTAGTTGTAGTTGTAGCCGTAGTTGTAGTTGTACAGTAGTTGTAGTTGTAGTGTAGTGTAGTGTAGTGCAATGTAGTGGAGTGGAGTGGAGTGGAGTGGAGTGGAGTGTAGTAATGGTTGTAGTTGAAACTGCTACAAAACCTTCACCTTTTTCTGAGTTTTCATCCCTTGCGCCTGCCACGCAAAACGACATCTGAACATCCAAAAGTGGTCCGAACATGTGGTGCTTTAAACATTTTGACTTGGAAATGTGCTTTGCCCCACAGCTTTGCGCACTTTTTGAACATGTCATCTTCCAAAAGTCCTCCGAGCATGGTGTGCTTTGTACATTTTGACTTGGAAACGTGCTTCGCGCCACAACGGCGTGCACTTTTTCGACATCACAACTTCGAAAAGTGGTCCGAACATGCTGTGTTTTGTGCATTTTGACTTGGAAATGTGCTTCGCGCCACAACTTCGCGCACTTTTTGAACATGTCATCTTCCAAAAGTGCTCCGAGCATGGTGTGCTTTGTACATTTTGACTTGGAAATGTGCTTCGCGCCACAACGGTGTGCACTTTTTCGACATCTCAACTTCCAAAAGTGGTCCGAACATGGTGTGCTTTGTGCATTTTGACTTGGAAATGTGCTTCACACGCCACAACGGCCTGCAATTGTTCATCTCTCATCTGGCCACATGGCCCCGCACCCGCCGCTTTAGCGTGCCTACTATTCGACCCTCCGGAGCCACAAATCTGTGGAAAACACAGTGTTTCGCGACTTTGTTACCTTTTCGTGTACCTGCATCTTCTTTCTTCTTACCCTTTCTCTTCTCTGATCTTCTCTCTTCCGCTCTTCTCTTCTCTGACTCTTCCCATCTCTGCTTGTCCATCTTTCAATATTGTCGGAAGTTTGACTTCTAAACTTCCTTCGGACACGACCTACCATGATGTAACATTTTATGAATATGATGGAACAAACTGTCGAAGCGAACGCAGGGCTGGACCCTAGTGCCACCCTCCATGCTGAGATCGTGCCGACGCTCGGATGGAGGATGCGCTGACCGCGGTGTTGGTTCACGCAGAGCTCTTTGCTCAGCGAATTTGAACACTCCAAGAGCGGTTCACTGCAGATGTCCCTTGAATTCGACGAAATTCTTGGCCGAAAAACCGAGGAAAGAGCATGCCTTTTTGAATTCCTTGACGGCGTTCAACGGGGAACTGGCTGCGTTGGGACGTTCTGAGCTCAGTTTGAGACCGGGATTCCTGTTCTTCGTGCACCTCATTTCCCGCAAGGCTGTCAAGCAGAGCTGTCTCAACTTGCAGCGAGAAGGCATGAACGGCATGAACAAACACAGAAAAAATGTTTCATTTCCAGAATGAATTCCTGACTCAGACTGCTCAGACCTTGCCCTGTGCCAAAGTCAAGATCCTTCGAGAGCAACCCAATGCATCCGCAGCTTTCGTCGATCTTCGTGACATTTTTGTCATGGGTAGATTCCCCGACCCCCTGGCTCTGCATTCTTCGATCCTTATGTAATCTGTTGCGAGGCCATTTACCTTTCAAGACCTATGTGAGGGGCGAACAATCTCAAAAGGCACCTGTTGGATGCAGCCTAACAATCTCAGCTGTCGTGAATCTGTCGTGATTGATGTGGCAGGCACTGATGTGCCCCCCATCTCCTTTGAGCAGCTGGAGGAGGCAGTTTTTTCGTCAGTCAGAGAACGACCTGTGCCGAAGGAAAGAGTGCACGATATATTCAAGATTGAACAGCCTTGGGAGTAGACCCCACTACCTCTCTACTCATGTTATCTTAGCTTTTGTCTTATCCCTGGCAAGTTCTTTGTCCTCCTCTTGTGTTCTTGAACTTCGCCCAAGGATTGATAGCCCTTTCCTCCAGGTTCCCGTAGCACACTGGTTAGTTCCTTTGCTGAAAATCCCTGGAGAACTGTCAAAAGAGACTAGCTTGAGCAGTCACCAAAACCAGCAACGGCTACATCCGAATTTTGTCAACATTACCTGGTTGTGCAGCTTAAATGTACAGATGATGTGCATGACACCCTTCAGGCCTAGCAAGGCTTTGTCAATGCAGACAGTTTTGAGAAGCAATAAATCCAACAGCCTGTGTTTCAGTTGTGGAGGTAGGTCAAAAATTCAAAATGTTTTATGATACATGTGTATAATATATATCGTATCAATATATATATATATATTGTATGTCTGCTTATACATGTACGTATATAGATATGTATTCATGATATATACATGTTATATATATATTTACATTATATACACGGTATCCGTCGCAAATTTATTTTGTATATTTTAAAGGTATGTACACAACGTATGTATTTAACACATGTTTTTCCTTTCATCTCCATTTCTGTTTGGGTCAAACAGTTTCACCTGAAATCAGCCAAGCCTCCTTCAGGGAATCGAATCGCCGGCTAAAGTTGCGCGTCAACTTGCCCGTACCTGAATCTGTGAAGATGCTCAACTAATTATATAGTCAGTTTATCATCCATCGACGAATCGACTGTGCACGAATGTTCTGTGTATCAATTAAAAAACTATGTTCATGTATACTATATATAGGTATATATATATGTACTGTGTATATGTATATATCAATATGTGTGTATATACTGTATATATATATATGTATATATATATGTATATATATATGTATATACATATGTACATACAGTTTTATCTACTTACTTTTGAATTCCGTAGACCTTTACAGAACTACATGTTTGCAAGGTGTTGGCATCCACAGGGATGACAGAGGCAGAACGTGTTCATCTTTGTGCATTAGCTGAGCCAAGACCCGCTTGGTGCAGATCAACTGGACGACTTACCTATTGAAGCATGGGGCCTCAGACCCCCCCCAGGCGTCACAGACGCTGTAGTGCCAGGCAAGGCATATATGCTTTTGACTCTTGATTAAATGCAATCCCTGGGAAGTCGCAACGACAGCAAGGACTCACCTACAGATATTCTGTCAGAACCACTTTACGTCTGACAACTTGCACGTCACTTCTCAGTTGGTTTGAGCGCAGCTGAGGTGGGAGGTTCTGATCAGTAAGCACAAAGCAGCCAGGGTTGCCTACGTTGACTACTTGGACAAAGTGCAAGAATCTGCAAGGCCAAGTTGCAAGGATTTTTCTAGACCCTGTCTTGCTGGATCCAGCTTTCCACTGGGATCGTGCCAATGGAATCGGGGACTTCTGTGAGGCATAAACTCATGAGAGACTTAAAGGAGAAGCCACACCTAAAGCAGGAGCCATGTTGAAATCCCACAGTTCTCAGATGCCAAGCAACGCTGAAGCCCCGAACACGACGAGGAGCTTTTGCAGAAGACCCGATCGAAGATGAAAGAGGCGAAACGGGGACGATGGCCATGATGGAACCGTGCCATGGTCAAAGTTGGACAAAACAAATTGGTGGATGTTCATTGAACCATAAATAGGAAATGCGAACTTCCACCCAGGGTGGCAACCTGAACAGCCAGATATTTGAGTATCTGGGAATGCATGGACAAACATCAGGTAATCAAGGCTAAAGATGCTGAATCTGGGCATTCAGTAGATGACAAAGTGGTCCCTTCCGGTTGAATCAGCAAGGTAATGTACACTTACCACGCAAACATAGGAAGATGGACATCAGTGGGCATATGACAGACGTAGAGACACCCAAGTGCTTGCAAGAAAGACAGGTAGATGAGTATAGAATCCAAAAATCAAAAATTATTGTGATTCTGGAATATATCGATGAGATTCGAAAGTCAAAACGTCATTCTGGACTATCTTGAGACTGCAACCATCAGGTCGAGGAGAACTTCTATGCCACCCACGTCCAACCAGAAGTGCTCAGCAATTTGGTTGCACTATGCTTCTGGTCCTGTTGAGATCGGGCAATCTATCACATCCCCAACATTTTTCTAAAAAAAACTACGCTTGGTAGTACTGCCTTTAGCGTACCTGCTCTGGGATTTCCACCCAAAACCACCTTCGAACATCGATGAATGCTGTGGTGACTCCCTGAGAGGATGGAAGAGCCTTTCTGCAGAGGTTGCCGGTGCTTTCCTCAAACTTCGCTTTCGTGGCCTTACCCAGCCTCGCTACGTAGCCTTTACTGTCGTACCGAGTCGTACCTTTCCAAAGCTGTTGTTGGAAGGAAATCCACAGTGAGTTGTTTTGCTGCAGATATGACCATGAAACTGCAAGAGATGAAATCGAAGACCAAGCAACTGGAGCAGGCACCCAGCAAATGAAGATGTATTCACCGCGCACACATTGATGTGGGATGATCACAGAGTGTTTCGTGCACAGTGGATGGCATGGTTTCATGCAGATGCCTTTTGTCACATTTGTTTTCCAAGTATGCGAAGCTATACGGTACGTAGTAGTTGCAACACGTTCTGGAATTACGTGCTTAAACTGCCGCGGGCAGCTTTTGGTGTTCAGATAAAAGCAACATGCTGCCAAGAGACAGACAATGGGACCATTGGTTACCACATGATACCAGGTAGGCAATGATAGATATCCAAATAGATCAGATCACATAATACCTATATCAATGCATGACGTGTGTATATAAATATACACATAATTATATATACATTATATATATATATATGTATTTATTTATTTATTTACATGTAGGTAAATTGTAACGACCTCACTGCGACCTCACTGGAATGGTGGTTAGTAGGGGGAACTATCCCCAAACAGCCAAACATCTCAGGTCGGCGAATTAGTATAATTTACCAAGATATATGGGGGTTTCCATAAATGGATATTTTTATGGGTGTGTACACCATTTTCATAGGATGTTTCATGTTAAACCATCTAGCTACTGGGGTATCCCAAGAGACAATCCATGCGAGACCGCCACGTGGCAGGATGTCTCGCTGAACTTCGTGCGGTCTCTGGAGTTGGAGAGCCATGAGGCGATTTTTCCAATGTTTTCCGTCACCTTTTAGCCTGCCCAAAATAACAGTTATTAAGGGTTGATCAATGGGGATTCCCGATGATCAATGGGTATATCAATGGGTATATCCCCAAAAAAAAAGTGATAACTGGGAATCCCATTGGTGCTGGTTAATGGGGATTCTCATTGATCCACCATCAACAGTTATTACAGTAATGGTTATTAAAAATTGATCAATGGGGACTCCCAGTTGTTCCCGTTTCTGGATGATGAATCATGATGTCATGCTGATTTGCAAAAAAAAGGGTACTGTATTCACATACAGCCATCAAATACAAGGTTTTGAAATTGCTCAAATGATCTCAAATGTGGATAGATGTGTATTTGTCCAGTTTCCACTGTTTGGACAGCATCCCTGCTTTGAATTGGCCAGGACCTCTTGAAGAGGCAATGTTTGCTGCGAGTGCTTTGTTCGTATGAGACGAAGCAAGCGAGGAGACATTTGCAGGTACCAGACTGAATATGAGGAGGAACGGGAACGTTCAAGGCTCAGGAAAAGCAATTGCTGAAAAGATTCCGTGGTTAACAATTAACAATTCGACATAATTGGACCAAGGAACAGAGCAATTGGATAAGCAACTTGACGATGCGAAGGAGAGTACATAGTATATGTGAAGTAAGAAGAGTTTGCAGTTAAAACATTCACACGTGTAAAAAAGCTCTTTCGGAGAGCAAGTTTCCGTTCCTTTGCTTTTTATATAAGGGTTGTAAGTTTGAGGCAGATTGAGGCACGACGATATCAAATTTTATATCATGCAGTACTGGATACAAGAGCACAATGAGTGAAGCACACAACAAAATGAGGTGTTCTGAAGGATTCTGAAGGGGTGAGGTTTTCGAAGTGAGGACTTCAAAACTGGGCCTCCAGGCCGCTCCTCATGTCTAAAGCGCAACTCCGATTGCACTTTCTGAACGAAGGAGCGACAACGAGTGGCAAAGGAGTCACTGGCTGAGATGAATGCAAGACACAAGACAGACGGACCTTCAGTTCTGCGGATTTCAATGGTTTCAACATGTTTCAAGCTCGTGAAATTCGGTGATAACCTTTTGCTCTTGTTGCCAGTCTTACAGTCTGATAGCTTGGATTATGGCATTTGGGGCCACGAACATCAGCGAGACAGAGTCCAGCCACATCAAACCATCGCTGCAAGGAACAGCAAACCATCCATGTCCGAGATCCTGCAGGCGCTGAGCCCACAAAACTGACACATCTTTTGGCTTTCATATTGGGTATGTCTGAAAATGGGGTATACCATGGTATACCCCCAATGAAATAGCCATAAAAAGTAGGGATAATGATCATTAACCATTGGATGTAGGGGTACACTATTTTCAGACAAACCCATATACTTTCATCATCAACGCTTTCTGATCCTTTGCATCTTTTGAAAGAATACAAGCCCTGGTAGGTGAATCATATTCTGCGCCAACTTGATGAAGCGAAAGCTCAGGCCCGTTTGGAGGATGATTGCGATGACAAGCCAAGTCTTAAAATCTCAAGCATTGAAACAGGAGCAGACCAGGCACATGTTCTTCTTGGATGAGGACAGCTGCAGGATAGGTCAATCCTGTAGTACAAGCTTTGCACACTTCTGGCGTGAGGTGATACAGTCAGATCAAATTCACCCAGATGAAATCAAGAAAGCCCTGAATGAGAGAGGCCTGCAGGCAGGAATCCGCCATTCTTGATTCGAATGTGCCAATCACCCTGCTGGATTCATTTGAGGCTACCCCGACAGCCAAGCAGTTGCTTCGCGTTTTGCAATCTCTTTCGTCAACATGGACCGTGGAAGACAAGGTGGAGGAATCAGAAAGGCGAGCAACACGCACAAACCACTTGAAGTATGGATTCGCATATGAGCAGAGCGTGCTGGTGCACTTGGCAGTGAAGCACTCAGTGTCAACAACTGTTAAGGAATTTTGCTTGATTTGTGATATTTATTTTTATGGCAAATGACGAATTGTGCGCAGGAACGACTCAAAAAAGAATGACGTTGAAAAAATTGAACGCCTGAAGAATCCGAAGAAGGCTCCGATTTGCATTCTGAAAGAGAAATCCTGCAATGGTTGCACGTTGACTGCACAATGGAACCACCAATACTTCAGTGAAGCTTCGCTGACCTGAAGCTTCACAATGGCAACCATGATGGACGGCGTTAAGGGGCCACTGATCTGGTTTCAAGCTGTTTCAAGTTGCAAGCACTGGTTTTTCCAAGCTGTGCTTCTTGCGTCAGGGTGAAGCCATGAAAGCCATTCAGCCTGGTGAAGTAGTTCAGTCGGATTCCACGTCCAAAGTCCAGTCGCAGGAGTGGATTTCAGCGGAATCTTGGAAATTGATGAAGCTGGAAAATGCTGAAGATACCTCTGCTTATGCAAGCTGGCAATGGGCAATCCCAGATATATATATATATATGTGATCTGAAAAGTTCAAGGCAGCAACTGTTGCCCCTCTCTCTCTCTCTCTTTCTCTCTGTTGCAGAAGCTGTGCACACTTTCGTCTGTTGGGCACTGCAGGCTCAAGTCAGGCTCAAGGCCTGTTGATCCATCATGACAAACATCATGAACTGTTGTACAACTGAGTGCTGTAGGCACATTGTTGTTTCACATGATCTACATATTGAAGGTGGAGATCTCCCATGGTCAGGTTAGATTACCATAGTGTACTGCAGATACAATGCCGAACTGTTTGACCTGCTTTGTGGAGGAGGAACGCAATAAAATCTCTGAAGGGCCCAACACCAAAGAAATCACAAGGCCAGTCCATCGAGAGTGAAACATGACAGGGTATCAGCACCTTTGCAGAGGGTCCAATCAGCATGCCAATATAGTAAGGTAGATGTCAGTCTATGTATGTTCATATGATATAGGAATGGCTCAAACATATGTATGCCTATAATATATATATATATACACATCATCCCGAAAAAAGGATGGTGAGACGCAAAACGTGATAAATTTTGTGGGACCTTAGTACCATATTTTGGGTCACCATAGTCATTTGATATTCAGGAGGCTCTCCTGGCGGTTGCCCTCCTCGTCATCTTTGGCGAGTTTGGCTGTTGGCGATGAGGAGGGGCAAGCATCAGCTGTTGGTGACTTCAACATGATTATCATCCATTTTGATAGGATTTTCCATTATATATAAACCATCCAGCTATTGGGGTACCCCCATGACTTAGGAAACCTCCATATCATGTCAATGTTTGCCATGCCACATGCCAGTGGATCCAGGATACTATTGCGACGGCATGCAAGGAGAACGAGACTGCGAGGATCGTTGGGGTAAGCGAATGCAGCTGACAAGTTCTTGGCATTTAAAGGAGTCTTAGTGCAAATTGGATCACTGCGAAAGGCCCAGTGCCCTGGTAGAAGTCATACGAGCTCCAGAAGTGCCAAGTGAAGAGATTGTCAAAAAGACCGAGCAAGTGAGTGGCAACGTGACTTGCCAACATACTTACATAGTTCAACATGTTTTGGGGTGATTTTCTAGCAGGAAGACAATACAGATGAATATAGTCATGCAGTAGATTCCACGATATAGCAACACCATAAATAGTCTAAATATGTCTAAATAATGAATAGCGACTCTTTCCAACTGTCAGAAGATTCTCAGACAACCTGAGGCGACCGCAATCGAGCTGGGGCAGCAACGATTACAGGATTCACCAGTCGAGGCGACCGGCGGAAGTTGACTGTTGAAGCACAGGGGCGCACCGTTGTCGGTTGCAGGATAGATATACCATGATATACCTGGAACAGTGAACCCTGATTTTGTATGGTACACCCTCCATGTCCATCCATTTTCCTTGAATTTTCATTTGCTAGTTAAAGCCTTGAGCCTGTTAGAAACGTCAGACAAAGCAAGTTGTGCTTGCACCTTGACTGCTTTTAGTTGACTCTGGGCTCCTTAGCAAGTCGGGGACACACGCAAAAGTGTAGGATGTTGCCTTGGCCGACTCTAGGACAAAGAGAGTCTTGGAGCACAGAATCCAGATAGAGTAGGACCCTCAGGCATTGTCTACTTTCTTAAGAGACCTTGAGTCGCAACTTACCAATCTAAACTCCAGCGCCCTGCAAGTGGATTTGCTATTTAAGGTACTGAACAGCGAAGAGCAAAGAGTTCCCATCACCGACGCCATAGTGATACCTGGAGATGCTTTACACAAAAAAACCCTGTGACCCTCACATTCTCTGCATTCTTTCTACCAACTTGCGCATGTGGTGTTGTTGGTTTCAAGTGGTGTACAAGATTAGTGACAATCAGTGAACTCCACCAAAGGACTGTATTTGCAGGACCACGGGAAGTAGAAGATGGCGGGGTTCCTGAATCTGTTGTGATAGACTTGACGGAGGAGATTGCATGCACCGCACTCCAATGCACCATCTTCGAATCTATGACTGCATAATACAATGCAATACAATACACTACACTACACTACAATACAATACACAACAAACAAACAAAGAAACAAACAAACAAACAAGCAAGCATGCATGCATGCATACATACGTACGTACGTACGTACGTACGTACGTACCTACATACCTACATACCTACATACCTACATACCTACATACCTACATACCTACATACCTACATACCTACATACCTACATACCTACATACCTACATACCTACATACCTACATACCTACATACCTAAATACCTACATACCTACATACCTACATACCTACATACCTACATACCTACATACCTACATACCTACATACCTACATACCTACATACCTACATACCTACATACCTACATACCTACATACATACATACATACCTACATACATACATACATACATACACACACACATACATACATACATACATACATAGATACATCGATACATAGATACATAGATACATAGATACATAGATACATAGATACATAGATACATAGATACATAGATACATAGATACATAGATACATAGATACATAGATACATAGATACATAGATACATACGTAACGTACATACATACATACATACATAGGTACATAGGTACATAGGTACATAGGTACATAGGTACATAGGTACATAGGTACATAGGTACATAGGTACATAGGTACATAGGTACATAGGTACATAGGTACATAGGTACATAGGTACATAGGTACATAGGTACATAGGTACATAGGTACATGGGTACATAGGTACATAGGTACATAGGTACATAGGTACATAGGTACATAGGTACATAGGTACATAGGTACATAGGTACATAGGTACATAGGTACATAGGTACATAGGTACATAGATACATAGATACATAGATACGTAGATACGTAGATACGTAGATACGTAGATACGTAGATACGTAGATACGTAGATACGTAGATACGTAGATACGTAGATACGTAGATACGTAGATACGTAGATACGTAGATACGTAGATACGTAGATACGTAGATACGTAGATACGTAGATACCTGGATACATAGATAGATAGATACATAGATACATAGATACATAGATACATAGATACATAGATACATAGATACATAGATACATAGATACGTAGCTACGTAGATACGTAGATACGTAGATACATAGATACATAGATACAAAGATACATAGATACATACGTACATACGTACATACGTTACATACGTACATACGTACGTACGTACGTACGTACGTACATACGTACAAACGTACATACGTACATACGTACATACGTACATACGTACATACGTACATACGTACATACGTACATACATACATATGTACGTACGTACGTACGTACGTACGTACATAGATACAAAGATACAAAGATACATAGATACATAGATACATAGATACATAGATAGATAGATCGATAGATAGATAGATAGATACATGCATACATGCATCCATACATACATACATACATGCATACATGCACACATACATACATACATACATAGATACATAGATACATAGATACATAGATAGATACATAGATACATAGATACATAGATACATAGATACATAGATACATAGATACATAGATACATGGATACATAGATACATAGATACTCAGATACATAGATAAATAGATACATAGATACATAGATACCTAGATACCTAGATACATAGATACATACATACATAGATACATAGATACATAGATACATAGATACATAGTTACATACATACATAGATACATACGTACGTACGTACATACGTACGTACGTACATACGTACATACGTACATACGTACATACGTACAAACGTACAAACGTACATACGTACATACGTACATACGTACATACGTTGTACATACGTACGTACATACGTACATACGTACATATGTACATACATACATACATACATACGTACGTACGTACGTAGACACATAGATACAAAGATACATAGATACATAGATACATAGATAGATGGATAGATAGATACATAGATACATGCATACATACATGCATCCTTACATCCATACATAGATGCATAGATACATAGATACATAGATACATAGATACATAGATGCATAGATGCATAGATACATAGATACATAGATACGTAGATACGTAGATACGTAGATATGTAGATACATACATACATACATACATACATTCATAGATACATAGATACATAGATACATGGATACATAGATGCATAGATGCATAGATACATAGATACATAGATACATAGATACATAGATACATAGATACATAGATACATAGATACATAGATACATAATTACATAGATAGATAGATAGATAGATAGATAGATAGATACATAATTACATAGATAGATAGATAGATAGATTGATTGATAGATAGATACATAGATACATAGATACATAGCTACATAGCTACATAGATACATACATACATACATACATAGAGACATACATACATACATACATAGATAGATACATAGATACATACATACATACATAGAGACATACATACATACATACATAGATAGATACATAGATACATGCATCCATACATACATACATCCATACATCCATGCATGCATGCATGCATGCATGCATACATACATACATACATACACATATATATACACTATAAAATGTATGTTTAGCTGTGGCACGTATATGCAGTTATCATACACTGCCAAAAACAGCAGGAGGCGCACACGGAGCCAGAAGATCGCCCGCCTCCAACGGTGAAGTCTCCCACGGGCCGTGCGGGTCAGACTGATTTTGACTTGTTGCAGACGGTGCGGAGAGATGCCAGCGATGTTCCGGAGTCTGACCGGACAAGGCTGGTGGATGTGGCTCGAGATTTTCCAGCAATTGGGGATTAGCAAATATGCAAATCACATCAAAGTTTTTGTGGATGAACATACCAACGCACCTCACCATATCCCAACACAAACCCATTCTAGCAACATTTTGGAGATGTCAACAGCTTTCGTTTGGTCCTTTCGTAGCGTTGTCAGGCTGGAGCAAGACCTAGAGGATGGCCCGGAGCTGAACGCCGATAGCAATGGCTGGTAAGATTGGCAGGTATGGAATTTCATGAATCTTCGATAATCTTCATCACTTCATCCCAGGATTCTAATGGTCCTGATATGTGTTGATATGTTTTGATCCATCCCTGGCAACTGGGGTTGGACTTGGACCTGGAGGTTCGGAGACGAGTTTGTTGACCAAGCCTGAGGCCAGGATTTTGAGCGCTGCAGCGTTGCATTTTTTGATGCAAAGTGGTGCCGTGTCAGGCTAGACCATCTACACCAAACTCTAGACCTGATGAACCGGCAGAATGGGTGCCTGCTGAAGTCTTGAAGGATTTTGTTTTGGCCTACTCCAGGGTGTGAGTGGAAGCTGTTGTGCATTTGTTGTGCATATCTCCCAGATTTTCCAGGAAAGACGCGTGGTCTTCGAGGATGAAAGTTTGGAAGAGGTGCTGGATGCAGGGACTTCGCCAAAATCACCGCAAGTTGAGGCAGGGCCTTGGAAAAGTTGCTGGATGTTGGTGGGCAGGGCCTGAAACTTCAATGCGCACATGCAGGGGGCGTAGGATGAAAATTGGGCTGACTCTCGCATGTCGCTCCCGTCAAAAGCAGAAGCATTGAATAGGCGGTGCAAGTGTCCTTCACATTGAACCTTGCAGCAACACCGAAACGCATGTTCTTAAAAATTATTGACATATCTTGAAATGATATTCAAACATATTCAAACTAGTCAATCCACTCGTAGCAGCATATCTCCATATTTCAGGAAAGGCGTGTGGTCTTCGATGAGGGCTTGGAAGAGGTACTGGAAGATGCGGTGACTTCGCCAAAACCGCCGCAATTTGAGGCAGGGCCAAAGTGTTGGGATCTCTACAAGTCCGTGTGGTGTCGATGCTCCAAGCAAGTTGAACCGCAAGAACAGCTGAACTCCAAGCGAGTGACTTATTAGAGGCTGAAGGCATGGTCCGAATCGCACAGAGGTTGCTGCAAGTAACGCTCTTACTGTAGGTACCTGCCGAACCAAGGGAAGCAATCGTGCCAGCCGAAACCTTGATTTTCTGGCACAACAAAGTCTCAAGAAACATGGATCTCAAAAAATGCGGGCTTTGCAACTTAGGAGATGCACGTTGACGTTATGTATCAATCGTATCATGATGAGGTGGGTTTCAGCTTTGTTTCAGCTTTGAGTTTGTTTTGATCTACTCTGCTTGGCCATAGCGCCTTCCAGGCGACCGTGGCATCACGGCAACCTACGAAGGCAGAGCATCGAGTCTTGTTGACATCGCTGACGGCCAGAGAAGTGGAGTGGCTTAGGCCAAAAAGCCCAAAAAGCTGAAAGCGCAGAATTCAATTTCTTCATGGATGCAGGCAGGTTGGGTCCGTTGGACAGATGTATTTCTGACAGAGCCTGACAGAGCCTGACAGAGCTGATTCGCAGCAGGAAGTAAGCAGAGCGCAGAAGCCCCAGTGGAGAGATACTGAAGACTTACACGAAGAAGACGAACGACAACCAGTTTGCGAAGAGCAGAAGCTAGAAGCTGTTTCGGAGTTGTGTGTGGTTATTTGTGGATGAATCATGTGAATTCTGTTGTGGATACCCTTGGCAATCAACTTAATTCTTATATCATATATATAGAGATTAAGCCTTACTGACTGCACAGATGTGGAGAATCTCATGGATGGCGCACGCACAACACTTTCTGGGCGAGAATTTTCTGTGAGGTTCAAAGCTTTTCATTGGCATTCACAGAAATAGGATGATATAGGCTTTGGATTTGGAGCCTCTAGACATTCAGGTCAGAGAGTTCTTGAAAAACTGCCCTAGAAACGACCACATGAAGTGGCGGATTTGCCACCGCAGCGAAGAGTTGCTCTGAGATCGCATGAGATCTCTGAGGCTCTTGGCACATTCAGAGGCACGGGTCACGGGTCCATACAGATCCGGCACACCTGAAAGATTCGCTGGATGAGCTGAGGTTTCTTCGGAGCCGAGTGAGGAACTTGAGAAGCAACTGACTGCACGTGCCAAGCTCGGCAAAATGGGAACCCTTCTCACAACTTGTGGACAGTTACATGACAACAATAAGAATCTGCCATGAAAAGAATGTTGTCAGAAACTGCAAGTCAATTTGTGCTTACATGGTAGTTTGGGTTGGTGGATTGGAAGTCTGGGAATTGATGGTTTTGTGAACTTAGAAAGACACAAAAATTACCAAACCCTGTAAAACATGAAATGGTTGGAAAATACAGAAACACATATTTAAAACAATAATTGGTACCAGATTGGTTTATTTTTGAGTTTATATTCATCATGCATCTCAGAAACTATATAATATACTGATTTAATTTCCTATAATTTCACGTCATTGTTTACTTTATTACTGAATTCATGATTTACTTTATTTAGTTATGTTATAGTTTATTTATTTTATTTTTTCTTTAATTGGTTGTTTATTGAAATGAGGGAAAAACCTCTTGACACCAATTCCAGTGTGGTCCTGTCCTGTACTCTCACTGATACAGGTTTCATGGAGTTTCCATGTAGTTTCCATGCAGGTGTCATGTTGGTTACATACTGGTTTTGCTGATTTAGCTTACTGGTGTGTAATCTCCATGACAACTCCCTGGAACCCGCATGGAACCTCCATGGAACCTCCATGGAACCTGAGTACATGATAAAACCAACAAGTTAGATTAGATAGATACATCGAAAGATAGATTAGATAGATTGGATTATATAGATAAACACAAAACAAATACAAAACACAAAAACAAAACCAACTCTTTTTTTTCATATTTTTTTCCACATAACTCTGATTTCCCAAACCGCCTTTTAAGTATAACCTGAGCAAGCACGGCTCAAAGTTCACATAAGAGCTAGCAGTTCGGAGGTGAAAACCAACAGACACCAGACCTCAAGAGACGCGCAATGAGGTGCAAGCTTACAATTCTTGCTCAATCGTCGAAAGCGTCGTCGAGGTCGCAAGATTTGTGTGCGTTTTTTGAGTTCGTTACGGGTTGAAGCCCTGAGTGGGTTAGTGGGAAACACAAAAATAGCAACGAAGAATATATACACAAACTTATTTCCGGATATGGGATTGCAGTCTATTTTATCATCATGCTGTGGATTCTTTTTTGGCGTGTAGGTTTGCCTACGAGTTTGTGGCCAGAGCTGTCAGTGGGTCGGCTTCCTGGAAACAGGCGAATCCGGTAGAATCCGGTAGAAAGCTTGAGCACTGCTTGAGCATTGTGCCTAGGCAACTCCCCGTCCGCAAGAAAGGCGCTCACAGAAATCCCGCACTGCAGCCAAAGAGTTGACAAGTTTTCAGCATTTGAAAGGATTTTTCTGCTTCTCAGCCTTTGCGCACAAAGACAGGAAGGCAAGGGAAGATGGATCATCGATCTCAGTTTCTTTCAAGTATTTTGCTGGCCATTGCATTTCTTGGCAGTGTCCACGGTACTTCCATCTCTGTATTCTTTCACTGAGTCTTCGTGTCCTTCAAGCCGCTTCCAGTTTTTGCCTTTCAACTGGTGCAGCCGTCCCATAGGCTACCTCGATCAGACACTCCGCAGCGAGCTTGGCGTTCCAAGACCTGTAGAGACTCTGACATCAGTTGAATCAACATGTCCGGATTGGAGCCCAAGGGAGATGCAGCCCTCCATTCATGCCATCCTCGACGGGGACTCAGCGTTTCATCTCTGAATGGTTTCACGTGTACAACTGCTGGCACCACTCGGAACCCCAGCGTCTGCCGAAAGACCTTGGCCAAGGAATCTGCCTCTCCTGCATCAGCAGTCCGATCAGGCCGTTCGCCCACCGGTCGCTTACGCAAGAGGTCATTGAAGGCGTGGATGAAATCTAATGAACGAGTGGAGCGTGTCAATGGTCTTGAAATTCCCAGCACCGTGTTAGTCATTATTTTCTGCATTGGAAAAGGGACTCCCATTTTAGCTTGGGGCTTGGTGGCCGTTCCACAGCTTGGTTGACCGGATGCTTGCCCAATGGAGCAAGACATGCAGGCGAACTTTGCTGGCACACCTCTTGCACTTGATGTGGGTCAAGGCAGCTCTTGACACCTAGTTGCTTGGTACATTCTGCTTATTCTTGCATCTTGGGAAGATGGTTGTTGTTTAATGTTCTTTAACGATTATGTTATGGGTGCTACCGGTAGTTTCTCCTTTGCGTCTCCTACTGTTTTAATCTGGACGTGTCTGTTCTGTACCGCTGCTCTCCTGAGAATCATTCTCACTGGCATCATGCACACAGTGTTGGTTTGTTGCAGTTGAGCTTCCTTTTCTGTTCTTTTCTTGAGTGCTAAGTGCTAATTCTAAAAAGAGGCTCCAAAAAGCTGGAAATAGATGTTTGATATTTTTTTGACCGTGAACTCTGCCTTTTCGCTCTTTTTTTTGGATGAATTTCGTGCGTCATACTGATCTGTCTGCAGGAAAAGCTCCAAAGCTGACCTCATCGCCTAGGCTTAGTCAGGGCAAACTTTGCAGAGGCGGGAAACACGTTCCATGACCGTGTCTACGTCTAATTCGTCTATGTCTAAAAAATTGGCATATCCATGGACCATGGATATCTAGAATCTTCAAAGACTCCTCAATTTGTGGAGGATACACATGAGGATACACATGAGGATACCAACGGTTGGGAGATCCCGCAGTCTTTGGACACTCACCAGAGGCGCCATGTCACACTTTCGGGACCAGCTGCCAACACGATCCTTTCATGGTAGCGGCAATGGGTGCCGTGGCTGAGATATGGGGGAACTGGTCCTTGGAATGGTTTAGATATCTTTAGATATCTTTAGATATCTTTAGATATCTTTAGATATCTTTAGATGCCACGAGTTCAGGACTATATGGCTTGAGATGGCTTGAGTCAGATGTGCTTCCATAATCTTCCAATATCTTCCATCGAGCTGTTGCAAGCTTTAACTCACTCAAGACTCTTCAAGAGTGTCCCAGATTGCTGGGATTTTGAAAATTGAACTTGGTCGCAGACGTGGACTTCGAAAAAACAGCCTCTCAGGTTAAAGCTCGCGGTGGCACCAGGACTGGCCACAAGAGGAAACACTTCATGTTCACCAGTTCCAACAAAGATGAGTGCAAATGCAGACGGATGTTGAGATAAATTGAGATATTTCGTCAAATTGACTCAAGTGGATCCAAATGGATCCAATTGGAGGTCCGTCACCAGATGTCACCAGCTGATTCGACATATGTCGACGTCGGCAGGACTCGAAGCCTTCTTGTGGGGTCACACACGCCCCCGAGGTGCCTACGGTGCCTAAGTGATCGATGGTAAGTCCTCCGTTCCTCATTTAGCAACCAAAAAACAAGGTGGAAATGATGGTGGAAATGATAGAAACGACCCCAACAAGATCCAACAAGTGAATGAGGTTTTCCATGGTTTTCCTTTTTTGGAGATCGGTGTTACGATAATTGGATATAATTGGTGTATAACTTGTCATCATGTCTACTACCCAACTGTTGCCTGGCTTAAGTACCTGCTAGGTGAGTGGCGTGGACTACTCCAGACTAAGAGCAAGGACATGTAGCCGGAATTTCGTGAGATTTCTCTGCAAAGCCACAACGATCTGAGATCTTGCTGTGGAGGAGACCCCTGCTTTCAATGGCGTTGAAGAATTGGTGGTGAAACACGTCACGAAGGCTTGGACGTGATGACAGATATAACAGTGACTAGCTTCAACCTCTCAGCTATATCGCAACTCAAAGAAGCTTTCTGAACGACCTTTAACGCTGCAAGAATTTCAGGAAAAGCCGACGAAACTTTTGCAAAGAAGGCCGGTGCAGGGACAGTCCCATTTGTCCTCAAATCCTGTTCGGTGTGTTACATAGCTACATAGCTGCAACAAGTCCAACTAGTACTGTACAACTGCAGTTGATTCAGCTCCTTTCCTTTTCTCTTGCCCTCGCACAGCTACCCTTTCCATGGCTCTCCTTGATCTCGGATGTCTGACAAATTGGGAGGCACCTGATGCAACTCTATCAGGCCAGTTTGACTTCTCAAAGTCTCACGGTTCTGCCCGTGAGGTCTTGAATATGTCCTGATAAGCGCAGAGAAAAGCACGCGACCCGAAGCTTCAAATCTGTTCTGAATTTCCTCTGACATTCCTTGCTCTTTCTTTCCTCAACCAGAAGCCAAGCACGCAGAGTTTCTATATCGCAAGGCTGTAGAGGCCAAAGCAGCCAACAAGAAGTCCGCAACTTGTGAGTTCAGGTGGATGTTTGATTGAACTGGGGGGGGCATAGTTTAGCAAAATGCTATCTTTGAGTGGAACTTCTTTGGCTCCTCAATTCTCCACATACTTGCCTCAAAGGCTGGCAGCTGCCAACCGCTTTGAAAGTGACTTCACGCTTTTGCCAGCTAGGCAGGGGCGGACCATGAACACTTTGGAGTTGGGGTGTTCTGAGTTTCATTTTCAGATCTTGGTGAATGGATGTTTAGTCACCAAGATAAAAAGCCTGGCCTTGGCTGCTTCGCCTCAGGAGCTCTGAGTCTAGACAAACGGCGTTCAGAGAGAGTGTCTTAGAGACTGCGAGAAATGCCACATAGTTCTGCGTGTCCAAAGCTCCGCCGAAGGCGCAGCGTTGAACCGCGGCTTATACTATTTAGCAAACCATGTAAAATCAGGCAAAATCATGATAAAAGAACTTGGAACGGATAGATTGAAAAGGACAAACCAGATGAGCAGCTGATGCATTTCTGGCGGGAGCAGTTGGTTCAATACCCAAGCAGTCACATCCAAAGGCTCGTTCAGAAGCTCCAAATGGCCGGCAGAGCCATGCCGAGAGTCAAAAGACGGTAGCAAAGATTCTGCCGGCGATTGCACCTGTGTGGTGGAAAAAGCCGGGTTGAGCCGCCCTTTGAAGTTTTGAACACGCTTAGGTGATGGGGAAGTAAATCAACGGTGCCGATGCAAGAAAGAAGAAAATCCCTCCAAACTCCAAGCATATTCTAGCAAAAAACCGGAAAGTGACCAGTTAAAGAGCAGGGCCACTTTGACCTCGCAACAAGAGAAATGCCTTTCAGAACAGAGTCGAAAGGAGCAACATGTACTCGACAGGGAATGCTTCGACAAGTGGGTTTGGACATCCGAATTTGTGAATTCCTGCCCCAGCCTGACTCGTGAAGCTTATTTTGATGGTTTGATGTGATGTAAAATGGCGGAAAGACATGCAAAGACCAAAAGCTGAAGCCCTGAACACAGTTTCACCTCCGACGGGCATACGATATAACAACCAGCGGTTCACATTGCATGGTCTACCCAGCAATGGTCGTTTAAAGGTGCTCTTTTGACAACCCTGACCTTCACACGCTGAAACCACAATGTATCCAGGTTGCGCCACGCAAAGGAACTTGCAAGTACCAACACGTCGCTGTCAGAATCCACCCAGTTTATGTGCTTGATTGCAGTTTGCGCGACTCGTATTGCGATTTCTTAGGATCCGTGAAGACACAGGCCATGTCGCTTTTGTAGTCGAAGCGGGTCGAGGCGTCATGCAAAACCAAACTGCTGCGGCATCAAAATCATTCAAAATCAAAGTGCATTTCCGTTTGACGTGTGGGAAAGGATGTTCCACACGGGATCATGCGGGACTTGAGGCACGTTTTCTTTGGGACTCTACGACAAGTTCATCCCTGTTGACCATGGGTCCAGACTATGAGGTTCATCCCTATTCCTAGGAAGGACAAGGGCATAGGCGTTCGGTATAGGGAGCTAAATAAGGCATAACATGCGCAAGGGACGTAACACGACGGTAAATATGGCAAAGGAAAACTCCGACTCGTGGCGGAAGCAAGTTTAAAGACTCGATACAACTCAACACGTTTCGTCTCCCCGGAACCGCATTAGTTCAAAACTGGATTTGTCTTCCGAACACTTATTGAGTTTTTTTCGATGTCGCCGAAACTTCACACCCAGAGGGGACACTGGCTTCCAGTGGGCAGGTTACAATGTTTACCGTTTACAATGATATCAAATCGTGCCGTGCCCCAGCGTTTCCACTTCCTCCAAAGGCCTACGAGTGAAACCCTACAAGACTCGGCGAATTTCCATGATTTTCTGTTTATTGCCTCTTCCAAGTTCGCAATGTTCCTTTTTTTTGGTGCTGGCGTTTTTCCAACATATCCAACCCTTGAACGACGAAAGAAATCGCTGTTCCAGAGCGTGGCGAGGTCATAAATTCCATGCCACCCACACACAGTGTGAAAGAACCGAAAGGAGACCAAAAAGAGGCGAACGTATTGTACATGTTCAAGATGTTTCAAGATTATAGAGGTAAGAAGTGTCAAGTTTTAAGTGCCGATTCATTTGGAACAACGAACAACTTGGAATTTGTTTTACTGCGGTGCTTCTGCATTTTTTTGAACTATGTTTGGACTCTCCGGGAAACCTTGAAGATGTCACGAGTCATGATGCTTCCAACATCGCTAAACCACAGGTGCAAAGAAATCAAATGCTTGTCCAAAATTGAAGCGTGAAGGTTTCGAAGAGACCTACAAGGACATCAAGAACGTCTTCTTACTTGCGTTGCATGATGTTTGCTATAGACAAGGCATCATATTTCATGCTGGAACTGCCGATGAGTTGCGTTGAACTATTCTGAACGACGTCACGCCTGGACATGCATAGTCCACATCATAGGAAACGTCATATCATGGGCCCAATAGTTTAAACAAATATTGATCCATGTTGCTCCATATTGCTCCATATTGCTCCTATGGCGCCAACAATCGTTCTGACAAGTTGTTTTCAAAAACTAGAACAAATATGGACAAAATAGCTTCGTATACTGTGAATTCTCATCTTCACCGGGGACCAGCAGGATCTTGGCACGCGAACCAATGGGCGCTTCGGAATCGGTGAAGATTTGGACCAAAAGAAACTGCCCAAATGATCCCAAATGATTGTGAAATCACTGTTCAGAAATCAGTGGCTCGCCCTTTCGACTAACAGGTGCTCGTGCCCTAATCTTGGACCATCTTTTGGGTTCCCAAGATTTGACAAAAAAGTTCACTGTGTTAGGAGGATCGGGAGGATGCTCCAGCATGCTTCGTGATTCAGTATCTGTCGGGTTCGGTCTCAAGGTATTATCTCTGGTAGTCCTCCATTCACCTCCTTCACATCCCGAACAGCAAACTGAACAAAACTTGTTTTCACCAAGGTTCACCCCTACACCAGGCCCCAACAATCTTTGGCCAAACCCTTGCGTCAAAACGCAAAACTTGAATCTCCAAATTCCAAATCAAAAGAAAGATACAAGGCACGTGTCCGCCACATTGTTTTCAGACAGACTTTATGTACAAACCATGCTCATATTGTGCAAACCAGCTCCGACCGCCAAGCGAAAGGCTCTATTTGGTGACAACATGTGACAACCATCTAGTGCATCCTAGTGCCCAAATATGTACAGCACGCGGTGTATACAGAGCGACACTGCCGGCTGTTGCGACTCTTGTTTCTTGTTGCTGTGGAAGCGAGCGGCAAAATCCAGTATACATATTTGTATACATTGTATACGTGATGTTGAGGACATCCGTCCGACGTGATGTGCGGGTATCGTGCGCATTTGTGCACGCCATTGGGTCATTCATGTCTGTGTTCTATCATGTTCTATCCGCTTTGCTGGTCGTTTGGAGACGTCACGCAGGCTGCATGGTTTTTGCCGAGTTCGATGGTCAGTTTTTTGGTTGCCCCGTTTTTCTTTAATGTTTGTGCGATCTTTCTCCCGAAAAAGAAGGCACACTGACTCACGGTGCTTCGCCTGCTGGTCTCAAGACTAATTAGTTGTCGTTGCATAGCAAAGGACATCCTATGGATTTGTGTCCTCACATTTAAACAATGCGTCCTACCTTTAAAACAAATGGGTGGAACCAGGTTCTAGAATATGTTTTTCAAAATAATTTCAATGTTTTCCATAATTTTGATGTTGACATCAGCTACTAGTAACAAGAATCATAGCAAAATAATTTAGTGTTGAACCTTCCGGTGATGTTAACAATGAAACGTGAAGTCCATGGAGGGCGGAGGTTTTCACCACTTGGAATTGTCAGTTCCATCTGATCTATCTTGGCTTTAGTGGTGAGATCGCTCCTGATTTCAAGTGGGAACATGTTGGCTGTCGTTGCGCTATCATTTCAAAATCTTCAGATCTGGCGGCGCTTCATTTGGTGCTCTGTCCTCATTTACTCATTGTCTCTAGGTGTCCCTGGTGCCATTGCAAGTGTCTTCATGGATCCAGATCCCACAACCGCTGCAGCTCCCAATTTAGATCTCGTCGCGCAATGGGCATCGTTGGATGGCACCCGAGACGACGTGCATACTGCGAGAGGTTCATTGTTCCAACTCTTGGGATTCCATGGAGCAGAGCACCCACGCTTCATTGGCATCATGGCACCCGCTGAGTTTGGCGCAGTGGACCATCACACCAGTTCACACACCAGGGGCACCTGCGCCGCCACCTGTCGCACCAAACTTTGCCCAACGCAGCCAAGCTGGAGTCTTTGCTAGGACATGCCGGGTCCTCACAGGCACACAGGTATCTACAGCAGTGCAGCCGCCTCCTGTGCCGCCCGCTCCAAGCACCTCGGGCACCAAGAAGATCAAAATGTCTCAGGTCATCAATCAGGCAGATGATGATGAAATTGAACCTATGGATCAAACACAGGCCCACCAAGCGTATGCAAACTACCATACCAAAACTGGTGGGTTTCCACCTGAGGATGAGGAGCTGTCGGCCGAACAGCTGGCAACGCTGAATTCTCTCTACCAGTCAGGTAGGACACCATACACTGACATGTCAATTTGGGGCCCTTATCAATTGCGCATTCAGAAAAGGATCAAAAAGCGAGGGGTTCGTCTTAGTCCAACTGGAGACATCACCACGGTCGAGACGTTTGGACCGGGAAACTATGAAAGTCGCACGGGATCAATCATGCTAGACCAAATCAACAGCTCCAGGTTGGACAACTATGAGAAAAACATCCGCAGATATGAGCATACCCCTTGGGGTTTCCTCTATAAAATGGGTATACCCAGGTATCGTTTAGAACGATAATTTTAGTCAGCCCAGGAGTGTACACAAAGTGTTCAAAAATTTACGAAAAAATGATTCTGATTTTATAGAAGCCTATTTGCAAACCATTTGTAAGCCAACACGTGGCTTATGACCAATTCAGGGGGACCCAGGAACCTAATTTTATAGATATGTTATTTTTGGCATGGTTCTGATTTGTGGGCCAATAGATTATGATTTTATAGAGGGGAGATTTTTGATACAAATTTGGTGTTATACGCAATCGCCGCATCCCGTCAATATTTTTTATGAAGGTCAAGGGAATAGGTCTGACAAACTGCAAATGCAGCATCTGACTAATATGAAGGTTATTGAGGTTTCGGGCAGCACTTGAACCACACCTTAGAGATTGTGATACAGTAATATAATCGATAGATAGAGATGATGTAGATGTAGAGAGAGAGAGAGAGAGAGCGAAAAAACATATAGACAGACAGATGGATAGAAAGGATTTCAAACTGGTTTCAGACTGTCTCAGATACCTCTTGGGAGCCCTTCCCAAAAGGGGAGGTTACACACTGCAATTTTTGAAAGAGGGAGAGAGCGAGATTTGGCCCATATTGACGCAGAGTACATGCACTTAGTACCACCAGATGATTTCTGAATCATCTGTGGAAAGGCAACGTCAACAAGCGCAGTGTTGAAGGGCTTCAATATGGACCCATTGTCTCTATAAAATCAGAACGTTCCAGAAAATGGGTTCTACTACTATTCGTTTGTTTCTGGCCTCCTTGCCTTCTAAACTCCGAAATTTGGTCACTACATGCCTCAAACATCCTTGCCCCTTTCCATATCGTGAGCCACAGCAAGATTCTAAAAATCGGGTTTGAATGACACCAATACAGAGACTAACTTGTCGATTTTATAGAGAAGTTTTGCTTCAGCACTGCGAGTGTTGACGTTGCGCATCCACAGCTTGAAAGTGGGATGGAAATCACTGGGTACCTACATGCATGTACCCGGCTTCAATATGGACCCATTGTCTCTATAAAATCAGAAAGTTTCAGAAATTGGGTTCTGTTCGTGTGTTTCTGGCCTCCTTGCCTTCTAAACTCCAAAATTTGGTCACTACATGCCTCAAACATCCTTGCCCTTTTCCATAGTGTGACAGAGCAGGACTCCATAAGGGAGCACATTAGGTGAGAAGGGCCCCCAAATAGAGACTAACTTCTCGATTTTATAGAAAGGTCTTGGGGTACATGCATGTAGGTACCCATCCCACTTTCAAGCCATGGACAGGCAGCATCGACACTCGCAGTGCTGAAGCAAAACCTCTCTATAAAATCGACAAGTTAGTCTCTATTTGGGCGTCATTCAAACCTGATTTTTGGAATCTTGTTGTGGCTCACGATATGGAAAGGGACAAGCTTTGAACAACTAGCTTTGGTGTCATTGGGTGTCATGTACATGTTTGCATGTTTTTGGTCGCTGCAAACGCAGCTTGGCCCAAGCGAATCGCATCGCAATCGCATAGCAGCAAAATAGAGCCCAATCACTTTGTTTTTGCCTGCGCACCCCGCATTGGTAGCGGAGCTTTGGCTCTACCGATGTCGGGCATGATCCCTAAGCAGGGGAACAAGCGGTCGAACCGCAACACGCAACCGGTCGCGACCGGGGTGGCTGAAGCCACGAAAGGGGATGCAAAACCCCAAGGCAAGGAGGCTGCGCCTCCATCACGAGGGCCTGCGGTCTCACCGGAGGCTGAGACCTCCCAAGAGGCTGCGCCCTCACAAGCCCAGGCGAAGACCTCGGCTTCAGCAGAGCCTTCAGGTGCACAAGCGGCAGAGCAACCATCTGCAGAGAATGGCTCCACGCCCAAGAAGGCTACGTCCAAGAAACCTGGCCGCGCCAGTCCGGGATCGGTGCACTCTGCGCCGGCGATGCCGCCGAGAGACAAAGGAAAAGGTAAGGGCCAATCGAACCCGCCGGCCCCTGGGACTTTTCCACAACCTTCTCTACCACTTCCATGGCGGCAGGACCCATATGGTAATTGGTGGTACTTTGACGGGTACAACTGGTGGATGGGTTACCGAGCGGTGGACACTCTGGGCAGCAGCCCACGGGAGCATCTCAGACCAGCGAAGAAGGAGGAGAAGCCTGAGGAGTCCGGAGGTCGAGAGAAGAAGAAGGACAAACAGCCAGGAAAGAAGGGCGACAAGAAGCAGGAGCCGAAGAAGACAAAGCCAAAGGACGAGCCGCCCGATGGAGATGATGATCCGGATTGGGGAGGAGATGACGACGGAGGCGATGGTGATAGCGACTACACCTATGAATATGAGGAAGAAGGCGAAGAAGAGGAGTTCGCCGAGGAGGACCAGAGCCCGGTCGTGACCCCAAGGTCGGAACGACCATCGGTGCGAAGACAGGGCAGCGTCCCCAAAGCCAAGGCAGCGCCAAGGCCAGAGCCGAAGGCCAAAGCTAAGGCCAAGGCAGGGAACCGGCCGCGCCAAGAGGTTCCTCCTGAGCGGTCCCCGCGGGACAGAACAGGATCAGCAGCAACGCTGTCGGCAGCCGCCTCGGACCTTTCGTCCATTCGCACTGAGTCAGTGCGTGAGTTGCCGCGCAACCACTACCAGGACTGGATCAAGATCATCCAAGCGGAAAGAAGGCTACGAGATGGCGAGCTGGCAGTTTTGATCTTTCTGTCATGCGAGGGAGGGGCACGTCAGGTGTTGAACCAGCTCGAGGTGGACGATACGCAGTCCGAAGGTGGACTCGGGCGCATGCTGCGCCTCCTCGATGATGCCTTTGGCTCGAAGGCGGACGAGCGCTTTGAGGAGAGACAGGGTGCCTATTTGGGCTACAAGCGTCTCCCTGGGCAATCTATCGCCGCCTACGTGGCAACGTTGAAAAGACTCAGAGAGGAGCGTTCGCCCAGAGGCTCCTGCAGAGGGCAGGGTTGACACGCCGAGAACGCTATGACGCGTTCTTCGCTGCAGGTGGCGTCTACAAAAGCGCAGAGATCGAACGCGTTCTGCGTTTCAGGTGCGCTCATGTGCACAAGGAGGAGCACGGCGGCAGCCGCGGAGCTCGCCGCGACGAGCCGGAAAGAGCCTCAGCCTCGGCAGCGTCCCGACGGCCTCAGCAGGCGAAGAGGTACCCCTACAAGAGAGGTGATCGCCGCAAGCCGCCGAAGCCAACCAGGTATGCCCATGTCGCGGACAATGACGACGAGGTGGAAGAAGATCCCTTCGACGAGGATGACGATGAGGACTTCGAGAACGAAGACCCTGAGATGGAAGCACTGGTGGCGGAAGGCGAGATGCCAGAAGAGGAGGAATGGTCCGAAGAGGATGAGGATCTGGAGACCATGGATGAGCAGGAGACCATGGATGAGCAGGCGCTCACAGAAGCGTTCAGCGCAGGATGGCGTGCCAAGCAGCGCACAGCAGATGCTCGCAAGAGCAGGGGGTTCAAACCGAAAGGAAAAGGTGCAGGAAAAGGCGGAGGAGACCGCCGCACTCCAGAGGATCGCAAGAAAAACAGTACCTGTGCCAGCTGCGGAGAGAAGGGCCACTGGAGAGGAGACCCGGTGTGCAGGAATATGCAATAGAAGGGGAGTGGCAGCTACTACGCCCGCAGCAGCAAGAGTCGAGAGGTCAAAGAGGAGACGCCAGCTGAGGAGATGCGACGACGCAAGGCAGCGCCCTGGAGTCGCAAGCCGCCGGAGCCGGAGGAGCCACCCCCTGAGCGTCCACCGTTGGTCCGCCGACCATATGTGGCGCTACCGGTGGAGACTCCCAGAGATGCACGTCCGACACGGCGGAAGCACGACGAGGTCGAGAAGTCCAAGGTGAAGGAAAGCCCGGCACTGCCGGGCGCAACCGCAAAGAGCAAGACTCGACCGGAGACAGAAGTAGACCCTCCTCGGCAGCGCCGATCTCACCGTGAGGGCGAAGACAGGGATCGTTCAAGAAGAAGGAGAAGGCGGAAGTCACGAGAAGAACGTGGCGAAGAAGCTGGTGAGACCCCAGCATCAACTCCAAGGACAGAACGTTCAGATGGAGAATCGAAAGCCCCTGTCGAAGGAGGTGAAGACGTCAGCACCCGCCAGGTGAATTGGACTCTGGTGCATGGATGGAGTTTTCTCAAGGAGTATGACTCGAATTCAGAAGCTCCGACATGGGAGTCCGAGGATGAGTCGAGCGAGGAGCCGGATGTGGTGGCACGGTTCAAGCTCCAGGACCAGGAGAACAAACGCGAGGCCAGGACGAAGCTCAAGGCCAAGTTGTTGACGGTCCTGAAGTCTCTGGCGGATGACGAGGAGGATGAACAGGTGCGGCAGCGTATCCGCAAGAAGGAGAAGAGGGTGCAAGAGCGGTTGACAGCAGCCACAGCATCGGACTCTGGCCGCGCCAAGTCCAAGTCAAAGCCATGATCAAAGCGTGGCAGCGATGTGGAATCCTTGCCGGATGAGGAGATGGGACTGAGTGTCCAAGAACTCTTGAAGATCCTCCCATCCATGAACAAGGAAGAGAAGAAGATGTTGTACAAGCAGCTGAAGAAGGAAAGGGAGGATGAGATCCTCAAGGTCTTCGGCAAGGATGCACTAGCAGACAGAACGCCCTCGATGATGAAGCGACAGGATCAACGACGAGATGGCTACTCTGCGGCAGCAGCCCAATCATCAGCGGCAGCAGCCGGCTCGAGCCGCGCTCGAAATAGCCGGGGCGACCGGCGTGACAAGGTGTCTGAACCACCAGATGACAATGCCGACATGCCGGCTGGTGTCAGGAAGAAGCACCTTGAACTCTTCAGGCGCGAGCTGTATGAGAACGCCAAAGATCGACTTGGACGAGTTCGTCCTTCCGAAGAGTCTGAGATCCCGACGCCGCTTCAAGAGACATGTGAACATCCCTACAATCGACTCTTGTGGGGAGCCAACATACACGCCCACTGGGCGACATGCCGAGAATGCAAACTCAAGAAGGTGCTGTACTACTCAACCCTTCATGGAGCGATGGTGGAAGGAGCACCCCAAGTCAGTCACGACACCCTGCAGTCACAGCACCCACCTGTGGGACATGTCATCATGGACACAGGATGCAAGACAGCGGTGGCTGGAAAGAACTGGCACGATGAGATGAGGATGATGGTCAGGAAACTGGGCCTTAAGTACCACCCAGTGGAGCACGAGGAAGTCTTCAGGTTTGGAGCAGGCAGCCCAGTCCTGAGCACAAAGGCCTATGTCTACCCGGTGACCATCTACAAGGAGAAGTCATGGGTGAGGATCGCTGAAGTGGACAACACAGCGGAGGACCATCGGGTGGCAGAATGCCCTGGTCTCATCGGACCATCGGAGCTGGCAAGATGGAAGGTGCAGATTGACTTTGCCAGTCACAGGGTCGGCATCGGAGGTCACTGGGAGCCCACGGTGATGTCAGCTTCGCGACATCCAATTTTGAATCTGCTCAACATTCCCAGCGGGAAAACCAAGGCCGAGGAGTGGCACTCCAAGGACCTGGAAGCCCTGAGGCAGCGCCTCATCAGGGATCCTTACAGCCTTGCGCTGGTCCAAGAAGCTCTTGAGACCAGTTCGATCTCAGGTGACAGCGAGGACATCGAGCCCAAGCTAGCATTCCAGTGCGGCCATATGGATGTGGAAATGGCCTTGTGGCAAGAAGGTATGGAAGACGAAGCCCTGCAGGTCTTGGACAAGATGGGAGGACCCAAGGTCTTCAAGGTGATTGATCATCCGATACCGGAAGAAAAAGATGACAGCAGCTTGGGAAGCATCAGTCCGAGGGAGTCAGAGACTTCACATGACGATGGTGTGGAGTATTCGGAGTCTGACTCCACTGACTCAGAGACAGAGGATGATGATGCGATGCACCAAGCTTTGACAGGTGACATTGGCGGCGACCTGGAGATCTTCACCAAGGGCCAGAGGAGACGAGTTCTGGCCGCGTCCAAGCAGATTGCAGAGGCAGCGACCTCCGAACCTCTCACAGCAGCAGGTGCCGCGCACCGTGTCAAGACGATGGAAGATCTTAGAGATCTTCGCCTGGAGCTGCATGTTGTCTCAGTTTGCCTACGGTGTGGGCTGGGAGTATTTGGAGCCCATCACATTGCCTGGCTGGGACTTGATGGATCCCAACAAGCAAGCTGAGGCATGGGAATGCCTCGAGAGGAGTCAGCCAGATCTGGTGGCTATCGCGTGGCCATGCGGCCCATGGAGCATCATGCAGAACGCCAACCAGAAGACAGCAACACAGAAGGCAGCACTACGTTTCAAGAGGCAGCAATCAAGGGTGCTGCTGAAGTTTTCCAGAGATGTGGCTGTCTGGCAAAGGCGAAGAGAGAAGGCCCTCCTGGGAGAAAATCCACAAACCAGCAAGGCATGGGATGAGGAGCCAATTTTGGACGGCTTTGGCGGTCTGTCAGAAGCAGTAGCCGACCAATGCTGTTTTGGCCTGCGACACCCATGCAACAAGATGCCGTTGCGGAAGGCCACACGATTTGTCGGCCAAGAGGAGGTGGTTGCACCACTCCGGAAGAGATGTGACGGCAGTCACCAACACTATCCAATCGAAGGAAATGTGACGACGGATGAATTCGGGACGACTTACCATGAGTCAGGAAGAACACAAGCAGCGCAAGCGAGCTCGAGTTATGCTCAGGGGCACGAAATCAGTGAAGAAACTGCTGCAAGATGTTGCAGGACGCCCTGAGCAGGTTCGTAAGAGAAGGAAGAGGCAGGAAGCTCCAGCCCCGGCGGCGCCGAAAGAGGAAGTGGCAGCGCCACCGGAGAGAGAGCAGCCTGCAGAAGAAGAAGAAGGGAGGGCAAGGTCATACTCATATGAACCTCCAGAGCCCATGGATGACCCAGTGATGCCGGAGGCAACACAGGACGCTGAACCAGCAGCAGCGGAAGATGAGGAGCCGGCCGCGCCGGGAGAAGAAGAAGAGAGGCCAAAGCCTGAAGAAGTTCCAGTTCCGGACATGGATGATGACGAATGGGATCAGTTCCCACCTCCTCAGGATCCACAAAGACAGCTGCTGGATGATGTCCCCCTCAGCCTGAAAAAGAGGAAGGATGGCATCTCACAACTAGATGCCGAACATCGAACAAAAAGGCTGAAAGGAAGCTTCTGTGCAGGTGTGGCTGCGACCACAGTCAATGGAGTCCATCAGAATGAGTGGATCTCACAGTATGAAGTGGAGTTGCTGCGTCAACTCACAGGCCTGCCCGTGACGGCAGCAAGGATCCACAGGATGAAGAGGAAGAGACTCCAGCGCCCACCGAAGCAAGTGAGCCGGGCCAGACTCAGTATCCTGATCGGTAACGATCCGAAGGATACCTTCATCGTTAACGAGAATGAAGACCAGGTCCGGGCCAACCCTAGGAGGAGAGCAAGCTTCGAGTGGCGTGGAATGACTGTATTCTACAGGGCCGCTGCCCCAGTTGGTAAGGAGAAGGTGTACATCGAGCTACCGAGCGGAATCTATCTGACGGAGATGTCACCGAAGCAAGCAGAGGAGTTCAAACTGCAATGGATTGAGGAGATCCATGACTGCCTGCTGGCTGAGGTACTGCTCCTGAAGATGAAGCAGAACGGGCGCGAGCTCGACCCGAAGTACTTCAGCTCAGAAGAGAAGAAGGCATTCCAGAAATCGGATGCCGGGTGAAGAATGGCGTGATTCGCCGGCTTGCCCCGGGTGAAGCAGCTAAGGTGCCGCGCAGCACGATTTTTCTGTGCCCCTTTGCGCATGGTTCGGACCAACAAAGCATCGAGCCAACTGGCACCGCTGATTGCCAAGAGCCGTTTGGTCGTGCCTGGCCACCTGGATCCCCAACTGGGTGAATTCAGGACAGATTCACCTACATGCCCCCAGACTGCAGTCAGGGCGGCGAAGACGGTGGCAGCCAGTCGTCAGTGGGATGCTCTCACACTTGATGTGACGACAGCCTTCTTGTCTGGAAAGGCCACGAGCAGGAAGATCTACATCAAGGCACCAGCCGAAGGTCTACCTCCTGCGGAAGATTGGTCTGAAATCACCCCCTATGAGCTCCCCCAGATTCTCAAATCAGCTTACGGCTTGACGGAATCACCACGGCTGTGGTATCTCGAAGCTCGAGACCGTCTGAAACAGACACCTCTGAGAGAGCTGGACATCAGCAAGTCCACTTTCGTTGCTGGAGGTGGAGATGGAAAACCCACTTGGGCAGTGCTCTGCCTACATGTGGATGATGGACTGCTGCTCGGGTCCAATCGGGATCCACGTTTTCAGGAACTTCGACGCCAGATTGATGGTCTCTTCAAGATCAAGGAGTGGAAGACTATGGGCGACAAGCCTCTTCAATTTCTGGGCGTCTGGACCACGCGCAGCAAGCAGGGTGAGATCAAGGACGACATGACGGAGTACATCCGCCAGATCAAGGTGCAAGAGCTCAAAGGCACTGGCCCTTTGGATCAGAAAGGTGTGACCTTGTTTCGTCAACTGACGATGCGCCTACGTTGGCCGGCACAGCAGACGATGCCACACCTCCTGTACGAGGTCAGCTCTCTTGACCAACGGGTCACGAAGGCGACGCACGAGGACTACAAGGAGTCCCTCAAGCTCACCCAGAAGTTCATCGAAGAAGCTGAAGCTGGCCGCGCCAGTCTGACCTATCCGGTCCTCAACGACAAGAAGATGTTTTTCCTCTCCTTTTTCGATGCCTCGCTGGGCAAGGAACAGGACGGGAAGTCACAGTTGGGGGCCATGCACTTCGTTACAACGGAAGATGCCAGGCAGCGACCTACACAGGCATCAGTGGTGGAGTTCACGACGAACAAATCCACCAGGGTGTGCCGCAGTTCAATGGCGGCAGAAGCAATGTCGATGAGTCTCTGCGTGGACCGACATCTCTATGGACCTGGATATGATGTTGTGGGGACATCGCCAACTCCAAGAAGATTGGCGTACCACTATGACGGTTCAAGGGGGGCTTGTCACGGACGCAAAATCGCTCTACGACCACTTGGGATCTACGGGGCAAATCCCAACGGAACGTCAGACTATGCTGGATTTGATGGTGGCCCGCGATCATCTGGAATCGGGAGCTTACGAGCTATTTTGGGTCCCAACATTTCGACAGTTTGGTGACGGATTGATTAAGAAGATGCGTAATCTTCTGTGGGAGGTGTTTTGCAAACACCACACGGTCAGCCTCAAGGAGACCAAGGAGGAGAAGCAACTCGAGGAGCACAGGCAGCGCCTACGTCAGTTACAGCGACAGCGTCGCAAGGAAAAGAAGGGCAGCGACCCGATACCAGCGGCAGCGCCGTCATGTACAACCGGCCGCGCCGGGAAGCTAATTAAGACATCCTGACACCCCAACATCCTTTTTCCTGGGATGTGAACAACTAGCTTTGGTGTCATTGGGTGTCATGTACATGTTTGCATGTTTTTGGTCGCTGCAAACGCAGCTTGGCCCAAGCGAATCGCATCGCAATCGCATAGCAGCAAAATAGAGCCCAATCACTTTGTTTTTGCCTGCGCACCCCGCAAAGGATGTTTGAGGCATGTAGTGACCAAATTTTGGAGTTTGAATACAAGGCAGGGAGGCAGAAAATATATGCACAGAGTCCAGTTTCCGGAACTTTTTGAGTCTTTTTGATTTCACAGAGACTGCCTCCAAAGGCCCAACCTTTAACAAATAAGAACAATAAAAAATTGCATTGAACTCCAAGATCGGGTCATTACAGGCTTCACACATCTTTAAACCTTTCCATATAGTGAGGCACAGCAGTACTGCAAAATGGCAAATTCAGGTTTGAAGGGCCCCCAAATACTGTAGTGATTATTTTTTTGATTTCATCGAGAGGTTTTGCTTCAACAACCCCGGTGCCAAAAAGTGTCCCATGATGGCAATTGTTTTCCATTTTTTTTTCACTTATTTTTGTTCTTATTTTTTTTAAATTGATGGTAGGCACAACCATCCCAAAAGAAGCCTTTCTATAAAATCAAGGACGCAGGTCCAGCTTCTATTGACATACTTTCAGACAGCCCCACTATAAAATCATAAACCAGGTTCCCCAACATTGAGCACCCACATGGTTAAATAGACTTTGCAAAACGTCCATTTTGAAAATTCTGATTTTATAGTGGGCCAGGTGGATGACTTTAAGATACTCTAAGGGGAAAAAGGTGTTCCAACTCTAACCCTGGCCCTGGATTTTATAGAGATTTGATTTTTACAAGCAGGTATTTGTAACTATGTGGTGCTCTGTTTTTCTTGATTTTATAGAGACGTATTTCTTGCAGTCTTCTTTTTTCCTGATTTTATAGTGATTATTTGTGTGCACCCATATGGTGGAACCCAGGTACCTCTATAGAATGGGGCACACTGGGTGACAGTTGAAACCCAAAGGGAGATTCATGAGCGATATGGCAGAGCATGCCGGCCTTTGATTTACCAAACAGATGTCAGAGCAAGGCTGGAGCAGTCAGAAAGGTTGCGAAGGCGTGGACAAGAAACCTATGACATTGCGCTCAGAGGTGGCAATCAGCATGATTATGAGCCTGCAAGGCCATGGGGTTGGGTCTGGAACGCATTATTTTGATTCGGACTTTTGGCATCGTGAAGTTGAAGAACCCTGCATCCTACTACTGGCACGAACCATCAACATTGGCCAACTGGTGGGTGAAGATGCACCGGTGGAGGCCGGAGGCCGGGCACAATTCCTGTGGCAGAAAGACCGCAGCTGCGCCAACAGCCATGCCCAGAGATGACGCTGCCCCGTCTACCCCAGCGCCTGCTTCCAAAAGGCTGCGGGGACCAGATGTGCGTGAGCATCGGCTTGGCGATGATGGACTATTCACCCACAACAGAAGGGGTGTTGAGCTATGCCGTGTTTTCCAGACGGGTGAATGCTTGGAAAAGGATCGAAGAGGATTCTGCGCCAAGAACGGTAGCCGGCGCCACCAACGCGCCAAATGTTTGAATGAGTTCCACGGCGCCGGCCCTTGTCCTTCAGTGGCTCCACGCGCCCCCAAACCCAATCATGGTAAGGGTCGGGGCAAGAAGGGCAAGCGCTGACAAGCGCCGCAATCAAAGCATGTGAATTTAGAGTTTGAGGCATCAGTGAAGGCTGACAATTGACATGGAGACTTGAGTAGTGCCATCACACGAACTACCGGCACAGACATCACAGACCGCATCGTCGGCAGCCCAGCAAAGGCTGCTGATGGTGTGCAGGCATGTGAATTTAACAAATGCAAAAGTTCAGTGGCCCAAAAGGGCGAGCTGATGGATTTGCAGCCGCAGTGGAAAGCATGGGTTGGACATGTGAGGAATATGATATAGTCAATGGTGAGGATCATGACCTTACAGCAGACCATGTATGGCTGGAGGTGAGACAGAAGCTGAGGCAGGGCCGATACGCGGCTCTATTAGCTGGATCCCCTTGCAATACGTTCACCGACGCTCAAAGAGGGGATGATGAAGCGCCTAGGCCCTTGAAGAGCGCCACTGGGCCAGAAAGATATGGCTTGGATGAACTTGCACCAGCACAGAAGCACAAGGTACAAAAGGCCAACCTCATGTCCATACGCACCAGCGAGTCGGTTGAAATCATGGACGACTTGCAGCGGCCGTCCATAGTTGAGCAGCCGCGGTTCAAAGACGACACCGAATCAGTGTCCATGTAGATCAAACCGTCCACAGGTGCCAAACACTGGGGCTCACACCCCCGCTTAAAGGGCAAGGAGTGGTATGTCCCTGCAAAGTCCTGGGACAAATCGATGCTCAGGCCTCCAGGAGAAGTGAGAAGAATGGAGAAAGGCATGCCGTACCTCACTGCGGCACCACAGGCATATCCGCATGAACTCAACAAGAAACTGGCCGACACTCTCATTGGTTGTTGCCGCCCTACCTTGGGATGCGACATGATCAAGAATGGAAAATGGCACTTCTTACGGAAACGTAAAATGGAGGGAGAGGGACCAAAAAAAAACACAAAAAAACAGATAAGGATTAAACAAACAAAGAAGGATCAAAAAAAAACAAATAGGAATAAAAAAACAAATCCAGAAAACATGAGAAAACACTAGGAAACTATCCAAATGCTTTGTGAGACAACCCGAATAAAACTGGCACGTTCATTTGGCAGTCAAATGCTATCGGTTCTTGTTTGCGGTTTGGAATGCGAAACAAACACCCCTTTAGGTGATTTTTTTCTTGGCTTCTCACCCGTAGTCTGGACTTTGCATCCCGGTGGAACCTGAAACCACCTAAAAAACAGGGGCGCCATTGGCACATCTGGAAACTGGCCAGTATAAAAGCAGTTCATTTTTTCACCGGGGCCGAAACCAAAAAGAAAAAACGCTGCGGCCTCGAAAGGGGAAAAAAAACAAACAAACAAAAACAGTAGGCAGGTGGACTTTGTTTATGCTTCGGTCGGTCGTTTGTGCATTTGGAGTTCTCTTTGTGCTCGTCTCTTCACGCCACCCCGGCGACACAACCCCCATGGCGACTCCGCCGATCGACCTGACATCACCTGTCCCAGCCGCCGACGGCATCGAAGATATCACCCCGCCAGTGCCAAGCCAAGAAGCATGCACACTTCCGGCAACGCCGCATGTCCCCAGCATAACGGCCGAACAGCCTTCTTTCGCCGGCGCTGCCGGCACCCAGCACTCCGCCATACCTCCGGCGCGCTTCAGCCCAACAACCCCCGGCCACAGCGGCCGAAGAAGCCTGTCCCATCTACCTAGGGGCCATCCAGGACACAGGATCAGGCAGGGCCCACAGCCCGGCTACATTGGCCACATTGTCGCCACACTTTCCACGTTTGGCTGCTCGACGCACCTCTATGTCCAGCAGCCCCGGCCCCCATGCCCAACTTGCAGGCATGCATGGAACGAAACATCGGACCGCAGTTTCCTCAATCAGCGCCAGCACCATGGAGTCGACTTGCCAGACCGGCCCCTTCCCCAAGACACACAAGCCCCAGCACGGCTGCTACCATCTTCGCCACCACATATCCAACCACACAGACTGCTGCCCACGAGTGTTTCTGGCCGATCCTTCCAGGCCCCAAGAAGACTCCGCGTGCTCCCACCCGAAACCAACAAGAGGGGACATGGCAGCCGGAATGGGTCTGCTTCCGGTGCAACCAAGTCCTGGGCCCTGAGCATCCGTTGTACCAAGGCGTCCCACAACGCCCAACTTGCTAGGAGCATGGTGCCCGGGTTTTCCACCTCGACCTCCGCACCCACACACGCTGGTGGCAGTGCTCGCACCCACACGCCGCATGCGGGCGGACGGCAATACCAGTACACACCCCACAGCAGGCCACCCCCGCCGAACACCTTACACAGGGCCACCCTGAACACACAGTTACCAACAACCACTGGTCAACCTGTGGCCCGCCGGCACCTAGCCAACCGGCTCCGGCAACCTACAGTTGAGTTCTACGTCGCTTTGCTTTTAGCAGGTGCCCGAAGCCTGCACTCTTCAGCAGCAGCAGCAGCATGGCAAAACGTTCCCGCGACGGGGACCACATGGCACACATGGGCCAGAACCCTCCAAAACACCGAGCCCATCCCCTGGCAACAGTTGCATCACATAATCACCACGCTTCATCGGGTGGCAGCAGCATCAGGGCAACGACTCCCACAGCATGAAGCGGCGCTACCGGACCGGCTTCACACAGCAGGACGGCAACAACCCACAGGCACCTTGGTCCACTTCCCATGGGCCGTCAGTTTCTTCCAACAAGCAGATGGATACATTCCCGCCACCGCACAAGAGACATTGCTCCAAGCATACCTGGGCGAACGCCAAGCCTCCGCCGTGGCCACTTTGGCGCAACGATGGGCAACCCACTTGCACCCCGCACCCGGCAACTCAGTGGCAGCCGAGCCACCACAACCACCAGTTTCAGAACCCCAGCTCAACCCACGCCTGGCGGCCGGCAGCCATGACAATGATCCTGCCGACACGTCCACTGACACCTCGGCCTCGTCCTCGTCCTCGGCGTGCTCCCTCCTCATCAGCCAGCAGTCCCTGAAGAAAAGTTGGGTCACTTTTTTGATGACATCAGGAAGAATGCGGCTGTCGACCTGATGCAATTGTTCATAGGCTTGTTCATAGGCCTGGTGGTCCATTGTTTGTGACGGTTGGAGTCTTTCACCCGTCGGAATTTCATTGGCCGCTCGCATCCGTTCAGGATGATTCAAGGCAAAGGCCAGGTCCTCCAACTCCAGGATGCGCTGAAGGAGTTGGTCATGCTGGGTCCGCAGGTGTGCTAGTTGGTGTTGCTGGTACTGGCTGCTGCCGACCGGTGTGCCCAAGATCATCAAGCCTTGCTCCTCGGCTGGTAAGGCTTGGTTGCCGACCCACACGTTGTGGCCTAGGGGTGCAATCCCTGGTGGGGGGACGCCGTTCGCGTTCCAGACTCTGGCTTTGCCAGCGTTGAGCCTGATGTGCGCCGAGGTGAACAAGTGGTGCGACAACAAATCGTACACTGGCCGGACTCGGTTGGGAGGGACGAGCACGTAAATATCATCAAGAAAAGCGAACAAACTTTCACCATCTTGGAGCTCTTCCTGTACGGTGTGGAGTGCCGCCCGCTGCCCCAAAGAAAAAAGTGCTGGCATGAGGGGGTCTCCCTGCTCCCCTCCCTCTGCTTGGGTGATGGTGTGTGGGTTGCCGTGTTGGTCATGCCACACGTATGTGTGGAAGGCTCTGAGTAAAACATGTTCACAAAGCTGGAGCATCGGTTGGCCCCTGGGACCGCGCATAATGCTGTGAGCATGCTTCGCCTCGAAATGGTGTCGTAGGCTCCGACGCCGTCTATGGAGAGGATTGTGAGTGCCTGGTTGTGTTGGACGGCTGTTGTAATGCTGTGGACGACTGCTTCTGCTCCTGCCCTTGTGGATAATGCAAATTGGTGTGGGCGGCAGGCTGCTGCGATGGGTTCGGCGTAGGTTTGGGCCAAGCAGCGTGCCACCAGTCGCCGGAGGAGGTCCCCCACGACGATTCCTTTCACGGTGCCGTTGGGTTTTTGCAAGGCCACAAGGCGCCCGAGTCCCAGCGCTTTAGTGATGTCTCGAGGCATGCCACCGCAATGGTGTGCTCATCGTCGAGCACGAGTCGCAAGGTTTCTGCTGTGAGGCCTGATGGCCCTGGAGCTGCTCCCTTCCGTGCCCGTCGCAAGTTGGTGAGTAGCTGGTTGGCCGGGAGGTCAGGGTCGGGGTGGGGAATGCGAGTTGGCTGAACTGTTTCGGCTGGTGCTGGGTATTGGTTGGTATAGGGCGACGAACTGGGTCCCGCAGTTGTTGGAGGGTGTGGTCTCCTTGGTGAACCAGTTGACAAGCTCGCCGTGCTTGCCGTGCCTCAGTGGGCCCTGTGGTTGTGGAGGGCTGGTGCTGGTCTGTGTTTGCTTGGGTCTGTGTGGCGCCGGCTGCCTCCAGGAGTTGCATCCACTGGCCAGCTTGGAAAGCTATCATGCGGGCATGCCATGCTTGCTTGGGTAATGTTCTGGTGCTGGGGGGCCTGTGCAGCAGCAAGCGGGGGAGCAGGAACCATAATTCACCCCGCTTCGCGTGGGGTGCCCGCCCACACCGCAGGTTTATTTCGGTCCGTGAGAGGGGCTAAGGGTGGTGTGGAATATGAGGAGCAGAGCAGCACAGGAGAATTGACATACATAACTGCTGGGTTCGTGAATATTTTTTTAATTTTCACTTTCCCCCCCCGTGGGGGCTTCCCAAGCTAGGGAATTTTCACTTTTCCCCCCTGTGGGGGCTCCCCAAGCTAGGGAATTTTCACTTTTCCCCCCCGTGGGGGCTTCCCAAGCTAGGGAATTTTCACTTTCCCCCCCCGTGGGGGCTCCCCAAGCTAGGGAATTTTGACTTTTTCCCCCCGTGGGGGCTTCCCAAGCTAGGGAATTTTCACTTTTCCCCGCCGCGACAGCTTCCCAAGCTATGGAATTTTCACTTTTCCCTCCCTTGGAGGCTCTCCAAGCTGCGGAATTTCAAATAGCTAGACAACGACGCCTAGATAGTCCCCCAAATCCCGTGTTCTTTGAATGTGTTTCCATGTTTTTGCAATGGTTTCTTTCAAAGCACGGTACTTTACACTTTTGTCGCCATAAAACCGGTCGAAAACATCATGTTCGACAATGCTTCCAATTCCCTTATGATTGTGAATCCTGAACCGAACCTACGTCCTTTCACAACGAGTCGGTTCCCTCACGGGGAAGACAGGTTCGGACAATACCACTCGAAATCCTGTTCCCATCGAAGGGCACACCGACCCTCGTCCTCCAGGAACATCGACAGGCCCGGAACCACCTCGAGCTACTACCCGAACCGCAATACCGGTTCCTGTTCGGTCAAAGCAACGTGCCACCCCTACGGACAAAAATCAGCGTCGGGTCCACAATCCACCGCCCGCTCTGTGTCTCTTCCCATCATCTCCGAGCTCCCACGTGATGGCTTCAACTCTGATGACTCGGATGATGATGCAGCATCCAGAGCAGCCTCAGCACATGATCATACAGCCACCGACCTCAGTCGAGATACCACCATACCACCCACCATCGCTACCACCACACCACCAGGCACGTCAACGCCACTGGTGTTGACACCAAATCCCACTATCCGCATCCTGCAACCTACGGAATCTTCTCGTCCTCCAAGTGACCCACCATACCGACCCTGGTCGAACGCAGATGATCAAGAGCTGATAACCTTAAAAATGACACGAAATCCCGTCCTTCGTGGAAGACGATCGGTGCTCGGCTTCGTCGTGATCCTCAGGTATGCAAACTGAGATGGGGAATCTTGAAACAAACGGACCAACATGGTCACGTTCATCCGCCTCTCACGAACCAGAGGCCGAGGACTAAACGGCAGTGACATTCCAAAAAGAAAAAAGGAGTGTGCCTGCCTCACAAACGTCGAACATGCCGCTTCTTCTTTTGTTCCTTTTCCTTTCTTTTCTTTTCTTGTTTCTCTTCCATGGTTTGATTTTTGGCCTCCCTAGTTCATATGGCTCACTCATCCGATCACGCACGAACTGCCCCTGAGCGTTCACGCTCCCGGGACGAACCCATGTGGCAGAATCGAAACCAGCAACGTCGTAGCCAATATCGCGACGCATGGCATGATGTACCACCAGTACGTCGACTCAGGCAAGTACTCATCATCGTCAATTTTGAAGCAGTTCGTCCACTCATGACCAAAGTCCATGGTGATGTCATGGAGTCAACAACCTGTGAAGTCTTACCTTCCCTTGGTAGAATGGAAGAACTCGCCCTGTTCACCTACCATATCCTGATCCACACATACCACGTGGAAACATTCACGGTGAACAAATTGCTGTACTACATCAGCCAACACATCTTGTACACGTGGGATCGCCATCTTGAACCCACATCTATGGACCTCCGTTGGCAAGACCAGACTGGGGACACCTTCGCCCTTCCCAACGAGTACCGCCTGATTGATTTTTTTTGATGAATATCGTCCTCATTGGACTACAGGTCAAAAATTTGGGATCCTGTTTCCGAATAATATTCGGCCTTTCATTTCCCAGAATCAGCCAAATATCATGCGCCTGAGTTGCCATGAGGCACTTCCCAACCGCAATATGCTTCCATAAATTGGAAAAAAGTCCGCCTTGCCTCATGTTCCACGTACTCCACCTCTTAGGTTTCTTTTTTGAGATGTGTTGTCGCTTCATTGTATTGGCACACTACCTCCTCAACCCTGTTTTATTCCTCAGCTCTTGGTTTCAATTTTAATATGACTAACAGAGATTCTTTCTTCGCCGGTATCGACTCTCCTCGGGCACCGACAAGCATGCAACGTCGTCATCTTCAACTCGAAGGGCAATCCAGCAGTGGCGCTACATCTTCAGGTCACAGACCGACTCCAAGCGGAAATCGAGCAACAGCACCGAATGCTCCATACTCACATCTTCACAGAGGTCATATCTCCTCATCAGACAGGCGTCAATCGCCTCATGGTGTTTCGGTGTGAAACGCGACCGTCAACCGGAGTTCTTCTTCAATGGAATTGTTGGTCACATTCGTGCCGACCGCCATGGCTGGATTAACTAACAGTTGGGAACAATCCACCCAACTAGCAAACTACTGGCGTCGTCACTTCAATATCCCTGAGGTGAACAATGAGAACAACTCATGGCAGCATTACCAGCAGCCGTCTGACAATGCTGATCGACCTGAAGAAAGCCAAGAGTCAACACCAAACTCGAAGATGGAGGACGACGGACGACGATTCCACCGCTGCCAATGTTGGTACGGCATCGGCCCCTAGTCAGATCCACCAGCTGGCCACAGTCCTCTGGAACATTCTCAACACTGACAGAGAATCCAACGCGGCGATCCTTGAGAAGCTTGAGAATCCGGGCGATGACTTGAGCACCAACCCGGTTCAGGTCTTCACGGCAGCAGACCTGCCCCACCTTGCAAGGCATTTGGCCCTGACAACGCAAGTCTTAGCCCAACAGGCACAGGACATGGAAGAATTGTCCGAAATCGAAGACTAGCGGCAACGTGAACTACCTTCCGGTGTCCAATCTGAGCAGACCGGATAATTCAACTGCACTTCACTCCCTGTGTTTTGATTTTGCTTCAATTGCTACATCCTGTCTCAGGGACCAGATAAGAGCTCCGCTAACTTTCATGCAGTTGCTGAAAAACAGCCTCGCGGCAGCGAGGCGTGTGTGTGGAACATCTGAAAAGATGTAAAACTTCTAACTTGCCTGATGATTTTGCAACGATCGTTTTCATTATTCACGTCGATTGCATTTTCGTTTTTTCCCTTGATTTTCAAATAACAGCAGGGGGATGGAGAAGACATATGAGGCTCCATCCAACGAAGCTCCTCATATGATCCTAGGATATCACCAGGGACGCCTGGTGACGTACCCGTAACGCCATTTCAATTTCTCGTCAATGGCAACCGGCTAAGCCAAGAACCGGCATGTCGTTTTTCTACTTTTTCAAACTTTTTCAAACCAACCTTCAACTTGATGTCAGTACGGTTTCCGCAATCTGAATTACTGCCGACTATTTCTGATGGAACAGTTGCTCTAGCTGAGGCCAAACAAGGATTACTTTTCGATCTTTCTCAGATCTTGTCATCCAATTTTCTCCTGTCAGGTTAACTGAAGTGTTTGTGCACGTACGACGCATTCCACATCAATAATTCGATAAGCTATTTCTGAGCAAGTGTGATATTGCGTGACCGCGAGAGGTCCCGCACGTCCGATCGCCGGTTTTTTGTTCGCGGGGTATGAAGCAACGTGAGCATGGCGTAGTGCGATATTTTGCCTTCTTAATCACGATGCTCATTTTTGACAATTTTTACGCGGGCATGTTGGGACTATTTGGGACTGCTAGTCTGAGATACCTGAGGTGTGTTGTTGCTGCTAGCGTTTGTGCGGGGCCGGACTTAGTGGCTGCACTGGTTTTTGCGATTGCAGGGTTTACTCGCTGTAAGGGCTGTCGCCTACTGCCTCCGAGTCCGACGCAACGCGCAGATACGCACTTGATACGCTCAGCAACGCTTTGGATCTAGAATGTAAGCGCAACAACTCCCAGGCATAAACCATACTTTGCGTGATTTTTTTTGTGTGTGTGTGTGTTTGTTGCTGGTTGCCGTCATGCAGATGTGATGTTGGTTGGTTGTCGTTAGGCCGTTCTTGGGTTATGTTTGCAAAAGGTGTAGCTTCCAGACTTGCACATGTTGGTTGCTTGTTGCACATGCTTTGCAAAGGTTGTTGTGAGCTCTAGCACGTGGTTTCTTCCAAGGACAAGATTTGCTTTGATTATCCACAGGGCTGCTGTCCACTGCTGCAGGCCCCAATGCGACGGAGTGAGCCGGTACGTAATCTTCAAATTGACCCATGGTTATTTCCTGAAGTGCGCGCGTCTCTTGTCATTTTTTTCGCCATCGAGTGTTCACGAAATTTACGGCCGCCAGAGGTAACTCTTAGTTTCTGGTTCAACACATTTTTTGGCACTTCTTCAGTTGTGTGGGGCCTGAAATCATTCAACCCTTCCAACACCAGATACCCTCTTCCCAATTGTCAGCTCGTGATATTGTTTTGAACCGAATCCCCTAGAACGCATCATTGACTGTAACCTTCATTCACGGGAGATCCGGCAACGAAAGCCTCGCTGAAGACCTGGGGAACCGCAGTTTCAACCATTGACATTAGCCGCATTAGGCCTTCGGGTTGTAGCTCTAGGGCATTTCGCTGCCCTGAATTTTTCTCGACAAATCACCCTACGTTTCGATACATTTTGAAAGTTTTCCTTAATAGTGGGATCCGGATGGTCACTTCCCTGCCCAAAACCTACTCGTACCTCTCGTCCCCCCCTCTAAAGATCAATTTCTGCAATCGCGTTCCAACATTTGCCCCCGACGGGCGCTCAGTTAAGATTGGACATTGGTGTATACGATGTTCTGTCAGAAACTGCGAAGCAAGTTGAAGACGGTCGAAGCAAAGTTGATTTTGGAGAGGTGTTGCCATTCATTCATTGTTTGAAGCCCTTTCGGTTCAAGCATTGCAGGACAGGATTTGTACATACATGCGTTGACTACACCCAATGTGCCTTCGCAGCACCCTTTTTTCGCCTGGCATGTGTGTGTGTGTGCGTGTATGTCATGGATTTGCGATTGTTTATGCATGCGTGTTGGATGGCAGCCCCCGAACTTAAAAATCGACAGGCTGGGTTTAGTTTTGTCAAACTTACGGTTTGTGTATGCAAACATATGCAAACCCCTTTCTACGAGGAGATCTTAATGAAGACCCAAAACCCAGTAGAAATATGTTTGTGCATTCCGTGGGCCAAAGCACATCACGTTCTGACATGTTTTGATCCTGCATGCATACGAAGGAAAGGGAGACGCTGGAGAACAGCGTGGAGCAATGAAACTCGCAGAGATGTGGTCCAGCTCGCTTGTTTGCAGTACTTTCCTTCTTGAGTGGTTGGCATTTGACAGCACGGACGCCGAATTGATTTTATCAATGAGAAATGCCATAAGCTCTTACAAAGGGTTGTTGTAGAAAGTGCATGTCACAACATCCTTTTGAGCCGGGATGTGCCACCTCTGTTGTGCATGGAAGTGCTAGCCAGGCTTGTGTTGCCTTGAGTTCAATGCTCACCTTGGCCATACCTAGACAGATAGCGTCAAACAGGAGTGTGGCTCAGCAGCACCTGGAAGTCCGTGTGATGCAAATTGGTTGGGCTAAATGTTCCCAGAACAGATGGACATGTTCCAGCATTTTCCACCTCTAAGAAGTCTTCGGCAGCGTCGGATCTCAACTGCCAGCTCCCGATCTCAATGGGCCGGACCTCAACTGCGAGAGCCAGATCTCAGTGCGCACTGCCGGACCTCAACCGCAAGCTCCAGATCTCAGTGGGCACTGCCGGACCTCAACCTTGAGCTCCAGATCTCAATGGGCATTCAATCGCGAGTTCCAGATCTCAGTGGGCACCGGACCTCAACCGCGAGCTCCAGATCTCAGTGGGCACTGCCCATTGAGATTTGGCGCTCGCAGTTGAGGTCCGGCAGTGCCCATGTCGGAGGCAATGTCAGTATAGATGCCAGATAGAATGCCAGAATAGACAGCCAGATAGAATACCAGAAAAATGCCAGAATAGAACGTCAGACTGGATGTATACCAGATAGAATGCCAGAAAGAATGTCAGAATAGATGCCACATACAATATCACAACGAATGCCAAATAGAATGCCGGAGAACATGTCAGAATGGATGCTAGAATGGATGCCAGATAGGATGCCAGAATAAATGCCAGATAGAATGCAAGAATAGAATGCCACAATAGAATGTCAGAATAGAATGTCAGATAGAATGCCAGAATAGAATGTCAAAAAAATATGCCATATATACTTCCAGATGAGATGTCAGAAGCTATGACACAATATATAGTTTGTCACGGCAGGGATCACTCGAAGGAAAGCACTGTTTTCTCTTGGCGGCTTCCGTATGTTTCCCCATATATGTCCATTATTCCCAAATACATCGAAATACATATGTATATATCTACACATATGTGTATTGGTGTATATTACGGGCCTTTAAAATATACACACGTACGCACGTATGCACAGACATACAGACATACAGGCATACAGGCATACAAGCATACAGACATACAGCCATACAGACACAAATACATCCATCCATTACATTATGTTACATTACATTACGGCACGTCACGTTATAGTACATTGCGCTACACTATATTACATTGCATTGCACTACGTTACATACATACATACATACATACATACATACATACATACATACATACACATCCATGCATCCCATGCATCCATGCATCCATGCATGCATGCATCCATGCATCCATGCATCCTGCATCATGCATGCATGCATGCATGCATGCATGCATACATGCATACATTGCATACATGCATGCATACATGCATACATGCATACATGCATACATGCATACATGCATGCATACATGCATACATGCATACATGCATCCATGCATACATGCATCCATGCATCCATGCATCCATGCATCCATGCATCCATGCATCCATGCATCCATGCATCCATGCATCCATACATACATACCTACCTACCTACCTACCTACATACATACATACATACATACATACACATATATACACACATACACATATAGATCTACATATACATATGTATGCATATGGTTTTATTTACAGATAGATAGATAGATAAATAGATAGATAGATAGATAGGCAGGCAGGCAGGCAGACAGACAGACAGATAGATATCAGGTGGTGTCCAGTGTCCATCCTTTCGATCCAGTTCTGGAACAACAGGTAGCTGATTTTGTCCAGCTGAACCGCCAACCGGCTCTCCGGGAAGCACGAGCCAACACAGCGGCAGCCACCGCGCGAAGCTTAGCTTCGCCATGCTAGGCATGTTTGAACGCTGTGATGTCTGGCTATTTAATGGCGGATTTAAGATGATTTGGGAAGGGTTTAGCCCCTGAAGACTAACAGTTGAAGATTGTTCAAGGTATGTTCAAGGTGTTTTGGAGTGTTTTCTTTGTGTTTTGTTGGTGCTGTGTCTTTTCTGGCTTGCATAGTCAGGCCCAAGTTCCTGCCCTACGGTTTGGTCAAATGCCCATTCTCACAGCAGTTGGAACAGGAGCTCTTGCAGTTTGGAGAGGCCCGTTGCGGCTGTCTAGTGGCCTTGGGCCTTGTGAATTTTCACAGCCTCACCGACTTGCAGGTAGAAAACGCGGCGTTGCAGTTTTCGCTGCCCAGCGTGCAAGGTGATAGTTTTTGTATGTTTTTGTCCTTCATATTTCACAGATAGCATGTTGTCCTGGTATGTCATTGCTTTTATGGTTCTGATGGGTGTGGATCGATGGGTTGCCGATGCTGTGCAGAAGAACAATGTGGCCGTGCGGAGATTGCTGAGGCTACCCCATCTTCTTTCACTGACCAGCACGAGGCCAAACATCTATGATGTCCTCCCTTTAGTATCCTTTAGTAATTTAGTCAGCTATGGTGTACCGCGGCATTCTATGGACAAATTGTCATTGGCGCCCGCAGGGAAAGGTGAAAAGCTACAACAAAGAGAAAGGTTTTGGTTTCATCGAATGTGCCACCACATTCTCAACCTTCCAGCGCAACTTGGCTGGTTACTGTATATCCCCATCAGCCCGCAAGAATATGAAATACCGTGATGCAGAATGTCGTGGGAATGAGGCGATGTGTTCCTTCACAAGCAGCAAGCAGAGGGGTTAGAGGCGGCCGTGCATCATGTGCAAGCGACAGAGGGTGTCACACTTCCAGAGCACAAAGATAGAGGAATTGCAGAACAGACATAAACAATCTGTACATTTGCACTACCGAAATCTACCGAAGTCTTGTTCAGTCCAACATATTTCAGAGGTGCTTAGCACAGATCATGCCGAGTCGAATTGACATGTGATTCAGGTTGGAGATGCCGTCAGCTTTGAAGTAGCAATGATTCTCGGCAAATCGTGGCAACAATTGAGCATGACCCCGTGCTGTTTCGTGCCCTTGTCTGACAAGGTATTCCAAGCAGAGTGCTGCAACATATCAAGCAAGCCAAGTGTCTAACCCAGGAATGCGCAAGGCAATCCTCAAGCGAGGAATGTCGTGAAGATTCTGAAATCTCAGTTGGGAATCCACGAGGACCTTCAAATGGGATGCTGCTCAACACTTTGGAGATCAAGAGCAGAATTATCTTTAATTATCTTTAATTATCTTTAATTAGATTCATCGAAGGCTTGGGAATAATATCTCCGTGCAAGTCCATGGAAGAGTCAGATGGAACTTCTGGGGGGGGCAATTTGGGCTTTTTTTTTCCTGGAGTTGAGGTGGTTGGGTCGCTTCATGCATCTCAGGTGGACCCAGTATTCGGACTATGTCGTGTGACCGGTAAACCGGAGAGGGTTGGGTAACAGGATGATCCTCTTTTAAAACATCGAATGACTGTGGTTGAAGGAAAGGATCATCATTATGAGAGATATTCCATCTTCCAGGTGCCGGCTTCACCATTAACGATTTTGAATGATCATCTATTGATGGTTTTGAAATCACCTGAGGTCAAAAGCTCTGAGGAGGGTGTTGTAAAGAGTGAATGTAAAGGAGATTAGCAGCATGCTGAGATACCATACTCTTTGCAGGATCTGGACCTAAGGTATCTTGTCGGGGACGTAAGGTAACTTTTAAACTGGACTGCTCAACTTCCTTTGTCATTTGTCTTTGGCATTGTGGTGGATGAGCTCTTCTCAACATTTACAGTCTTCGAAAACACAGCCATATTCAGCGGTTGTTTCGGTAAAGAAATTTGGCACGGAAAAGGAATCGCACTCATTTCATCTCATTTCAACATTTGGTCGTACGTCACTTGGTGCAATGTTGGGTTGATGTGGAATCCTAGGTCCCCTTGGGTGGTCCAGAACGAATGGGAACAGGAATAACTTGTGGAATTCTCTGTGCGGGCGGATATTAATCGAATGCACACCCTCCAGGACGCGATCGATGATGCCTGGGCTGCTGTAGATGCTGAGGGCGATATTCAGGCAGCGGAGAAAGCTCCAGATGCATCCGAAACGGCTGCCTCCTCAGTGTACCAAATTGGACCATGTACCCGGATGTACCCGGTTGCCAGTGTAACACAGGAGGGTTCTTGGGAGCGCAGCCTTGAACAGGATCCTTTCGCAGATGCATGGGCTATGGCGGCTATGGCAGAGGCGAAGGTCTGAGCTCCGTTGGTTTTGGATGTTTTTGGATGTTCCAACAGGACGCTTTGATGTTCCAACAGCTCGACTTACCACCTGAACGCTTTGAAGCGCAGGAGGTCCCAAAAGAGGCGGGTAAGGTCGTCGCCAGCGAGGACGAGTCAGAAGCCAGATTCTTGGGTCAGGGGCTCGGAACCCAAAACATACTCAGCAAAAGCCATCTTTGAGAAGGTGACGATGGATGAAGATGGTAGGGAAATTTTGATGAAATGTTGGTTGATCATGTTGATACTGGATGAAGGTTGGCATCAAACTTGCTCCGTGCCCTCTCCAGAGAATCAGCACATCATCCTGCCACTGGAACCAAGTTCTTTAGGCCGTTTAGGCTCATAGGCAAGTGTTGCCCAATCGCTCGCACCTGTCACCTCACAGCAAAACTCGAAGAATGCAAGTGTCTCCACAGAACAGTCAAGCAGAAAGAAAGGAACTTGACATGAGCTTGACCAATGTGGTAAAACCAGTGAGCCATCAGCAATAGTTGCACCCGAGTTGTATAAACCATCCTCAACTGAAGGTTGAATGTAGGGTTTACAAGTTTACCAGCTTACCTCACAATCTGAGACCCAAAAACAAAAATGATCCAGGTTTTAAGGCATTCAAAGCTCCCAAGCAGTTTTCCCATGGCCAGCTCCTCACATGCACGTGCGAAGTTTGGGTCTCGGTGATGGAAATCGTAGGCAGTGGATGGCACCACACCTTTCAGCCAAGGTACATTCTGTAGCAAAGCGCATGAGCTGGCTGAGGAACAACCAGGCAATGAAAAATATTGGGACAAGATGGGACAAGATGGAACAAGATGGGACAAGATGGGACAAGATGGGACAAGATGGGACAAGATGGGACAAGATGGGACAAGTGTCAAGTATGGAGAAGTCTCAAAGAAGTACTGCTCCCCAATCACCATGTGCAGCCGCCAGGATGTGCATCCAAGTCCCTCGACCTCCCCTGCCTTGAGTTTGCCGCAGAAAGCCACACGTCTGCAGTATCCTCTCTTGTCAAAGTTGTATCTCGGTAAGGATGTTGAACCACGTTGAAGTTCTATTGAGATCTTTGAATTCATCCAGAACCAAGCTGTAAGCGTTGTTGACAAAGCCGAGGCAACTCTGCGGAAGGTTCCCTTACAGACGCTGTGCATTTTTACTCATCTTATGGGCGTGTCCGATTTACGACCAATTATTGATTATATATTATATTATATAGATCTTTTGCAGATCTGGGACATACCTCGTTCTTGGACAAACCCTTGTTGATTTTATTGTATCTTGACAGCTGAAGTGAACTGTTGCAAGATATGAGTGACTGGAAGGATCTCAAGCGACAAGGGCCAACATCTGGTATCGACACTGACCGCCAGGTTGGCAAACTGATTCTGCGTGAAGCTGACAGTCAAGACATAGATAGACATTAAATGACATTAGTGTGGGTTCCACTTCTTGAAGGCTAAAATCCGTGCACTGGCTTTGGAGATTCGATCAAAGTCTCGGCAACATGAAGCGAAGCAACAGGAGAAGCAGGCACTGGGAAGGGAAGATTTGTGGGATTCTTGCAGGGGGACATCAACATCAAAGATTAGAAAATCATGTAATCTGGATGTGTTATGCTATCATTTGAGGAACTCGTTTTGGAGTTCGAGGAGGCTGAAAGTGCACCAACACCATCTACTTTTACGTTTGTCGAATCTTGGTTGCAGACATTTGATTGTGCTTGTACCGAATTTCCGGAGTGGAGCGCCCCCATTTTTGCAACGTACTTGCTGTTTCCTTTCTGGTTTTAGGGTCGGAGTGAGGGGGTTGAGTGTGGATTGTGGGGGTCCTTGGAGTGGAAGTGAAGGGGTTCGGGAGTCAGTGGGGAATGGTAAGGTAATCTATGGTTTTCATGATGGTCAGGTTCGTCAGGGTCCACATTGAGCAACCCTAGACCCTATTCACGAACTCTAATCCCTTTCGGACCCTAAAATTCAACAAGAGGGTGAGTGTGATTCAGAAGTGCAAGTATCCAGCAATGTGCCGCGACCTGCCATCACGCTGCTCCTCAGGATGGAAACCGGCTTGAAGCTAAGCTTCCCGCACTAGAGCAGAAGGTGTGAGGATGGGCAGAGGGATCAGGAACCAAGAAAACATGGTCTTCGTCTCCCTTTACGCAGTTGTTGCATGGTTGTTGGAAAAGCAGAAAGAGAAACTACTGTAAGGACAGCACGCATGACCTATTTGCAAGAAATACATTTGTGTGGTGAAGCACCATCAAGTATTTGGCTCGAAAAAGGAGAGCGAACCCAAGTGAGACCCAAAGCTAATCGCACCACAACCAAATCTGTGAATCACGGAGGCAACAACTGAATGGTAAAGAAAGCAACCTGCAGCACACACAAGGACGCACGGGCTAGATCAAGCCAAGTAAAGACCCGTCCGTGGAAGGTTAACTTATTTGGCTTCGAGTTTCCTGGTAAACACTTGGGGTCTTCACATAGAGGTTTCCATCACCTCGGTAGTAAGATGCAACAGCTAGATCACTATCCGATCCTATATGTAATCTATATCCATCTATATGCAATTTGGATCAATTTGGAAGCCATCTGAAGCCATCTGAAGCCATCCGAAGCCGCTTGGCCGACGCAGGTGTTGAACTGCCAAGATGAAGTCGAGAGAGTTGAAATTCTTGCAGCGCCATTGATGGAGGCGCTGCTCATCTCTCGTCCAGTCGATCCCTCGATGTCCCTCGATGTCCCAAATTTGGAAAGTCCCTAGCTGCCGGGACTATCGATATGTTTTGACATGTTTTGACGGTTGTGCTATGTTGTGCTCCTTGAATTCCTACTCACTCCTAGTCCAGTAATATCCAGTAGAGATAGCACAGGTATGCACAGGTGTTTGTTATTTTCAGTTGCATTGTCAGTTCAGAGGCGATGAGCGGTCTCCAGGACGCTGTGGCAAGTGCGGTGCTTTCTTTGCCCCGGAAGATAACAGGCTTCTTTTGCCATCTTTTGCCATGTTTCACCATGATCTTTGGGATTTGCTTGGGTTAAGACATGTTAAAACCTCCAGCATAATTGCCATTGGATCCATTGGTTTCAAGCAGCTTACCAGGTATACCAGTGCATGCAGGACCTGCAGCTCAGCGCTGTCCGCGACACTGAAAGGGCTGTGAAAGCCACGCGGGTCATATGCTCAGAAAGTCACAAAGGTGGTCGCTTTGTCGCAATGCTTTTTGCTGGGTTGAAAATTCCTGCATCGGGCCGTTCTCAGTTGAATCTGGAACAAGCAACAAAAGAGCTTGACAAGATTCGCACCGACGCGGAAGCACTTCCGAGCTCCAAGGCTCTGACTGCATCCTTTGGATTTATCATATGAACTATAGACTGATGACGCACTTTGGAATCTAGCAGGGCTCCATAGCGCTCAGTAAAATGTGGTGCCCAAGCTTTGATATGTTCACGTTGTTATGATTGAATGGTTCTATAGCAAGTACAGGTATGCTTCCATATTTTTTTTGCGTTGTTCCTGTTCTGGAATGTCTGGCTCCGCTTTGCATCGGACAGGATTACTTGGTGCCAAAAATACTTGAACTGGCGGAAAAGCTACAGGCCTTTTGGACTTGTCACAGGATCGCATGCATCATCTGGCTGCTAGATGCTGCTAGGGGTTGTGATATGTGTTGAGAAAACGAGGCTGCTTCGCTCAAACTGGACGAGCACAAGCATGTGCGACGTGACTACGAGCTTGCGAAACAGGTTCTTAGCTTACATTGTCCCACTTCCAGGGCCAAGCATGGCCAAGCAGGATCTGAAAATTTGCCAAAAGGACTTCTGCCAACAGATCCAGCAGCATGTCTTTGTGCCATGACCATGGGTGATGCGGCAAGTCATATTCCTATTAGTTTTGCCCAGGCTGACAAGGTCTGGAGCGATTTGGCTAGCCGACTTGCCATAGTCGAAATGGACTGTGAGAAGGCCATGGTTTTTTGCATGGCCACATTGACTGGAGCATGTCTAGACGCTAGTTTCCCGGAAACTTCCCATACTAGCACCAGGGTTTCCGATAGGATTGGTGTCGGCAGTCTGTCGATAAGAGATTCTTGATTATAGCCCACAAGGAAGACACACCCAATGCCGAAGATTTCTCCAGTAATTGCGTCGCAACCCAGTGCAGGTTTGTTTCTTTCATAGTTGCCTTCAAAAAAGACGGCAAGTGAATTTAATACTCTGTCAACCTGCTTTGCTATTCCAACTTGTTTGGGGGCCACAGCAGGTGTGCAACTGCATTACTTGACAACGATGTCGAATTCCTGATGCTTCGTTGAAAACTTCAGGCAGCGACAATGGCAGATCCTGATGCAAAGGCACGCACTGGTCTTGGAGCTGCTTTTGGGTTGACCGAGGAGTTGAAAACAATCAAAGACTTCGATGATTTTTCGCATCTGTGTCAGTTCCAGCCAGTTGATCCCTGACCAGGCTCCAACGGCACCACATATGCATGAAAACAAAGAAGCCATCCGCATCGCTCAAGCGAAGCTAGCTCCTACAGCCCGTCTCATCGCCGGAAAGGTGGGATGTGGGGCCGGGCCGGGCGGCCAGAAAGCTTCTTGACACTGCGCCAGGTAGGTCTGCTGAAGGGTCATGCCAAAACAAAGATGCTAGAGCTCCTAAGCAGGGCAGAAGCTGCAAAGGCATCTTTGGAGAAGGCCAGGACAACAGCAGTGCTGTGCCAAGCTATGCTATGCTTGGGTTTAAAAGCTGGTGGCAGAGGCACAAAAGAAAATGGAAGAAGCTCAAAGTCATGTGGCTGCTATCCCCTTGCTGAAACAGGTGCTAAACTTGGCAAGGGATCGTGAAGACACATAGCAACATATTGTTCATGCTTCGGGGAAGGCAGTCTCAACATCTAGAAGCATGGGCATTCAAATCGTTGAAATAGTTGAGGCATCTGAAAGACTTGCAGTCGTCGAGCAAGTCATTGAGAAAATGAGGGACACTGAAGCCATGTGCTCAAAATGGGCTTAGTTGGGCTTCATTTTTGAGATTTTTTGAGATTCATTCTTGCCAGAAGTAGGACGAACTGGGAGGAAGAATCGCCACAATACGAGGCACCCTTCCTGATGGGCATCGAAAATTTGCCACCAGAGGCTGCGGCGAACCAGGGAACTTCATGTCGGATGGGTTATCTCAAAATGTGGGATACCCCAAAATGAAACTTCTTAGATCTTCTTAGTGTGTAAGGTGAAAATGCTGATAAATCACGGCAAACTATGGGATCGCAGGGTTCCAAAGTTTGATACAACCCCAAATCTAGAGAGAGAGAGAGAGATAGAGAGAGTGTGCCTTGTTAGGATGTTGTGACTGCGCTCGAGCAGATGGATAAGGTCCCTGCCTCAACAAAATCTGCATCGACGGAGCATTTTTGTCGACGATGAAGCCAAGGCTGCAGCATCAGCATTGACGAGCCTGGCGGATGCACACAAATATGCTGCCTGACAGACACTGACAGGATATTAACCTTCCATGTGACCGTTGGGATCCATTGGGAAATGGGCCATTCGTGGCCAGTGGATGGGCCAATGCTTAATGACTGGTGAGGTTGGCCTCAAGTTGGTAGAGGCCGGCCGCTTGGCAGAGGCAGATGGGATGACAAAGCAGTGCCTGTGCAGGAGATATCAGGAAGGAATATGGAGATACTGTAGAACGAGAATTGCTCATACGTACATATGATTACAAATGTATACAAATGTATACATATGTATGTATGAGTAAGTCTGGATATGTATGTGTATTAGATATGTCAAATGAGTTCACACATGCGCGTACATACACACACACACTATCAGCTACAGTAGATTGGGTCCTGCGCTGCAGGCAACAGCTGAGTCCACCTGCCGGGACCTGGAAAAGGCGGCACTTTGGGTCAGGGAATGGGCACAAGCCTTCATGTGATATGAGAGAGGGTGTTGTATGATAGTATATTACATATACGATCATATGATATCATATATGTATATATAATTATATGTGTGTGTGTACACAAACGTACTAGTATGTTCGTACATTCGTACATTCATACATACATACATACATACATTCATACATACATACATACATACGTTACACACACATACACACACATACACACACACATACACACACACATACACACACACACTCACACACATACACACACACACTCACACACATACACACATACACACACATACACACACATACACACACACATACACACACACATACACACACACACACACACATACACACACACATACACACATACACACACATACACACACATACACACACATACACACATACACAGATACACACATACACACATATACACATACACATACACATATACATATACATATACAATCATATACATATACATATACATATACACATACATATACATATACATATACATATACAATCATATACATATACATATACTGTGAAATTCTTACTATTGACCAATCAGTGCTTTTGTCCAACATGGATGCACTTCATCAACCTTCATGCCATACATATCACAATGCCGTGCGGCTCACATGATCCAACAGCGGATCCCTTGAGCGTATTTGCAACTTAGCCATGGACTTGGCATGTCTTTCAGGCGAAAAAGGCAGCGACCTTTGCACTTGTTTGTGATCCACTGCACCCCAGCCTTGTGTATCACGAGTTGGTAGAGCGGAGCCCGATCCGGGCCTACAATGCCTACGTGGTCTAGTATGCCACGACGTGTTGGACGTGCAACCCCAACTGAATCTCGAGCCCAATCCACTCCAGTTGAAGATTTAGACATCGATGAATTTGACCTCAGAAGCAACAACTCCCTGAGTTTCTGGTATGATGATGTTGAAAACGCTGGTGAGTCATTTTACGACGAATCCATCTGGATGTGTGCGAAGTGTGGCAGCGATCGATTTGTTTGGAATGCGCCAGTCGGAAATGTTTTCATGGGTTTTTGGACGTGTGCGATGTGCAGTTCAACAGACTTTTTTGATTCCAATCAGCCTGCAAAGCATCAGACAGACAAAGGAACCTGGGTCTTTGTGCCAACTGGTGGTGGGGGAACTTGCAACCCTCCATCCTCTAAGGTGCCTCAGCCTCGCAACCGCCATCGACGCCGACGTCGACATGGCCCTCCCCCATTTGAGCCAGATGATGCTGGAGATGACCCTGGCGAGGGTGCAGAGTCTGAGATTAGAACAAATGATCCAACTGTCGATGCGACACCTGCTGGATCCATGCAACACCAACGACGTCATGGACAACCCGGTCAGGACAACAGACGTTTGGATGGGCAGGCAGGTGGAAACCAGCAAGCTGATCAGATTGAGGCGTTGGCAACAGCGATTCAGCGGTTGGCCGACAACAGACGAAATGAGACTGCAAGCTCATCTGATTCCTGGATCAGTGCTATGGGCCCACAGAAGGGCGTACGTTGGCGGAGTGGTGCTCCTCCGCAACCACCTTCTTGGACTTACAATTCTTCTGATTTGCGTGCATATGAAAAGTTTGAGCGAAAGGTCAAAATTTGGGAATTGCATGCAAAGCATTTCATGACAGAAGCTGAAGTAGCATTGACACTGTATACATCACTGAAGGGTGAGGCAGAACAGGAATTGGAGTTTGTTGATATCAACACAATTTACAAACGTGGTGGCGTTGATACAATTTTGTCTCTGTTGCGCCAAGCATTCCAGCAGAAGACAGTGTACATCAAACGACAGTACCTCCATGACTATGAGGCGATTGGTCGGTGGCCCAATGAATCGTTGAGGACATACGTGAATCGCTACCGACGCGCTGAACAATCACTACTAGCTGTTGGAGTGAATGTGGGATTGACATACGATGATGAGTCCAGAGGGTCTAGATTACTTGACCGTGCAAGATTGACACAGGAACAACAGAGACTCATTTTTGTCGGTTCTGGACAAAGTTTGTCGTTTGATGCAATCAAAGCCGCACTGATGTTACAGTTTCCTGAGCACAAGGCAGCTCCTCCGGTGGCAGGCAGAGATTCTACCACTGCACCGTATCAGAAGGGTGCTGGCAAGTCCTCAGGTGCTACATCGTCCTCATCTCCGAATACATCCTCAACTTCTGGATACCAGGGGAAAGGCACAGGCAAAGACAAAGGACCTCGCAGAGTTTTTGCTGCTGAGGCTCAAACGGATACCATTCCTGAAGAAGGAGCTGAAGATGATGGAGATGCCGAAGCAAATGAAGATTATGGAGAACAGGAGAATGCAGAGGCTCCTGACGACACCAATGGTCAGGACGATGAACCTGATCCGAACAATGATGAGAGCATAGATGATTTGACCCAAGTGCTGACTGTGACAGCACGCAAGCTTGCGAACATGACCTTGGGAAGGAAGTTTTCTGGACAGCCAAAGCGATCCATCCAGGAGAAGAAGAAAGTGTCGATCTGTGCTGCATGCGGCCTTAAGGGCCACTGGGCCGGTGATCCGGAGCGTGAAGCATCTGGCAATGTAGATGGCAAAGCTACTACATCGTCTTCAAGTTCTATTACGCCCTCAAAGGGCAAGAGGAAGGGCCAAAAAGGTCGAGACGAAGCCAGCAATGTGAAAAAGGTGATGACCGTTCACCACAGCAGCGGATTTGACAACACCATTGAGTATCTACCTGATCAAGAACCATCTCACCCTCATTTCACCATGGTTTGCACTGTTCCCTTTACGTGTTTTTCAGCTGCCGTCACTGAAACCACGGATTACATGATCCTGGACACTGCATGCCAACGTTCTTGCTGTGGAACTCAATGGATTGCACTGCAGGCCGAAAAGCTGGAAGCAGCGCGCCTCAAGGTCTACAAGCAGGCCAGCCAAGAACAGTTTCAATTTGGTGCCGGTGCACCCATCAAATCACATGAGAAAGCATGGATTCCTGGTGCCATAGAACAACGCTGTTTGATTTTTGGAGTCAATGTGGTGGACACCCATATTCCTTTTCTTGGCAGTTTGCGTGTTTTGAAACGTTTGGGTGCAATCATTGACCTCACACATCAAGTTGTTTATTTTAGCACTTTGGATGTCACCGCCAATCTCAAACGTGTTGGCGGACATTTGGCAATTGAGATTAACCAGTTTCCAGCACAGCCACATCGTTTGCGTATTTGGACACAGATTGCAGAAAAAGGGTTTGATGATCCAGAAATCGCAACAACCTTTTCCTTGGAGCATGCCGACAATTTCAACACGTTGGCAACTATGGCTCCTTCAGCAATTCGATCACCGTCGCTCCTGACCTTTTGCGATGGACTTCAACCCCGAGTTGAGGAAGCGATGGAAGAAGTTGACAAAGAAGCTGGTGGAGCTGGCAAAGGTTGCGCCAATACACCTGCGCCAGGCGACTTCCTCCAGAACGTGACAAGCGCAACTTTGCAGACCTGATGGAGCTCTATGCAGGTACAGCCAAGGCCACCTTGTTTTCCAAGCAGTATGGTCTCAATGCCGTTGAACCTTTTGACAAGAACGAAGGCAAGGATTTGACCCAGCCAGCACAACGTCGACTTGTTGAACGTGCCCTGCAACAGCTACGACCACTACTTTTGCTGGTTGGTTTTCCCTGCACGTTATGGAATCTGCTGAATGAGAACCGCAACTATTATCAACTATTCTCATCGCATGGAAGAGCTGGAAGCCATGCGAGAACTACAACGCCCCTTGCTGCGTTGGACATGTCAGCAGATCAAGAAACAATCTGAGATGGGAAACTTTTTCATCTTTGAGAGCTCACAACGTTGTCGCATTTGGGATGAAGCATGCGTCGCGGAACTATGTGAACTTCCTGGTGCTCAAGTCGTCACTGCTGACGCAGGGGCATTTGGAGCTGTGGACCGTGACGGCTTCCCCATCATCAAGACCCACAAGTTCGTCTTGAACAACTCCATCATAGCCCAGGCACTACATCGACGATTGACTGCTCAAGAACGTCAAGTGTGCCGACCTTTGGAAGGTATCAATGTGACCTTGTCCCAGGAGTACCCTGACGACATGGTAAGAGCCATTCTCCGAGCCCTCAAGCAGATTGCAAAGAACTTGTGCCCCAACAGATTTGACACTCATCAAGTTTGGGCAGCACAGCCTGTGGATGACCACGAGCTTTGGCGCAAGCTGCTGAACGAGGTGCACAACATGTTTGCCAACAGTGCCATCAAAACCCTGGTGCTTCAACCTGGACACGAGATCTACAACCAGATCACGCACTTGGTGCCATGGGAGCTCACCAGAGTTCAGCTGGCTATGGCGCCTATCACACGGAGAATGCCTCGTGACATTGCCTTCACCCACCGTGGAGCCGCACTGCTTCACAATGACCAAACAATGTCACTTGAATGGGAAGATCTGAGCAATGTCACATTTCCAAAGCAGAGATTTGGGAAGCCAGTCAATGCCGCCATTTTCTTTTTCGGCTTGGCTGACCCTGACAAACCACCATCAGCACCAGCAGGACGTGAAGCTGATGCAGATGACCCAGAAGCACGACTTCCAGTTCCAGGCCTGCGGACCGACATCACTTTTCCAAATGCACCCAAGACACTGCCCAAGGAGGTGAAAGCTTCAGTGGCAAGGCTGCACATCAACACCGGCCATGCCAACAACAAAGAGCTGACGAGACTTCTTGCTGCACATGGATCTATCAATGGTCCAACACTGACTGCACTGGAGCATATGGTTTGTGGTTCATGCGAGAGGACAAAACCACCTCCCGCGCCTCGACCAGCATCAATCCCTCACTTCATGGGACAGTTTGGAGAGCGCGTTCAAATGGATGTGGTGTACGTGCGAGACCTTTCTGGCACGAACCATCCTCTTCTTGGCATTGCAGATCTGGCGACTTCACTACATCAAGCGGTTCGTCTATACAGTCGGGCCTCAGCACATGTGGTGGATCAGTTCCGCAAATGCTGGTTGATGCCATTTGGATATCCACTTGTTTGCGAGGTTGATGCAGATGGTGCTTTTGAAGGTGAGTTCCGTTTGCACATGGAAGAAGCTGGAGTTCATTTGGTAGTGATACCCCCAGAAGCACACTGGAGGATCGGAACCATTGAAAGAAAGAACTCAGTGCTGCGAACAATCATTGAACGTCTGATTGATGAAAACGCAGTGACCAGCGGCGAAGCTCTTGATTGGGCCATCGTTGCAGCAGTTCAAGCAACAAATTCAACAATTGGCTCCAAAGGCAGAAGCCCATATCAGGCCGTTTTTGGCCGGTTGCCACGTTTTCCAGGTGATCTTTTTGGAGACGATCCGGCTCTAGCAGTTGCAGACAACCAGTTGCTGGCCGAAGAACTACGATGCCAGGCACTTCGGGTGATCGATGAAATGGGAGCCTCACAGATCATCTGGCGTGCCCTTTTGCGAAAGACCAAGCCCAACAAAGATGAGTCCAAGAACATCCTTCCTGGTTCACTCGCTGCATACTGGCGATGGACGAAGCGATCTTCCGGAAAGAAGCGTGGGGGCTATGTTCTTGGCCGTTTGCTTTTACATGACTCTGATGGAAAGTCAGCTTGGATGCAGGCTGGTTCAACTACTGTGCAGGTGACCTACGAGCAACTGCGCCCTGCATATGGATTGGAATCATGGACACCAAGCATGAACGACATCAGAGCCCTGAAGAACTGCGAGAAAACACTTGCGGCAGGCATGTGGGAAGATCACCGTGGACCCGGGCCTCCAGAAGATGAGCCCCTCGAACCAGAGATTGCGGCCCCCGTGGAACCCGAAGACGTCCAGATGATTCCTGCAGAACCTGTTCCACTTCTTGGAGAACCACCATCACCAGTTCCATCACCATCAACTCCACCAATGCCAATGCAAGATACTTTACCACTACCACTTGACCATCCTCAACAACCAGAACATTTACATTTTTCACCAACATATCACCACAACATCCATCAAGACATTCACCAACACATCTCAATGGGCGATGGATTTGAGAGAAATGTGCGACCAAGGTTTGAAACGGAGGCAGAAGAATTCCAACATCAACTACGCCAAGCTCAACGACACCAACAAACATACCTACCACGACCCCTTGATGAAATTGACCAACAACAACTACTTGAACCAGAGACACCACAACCGCCACCACTACCAAACACAACAGAAAGAACAGCAATTGATGCAGATGATGAGACAATGCTACCAGAACCACCAGTGCCACCAATTTCAACACCAGCTACAGCATCCGCTGCAGCACCACCACCATTGCCACCTAGCAGCCAAGGAAGCTCACAACCAACACCACTGATCAGCAGCAGCAACAACACAGCACATACAAATGACTCGGCAACATCACTCTCTTTGATTGCCTCACACTTGCCAAAGATGTGGAGCCATAGATGGAGCTACTACAGCTTTGTGGTGACCGAGGTCCCTGAAGAGCCCTACCGCACCTTTGAGCAAGTGAAACCTGGTTGGGACGGCAACGTGAAACACATTTCACCAACATGCAGTCAAGCCTTCAAGGTTGCAGCCGCCAAAGCCGATGACCATGAGCTTTCAAGCGACACTTCTGATGATGAAGCTGCTCCCAGCATGGCCTCTATCACCAGACAAGAACGCAAAGCTCTGGATCGTGAAATACCTTGGAGAACCATCGTTGCTGGACCAGCTGACATTGTGGAGCTCTACGTGAAGGCCAACCAGAAAGAGTACGACAGTTGGATGAGCTGGGGATGCATTAGAAGAATCCCACCTGAAATGATTGCGAAACTCAAAGCCACACCATCCTTGCGACGAAGGGTGATTCCTTCTCGAAATGCCTACCGCGACAAGAACCGTGGTGCTGGCCCTGAGGTGCGAGCAAAATGCAGAACAGTAGTGGTAGGATGCCAAGACCCTGACTTGGCCACCTTGTCAAGAAGTTCGCCGACACCATCCAAAGTTGCAGAACTTGTGCTGCTGCAAATAGCAGCATCTGGAATGAACGGCTTGGTTGAACTCACAGGCCTGAGATGGTATCTATGGGCAGCCGACGCTGCCACAGCCTTTTTGCAAGGTGAACCTGAACCACGATCCCAGCCACTCTACATGAAATCACCACGAGATGGAATCCAAGCTCTTGCACAGACCTTCACTGATGAGATGTACGAAGTAGTAGGCAACCTCTACGGGTTTGCATCAGCTCCAAGAACTTGGTGGTTGCATGTGTTGAAGACCACCAAGAACAAGAATTTCTTTCAACATCGCTATGACAAGTGCATGTTGATCAAGCGCGATCCTCAAGGCAAATTGCTTGTCCTGATGATCATACATGTCGATGACTTCCTCGTGACTTCTCGAGAGGACTACGACATTGAAGAGTTGAAAGGCATGTTTCGATGGGGATCGATGACGCTCTTGTCATCAGACAACGAAATCGTTTTCCGTGGCAAGGAGATCAAGCAGCACCTTGTCAATGGCAAGATTGTCCTCAAAGTGACCCAGAAAGCCTTCATCAACGAGATGTCTACAGGTCAACTTGGAAGAGGCCGCCTACAAGCTGACACCTTGAACAACGAGGAGCAGAAGGAGTTCCGATCAGTTGCAGGATCACTCCAATGGTTGGGAGGGCAGACACGACCTGACCTTTGCTCAGCTGTCAGTTTGGCCAATAAGGGCGCAGAGACCCGACCCAAGGACTTGAAGACCTTGTTTGACTACATTGACCTGGCCAAGCTCACTCCAGATCTAGGACTATGCTTCAACGCCGTGCCCTTCAACAAAGCCGCAATGCTGATTGGATACGGCGACTCAAGCTGGGCAAATGCACCTGGCGGGGGGTTTGGTCCTGATAGGATCACCAGATTGCCTTGAACGAAAAGCTGAAGTATCAATTCTAGATTGGAAGAGTGCTCGCAGCCCGCGGGTGACCAGATCAACACTAGCCAGTGAAGCCAATTCGATGGACGAGACCGTCGATCGATGCACCTACATCAACTATTTCGTTGCCGAACTTCTATATGATTGCAGAGACCACCATGGACGACTGTGCATTGAGCGTGCGTTAAAACAACTTCAATGCACCGACTGCAAGAGTTTGTACGATGCTGTCATTTCGGAAAACCCTTCCTTGACTGAAAAGAGGACAATGATTGCAGTCCGCTCAATCCAGGACTTCATCAATGAAGACGAATGTAGGTGGGTCCCAACAGATGTAATGTGGGCTGATATCCTGACAAAAGAGGATATGCAGCTATGCGTTTCATTTCAACCGTGGCTGTCAAGGCCATACGTGATGTTGGTTGATGAAAGAGAAAAACACAAGTGTGAAATTCTTACTATTGACCAATCAGTGCTTTTGTCCAACATGGATGCACTTCATCAACCTTCATGCCATACATATCACAATGCCGTGCGGCTCACATGATCCAACAGCGGATCCCTTGAGCGTATTTGCAACTTAGCCATGGACTTGGCATGTCTTTCAGGCGAAAAAGGCAGCGACCTTTGCACTTGTTTGTGATCCACTGCACCCCAGCCTTGTGTATCACGAGATATACATATACATGTATACCATTACATTACATACCATTACATTACATACCATTACATTACATTACATATTATATTATCTTATATTATATTTGATTATTATATTTTATCATATTATCATATTACATGATATTACATGATATTATATTATGATATATGATGTTATATTATATTATATTATATTATATTATGTTATCTTATATTATGTGACTTTCATTTTTGGAAAAATAGCATGCTGACAATGGACCAGTCACAAACTATCACTGGCGTCAGGTAAAGCGGCAATTGGATGCAAACATCGCCAAGGCTGCTGCAATGGGTCACATAAGGCTGTGACGCGTGGCCATGTGTTGGCTGCACCTGTGTGTCATGGTGCAAGGTCCGAAAATTTCAGGCAAACGCCTCTGAGAGAAGACGCAGTGTCGTCATTGCGGGCATGAAGGAGATCCACTGGAGATACTTTTGGTATCCTGTCTGTCATTCTTACTCGTACCATGTGAGGATGATACCAACGATACATTGATTCTGCTCCAAACAGAACTTGCATCATCGAACAGCAAGGCATGGCACGGTGACAGATGTGACAGATGTGACCGCTGCTTCATGCTCAGGAGCAAGTAGGCCTTGCTGAAGCAGGAGTTCAGAAATTGCAGGCTTTGGCAGGCAGAAGGGAAGGAGGGAGGACATTGGAAGAACTTCCTACGAATTGCCAAGACTTCGAGCATGACTCAGGCAACCTAAAAGACTCCAGCCTGGAAAAGATGTCAGAGTGCCTGGAACAGACACACCGGGCAGAACTCCAGGTGCAGACAGCAGGTTGCCACCAACGACCCCCCGGTGTCCACAGCCTTGACTTCAGGCACAAACCGCTTTGACGGCAGCCCGACGAGAAGTGCAAGACAGGTACCCAAACATACTCACACCATTTGATGTGATATCAACAACAAGTAGAATGCTTAGTGAGCACTGTGGCTTGAAAGTATCAAAGATTGAGGATGTGTTTTTTCTTTCAGGCAGCAGGAATTGCGCAATAGCGCCGACAACATTGCTAGCCTCAAGAACAACAGCGAGGCTGGAATGATGTGGAATGGCTAGGGCTCCATGCTCCAATCCACTGGCCTTTCTGAATTTCAAAACTACGCGCAGGTCCTTCGTTGCAAGGCACTGTATGGCACAATACAATGTGCCATGTGCATCCATGTGCATCATGTGCAATGATGTTAGGAGAATCTTAATGTAATTCTGAGATGTGAAAAGGCACGAAAACATGTCAGGTCCGCGTGGGGAACTTGGAATCAGAGCTGAATAAGCGCCTGCCTCAGAGGAACTATATGGAACTATGTTTATTTTGTGAGTTTATTTGGTTTGTGCATCGTCCAACATCGTCCAACATCGTCCAACATCGTCCAACATCGTCCAACATCGTCCAAACATCGTCCAACATCGTCCAACATTATAACATGGCGGGAAGATGGATGAGGTTTCGAAAGCTCTCCCAAGAGGCCAGCGAAAAGCTCAAGGTGCACTCATCCCTCCAGCAGCTCAGCGAGGCCACACCTGCCACAGCTGGTTCTTTGGTGAAGACATGCGAAGACATGCCTCAAAATCGAGCTTTGCTGCGCTCAGGATGTGGCTAAGGCTGAAGCTAAAGTTGAGAGCTGCTGAGCTGAAATTCTGAGCTGATGCCCATTAAAAATTTATTAAGATGTCATGCCAGCGCTCGCATGCCGGTTCAAGGGAACCGTATGGTTCTCCGCCTGGTGGGGGATGATGCCGATGCCGTAAAACTTTAGTCAACAGGAACAATCCAGTGGTCAGACAAGCTGAGTCTGTAAGGTTTGCTTCCTGGTGGGGAGCATGTGGAGCAGCCACAGGACATTTTCACAGCTGGTTTGGGAACGCACACAGAGCCGGACGCACACATTTTTTGAGTCTTGCTGAAGGATGACAAAGCCATACTAGACTTGGAGAGCGCACTGAATGCAGCAACCATGCAGGCCCTTCTTTAATATTCGACATTTGTGCATGTAAGTTGCTGTAGTGGCAGCGATGCATCGTTTTGATGGAAGACTTCAGGATGAAATCTCGACTCAGCCCTGTGCAGGTGGAACAAAAGATTCCAGCAGCATCAGGAAGCTTCAAAGCATTTTGATATAGAGTACATCTTGATATATTGAGGTTACTGTATCTGAATTCTTCTGCCTGATTATTAATTTGCTCTCACACACGCATGCATATATATATATTGTGTTATTCTTGTTGCCATGGTAGTTGATGCTTTAGATATGTATACATGATTATACATGCATACCTTTGCGTCTCTGATGGCTGTTGTGTATGTATGGCAATAATTGAAGTAGAACCAATAACTGGGAGAAAGATGTTCCGTGCTGGATGGCTTGACAGGATTGGAGCTGAAAGAACTTCGCACGCTCCTGGAACGAGTGCAGACGGCTCAAGAAGGATTCAGTGAAGTCAAGGACTGCGACTGTACTCATGGTACAAGATTGGGCTTGATTTGGATTGTTGTAGTACGTTTGCATCCGTTGCAACCTCGACCTGCAGTCACGGCTTCCCGCTGCACTGTACTTTTGGCTTCCGAACTATCTTTCGAACAGTTTGCTTCAACTTCCATGTGTTTAACCTTTCAACCTGGTAGAATTTCAATTTTGGAGAAGCAACGTGTAGTGGTGAGGAAGCTGCTCGCGAACGATCTCGAGCTCAGTCTCTGAGCAAGCTCGCAGAGGCAAGAAACCCAACAAGCTCCAGGAGGACACAGTCTGAATGGAAATCCATAGGTTTGGGTGATCCCATTTGTTTTATGTTTCTTTTCCCGAATGCGTAGCAAGGGTTCCCGCTCTGGGGGTCTGGGGGTTGAGGGTGTGTTCGCTCAACGTTGCCCAACCGTCCGCAACCGTTCGCAACCGTCCGCACGAGCCCCGTAGGGCCGTGCCTATGGTAGCACACGTCGCGTCGCTTCGTTTCGCGTGGCAGGCATGGCACTTCGCGACGTTCAGACGTGTTTTGTAACGTGTCGAAAGTCGTTTTCAGAAGATGCGTTGCAGTTTTTTTCGCGTGGCAGGCGTGGCAGGCGCAATACTTTTGCGACGTTTTCAGAAGATGCGTTGCAGTTTTTGTGGCAGGCCCAGCACTTTGGACGTGTCCATCGTCTTTTTGCGCGGCAGGCACAGCACTTTAGACGTGTCGTGTTGCGTGTTTTTTGCGAATCGCATTGTCAGTCAGGGCTGCGTCAAGTGGCGACAAGGTGCGAATTCCGTGGCAGGCGTGGCATTTTGTGAGATGTGATGAAAATTGACGGAAGCCTCGCACGAAACATCGATTTTGAGGTAGCAAATTTGGAGGTTCATCAGCAAACTCATAGGAAAACATCGATTTTGAAGCTACAAAGTGTGAAAATTGGAGGAAGCCTCGCACGAAATGAACGTGTCGAAAGTCGTTTTGCGTGGCAGGCGCAGTACTTTTGCGTCTTTTTCACAAGATGAGTTGCAGTTTTCATGGCAGGCCCAGCACTTTGGGCGTGTCCATCGTCATGCTGCGTGGCAGGCGAAGCACTTCAGATGTGTCGCATTGCGTGCTCTGCACTCCACACTTCGCACTTTACACTCCACACTCCCCACTCCACCCCACACTGCGCAATCTACACTCCACACTCTACACTCCACACTCCACACTTCACACTCCACACTCCACACTTTACACTTTACACTCTACACTCTACACTCCACACTCCACACTCCACACTTTACACTCCACACTTTACACGTGACACTTTACACTCCACACTCTACACACGATACTCTCCACTTTACACTTTACACTCCCCACTTTACACTCCACACTCTACACTTCACACTCCAAACTTTGCACTCCACACTTTACACTCTACACTCTACACTCCACACTCCACACTCCACACTTTACACTCTACACTTTACACTTGACACTTAACACTCCACACTCTACACACGACACTCCCCACTTTACACTTTACACTCCCCACTTTGCACTCCACGCTTCACACTTTACACTCCACACTTTACACTCCACACTCTACACTTTACACTCCACACTCCACACTTTACACTTTACATTTCACACTCTACACCCCGCACTCTACACTCTGCACTTTACAATCCACACTTTACACTCCACACTTTACATTCCATACTTTACACTCTACACTTTACACTCTACACTTTACACTCTAAACTTTACACTCCACACTCTACACTCCACACTCTACACTCCACACTCCACTCTCCACACTTTACACTTTACACTCTACGCTTTACACTTTACACTCTACACTTTACACTCCACACTCTACACTCCACACTCTACACTCCACACTCCTTACACTCCACACTCCACACTCTGCACTTTACACTCCACACTTTGCACTCTAAGCTTCACATTCCACACTGTACACTCCGCACTTTACACTCTACACTTTACACTCTACGCTTTCCACTCCACACTCTACACTCCACACTCTACACTCCACACTCCTTACTTTACACTCCACACTCTGCACTTTACACTCCACACTTTGCACTCCACACTTCACATTCCACACTGTACACTCCGCACTTTACACTCTACACTTTACTCTCTACTCTTTACACTCTACACTCCACACTTTACACTTTACACTTCTCACTCCGCTCTTTACACTCCTCACTCCCTTCTTTACACTCCACGCTCTGCACTTTACACTCCACACTTTACACGCCACACTTCACACTGTACACTCCTCACTCCACACTTTACACTCCACACTTGACACTCTACACTTTACACTCCACACTCCACCCTCCTCCGCATTCCACAGTCTACAGTGCACTGGTACGGTAACAGGGGAAAAATGTAAACTGTTCAAATAACTTGTTTCACAAAAGTGTTCTACATGACTGCATTCGGGTTCGTGGGCTGCATCTTGTTAAGTACCAACTGGTTGCATGATCGGCAGAGCTTCCCTGAAGCTGTGCCACAACATGCGGTAGCCATTCATAGCCAAGGCTGCTGAAGCTGTGCGTGAGCTCGAGAAGCGCCTCGATGCCCTGTCTGATGCGGTCGCAAAGCCCGATGAGCTGCCAATCAAACGTCTTTTGGCTGATGGCTACATCGCCCGGATGTGGCACATGAAATGCTACAGATTTTGTGAAATTCCATCGTCTCGAATCTGCTGTTGCTGAACACGCAATTTGCCAATGTGCATCCTCCGGCACTTTCTGAGGCTTGCAAGAAGCTTTGCTAGAAGCACAAGAAGCTCAAAGACTTAGCCAGGAGGTTCCCAAGACGGTGATTTATGTGATTTGGTTGCGTGGATGAGTTCTACATAGTCCCAGTAGATGCACATGGCAGCCCCAAAAGCCAGGTCGTAGACGTACAAACTGGGCGCCTTGGATGCAATGCGTCAACGCGTGGCACGTGCTGTCAGCGATGCTATTTGTGCCATTCCTGCAGTTAAGGCAGATATCTCTGGAAGCAAAAGTGGAGCTTGCAAAGTTTCAAGCGCGCTGCAAAGCAGCACAACGAAAGGCAAGTTGGAGGATTTAGTTGCTTCCTGTCTTGAATTCTGAAACCGTTTGACATGCCTGTGGATGCTGCAGATCAAGGCAAATAAGAAATTGCATATGCGGCAAATGCAGGCAAAGACGTCCTGTGATGCCTTGGGATTCTGCTATCAGCGCATGACCTCCGAGTCCAAGTCTGCAGTCAGGGACGCCTTACGGAGTGCCGCGAAGCGAGGCGAAGGCCAGTTGAGCAAACGACGCAGCGAAATGTGAAATGAGGATTTGATAGGATTTGCCACCTTGCAATGCCTTGCAGATCATGCGGACATTTGAAATTCATTTGAGGCCCATTCCAAGCAGAGGAGCTGTTCACAGAGCTGACAAAAGGCAACACAGAATTGACGAAGCAGGACATCTTTGATTTCTTTGACCGATATGGCACAAGCCTTAGCAATGGCTCCTGATTGTCTTCCATCGTTGGTCCGGAAACCACCAGCAGCCAAGGCATGGAAGGTGGACTTTCAGAGGATAAAGCTCAGAACTCAGACACTGATCTCTGGTAGTCCTTTTGAATCTTTTTGATCCCAAGATGCCAGCCAGCCATAGCCTGCCCACGCGACCTTGAACAGATGCCCTGCTTAGGTGAATGCAGCGGTAGAGCAGCTCGTACCTCACGGCCTTACGAAGAAAACCTTTGTGGCGCTGCTTTGTGACTACCAGAGGCTGTCTTGGCACACCACCATCACATGTCTAGGCCCTTGAATTAGACACCCAAAATCAATCAAAATCAGCTTCTTGTGCCTGCCACAGGGTCGTCCGGGAGATCAGTCTTACAGACAGCTTCGCCATTCAAGCTGCGCAGCAGGCCATTGGTCAAAGTCACTACCAGCAGTTTGGAGACAGCAGCTGTGCTCAGGTGCGCCAGTTGGAGATCGGAGAGCTCGTCAACATCCAATCTCCAATTCAGAGGGACAGTGGCTTGGGGAATTGTGAGACGGGCACATTGTGCATCATTTTGCATAGGATTCTGATGGATTCCACATATTTAAAATGACACCCGTTGGCATCAATTTGGAGGATGAGCTTGGATTGGAGCGTGCCATGTGCCAAGCTGTCAAAGATGGAGCCTCCGGGTGGGTCACTGTCAGCAGCCTAGTCCCTGAACGGAACGAAGCCTCTGCAGTGGTCATGTGCAATGGCCTTAGGTTCGAACCAAGGCCGGCATTTCCTACATGACCCTTGGAGTTGAATTCAACAGGGGTTTTGTTGGACTTTCTTAGTTCCCCAGGTATGATGCAGTAATTACCTAAGTTGGTGTTAAACGTAGACTTAGTTGCCTGCACTAGGAAGGGCTTTTCAAGGCTGTAGAAGTGAGGCGCTTACTACATCCATCTGCTTCGGTTGCAATGGATTGCAATGGTCTTTAATTATTTGGTTGCAGCTACAGCATGCTACAGCTCAGGAATGCAGCTGAGAAGCCTTATCTTTGGTGTGCACAAGATGTGCTGCTGAAGAAAAGCGCCAGTGCAGAGGATGGGGGGCCATCTAGTATCCATTCAATATCCATCTTAATTATATGGGTCCATATCCATTTAATATCCATACAGTATAGTTTCACAACTTTGGTGTTTTTCTTTGTGTGTTTTGATGTGTTTGGTCTTGTGCGTAGAAATGGCTATCAAAAAAAGCTGACATGCTGCCGCAGGAAGGTTTGCGGGAACTTCAAAGTGGCGAATGTTTGGAGCTTCTGGAGGGGCCAAAAGAGGAGATGACACACCGTTGCTTTCATGGTTGGGAAAAAACCGGCGGGAATATCTACGATTATGGGGGATATCCAAAATACCTTTCCGTATGAGGAGATTTCCTGTTGTACAAACACTTCAGACTATTGAAACGCAACCTAAATGGAGCATCATCCTCACATAGTGCCTAAAATTGGTGCCAGAAAACGCTCAAGAATTTGTGGCGTTCACAATAGGCAGAACATCAAGGGGATGACTAAGGGATGACTTCCTAAATGCTGCGTTTACATGCAGGGACGCATGACATTGCCCCCTTCCTGTAGCCATGCATGATTACCAGAGGGTATTCAAAATAAATGGCCATGATAAATGACTCTGATTCTGATGGGATTTGATGGGCCCTTGCCTGATAGCCATGGGCCGCTATGGGCCGCTAGGAGTTGGGCTCAGAGATGCGCCTCCGAGGGGTCTCATGCAGCGAGGAAGTCAGTGGCTTGCGGCAAACTATACCATGTCAAGCCTGCGAACAGAGACCCTCAAAATCTATGATTCAGATGCATTAAGATGCAGCGCATTCTGCAAAGTTGATTGAGCAAGGTTTTTACTTGATTAAATGTGATTAAATCATGATTTGCAGGTGGGTGGCTGCAAGTCCGCAATCAAAATGGTGAAGTGGTGGCACAAGAGCATCAGAACGTGTCTTTGCAGCACTGGCGCATGCTATGTCTGCAATGTGCACCTTGAAGTTCTTAGCAACATGTACGACCAAGCTCAAAACCATGTGCCTAACCGCAGGTCTACAAATGCATCGGGCCCATTGCCGCAAGCCAAGCTCTTTGCAAAGAGGGTGATTACCTTTCTCACCACAATTCATCAGCATCAGCCAAGGCCATGACGGATGTTGCTGACTTGGAAACTTGTTCGATGCTGCGCAAGATCGAAGTTGGAGAAGCCTTGGAACTCCTGCCATCCGAAGGACTGGCAACCGGATTCCAGCCGAATTTGATCAGAAACCGAGAGGCGACCCCATGACTGGCCCCGGTGGCCAGGCACTGAGCGGCGCATGTTCCGAGCATGCAAAGATGGCGCTGAGGCTTCATGCGTTAACAACTAGAGCCACCTGAGACGCAGAGGTAAGCCTGAAACAAGGTGAATACAAGGTGAAACAAGCAGGGTTAAGCGAGACCAGGCATAAAAGAACTTGTTTTGCAGCCTTAGCACGTGAATTCTGCCGTGCCTTTAGTGCAGGAGTAGGGCATCGGCATCGCATTAAATCATTAGCATGCATTAGCAATGTATTGTGCGCTTGCAGGGATGGGTCACAATCGCCGGAAATCAGGGCAAAGCTTACCTCAAGCCCGCCTCTAGCCAGCAGTTGGGAAAATGGGACATGTTGCCACACTGTCGCCACCACGTTGCATTTAAATTCTTTCCGTTTTTACAGTTTTGTGCAGGATATCCGCAAATGGGGGTGCTACATTTGACCTGACGCTGACGCCGCATTGCGCAAACACATTGTAACAACACATGGCGACTGACAACGCATTCCGACGACACATTCCCTGAGGGCGACCACTCGCTTGTACACATATGTCTTTCCCCTCGCTTGTACACACCTTCCCCTCGCTTGTCCACATGAGTTTCTCGCCATGACTTACATACACACATTACATACATTACATACATTACATACATTACATACATTACATACATTACATACATTACATACATTACATACATTACATACATATACATACATATACATACATATACATACATATACATACATATACATACATATACATACATATACATACATATACATAGACATATACATATACATACATATACATATACATATACACACACATACACATACAGATACAGATACAGATACACATACACATACAAATACAAATACACATACACATACACATACAAATACAAATACATATACATATACATATACATACACACACACATACATACATACATACATCCATCCATCCATCCATCCATCCATCCATCCATCCATACATACACATATACACATATACATATACATATACATATGCATACACATACATACACATACATACACATACATACACATACATACACATACATACACATACATACACATACATACACATACATACACATACATACACCTACATACACATACATACACATACATACACATACATACACATACATACACATACATACACATACATACACATACATACACATACATACACATACATACACATACATACACATACATACACATACATACACATACATACACATACATATACAGACATACATGACACACATGACATACATGATATACATGGCATACATGGCATACATGACATGACATACACATACACATACATATACACATATACACATATACACATATACACATATACACATATAGACATATACACATATACACATATACACATATACACATATACACATATACACATATACAAACACATACACATATACATACATACATATACATATACATATGCATATACATATGCATATACATATAAATAATCATATACATATACATACACATACACATACACATACACATACATATACATATACATATACATATACATACATACATACATACATGCATGCATGCATGCATACGTAGGGCAGAGGGGGAGAAGATTTAAATAATGACTTAGCGTGTAGCCCATTGCTTTGTATGGCAGGGGGGGGATTTAAATAATGACTTAACATGTTGGCCATTGCTTTGTAGGGCAGGGGGGGAAGATTTATATAATGACTTAGCATGCTGATCATTGCTTTGTAGGGGGGGAAATTTAATTCTTGACTTAGCATGCTGATCATTGCTTTGTAGGGCAGAGGGGGGGAAGATTTAAATAATGACTTAGCATGCTGATCATTGCTTTGTAGCGCGGTGGGGAAGATTGAAATAATGACTTAGCATGTAGGCCATTGCTTTGTAGGGCAGAGGGGGGGAAGATTTAAATAAAAATTGTAGCCCATTGTTTTGTAGGGCTCAGTGTGTGGATAGTATCTACGCAAGTGACAGTCAAGTATGTGTGCATGTGCGCAAGTGAGGGGATGTGCGCAAATGTGCGCAAGTGAGGGGAAAGTCATGTGTGCAAGTGAGGGGTTGACCTTCCCTGACGACACGTGGCGACTGACGACGCATTCCGACGACGCATCCCCTGACGACGCATCCTGCCTCAATGACTGATGACTGACGACGCATTCCCTGTCCTGCCCTGACGACACATGGCGACGGACGACACATTGTGACGACGCTTTCCCTGAACAGCACCTCCACTTTCGTTGCGGTCCCTCCTCTCATAAGAGCCCTTGCCTTTTCGTTATACAGCACCTCTCCTCTCCTTTCGATACCACCCCTCTCCCTTCGTACAAGAGCACCCCTCCCTTTGCAACAGCCCCGTGTCTTCGGAGAAAATGTCTGTTCGTCTTTGTCTTCGCTAGGAAGTTCGTCTTCAAGGGAAATGTCTTCGTCTTCGTCTTCGCTGGGGAGTTCGGCTTCGCCGGTGAATTCGTTGTCACTGGGGAATCCGTCTTCGGGGGAAGTGTCTTCGTCTTCCTCTTCGCTGGGGAATTCGTCTTCGCTGGGGAACTTGTCTTCGGGGAAAATGTGTTCGACTCTTCGCCTTCGCAGGGGAATTCGTCTTCGGGGAAAATATCTTCGCTTTCCTTGGGGAATTCGTCTACGCCCATGGGGAAATCGTACGCGAAATTCGTCTTCGTCTTCAAGTGGAATGTTGCACCCTCCCACGCAGGCACAATGGTTTTGTGTCGAGTTGTGCATATTTTTGCACATCATTTCGTACATTTTTGTACCCCTGGTTTGTCCGGCCAGGTGACGAAGCATTACATTTGCCGTGAAGCCAGTCCAGTCCATTCTGGCCTCGGTCCTGAATGTGGCGTTCTACACGTTCTGATGCCTGGGGAGGCCTTCATGGCGTTTGAGGATCCGAAGGCGGGAGTGTAGCCAGAGCTTGAACTAACTTAGAATGTGTTGAATTTGGGATGAAAGTGGGATGAATTGGGTGATGCCAAGCATGCCAAGCACTCTAAGGAGGTAAGCGGGGGCGAGCATCTTGGCTGCGGATTGCTACACTCTCCAGGTAGCTGAGGACACAGCAATGCAGTGGTGCCACGCTTTCCGGCGTTCGACAGATTTGATGCTGGTAAGGCAGCTCACCATCTACAGAGTTCGGGCTGTGAAGGCACGGCCCCAGCTACTGATGTCCTGCATGCACTGGCAGGAACATGTAGGGACGAAAGAGCTTTCTCAGATAAAAATAACATAATTAATATAGTTACAATTAATCACATGGAAAGTGAGAAATAATTACACAATTACACAGTGAAAACCTATTAGGTAGGTGCTAAGAATATCTAAGAATGCCAAATGCCATCGCTGCTCGAGAAGCACTGGTGAGATCATCAAAAAACTATTAAAAAAACTGCTACCTGATGTCATCACACATTGATTCGTTCAGTACATATTACTTGTACCATCTTGTACCTTGTTATCTTGAATTCTTGATATTCTTGCATTGCGTTACTTTACATATCTATACATGCTCACATTTTTGTGTGTGTGTGTGTGAAACATCTGAATAGATGTAAAACTTCTACTTTTACATGGCATCTGAATTGTTGTAAAACTTCTACTTGAGCAGGGGGCCGCTGGGGAACATTGCAGTCAGCGGCCAACGAAGACGCTGCATGTTCAACGAAGACGCTGCAATGTTCCTGTGAAAACGTACCTGCAATTTTCCAGTTTTTCGTCAATGGCAACCGGCTAAGCCAAGAACCGGCATGTCGTTTTCAAACAATTTTCAAACCAAACTTGATGTCAGGGAGGGAACGATTTGCATCTAGCAAGGACGTGGAAATACAAACTTCGAGATTCTTCTCTGATCTTGTCTTCATACTTTTCCTGTCAGGTTTAATGGAGCGTTTTTGCACGTAAGATGCATTCCACATCAGAATTCGCAAAGATTGTTCTGAGCAAGTGTGTGATTCATGCTGGATTCGTCAAGGTGGCATGAACCCTTCGGGGGGTGCTTTTTTAAGCAGAATGTGGATGCAACGACCCGATGTCTGAATTTACACATTTTTATTTAGTAGTTCGTTTAAGTAAAGTGAAACAGCCGTTCACCTTTCAGCTTTCACTCTGTCGGTCGTCTTTTGGTTAAACAATCTGCCGCTGTGACTGGCCTCACCATTTTTGTCAGACTTCAAAGGGTTTGTAGACTGAAGCCGCGACAACAATCTCCTTTTTTTCAGCAATGCTCGAGAGACAGACTGATTTCATTTGTCACATGTCATGTTTTGGCCAGGCAATAGGACATGCTTTACAGGTGTGGTCACTTTCTTTTGGTTACTCTGGTGAGGTTCAATTGTGCACGTAATTCAAGGGTTGACGACGTAAGCCGTTTACAGGGTTGTGAAATGAAAGCAGAGGGCCTCTGAGCCTTATCACGATTCCTGCATGACTTGTGGATGCATCATCATTAACTAGTCCCCCATGGGTCCCCTATTTCATGTGTTCCTGCGTCCTCCTCTCTACAGGTAGGTTGGGTTTTGCGCGTGCTTAGGTAGGTGTAGGTTTCGCTGTGGTAGGTTGGTTCAGGCGCTTCCGTCCTCCCCCCCTCCGCTGGTCTTGTTCCGTGTCCGTTTGCCTCTGCCTTTCTTTTCCCTTGCCCTTCCAGGGTTTGCCCGCGTTGGGCCAGGTGTCCTGTGTTGGTGTTTTCTCCTTCCCTCTTCTTTTGCGTTCCCCTCTTCGCGTCCTGGCTAAGTAACTTTCATCTCATTTTCATCTTCACTTCATCTTCATTTCCTTTCATTTTCATTTCCATTTCACTGTCCGGACCTTAATTTTCCCACCCTCCCGCGGGAGGGGGTGTGTGTGTGTGAAACATCTGAATAGATGTAAAACTTCTACTTTTACATGGCATCTGAATTGTTGTAAAACTTCTACTTGAGCAGGGGGCCGCTGGGGAACATTGCAGTCAGCGGCCAACGAAGACGCTGCAATGTTCAACGAAGACGCTGCAATGTTCCTGTGAAAACGTACCTGCAATTTTCCAGTTTTTCGTCAATGGCAACCGGCTAAGCCAAGAACCGGCATGTCGTTTTCAAACAATTTTCAAACCAAACTTGATGTCAGGGAGGGAACGATTTGCATCTAGCAAGGGCGTGGAAATACAAACTTCGAGATTCTTCTCTGATCTTGTCTTCATACTTTTCCTGTCAGGTTTAATGGAGTGTTTTTGCACGTAAGATGCATTCCACATCAGAATTCGCAAAGATTGTTCTGAGCAAGTGTGTCAGTCATGATGCATACATCTGACGCTACCATAAGCAATAGAAGAAACATGCTGTGTATAGATTCCAATGTCAACAGATCATAATACTCAACAACAAGATTGGCAATTTGGATGGCAGTTAAAAGAAATGTCATAACAATGCAACAACAATGGGGAGAACATATTCATAGAGAGAGAGAGAGTCACACAAGCAATCACAGCACGAGCTTAAACAGTAATGTATCATGATGCCCAGCATGCCCTAAGCAATACGTGTATGTATTTATTTATATACACATACACACATACACACATATAGGCGTACACACACTTGCTCAGACCTGTCATTGCGAATTCTGGTGTGGAATGCATCTTCCGTGCAAAAACACTTCCATTTAACCTGACAGGAACGGGTCAGTGAAGAGACCTGACAAAGGTATCAAGGAGCTGTCATCGCCATAGCCAGTGTTGTTGCCAAATCTGTTGGAAACAGAAAAATCCAAATGATCGACATGCCGGTTCTAGGCTTTGCCGATTGCCATGTACGACAAATAAATGCTACAGGAAATGAGGTTGAAGTAGCAGGTACGTGACAAAGGCGTCCCTTCGTCATATCACCATGGAAAGGCAGTGTCTTCGTTGGTGGATGACTGCCAGACCATGCATCCACCCCCTGCAAGATTGAATGACAATCCTAGATGCCTAAAAGCGAAAAAGCGAAAAACCACAGGTTATAAGTTTTACATCTCTTCAGATGGTTCACACACACATGCACACATCCATGCATGCATACGTACATGCATACGTACATACTTACGTACATAAATACATACATACATACATACATATGTTACATACATACAAAAATACATACATACATACATACATGCATGCATGCATACATACATACGTACATACATACATACATACATATGTTACATACATACAAAAATACATACATACATACATACATGCATGCATGCATACATACATACGTACATACATACATACATATACATACATACATACATACATACATACATATGCCTACATGTGCCTACATGTGCCTACATGTGCCTACATGTGCCTACATATGCCTACATATGCCTACATACAGACATGCATACGGACGTAATCATACATACATCATTTTTTAGAAAATATAGTATATATACATGTAATATGTATTTGTGTAGTAACGTGTGTGTGTGTGAGCGTGTGTTTGGTTACATGTTGTTTTTCAGTGATGTCTATGTTTGTTGCCGCAGGACGGTGCCGAAGGCTACGTGGTGAACTCTACCGGCGAGGTGAGGCCATGGAGCCGCTCAGCTGAATGTAGCGACGGCAACGCCGGGCGTCATGTGGTCGCGGCGTGCCAAGGTCCCTGCTACAAAGTGCCATGGCCTGCAGGAAACTGCCCGAACTGAGTTGATTCTGGAAGGTTTTGGAAGTTTTGGAAGATGAATTGATGTTTGAGATTCACATAGGTGAACACAAGGCTGCAGCCCTGAGGTCCTAAGCTCTGTGCCTTTGACGCAAGCGCTTGCGGCCAATAGCACGGTGGATTCCATCCACATTATCCGAGTGTTGCTTGCTGGAACTTGGATGAAGTTATTGCAAAGAGATGCAAAGAGTGTGCTGTGAATTGTTGCGGCAAAACTGAATGATTAGTGCAACCTTCTGGGAAAACTGGATGATTCGTTCCCTGCAGGCTTTCTCCTGACGAGTTGGTTGATGCCACTGAGCCGGCCATGGAAGACTCGTCAACCGGGCAGCTGAGGCAAGACCCTCGAGGTTGCCATGGGGAAACTAACAGACTGTGATTCCAAATATTCCAACATGCTGCCAGGATTCGATGCATTGCCAGAAAGGACTTGGCCATTGGTTGGGTGACTGTTCGCCAGAAGCTTAGTTTGGGATGCCTGGAGAGGGCGGTGAAAAGAACACTGGATATTTGCTAAGATCCTGCAAGCAGCTCAGGTGACACGGTTTCTGTGCACTTGCTTCCTGCTGAGAGCGAAGGAGAAGCAGGTGGCTCGATGACAAGAGGGCACACATATGCGCATAATGCATGCCATATGCATCACGGGGCATGGGCATTGGCAGGCGCTTCCGGTGGGACATCGAAATCTGAAGGCTGGTCGGCTCATGTCTTATTGCTTGGCTAAATGTCAAACCCAAAGCATCAAGAAATGTAAAGAAGTCATGTTAGCTGTTAGCACATTAAGCTCTAAGGGATGGCTTCTTTTGACTGTTGACCTGTCGCAGATTTTGTGTTAGGCAAAGGAGGAGGAGATAGCTCGGAAGCAAGTGCATTCCGGTCCGACAGTTGAGGTGCATTCTGCAAAGTCTACCTGGGTTTTTTTGGTTTCAGTGGCAAATACAGTTGCGCGCAACAACACAGCTGGGATTATAATGGGTCAGAGTTAGAGATGTTAGAGGGTGAGGAAGAAGATTATCTACTCGGACGGAGTCAATGCGCAACAGAAATCACACAGGCAAAGGTGCAAAGCCGTTCCATCTGGGATGCGCTCTGTCACTGCACCTACCAATAGATGGAAGAGTTGGCACATTGAACTGGCCTGTTTCATGCTTTGTTTCTTGCTTGGAAACACTTGGTCAGGCAAAGTTCCAGCAGAGCCACCTCGAAGCGCCATGCGACGTGGGAAAAAGGGGCAGACTTGCCATCGTTTAGTTCACTGAAATCGGTGCTCTGAGCGGTGTTGGGCTGCAGTTTGGTAGGTACCCCCGTCACACTCACAAGGAGCGTTTTGCATGGTTTTATCATGTGTACTTCATCTCAAGTGTGACTACTGAGGCTTGAATGTTGCACTTTTGCGCGGTGCAGAAGAGGCGCAAAGGGTGTAACTTCCCATTGCCTTTGAAGGGCTTGTATGCGCTGCCGGCATCAATTACTTCATAGAGGCAGTCAAGAAGAAAATGGAGTTGGAAGAGCAGCTAGCAGACTCTGCTATTCTCCAAGACCAGAATCTTGGTAGCATGAGATTGATGATCCAGTCTCTTCTTGATAGCTGCACCTGCAGCGACTTCTTGTTCTGCACCTGGCCCTAGGAAAGCTTACGTCAATTCCTCAGCCATGACTACCACTACCTTTGGCGGCCATGACTTCATTTTTCAGGCCAAGAAGTCCACCACTTTGGCTCGTCGGAACCCAAGAGGCTACTACATTGATTTTTATATATTTGTATATTTCGAGAGATGTTATCTATTGTTATCTTAGATTCTTAGATTATCTTGTGCGTAGGTGGGTGTGTATGTGTATATATATATATATACATACATACATATACATATATATATATATGTGTGTGTGTGTGTGCGTGATTATATCTGCAGTTAATGCATGCGCGTATCTCGGCGTATCACTTGTGGTATCTTAATGTATCTTATGGTAGTGCTTGGCTCGGCTTCTGTTTGGCTGAGGCTTCACCACAATCTCTGACACACTGGCCGAGTTTCCTGCCAAAGCTTATTTTGAGGGCTACCAGTAGGTCATTGCACAGAGCTTGCCTTGAGGCTTCGCAGAGTTGCAGAAGAAGCTTCAGATGCGAAACAAATGGCTTTGGGCTAAGACATGCTGAGATTTTATCACTACAACCACTACTTTGGGGCATTTGCTCGATGTCAGTTGGCCGCGCTACTCGCGGAGTCTCAGAAGAGGATCACACTTGTCATTCACGTTTCACCCAGGTGCAAGGTTAAGATGCCAGGAATGCAGCTAACTACTGTAGCAATGTCAACACCGAAGATTATAAAAGCAGCCACTTCCGAAAAAGTTTTGGTGTTTTTCATTCTCTATACTCTCTGGACTGGACTACTGCATATATTCTCGTCTATTTTCATTATTTTTCCATGTTTGCGCTGCGAGCGCTAATATGCCCCTCCAATGCACACAGGACAGACTTAGATGACTTAGAATGTGGGATTCCCGAGATGTGAGAGAATGGGCATTCAGCACAGCCGGATCAGCAACTCTGCAGATTCTATAGGATTCCTTTTCACCAGATAGAGATGGGTTTTGCAGATTATGGAATGGATGGATGGCTGGGTGCCTTGAGGGACAGGTGGTTGAATGAGATTGAACCGTTCTGGCTGGTAGGTTTGCAGTCCCATGCCCCTAGGTGCTTATCCCATTCAATCATCCCATGATGCCAACACGACCCGCATGGGGACGGCTTGAGGCTGCACAGTACACTCCGGGTGACGAGATGCACGAGCTCGCATTGGAGGAGTTCGACATGGCAAGAAAGTCGAAAATTAGGGACTTGCAAAATCCCCACTTCATGACTATCACACTTTCGGGGCTACATTTTTTGTTACTTCGGAACATTTAAAATTTCCATGGAAGCCAAAATGATTCAATGATGCCAGTGGTGCGGGGAACTTTTAACAACCCTATCCCACCAAAGATCCACCAGGAAGATAGGAAGCTGATGGAAGTCTGTCGAAGCTGTTCCCTTGAAGGAAGCCAGAGAGCTGCGGACCAAGCAGGCAGAGATTGCCTCCAGACTTCAGACTGCTTGGGCCTTGGACCGCCCGGTGGCATCCAGAGGGATCCAGAGGGCACTGGAGCATCGCCACAGGAGATGATCACCCCAGATGACCGGGATGATGCCACATCTGTTTTGGTGGGAAACCTCAGCTTCGGTGTAGCGAAGCTCGGGCAAAAAGAGGGCCTCAAGAGAAGACGGTCAAAATGGATCAACGTAGGTGAACTGATGTGAACCAATGTTATTATATACAGTATGTGTATATATATATATGTGTGTGTGTACATATCATATAATATCCGTGTGTGTGTGTGCGCGTGTCTTAATATCATTGAATAATCGGTTTGGAGCGGCAACAGGCTGCCTTCTCGTGAAGCTTTGCCTGTGCCCAGGTTGAGGTTCGACCAGGTGTTGGTGGAGATGAAGCCTGCCTGTGGGCAGAGGACCAATGTAGTGGAGCGGGTCATTGACATCTATTGGTCAGGGTGCATTATGTCAGACTTTTCAGAGTGCATTCCCAGTCATTATGGTCATCATGGTCATTATTGCAGTGCTTGTTGGTCGCTCAGCTGATATCTCTTCAGCCCCAGTTTCATGTTGTCGCTTTGCTATACCAAAAGGCTTGGGATGGAGGTGGCGGGCTGGCCGATTTTTGGCAACCAGGACTTGGTCAGCATGTATCAGAAGTATTGCACTGCCGAAGAGCTTCGCTTCAAGGCATCGTATGAGCATGTCACGGTGCGGCTCATCCATTGCTGGGTGCCATGACCTGGTCTGACTGGTAGGTCATCTCAGCAACAAAGAAAGAGGTTGGACGGGGTGGAATTCAAACAGTTGCACATTGCCATAGATTGCCAGAGATCGCTTGTCATTTTGCATATTTTGCCTGCCAGATTTGTCCACCTGTCAGGGTGGCGGTTACCAGGAGGCCACGCTTAGTGTCCAAGGGGCTGGCGCGTGGACAAAGTTCAAGTTTGAGAGCGGTGGCAGCCTGAAATAGCACCAGCTACATCGGACCTACGAGACATCTGGAGACATCATTTTCCGCGATGTTTGAAGGTTTTGAAGGGCGAAGTTTGAAGTTTGGAAAAATCGGAGCGGCTCACTCTTTGACTTCCTGGAATGATCCGGAACGGTTCATGAGGTGTTCACCGCGTTCAGCGAGTCCCAACGACGGAGAAAGCTGGCCGGGCATGGGCCTCGACTCACATTCTCAAGCAGTCGTTCGACCAGTAGATTCATGTAGATTCAATCAAGTCTACATTATAGTCTATATGATTTGAGAATTATGTCTTATCTTATCTATTCTTATCTTGTCCAAGAGTGCCTTGCCTTTGTTTGATCTTATTAGTATTTAATTTGGATCCATTCATATCCATCCCAGTCTCCTTAATCTGGTCGCACATCTCTGTCCAGCCCCAGAAGCAGCTTCGGCAGCTGAGATCCACACCTCCACTGCCACTGTAGCGATCATGCCGGAGGCCACGCAATCGGCCAGTGGAGCATGGCTTGCAGCATCCATGAAGTCATCGATGATTTTGGGCAGCGGAAGCTTCACCCCTTTGGCCGCTTTGGCTATTTTTTTCTCCGCCAGATTGATGATACATCATCCATTGATGAGTGGGGCGCCTGTCTGATGATTGTGGGTAGGACACAAATTGAGTTGGGTTCCTTATCCCTGGAAGTGTCTTACGTGGAGTGTGCCAAGGGAGAAGATCTTGAAGGAAATCAAGTTCCAGTACTGCCGCTCTGGTGGAAAGGGTGGTCAGAATGTCAACAAGGCCCAGCTTGCGAATCGCAAAGCATGCAGAGCTCCGTGCCTTCGCATTGGCAGCATATAACATTATACAGATTTATACAGGAGAAAGTCCGGAGGATATTTAGCACTTGGCGAACCGCAGGTCGAGACCGCCGTTCACGCAACTTGCTCGAGACCCTTAAGATGGCAAACATAACTTCAAATTTTAAGCCTGAGAAAAAGCATCAGGGAATCCAGCTTGGTTGGTGATATTTTTTCCCTGTGTCAGTGTGCTTGAGCATGTTAAAGTATGTTACAGTTACATGTTCGAATATGCAAGCACCAGACTGCCAGGCTGGGCCCATGACAAGCATGGATAGATGTTGAAAAGTGGCATAGCATGGCATAGCCGAGGCGACTCATGAACCGACTGGCATCCACTTCTTCGTCACACAAGAGAGGCGAGGAAGCAAACTCCCATGAGACCTTTGTTTGTATCGTCGGCTGACAGTGCAGGTCTCAGCTGCTAAATCGAGAGATTGCAACGTTTGGACCTCGTTGGTTGGAAATCTTGGTCTTCCTTCGTTTTTCCTGGTTGTTTTTCTTGGACCAGGCATTCCGCGGCATTCTTTTGTCGTTTGATGTCGTTTGCCTGTACTGTCAAATTGTTTGCGTCAATCCAGGGAATAGCGACCATTCAATGTCCTGCGAATGTAGTCATGCCAGTATTTTGGATAGGTGGTGGTGATTGCTCTGGAATAGTCGGGCAACGTTTAATTGCCAAAGCGTGCCAAAGGATTGGCAGCAAAATGCGCTGCTGCATTTGCATGAGAAAACAGAGAAAGAAGTATATACTCGATTTTCATCAGTTTCCTGCAATTAGTTTCTTGATAGTTGCAGGTTGTCTGGACTTAGCTTCCTCGCGCCATTTGCTGCTTTTCGCAATGCTCTCCCAGCTCTCCTCTCAATGGTGCCTGAGGAAGCTAGTCATCTCCAAGCTGAAAAATATGGAGGCTGAGGCAAAGCTTTCTGGCCCTGAAAACAATGTAATGTACCGCCCAAGAATGCCTCAGACACATTTAAAGTCAGATATCATCAGGCAGCAGCGGCAGAGGAGGCAGAGATGAGATCTTCCCAGATCGGCAAGGGGCCCAGATTGAAAGCGCATGCCGCATGCTGTGACAATGTAGCTGTTCTGTACGGAAAGAGCAACCGGAGAATACAGGCAGCGGCAGTCGCAGCGAGAAATCTCGGAGCTACAACTTCAAGGAGTGCTTATCCCAGTTGGGGGAAGAAGCAGAGATCAAATGGATTGGAGAGGTTTGGAATCGCTGAAGCTGACCTTCGTAGATGCTGCCATCGTCTGCCATCCATTTTTGACGAGAGATCTCTCATGTCCTGCATGCTCTGAAAACGCACGGACAAAAGCTGGGGGCAAGAGCTGGGGATGTGCTTGCAGCGGCTAATTGTCTTCTTCGCCATTCCAGAAGCTAAGGAATCGCGTTACTGATCATCGTTTGAACCAAAACTTTCCTTTAGCAGCCAGGGGCCCAGATGAACGCCATGGCAAACATTGACATCGGAATTCTATCAACATCATGGTTGAATATGGTTGATGGATGTTTGGAAATATGTTTGGATTCTTCAGCAATTGATCTTCACGGCTATAGGTTTGTTTTTGCTCTTTTTCGCGTTTTGTCGATTTGTGTCGCTTTTGCAGGTGGTATTGGAAGGAAACTTGCAAGAGCCTGGGACTTAGACCATCTTGGACCTGGCTTGCTGGATGAAGCTCGACAGCGCGAGCGCATGCGATAACCGCAGGCCTGTCCGGCTTATGGCTCTCCAAGAAGAGAGGGAAAAACTTGAAGCGCAAAGCCCTCAGCTGGGAGTGGCTGGAGACACCTGGAGACTATGCAATGCCGCAAAACCCCGTATGCGCAAGACACGCAAGCACATGAATAGAATCACAAGACAGCCATAAATCTGTATAGTATGCGTTTCTAGATATATATAAATGTGTATATATATATACACACATGTGTGTGTGTGTCTTGGGTGAGATTAGGCGGGCAGAGAGAGAGAGAGAGAGAGTGCAAATATCCACACGCGTCTCCTCCAAGTCCGAGGTTGGAGCGGAGCTTTCAGAAGATGCCAGCGTGACAGGGCCATTCTGTGCGCGCAGCAGGTATTTCCTGCCCATGCCAGCATGGAGGCATTGAGAATCTATCAGGCTTTGATCTCCGATGATGTTGCTTTGCTGGACTGTCTTGGACTCAATTTTATCCCAATTTTCAGCAACAGGCCTTAAAATTCAGGGGCCTGTCGCTCTGACAGACCGCGGCTCTGACCAGCAAAAAGCGAAGCAATGCCCTGCACCACTGGGAATGTTTTTGGGATCTGGCTGGTGGTTGATAATGATCCTTCAACAAGCAATGGCTTCAAATCACTTGACAAATTTATCCAAAGATGAAGTTTGTGCTCTAAACCTCAGTTTTGACACGTGATCTTCGGATATAATTGGCGCGGAGCTTCAATTCATTCATCACATGATAGAGGCCTTTGCAGTGCACCAAAGCTTCAAATAAGCCGCGGCAATTCCTGTCGAAAAGGTCTTTCTGTAGGTGTAATTACTCGTGCATGTTGTTTTCACAAGTACTTCATGATAGCCGCCATGTAGATCACAATGTAGATGGATGGGTGGATGGGATGGGTTGGATAGATTGATAGATATTTATTCACACCACGTGTGTGCGTAGATGTACATCTCTCTCGCTCTCATGGTGATCCCAGCAACTTCATCCACACCCAACCGGTCAAATCGGTCAAGGAATTCATCGAAACGGCCGGCATCGGCTCACTTCCGAGCGCTCACAGTTGCGCAGAAAGGCCATTTTGGTGCCGCCATGGCACGTACTCCGTCCTCGTTTTATGCTGAGACCTCACCTCAGGATACCTCAGAATAGCACAGGTGTCGCCACTAATGCGAACACCTTCAGGTTGTGAATCTTTGGCACTGCAGGGCATGGCCCGAAGATACTAAGGATTGACCGCTATGAGATCGTTGAGGCCATTTTGTAGCTGGGCCATGAAAACATTGAAACTGCCTCAACTTCCCTGGGCTGATGCTGGCAATTTTGCTCTTGTCCAATAGGCATTTTCTGCTGGGTAAGTGTGTTGCTGTCCAAACAACACAACTCAATCTAATATATCTAATCTCAATGAAGCCGTAAGAAATTAGTGCGCATCAATGAAAAGAAAACACACGGACGATGGAGAGTCTCAGAGAGAGAGAGAGAGAGAGAAAAGCCACAGCGTGTTAGGCTATGAAAATAAAGCCGGACTGTGCCCAGGGTGTCCCAAAACACTTATGGCATCTTATGGCAACGCGCAACCATAGGAGAGAACCTTCGTGCCACCTTTTGGATTAAACAAAAAAACACCTAGGCCTGGCCCATGAGTTCGGAGAAATCGTGCAGTTGCTTGCTTAAGTATACGAACCGACTATTTAATTTGTATCTTAGCTGTTTGATTCAAAGTGTTTCTTCCTCTATCCGTATCGTTTTATGGAAATATGTGTCATTGCGTGTGTGTGTGTGTGTTTGTTTGTTTGTGTGTGTGTGTTTGTTTGTTTGTGTGTGTGTAACATCTAAACAGATGTAAAACTTCTCTCTTTTTCTTCCTTCCGTCCTCTCCCTTTCTAAATAACGCAGGGGGACACAGCATTTCACTGGGACTGTGTCCAACGAAGCTACCAGTGAAATGGGATATCCAGCTTGGCCAGCTGGACGTACCTGCATTTTCAGGAGAACTTCTATTATTCGTAGGGTGCATCGTTATTTTCGTTGTTTCATTTCTAATCTGCATGTTTCAGGATTCAGTTCCTGCCGGATCATATAATGATCCATTCTTGTCTAGTGTGATTTCCACGGTGGCTCCGACATGGTGCCATGGAGCCATTTGAGGCAACCCTTTTTAGGGTGAGTGATGACTGTCCTGACTGCCGAATTAACACATTTTAATTTAGTAATTCATCTAAGTAAAGCGAAACAGTCAGCCTTGCGGTTTGTCAATCTTTTCAGATGTCCCGCTGTTCCCGCGGCCCAAGGGATCCCAGTGCTCCGTTCTTTCAAGTGAAGCCATACCGAACATTCAGAAACCTCCGTTTTCACTGCAGCTTCAGCGTTTGCGATGAGACATGACATGCAAGACAACAGGCAACAGGCATGTCCTTTTCCTGCAGGTGTGGTCTCTTTGGTATCTGGTGAGGTGAAACATATTGTGCATCTAATTCGAGGAAATTTGTAAGCCGTTATATGCCCTTGTGGCTGACTGGAACACGGGCCTGGATTGGCACAACGCACGACCTTTAGGTTTAGGAACTGAATCCTGTTGTTTAACTAACTGTTTTGGTTTTCTTGTCTGTCACCAACTAGTCCCCCATTTGGTCCCTAATTTTCCCCGCGTGCCTCTCCGTAATGTGTCGTGGGGTTTAGGTGTGTGCGCTGTTTTGGTCAGGTCCGTTTCGCCGTGTAGGTTGGTTCCGGAGGTCCGTCTGTTCCCCTCCCCCCCTGCGCTGTTTTTGGCCGTCTGCCCGTCGTGTGTCCGCTCTTTTTTCTTCCTCTTGCCTTTCAGGGTTGACCCGGCTCTGGCCGGGTGTGTGCGTGTGTAACATCTAAACAGATGTAAAACTTCTCTCTTTTTCTTCCTTCCGTCCTCTCCCTTTCTAAATAACGCAGGGGGACACAGCATTTCACTGGGACTGTGTCCAACGAAGCTACCAGTGAAATGGGATATCCAGCTTGGCCAGCTGGACGTACCTGCATTTTCAGGAGAACTTCTATTATTCGTAGGGTGCATCGTTATTTTCGTTGTTTCATTTCTAATCTGCATGTTTCAGGATTCAGTTCCTGCCGGATCATATAATGATCCATTCTTGTCTAGTGTGTGTGTGTGTGCGTGCGTGCATCGCGCATGTGTATACACACACGCTCATTATATATATATCTCTCTCTCTCTCTATCTATTTGTCTGCCTATCTATCTTTCTTTCTTTCAATGTACAATATGTAGCTATATAGATATGTGTACACATGCATATAGAGATAGAAAGATTGATATAGACATGTGTGTCTGTGTGTTTGTGCATGAACTTGTTTTGTTGCACATGTATGCATGTATGTGTCTATTTATTCATTTAGGACATGATTTGTTGATAAATGTATTCGTTGATTCATTCATTTATTAATCTATTTATGTGCTGTGCGTCTATTTGTTTACTGTAACTTTTTCTTTCTACGTGCACTATTGTCGTTTAAGTTGTGCAGGAACCTGCAGATCCAGAAAATCCACTAGCCAAGGGTCTCTTGCCTTAGATTCAAAGCTCAGCTGCTGCGATTACTTCATCATGCAACAGTGAAGCGGGAACCAAGAGACTTTGGTGAAGACCCTGCTTTGATGCTTTGCTGCCGACATTTCAGCCATGCAGCAAGTCGAAAAGGCATGTTTTGGGCGCCCAGCCTCGTTTAGAAAAGTGAGACATTTGGACGTGCTGGCACACACATGGTCGCAATCATTGGCCGTCACGAGGAATGGAAGTGTTGAAAGCGCGCATCCCGCTGATGGGTCAGGGTTCGCATGCTGAGTCTGTACCTTAGACATGATAACTTGCCATGAATGAACACGATGCCGGTGAGTGACCTTGCAGAACAAACAATATTTTGTAAGACTTTGGAAATACCACAGGGATGGCCTGCAAAGCCAACACATTGCAGAATTCCATGGCAGCTATGTTATATTAACTGGAACCTTGTTGAGGTACAACATTCGTGTCCAGAATGAGGGCAAGTATCACATAGTTGTCATCTCAGGTTTATCATTCATGTGCCTTTGCGAGCCTTTGCACCAATAGATTCAGGACACCAACAGTTAGAGGTTATGTAAATCATGTGGGCCACAGGTCCGGAGACGCTTCGCTGAGTTTGTCACATTGCCATGGCCTCGGAGATCTCGGTGTGGGGCAAGTCGATAGCTGCTAACCATGCTGAGGCACGACTTCCTGAAGCGGCAATTTGGGTCGCAATCCCAGTGCAAAAATCAGTGGGAATCATCTATAATGATGAATCGCTTGGAAGTGGGATATCGAAGATGATTTACAAAGATTTACAAAGGGGATCCACTAGATATGGGGAAAGTCGCAAATACATTCCAGACATGGGAATGTCCCTCGAAGTAGGTTGCCATCATCGGGTTTCTTGATTGAAAGGCCTGTTTTGATGCTGGAGCTTCCCAAGAAGACACCCATCAGATACTTCAGCATGAGTCTCAGAAGTTTCGGAATGTCCAGTCTAGCCGAGTCCTCATCACAGACAGCTCAGATCAAGACAAATTGGAAGATCGAAAAAATGCCCTGAATGTCTACCTGAAGGACCTTTGTGTGGCCCTCAGGCAAATTCTTTTTGCCCACAACCGTTTAAAAAGAACAGGCCATGACAACCCAACAGCAACTGATGTTTTGCTGGCTGGTGCAGCACATGCACTGCGCCTGTCTCGTCCTTCAGCCTGGCTGAACCAGCCCAAAGAGAGAGAGACAGAGGGATTTTTTTGTATATATAGCAACTGAGGTAAGCGAAAGGAGATCGTGGATCTTGTCGAGGTTCAACGATTCTTCGGATGTCAGGCAGCGGCCTGGAGTAAGAGAAATATTTGGACACATGGCATTGCACTGAATTGTCTACACAGCAGCTGGATGCAACTGGCTGGTTGGGCGGTACTAATTTGTTTGGCTGGTTATTTTTTTTCTCCATGCCTTTGGCATTGTAGCCAGCTCTTCCTGCACTTGGCATTGTTGACCTGCGTTCTTCCCTCCAACTTTTGGTGCACCTTGCAATGCAGGTCCGCCCAGGGAGTGTCCCGACAGGCTACGCTCCACAGGCACAGGCACCACAGGTACAGCAGCCTGCACCAGTTGTCAGCTGCCAAGGCCTGCAAATGGTTCCGCCATGTTCCGCTCAGCTGTCACCAGCTCCTGATACAAGTGCTGAGCTGAGGTTGTCGGGGCAGCGCCTGGCAAGCACGAAACCAAGCTGTGAGACGTGAGCAGCACCAAATGAGCAGTCAGAGCTCCGCTTTTTGTAGGATGTGATTCTTCACCTCTTAGATGATATGAAATATATGAACTGCTGTTTGAAGTCATGCTGTGCAGCTCCTGGGACCTACCACAAAAGGATTAGATTTCTTGATCTGATATGGATCGAAACTGCTTGAAAGCTGTAAGATTTGATAAGATCTATCCTGATACTGATCATTCCTGATCTATCAAATACAATAGCTCAATAGCAGCACTGCTGCCATCATTTGTCATCTCTAGATTCTCAGGCCTGTGGTTCACAGTGACTCGGAGGATGAACTGGCCAGGCATGTCCTGACTACCATGATTGGGGACGTGCATCCCAGTTAGTAGGTGGATAATAACCATACTATACCCCTGTTACAGATGGTATATTCCTAGTTATGGATGATCAACCCCTTACTAACGGTTACTAACGGGAGTCTCATCCCAAAGTCTGTGAAAGTGGAAAATCTGCAAAGCTGACTATAATTTCACCATTGTAATGCCATCGCTTGATGCAGCCCATGGAAGAACACGTGCAAGCGCTTGTGATTTACTTGTGTTCTGTGCCTGTTGCACGGGCGACATCCTGACAGTGTGTGATCGTATGGTGCTAGGTGGGACACATGAAGTAGAATTTTGAGAAACAATGTGTCACCTTTTGCTCCTGGCCCTGTCCCACCAAAGGTGGGGATAGAAATTAGACTTTGGTCTGACATAGATGATCATTCTTTCAGAGTCGGCCTTCAGTAGGCCAGCTTGGAATGGAATGTGATGCGTGTTGGAAAAAGACCACGATAGCTGATGATGGGAAGAAGCCTTTCTCCATGTCATCTCTTTATGGGATGTGTCTGACAAAATCACGAAAGGTATCGAACAGTACCATCAGCAAGCTGACCTTGATTTTAAGGGCAGCAAGAGCTTTGCTTTGGGGGACCCCCTTCAACTCCTCCCAGGTTCGTTCGACCGATTCTACTTCTCCCCAGCATAGTCACCATCATTACTCCCATGTTCAGTGGCCCTCATCGGCATAGCAGCCTCACTGCATAGGTCAGCAACATCGTTATCAACATAGTTTTCGGCAGTGTTTGCATTGTCCACTGCAGCATGTTGCCTTATCAGTGTCACCACCGTCATTGTAGATGTCGTCTCTGTTTTCATGTTTTCATCATCCCATCAGCATCCATGACATCTCCACAACACCAGCAGCAGCAACAGCAGTAACAACAGCGTCAAAAGGCAATAGAGTTATGCGCAAATTGTGAAGCCTACCCGAACACAGCTCCACTACAGTCTTGAAGGTGGAGCTATCGGTCCTCGATGCCTGCGATGCAATTTTCATCCAGAGCCTCCTTGTCAGCTGCACCACCATCCACAATTACCGCCATCCTTTTCCTCCAAGCATATCATCCTTTGTCGCCTTTGTCGTTGACAGAATCATCATGCAGACATTCTCGTTAAATTCTTGCCAGCTTCACCATCAACGTTGCCGAAGCTGTTGTCATGGTAGTCCTTATCATCGTCATCGTCATCTTGCATGTTCAATCATTTTCATGCATTTTCATCATTCTTCCAGGTTATCTTTCGTGCATCCCCTATCTCAACTTCCAGCTGGCCTGTGGTTTGCTGAAGTGATCACAACGTACGTTTAGATGGATTGCAAACAAGCATTGTGTCGTTGCGAGTTCCGATCCGGAGAGCCACCCAAAAGTCGGATTCGAGTCGGTTTCGGGTTTCGGGTTTCGGGTTTCGGGTTTCGGGTTTCGTCGATTGAAACCAACTTTCGCTGTCGGTTTCGGGTTTCGGGTTTCGGGTTTCGATCGGCCCTGGGGAAGTTAAGTCTTCAGAGTCGGTTTCGGGTTTCGGGTGTCGGGTTTCGGGTTTCGATCGGTTATACTGTAAGTCTTCAGAGTCGGTTTCGGGTTTCGGGTTTCGGGTTTCGGGTTTCGATCGGCCCTGGGGAAGTTAAGTCTTCAGAGTCGGTTTCGGGTTTCGGGTTTCTGGTTTCGGGTTTCGGGTTTCATCGCTTGAAACCAACTTTCGCTGTCGGTTTCGGGTTTCGGGTTTCGGGTTTCGGGTTTCGTCGATTGAAACCCACTTTCGCTGTCGGTTTCGGGTTTCGGGTTTCGGGTTTCGATCGGCCCTGGGGAAGTTAAGTCTTCAGAGTCGGTTTCGGGCTTCGGGTTTCGGGTTTCGGGTTTCGATCGGTCCTTGGGAAGTTAAGTCTTCAGAGTCGGTTTCGGGTTTCGGGTTTCGGGTTTCGATCGGTCCTTGGGAAGTTAAGTCTTCAGAGTCGGTTTCGGGTTTCGGGTTTCGGCTTTCGCTGGTCGAAACCAACTCTGCAGACCTCTCTCCGGATCACGTCTCGTCGTTGCGCTGCATATGGGCTCATTTCAATGATGGCTTCGGGATGGGGGCCAGGAATGGCAACCTGAATTTTAAGGCACGACTCTACTGACTGTTGGTTTTTTTTTGTTTCCGTGGTCCATATGCATTGCCGTCTCTCTGATCCAGGAATGGCTGCTCTCACCTCCCAACGAAGACAAGTTGGGCAGTCGCAAGTGCTCGGACATGGTGGCAGCGAAGTGACATTGGCTTCTGGGATCAGAAGGAACTTTGATCAGTTGTTTTTCGAGCACAAAATCATGCCTTGTCAGGGGTTTCAGACTTAATGCCTGCCAAGTAAGGCCAAAAGTTCAGACATTCGCCGGGTGCAGCCCCTGGCAAAGTCCACTGCGGCCCTGCGACTCTGCGCACACCATGATCAGCACATGTCATCACCAAGGCATTGGCTGCGTCAGTCACAAGAGCAGCTTTGGAAAGGGCAAGGGCTGAGCGCGAAGCTCCAATGAACGGCTTCGAGCAAAGACAGAAGGCGATGGCCCTGGTTTTCAGTGAAGCTTTTGATGGATGTCTGAAACATATGTGCACATATAGATATATATATATATCTGTGTGTGTGATGTATATACTTGCATCTATGTGTGCACGCACATGTATGTGCATGTGTATGTACCTGCGGATCTCATTCGCAGAGGGCATAGATGAACTCATGGCAAAGACTTCCCCGGGCAGCGTTGCTCTGAAGTGACACTCTGAGTCCAGGAAGCCAGAGAAGGTCTCAACCAACTTGGATTGTCATCTGTCCCAAAGGACAAGATGGAGAAGGTGCTGTTTGTATCATTTTGTATCATTTTGTATCTATGTGTTGTATTTGCGTCAGCTGCAGCCATCATCAACATCAGCATGATCTTAAAAAGCGTGGTTTGCGCTGCCAGGGGTGGGGCTGGTGCGTCAAAGGCCGTCAGCCTCCTGACCTTGCAGGAGAGGGCTTCTTTTCCATCCAGAGCTCAATGAAGACGAGTGTTACTGTTGCAGGAACAAAGGATCAATGGATTGGTTGTCCAGGGGGAATTTCTTGGAAAGCATGGTTTTTACCGTTTACCACTGATGGTAGGAGGTTCCTGTACATTTGTCCCAAACATCCAGTTCCGTGAAAGGACTAAAAAAGTCCTTCAGTGGGGTAGAACTACGCACAGATGGGGAAGTCATCAGAGGCCAAGCATGTGATGCATTGGACGGGCTGAGGGATCCTTGTGATTTCAACCCGCTCCGATGGGTCTTCGTGATGCCAGCAGATCAGGCCTTTGCCGTGCAGAGAATTACGAGTCATGCCCTGAAGGTGCGCGGGATGGATAGCCTGGAAGCGAAGGTCTGAAGCAAATGACTTGGATAATGGTAGGTTTGCACTATGTGAAGTGGTACATACCGAAGATTACCGAAGAATCGCAGCACGTAGTAGCATCAGCTGGAATAGCACCAGGGACAGGGGGGATTAACGTAGCTGATTTTGATCCAACACTGAGAATCTTCTCTATCTCTGATGGACCTGCTACACCGCACAGATCAGCTGTGCACAAGACTCAGATGATCAGATGGTGCAGACCATTTTTGAGTGGACGGACCTCAGGGCCATTTTTTGTTGAGACATGCTTGACTCTAAGCCCAGCTAACCACACTCCTTGAAGCCCGAAATTGTCAAGTGCGCGCAAGCTGGGCATGTCTTTACTGTAAAGATGCTGGATGTTGTTGGATATTGTTGGGTATTGTATGATATTCTTGGATATTCTTGAATTCTATGTGTACCCTCTGGTAATTTAACGTAGCTATTGAAAATGACCATTCATAGTGGATTTTCATGGATTTTCCCATTAAAAATGGTGATTTTCAATAGCTATGTTAAACTACCAGAGGGTAGTAGCTCTGCGAGAAGGCGAACGCCCCTTCTTCGGCGAGCAACGCGCCCATGGCACTGAAGTTTGGGATGGTCGGATGCGTGGCGGCGAGCTGGCGAGGAGCCGGCAAACACGGGGATGGATCAAAGTTATGAACGCACCATATGACTGGGGGAATAATGATGATGATAATAATATATAGTATATAATAATAATAATACATAGTAATTAATAATAATAATTAATAATAATTAATAAACATCCATTCACCAGATATTTCAGGATACCTAGGTACTGGAGTTTTGACCCACATGACCATGGAAATTAGCACGTCAATAAATGGAAAATCATCGATAAATCGGGGGGCTTTCCATTACCATTTTGGATTACAGTACCATTTGGGATACGAGTGTCTTGGGAAGTTGAAGAGTGACCCACATGTGACTGCAGGAATGGCTGGGCTGGTACCTTCCCATTGACACATCAGAGGTTGAGCCATGTTGAGCCATGTTGAGCAATGTGAAGTGAGTTGTCATTTGAGTTGTCATGAGTTCAATTCCTCCCATGCATCCTTGGCAGGGGCTGTATGCCTTGGGCAGGCTGAGCTGTTTCCAGACACTTTGAGGCAACTTTGAGGTCTCGAAGTTTGGAGTTTGGTTGATCTTTCAATGTGTTTTGATGTGTTTTGATGTGTTTTGTGGTGGTTTCAATTTCTCTGTTTATGAGTGCAAGATGGATCAAGATGTTGCAATTGCTGAAGGGAGGTCATACAATATGACCTTCCGTCCCACTCCTGAGTTTCACGAGTCACGTCACCTGTGATTTGCATGAAAATGAAGTCCGTGTTTGGATTCTTCTTTGGGATCAGTTTGAATATGACAACATATGACACCATATCGTATGATACACTTTGATATGATATACATCAATTGTCAACCATTTTTGGGATGACATTGCGAGAGTTGCTGCAGTTGGCGTACCATGCGCATGTCAGAATTGTGAAGCGGATCTCTGCAATGCAACCCAGCAGGCTGCACCTGGTACTTTGATGTAGTTTGAATGCACCAAATTAGACGAACACCGATTGCAGTTTGGAATGCCCAATCACTTGTTCCCCACAACTTTGTGTGGGGTTCTTGTTTTTGATTCTGTATCCCGGGCTCCTTCTCCTCCCGCCGCCTCCCTCACACATACAACAACAATAATTTCACACACACACACACAAACTTAACATATAATAATTTCACATACAATACTTTCACACACACTAACTTCACACACACAAACTTAACATACAATAATTTAACAGACAATAATTTCACACTAACTTCACACACACACTTAACATAACTGTCGTTTTACAGTACTTTCACACACACACACAAACTTAACATACAATAACTTCACACACACACAAACAACATACAATAATTTCACACTAACTTCACCCACACAAACTTAACATACAATAATTTAACATACAATAATTTCACACTAACTTCACACACACAAACTTAACATACTTTGCGTGGCATGCGTGGCACAACCTCACATCCACCTTCGTTTCACGTGGCAGGCGTGGCACAAACTCACATCCACCGTTGTTTTGCGTGGCAGGCGTGGCACTCATGGCACTGGGTGGCGCGCTTGGACTGGCTTGGTCGCCCGTGACGCCCGTGACGCCGCGGCACTTTGCGTGGCAGGCGTGGCACAACCTCACATCCACCTTCGTTTTGCGTGGCAAGCGTGGCACAAACTCACATCTACCGTCGTTTTGCGTGGCAGGCGTGGCACAGATGGCACTGGGTGGCGCGCTTGGACTGGCTTGGTCGCCCATGACGCCCGTGACGCCGCGGCACTTTGCGTGGCAGGCGTGGCACAACCTCACATCCACCTTTTTTGCGTGGCAGGCGTGGCACAATCTCAGATCCACCTTCGTTTCGCGTGGCAGGCGTGGCACTCATGCACTGGGTGGCGCGCTTGGACTGGCTTGGTCGCCCGTGACGCCCGTGACGCCGCGGCATTTTGCGTGGCAGGCGTGGAACAACCTCACATCCACCTTCGTTTTGCGTGGCAGGCGTGGCACAATCTCACATCCACCATCGTTTCCCGTGGCAGGCGTGGCACTTATGGCACTGGGTGGCGCGCTTGGACTGGCTTGGTCGCCCGTGACGCCGCGGCACTTTGCGTGGCAGGCGTGCCACTTGGTGACATCCACCTTCGTTTCACGTGGCAGGCGTGGCACTTGGTGACATCCACCTTCGTTTCGCGTGGCAGGCCTGGCACTTCGGGCGCGGTGCGCTTGGACTGGATTGGTTGCCGGTGACGCCGCGGCACTTTGCGTGGCAGGCGTGGCACTTGGCGACATTGACTTTCGTTTAACTTGGTGACATCCACCTTTGTTTCGCGTGGCAGGCATGGTGCTTGGTGACATCATGTGACATCCACCTTCGTTTTGCGTGGCAGGCGTGGCACTTGGAGACATGCACCTTCGTTTTGTCACACACCATCTTTTACACACCATCTTTGACACACCATCTTTGACACACCATCTTTCACACCACTTTGTCACACACCATCTCTCACACACCGTCACAGACCATCTTTCACACACCATCTTTCACACACCACTTTGTCTCACACCATCTTTCACCACACCATCCTTCACGCACCACTTTGTCACACACCATCTTTCACACACCATCTTTCGCCAAACCATCTTTCACACACCATCTTTCACCACACCATATTTCCCAGTCACACCAACTTTGTCGCACACCATCTTTCACACACCAACTTTGTCACACACCATCTTTCACACACCTCTTTGTCACACCCCACCTTTCATACACCATCTTTCACACATCACATTGTCACACACCATCTTTCACACACCATCTTTCACACACCACTTTGTCACATACCATCTTTGACACACCGCTTTGTCACACACCACTTTGTCACACACCATCTTTCACACACCATCTTCCACACCACTTTGTCACATACCATCTTTCACACACCGTCACAGACCATCTTTCACACATCACATTGTCACACACCATCTTTCACACACCATCTTTCACACACCACTTTGTCACATACCATCTTTGACACACCGCTTTGTCACACACCACTTTGTCACACACCATCTTTCACACACAACTTTGTCGCACACCATCTTTCACCACACCATCTTTAACACACAACTTTGTCACACACCATCTTTCGCCAAACCATCTTTCACACACCACTTTGTCACACACCATATTTCCCACACAACTTTGTCACACGCTCTCTTTCACACACAACTTTCGCACACACCATCTTTCACACACCACTTTGTCACACACACTTTCTTTCTTAGTCACACACCAGCTTTCACATACAACTTTGTCACACACAACTTTGTTTTACTTCTCGATCCTGCACCACCTCCTTTGTCTTTCCTTCCTTCCCCGTCCCCGCTACAACATTTGGTGCTTATTATTGAAAGAAGTTGTCTTGTGGGGTTATCCGGTCCTTTAATTTTTACACACTGTCCCTTTCGCTGCTCAGCTATTTCAGATGCCATCGAATAAAATCCGCCACAGGACATGCAAGTTGCACCAACTGTCCCACAGCATAAACATGTCAACCGAAGTCAAACTGTGCAAGATTTTAACAAAAATCTTGAAGCTGTAGAGCATTTATTCTTGTTCAGTGCGAGATTCACGAGGACAGTGATCGAGTGGATATTGATTCGGATTGAGTATTGATGACTGAGTGCTGAGCTTTGACTCGTCATTTTGCCGCAATGGGTGCGGGAAGCTCCACTGCTCAGGGGTTTGTGCAATTTGCACTGTCACAAGAGGCAGGGAATTCTGCCCAGAAGGTTTCTCTAGCTTCGCTGCAAATTTGGTGAGTTGACATTCCAAGCTGTGGGGGAACGAAATCACAAGCCACTCCCAACTCCTCAATACCTCCAAATACATGTCTTCATCATTCTTTGATATTCTTTGACTCAAATGCTTGAACAGATGTGTGCAATTCAAGATGTTCAAGGCTGTCATATGCTGTCATCAAGCAGGTCAATCTTATCAGACTGGTGTCCCATGGTGTCCCAAGTTTGGCCCCATGAACCCCTCCTTCACTTTGCTCATGGAGGTCCTGCGATTCGGTGAGTTCAAACTGAAGTCTGGCAGGAGATCTGCCGATTTGATGGGAAACCGGATGGCGCCAGCGATGGCATACGAAGATTACGATGTCCTGTGACACAGACTGCTTGTGCTGCTTAATTTGTGGCATGGCACACCGATGTGGTTGGTTTCCATGAAACTATCTTCAGGCTGATTGACATCAGAATTGAAAACAATTGAAGTATTTAAACTCGCTGCTCGGAGCAGCTCGGATGATCGCCGTAGCTCATGACTTTGAAGTTGCACCTCCACTTGGCGAGGCCGGGAGCCGCTAAGCTAGCCTCACCACATCCACTTATACTCTTATAGTCTTATAGTCTTATAACTTATAGTCTTAATATAGTCTTATAGTCATTATAGTCTATTTCTAGTCATACCGAGTCATGCCGCTCAGATGCTGCAGGACTTCTCCATACTTCTTCAATGCTGGCTTGTTCACAACAGGGGAGGCCTTGACCAAGTGGCTAGACCTTTTGGTGCAACATTCACCGTGGATGGCAGTTGGATGCAGGTTCAGCGACCCAAAAAAAAACATATCCAGATTGGTGATTGTCCCAAGGGATCATTGACCGCAACCGCCGAGGCTTGGGGAGTTCTATGCTGATGCCATCGTTGCATCCGGTGTTGAGCCACTGGTCACACATGGTCACACCATGGACTTGAAAGGGGCAAAATATTTGGAAAAGCTGGTTCTCTATTTCCTTGCAGTGAGAAGATTGCGAAACTGGGGACGTCCACCCCAGATCCCTTCTGCGTTGCAGCACAAAAAGAGCTTTGCTGGCGAGGTTCGATTGCCTGTTTGGGCCAGCATACAAGGGCATTCCATTGGCGGCTGCTGTGGCCATTGCAATCTACAAGAATCACGGCATCTCAGCAGCACTCATTCGGAAACCAGACACCACGCCGTACTACCGCAGCTTGAGAAATTTGAGAACGAGCAACGCCTACACGAAAAAGGGGGAGAGAGAGAGAGAGAGGAACAATTTGCAAGACTTAGTCATGCCTGTTCAGCTAGTGAGGCATCCACTGTTAAAACGGCACTTGGTTCTAAGCAGGAGTTTCCTTTGCTTTGGACAGCATGCTTGCCTTGATTCCAGTTCCTCTTTTCAGGGCCCCATACGTTCATGCCTGATGAGAAAAGCATGCAAATCCTGCTGACATTTGCCAGCTCCCTGGTGATGGATTTTTGCAGCAGAGGTCGAAATGTGGCATATGCTTACAATCGCAAGGAGGCCAAGGCCGGCGTGGCCCGCTATACTGGGACATCGGACTTGCATTTTGGCATGGCCACTAGCACTGAGACTACCCACGCCATAGTTGCACCAACATGCGTCAACAATTTTGATTTGTTGGTATGTCACATGACATATTGTCACATATGGTCACATATTGTCACATATTGTCACATATTGTCACATATTGTCACATATTGTCACATATTGTCACATTGGTCCCGTTTAGAAAGGTTCGTCCAGGATTTTCAGCTTCACGGGGCATCGGGGTTTTGTCCACATACTCTCTCAATCTTCGGTATGAAGCGAACCCAAGCTAAATCAAGGAAATCCCACCGCAGCCTTCATCTTCAAAATGTCAACCAATTTTTTGTGTGCTAGTGCCACGCTAGTGGTGCGCTAGCAGAAATGGACCAGAGCAGTGCCAAGTCCATGGTTTCAGAGCATGAGCATGAACACAACCAAAAACTAAAGCGCGGACAATGAATTCGCCAAGATGCAGACCACCACCAGAATACAGTGCTGCTTTTGGGAACCGCCATTTTCACAACAACCCATAACAACCCCATATAATATAGCAAATGTTTCTGGCTGCAGATGTTTTGGCAGATAGCTGTCATTCTAGAGGTTTTTTACTTCGAGAGCTGCCTTCCTGCCTTTTCACTGCCTGGTACTGTTTGGTTTGACAATATAAGTTCAGGCTATGATGGATGTCAAGGCGTTGGATTTTGTTGTCAGCCTCGCATTCGACCAAAAGTCTCCACACCCAGTAATTACCTGTGGGAATTTCATCCTTTGTCGTCGCGGAAAATGTTGAGGCCCATGGTGAGGGTGGCCAGATTGTTGGAACGCTGAAGCCACGCGTGCCCGCAAGCTCAGAACAGGAAAGAGCCACGGACTACCTGAGATCCTCTTGGCAACTGCAGACGACAGACACTGAGCACGTGTGCTAGTTTTGAGTGAAGACACGTTTGAACCAATTGATTGCCTGGGGATACCTGGGGAATGAGTGGTTCGGTGTGTTGGAGCGTTGTTTTCTGTATGAGGCTCATCATAGACGACGTGATCACCGCAGGGACTGCCATTCGAGAGTTCCTTGGTTGCATCTGAAGCTGCAGTTGCAGAAGATGATGGTTGTCCTCAGAATGCGTTCGAATGGAGCGGGTTCCGTCCGCTGCAGTCCCCTGGCTGTCCGTTGCCACGGCCAGACATAGCGCTTGGATACACCCATTTGGATTTGGGAAGTTGCACCCATGGCTGCACATTACATGGTTCTTGCGATTGTTAGGTCTATGGACTTGCTTGCAGCTCAGAGTCTTGGCCTGCAACGTTTCTCCAATGCCAAGCCTTTGGTGGATCTTGGTGGCTTACGTGCAACTCCAAAAATGAAGAGCTGCATTTTCGTGCATTTTGGAAGGTTGCGTTTCCAGGTGCAATGTTGAAAGAAGGTGAGCAAGACGTGCCAAAGCGTGTGCCCTTCACATGAAATATGTCCCAAACGCAGACGGATCGAACTCGGGAGTGGAGTAGACAAGTGCACATGTATGATTAAAGAATTAAAGAAATTAAAGATGCTGAAAGTTGCATTAGACTGCATCAGCAGAGGTTGATGGCGCTGTGGCGCCATAGACACGACCCGACTGCGCAAGGTGATGACTCAACTGAATTGTAAGATTGCAGCCACCACAAACCCATGCGTTGCGTGGAGTTGGAATTAGTGGGTCACTTGACATATCTTCTGACATACAAATGACATATCTTCTGAGGAAGGATGTTCGAGCCGTTGGGGTTGTCGTTGCGAAACTTGGCTTCTCAATTTGATTACTGCTCTATCTAGTGGAGACATGGCAAAACCTTTGGGAAACCACACTGGTTGAGTGGAACTTGAACTTGAGCCTGAACTGGGGCGTAAAGACAGGTGCCGATCCAAAAGTAAGATGGTGACGATCTAGCGGACCTATGGACTTCGCCTCCATGAAGCCACGTTTTTGCATGGCATTGAATCTCCCGGTGGCAACATGATCTTGATGTATCTTGATGTTTGTGTTGGCAGCGCATACTTGGGCACTTGCAACTGCTATCAGGATGGATCGGCAAGAACGAGTTCAAGAGGATGTGAAAGTTTCTGCTATTCAGCAGGTGGAGAAAGACTACAACATCCCTGCTGCTTGACACAGATTTGACGTAGAATCAGTCGGTCAGTTCACATACAATCAGCATATGCCAGCACTATCAGGCCACAGATATCATCAGATATCCCCTCCCTGGTTGAGTATGGAATATTTTGATATATTTTGTACATTTTTGTACTATTATCCCTGGATCATCCAGGATCCATTCATTTTGGGGAAGGGCCAAAACAGGGACCACCATGGACCACCTCGACAGATCCGTAGCCACTAGGTGATCAGCATCGCAAAGATGGAGGACTTGATCGTTTACATCGATCAGCAGTGCGCCGGGTGGACTAAGTTGACCAAGCAACAAACATAGCAATCAGCATGGAGTTATAGTGGGATAGAATGGGATACCTATATGATATATATTGATTTAGAGCGAGGGCTGACGAGGTACGAGGTGAATCTTTGCAATTTAAGCGAGGTGAATTAATTAAATTCAGAAAACGAGGTGGGCAGAAATTGCTTTCAAAGCATGTGCAACGAGTGAAAAAAAACTTTTCGGGCTCCAGAAAGTTTTTTTTTGGTTCCCATCAGAGTGAAAAAAATAGAAAATTAAGGGTGCATTCAGACCCGTGAAAAAAAACTTTCTGGAGCCCGAAAAGTTTTTTTTATCGTAATTCAGTCAGTGCCCTGTGGTGGCATGCCCGGTTTGTTCCAGGACTTCCGTATTTGTTCTACAGTGAAACCACTGTTTAAGAACCCACTGCATTAAGAACCTCAGGGGCTGGATTGCTGGATTCAACTCTGTCTGCCAGCTAATTGAAATAAGAACCCTAGGGAACCCTGAAATTTTGGTCAATATTTCTTATTCACCTTTCCCAGGTAGCGCGACTAGATTCTAAAATTGCTAAAGCTTGAGGTGTAGCGGGGTATCTTGGTGCTGCTGCAGCTTCTCTTCTCTGGGGTCGAATTTGGGGGAATCGAGCCCCTGCAAATCCGCTTGTAAAAGAGGCATCTCGGAAACAGGAAAAAACTTTTTAGGCCCTGAAAAGTTTTTTCAGCATCCCCAAGCCTCTGGAGCCCAGAGCGTTGCTGCAACGACGACAAAGATTATTCAAAAAAGTTCAACCCAAAAGGAGGCAGAGGACTAGTTCGAATGGCTTGCGGTCGAGAAAGAAATGGGACGAGGGCTGAAATCCGTTTTGAATGTAACGAGGCGAGGACTGAAGATTTAATCAGAGGGGAAGAGTAGATTTAAGACGAGGAAACCGTTTTGAATTTAAAGTAAATTTTGCAATATATATGATTATATATGATCATATGAGTATATGATGATGGTGATGGTGATGATGATGATGATGATGATGACGATAATTACGATGATGTACGATGATGTACGATGATGTACGATGATGTACTACGATGTACTACGATGCACTACGATGTACTACGATGCACTACGATGTACTGCGATGTACGATGATGTACGATGATGTTACGAAAGCCAGCTGTCAAGCATGGCGAAGTTGCTCATTGCGAACGAAGTGAGAATAGGGGGTCTGGGGGCGGTGGCTGCAAAACGGACCGTTTTGAGGCACTTCCCCACCTATAATTGGGGTGGCCACCGTGGTCGATTTTGGATCGATTTTGAGGCTGATGTACCAGGTGGCAATTGGGTGACGGTGGGGTTCGATTCCCCCCTGGTCTGTCCTCCGACGTGCATTTGGGGCGAGTGGAATAGAGGGTAAAACGATGCAAAAATGGAGTCAAAGCATAACAGAACAATGGAAAAACTAGAAAAGATTAATGGAAAAAGAGAGGGAATGGAAGGATAAAATAAAGGGGACGGATTGAAGTTCCGGGGCGGGGTGTACGATGGGGAGAAGGTTGGAGGGACAAGAGCGTGGCTTGGGCGGGCTCTTTAGGGCGAGGCTCTATTGGGTGGCTGCTGGGAAGCAAAGGAGCCCACATAGTGAAGGTTGCCGATGGCTGCTGATGTCTGGGGGGGAGGTGCGTGGCTGGCGGTGCACATGGTTAGATTGGAGGGAAGAGAGGGCGTGGCTTGGGCGGGCTATTTGGAGTGAGGCTCTTTTGGGTAGCTGCTGGGAAGCAAAGGAGCCCGCAGGGTGAAGGTTGCAGATGGGTGCTGATGCCTGGCGGTGGGAGAGGAGTGTAAAGTGTAAAGTGTAAGGTATGGAGTGTAGAGTGAAGAGTGTCGAGTGTAACGTGTGGTGTGTACAGTGTAGAGTGTGGAGTGTAAAGTGTAGCAAAGGAGTCCACATAGTGAAGGTTGCCGATGGCTGCTGATGTCTGGGGGGGAGGTGCGTGGCTGGCGGTGCATATGGTTAGATTGGAGGGAAGAAAGGGCGTGGCTTGGGCGGGCTATTTGGAGTGAGGCTCTTTTAGGTAGCTGCTGGGAAGCAAAGGAGCCCGCAGGGTGAAGGTTGCAGATGGGTGCTGATGCCTGGCGGTGGGAGAGGAGTGTAAAGTGTAAAGTGTAAGGTATGGAGTGTAG